CCCCCCCCAATTAACAACGCCATGCATTGCATTGAATGTGGACACCTCCTTCCCAAGATTTGTGATGATACGGTCTGCTCCAACTGCAAAACCCCGGTGGCGACTTGGTGGGATGAGACGTCGCAAACCTTTCGAACGAATCGAGAGATTCCATATTCTCCCACCTCGGGCGTCGGGATCTGGGGAAGCGTGGCAGCCGACAAGATGACTTCGAGGCCGAACACGCAGACGATTGAGGAGCGGACGTTTTGCGCGGCGTTGATTATGCTGGAGGCGCATTTTGAAAAGGTGCGCGGGGTGGGGTATAAGACAATGGGGGAGGTAAAGAAGATGGTTGCTCAGACACTGGATAAGAGTCTAAATAAACCGGATGTTAGGTATGGTATTCGTGGGGCTTACGATGTTTTTGGGTAGGAATTAGGACATGTGTTAATGTTTTGCTTGTAGGGAGCATCTTGCTAAGAATGTCGATATTTGGATGCGCCTCGAGAAGATATTCCATATTGCGGTACCACATCTTAACCAGAGATCCCTCCGCGAGTCCGTTACCGAATCAGGTGTTCCGAATGGCCTCGATGTCCCGGAGTCTGCGACGCTGATACTGAAGAATTATGATATTTTACGGGAGGATTTACATTATTTGAACAACCTGTTGGTGATTAGTAGGAATATGCTGGCGATTAAGGAAACGGCACAGGAGATTTGTGCTGCGGTTTCTTTTGACAAGGCTATTCACCAACTCATAATCTTGTGTGTTAATGTGACGAGTAAAGGGTATGATGGGGAAAATGTTACGAATGATGATCGGGCGAGATTGTTGGAGATCACGGAACTCTGTGCGTTTTATTATAGATTGCTACCGTCTCTTACAATCACTAACTATTGCCAGACAAGAAATTACTGGTCACCTGTCTTCAACACACACATAACTGGACCATGGGGAATGATCGGTTTAAGATGATGTTCTGGTATACAATGCTGTTTGACAACGACCTACGGAACGATGCCAACCAAGAACTTCCATCAGACGATCTAGATGTGGGAAAAGTCCATGACGAAGTCCAAAATTGGTTGAGGCGACACTCCAGCATTGATAGTTTGGCAGCAGACTTACTCGATAAATACGATGCGGAGGTACCTACGGGTCATACAGCAGGCCCTCTGCCCGAATCTCAACCAACGACGGACCGGGATCTTATGGAGGAATCAACTACACCTATATGGAAACCAGAAATTACGGACAAGTACGAGCAAGACCGGTTGTATGCAAGAGTTTCCCACGAAATCGACGTGTGGTGGAAGAGAGTCCGAGATGCAAACTATGATGGCTGGGTTGTGCCTATGGAGACTGTGGAAGGTGCAATGGAGCGAACCAAGTCCTGCAAGGAGAGTGCCATGCATAGGTACATCCTTCGTGGCCAAGAGAATGACCACCAATATGATCATGATGAACAGTATGAACAAAGTCACGATGATGGGCGCGATGGTCACGACGAGGTTGACGATCGTTCTATTCAAGAGGACAATGGAGAAGAAGATGAGGGCGAAGAGGAGGAGGAAGACGATGATGATGATTCATACGTTGAAGGGCCGTTGAGAGGGTTGCTAACCGAGATACCAAATATCCTGGATACGAAACAAATTGAAGCGTTACACATGACGGTGAAAGCCTGCATTGTGGATTCGATGGGTTCTGGGCTTACGCCGGCTGGTGAAAATCTTCAGAAAACAAGATGCAAAATGTTCTTGGCCCTTGATTGTGGCAAGAACTTGTTACGGGAAATGTTAGTCTTCATTGCGGTCTGGGAGCAAACAGATCAACAGTTCATCTTTCAAATCACCGCCCAAATCATCGAATCATTCCATCACAACGCGTTACTGCCGTATGCGTGGAATTCTCTTCGAATCCTCAAGGATATCGTCTCGCCAGCTCAAACCGTTCTTCTACGCCTTATCAACTATATGTTTCGAGCCCGAAAAGACAGCCCCATATATGACGACCTGAAAGACTACAATCGGGACGCCAAACTCATTCATTTCTTGTACAACTTCTTCCGATGCCGCGTTGTACCGGACTGCATAGCTTTAATATGGGCGCAATCGCAAGTGCGATCCGGCAAGACTCATCCAAGCGATTTTCCGGTCGATTTGTGGGATATGGAGAGGGCAAAGGATGGCCTTTCTCAATATCTCGACTTCATTTCCGTTATAGCAGAGATTCACGAGATGCGACATCTTTTGATTGAATGGGAATGTGTCTATGAACTTGTTTCCTTGCTCAAAGCACTTGAAGCTGGCGTTGCACGTAAACCAATAGACGAGCGCAATGTTCCTGGACCAAGTCGACGACCAGGTAGATCCAACTCCCCAGGATCAACACCAAACGTCGAACGTCCTTATGATGATCAAAGCCACTCTCAACCTCCTACTAATCTCCCACCAATGCACGATACCCCTCACAAATTCCCTTGGTCCGGTGTCAAAATCCAAATCCTCATTATTCTCACCTCGCTCATTGCACCTACCAACGCCCGTCGAAACGGACCTGGAAACCCGATCGTGCAACGTCAACTCCTGGATCGAGGCGGCATCATGCCTCTCCTCAATTGCTGCGTGTACGACGGACACAACGAGTATCTCAAAGAACGAGCCACGCTGGCCATCAAGTTCGTCATGGAGGGATCCGAGGAAGCGCAGAAGTTCGTGAGGGATTTGGTGCCGGTCAAACAGGCCCAAGCTGCCCGAGCTCAACAGAGCATCGATGGAAGACCTAAGTCCGCTAGTCTTTCTAATGTTGCGGGGAATAAGTGGGAGGGGAATAGGGGTCCCGCGGCGAAGGGGGCGGAGAGTGCGGAGGCTATGGCGGAGAAGTTGGCGAGGCAGGTTGCTAGTGTGAAGTTGGAGCTTGATGGGAAGGCGGGGAGGGAGAGGGAGGCTTCGAGGGAGAAAGAGAGGGAGAAAGAGAAGGGGAAGGAGAAGGAGAATGTGAATATTTCTGGGGGAGGTGGGAAGGGTAAGGGGAAGGGGAAGAAATGAAATAGGGTGTTTCGAGAATCGGGAGTCTGGAGGTGTGTATATAAGGATGATTGGTTTTATGGTTGGTTGGTGGAGTATTTTGCTTTTTCTTTTTCTGTGTTAGCTAGATGGTAGATAGACGGACGGGCAGACAGACCGATGGAAGAAGGGTTTGTATCATTTCCTTATCTGTCTGTCTGGCTTGTTACCTTTGCATTTTTAATGAGATGATACCCCACACTCTTACTCGATGGGATGGTTTTGCTTTGCTTTGGTTCTACTTATGGAGTAGTGGTCGAAGGAAAAAAAGGAATTTGGAGTATGGAATTAGATATACTTGTTTTATAAGGATGTTTTCTTTGCTAAATTACTCAGCGCGTAGGGGAAAGTTTTGTCGGACTACAAGTACGAGTAGATAGTTTGCAAGTTGATAGGGGTTGTGGTGTATGATGTAGAGGGAGGAAGGAAGGGGGGGTAGGGAGGGAAAGGGAAAGGGAGAGGGAAGGCAAAGGTTGTTTTTTTCATGATGATATCTTGATTGGTTGCTTGGGTGCTGGTAGAGAGAGTGGTATGGTATAGAGTAGTATAATAATGTCTTTTTAGGTTTTATAGGGATATAGTAGGGAAGGTTCTTAGGGTACTACTTCTGAAAATTAAATCAAGCGCTTGGAGTAATAGGATTCTGCTTTTAGTATGTTGGTTGGTTGGGTATATCATCTTGGAAATCTTGCGTTTTGATTTTTCTTTTAAGTTAATATGAAAGATCTGATATAGGAGGACTCGCTGGTTCTTGTTAATTTGTAAGGTCTTAGACCTCTGGCGCCTGGGCTGTAGTTGTACTGTACTACGGTAACTACTGTGTTGGGGTGCTATGATACTGTGGATTCGCTGCATTCTGGTTCTTGGGAAGTTTTGGGGAGATGAGGAAGCTGATTTGATCTCAGATTTAATGCATTCATGGAGAGATTCTATCTCAAGTCTAAATGAATCCAAAGTTTCCTTTTAGGAATCATTTTGAACCTACCCCCTTCATCTACAGCCCAACCTTCTTACCACCCACCAAATGACCAGGAACATAGGGATACACCCCCTTAAAATACTCCGCAATCTCCTGTCTGGTCGTAACCCACACCTCGCCCTCGAAAGCCGCTTGCGACTTGATGTACAACATGAAGTTCCTCAGGGCCTCGGATCGGCCTGGTTTGCCGATAATTCGTGTGTGCAGTGGGATGTTCATGAGTTTTGGCGAACCCGATCGGCCTTCGCGGAGGAGCATGTCGAAGGTGGATTTGAGGTAGTTGAGATACATTTGGGAACCTACGAAGCCGGGGGACATGTGGAATTTTCCGTCTTTGGGGGTGTTAGTAAGAGGGAGATTTGTGGGTAGGGATTTAGTAGAGTATAAAGTCTTAGTAGGTATCTAGCGAACTATAAAAGAGTATATATCTAAATTTAAGATAACTTATATATAAAAGATAGTATATAACGTACTTCATAAGGAGTCCGGATTTATAAGCAGTCCGGATTTTTTACCCCACCATCCAACTTTTAAAACCATAGAACTTTAACCACTTAATATTTATTTATATAAACTATACTATCTTTATTATTCTCGATCTGGGCACCTAGGAGCAGTATGCGCTAGTGATCTACATATACTACAGGTTCGTGGTGCACGAATTCGTGGTTCAATTAGCGGGGCCACAGCTTCATCCAAAACCATATTATCACTATTTTGAATAAGTTCCCTCCCTTCCTGATCTGTAAGAACACCCCCAGTAGCAATATATTGACGTCGCACAGTCTTCTTCTTCTTTTGACGTTCAGATTCAGCTCGTAAATCTCCCTTCCTGACCTGTAAGAACACCCCCAGTAGCAATATATTGACGTCGCACAGTCTTCTTCTTCTTTTGACGTTCAGACTCAGCTCGTAAACGTCGATTTTCCTCTGCCAAAACCGTAGCTGATTGCATAGCCATCTTACACCCTTTAACCAATTGATCTAATGCAATAGCAGTAGGGCTTGAGAGAACGTTTGTACGTCGTTTAATAGATGCTTTAATTGTCTGGGTTTGCTGATCTGCCTCATATGTATTATGGGGTGTCTCAGGGACCCAAGGTAGTAGGTTTGGAGAAAGTAAAGGAGGAGTAGGCGTATGTAATTGAGTATGTAATTTACTCAATACTTGATCTGGGTTGTACGGGACAAGGCCAGTAGTTGCGAATCCATTACAGATTGTGTTTTTGACCATAGTACTTGTACGGGCTACACGATATATTGAAAGGAAGTCTGGTTTATCGATATGATATGTGCCGGCTCGTACTAGCTCCTCGACTCCTCGTCCATAAAGTCGCTTTAAAACTGCAAAGCAACTAACATCTAATGGCTGTAAAAGATGAGATGAGTGCGGTGGCATACAAAGCGTTATGATGTTATGTTCTGAACAGAAAAGATCGAATTCGGGAGTAGAATGACTACCATGGCCATCGAGGATTAAAAGTCGATATACTCCTTTTACACGGTCCTTGGTATATTTCTCAAATACGTCTGAAAGCCACTTAAGACCTAAGGAATCATTGGTCCACCCTTTATCACTAAGTGCAATTGTCCAATCTGCTGGTAATTGATCTGTATACCAAGTCGATATATGCACCTTGCCCTCAAATATAACCATTGGAGGCAACACCCATCCATCTGCACAAATTGATTCGACAACTGTAACCCATTCGCGATTCCCTGGTTGTATATGAATAGCCCGTCCTGTATATTCTGACCCTGTAACAACTTTTGCGGTCGCAATTACTCCCATCTGAAAGCCAGTCTCGTCGAAATTGTATATATCCTCCGCTAGTATACCATATTTCGCAACAATATTATGTACTAATCGAAACCAATCTCGGATAATCGTAGGATCCTCGCATTTTGCGCGCTTATAGTCGTATTTACGAGTGTATTTCGTCCGTAAAGAGTCGTGGCGCTTTATAAAGTTGTCAACCCAGCATTTTCCGACAATAATTCGACCTACTTCAGTTCGCTTTTCCAGTAGTAAATCGGCCATTTGGCGTATCGAATCTTTCCGTACTGGCAGACCTCTAGCTTCCATTGATAACATCCATTGTATAAGTGCTGATTCCTCGAGGTCGGTGAGTTTCTGGTTTCGGGGTCGGAAATCGCGTTGTGGAATAGCTCCCTTGACGCGGTCGTAAGTAGTAGAATATGGCGCATCGTACCTTGTACAAGCTGCTTTTAAGCTTGTAAATTGACCCTTATTGTATGCACTGATTGCAAGAGCAATTTGACCTTCTTTTCGAGACATTTGAACAATAATTGGGTAAGTTATGTAGATTGAAAGTGTGTAGGGTGGTCAATGGTGGGGTAAAAAATCCGGACTGCTTATAAATCCGGACTCCTTATGAAGTACGTTATAAAGGAATTAGAGCCTATTCTAGTACCGACTATTTATAAACTATATACTAAGAGAATAGAATATAAAGGCACTATTTCTAAAGAAGAAGAAGTAGTAGAGAAGGAGAATAATATAGAGGTTATAGGAGACGCTAAGCTAAGAGATACTATTATAAAGGGTAGTAGTTAATTTAATTAATTAATTATATTATTATATTAACATTACGCTACTATACTAAGTCTATAGTATTTAATATTAAAAATTTACTAAAGTAGTTGAGCGTTACTAAAGAGCTACGAATTTCGTGTTCTAAAGTAGCTCCGAGAGGCTTAGAGAGCCTCCTAAACGAAAAGTATAGAGATTATTTCAACGTTAAATAAACCTTATTATATTAATAAAATATAGCGAATATAATAAGATAGTATCTACGAACTACTATAATAACCCCTAGTATCCTAATGATGTTATATTATTTAAATAGAGGAAGTAATATTAGAAGGATCTACCTTTATTATTTATATATAGTTTAATTTATTTACTAGCTAATTTTATAACTAATTTCTTTCATATTTATAAAACGGATTAATTATACTTACGTACCTCCTAAACGTCTTAAACTACTAATATAGAGATATAAATATTAGTATAAGATAATAGATACTAGCGTAGAAAAGATTAGAATAGCTCCTATAATTATAGTACTATCTGTCACGGATGCCAACAAAGGATAAAGTGTATACAGCTTTTGAATCAATTGCTAGAACTAAAACCGTAGGTACGAAGAAATCAAACTAAAGAGAGAAGAGAATCTGAAAGGAGCGAAGTTATTTAACTTGTTCCAATGCCAAGTCTAGTCACGTGCTTGGCCAAGCGAATGAAATCCTGTCAAATGAAATCCAGCTCCGTCACACTATCTAGTAGTATATCTAGTTCTAATAGTATCTTCTATAAATAGCTTAAAATAATAACTCTTTATTTTAACCTAATTTATAAATACCTTAGCCTAGGCGTCGGTACATTAGTTTTAGTAAAAGAGTTAAAGACTCTTCGAACCTAAGGATTTAATACCTATAGTAATCTATAGAATAGATACGTATCTTAGAGAGTTTATAGAAGTACTAAGTAGATAGTACTAGGTTCCTTAGATTAGCGTAGGATCTAGAGGCTTATATAAATTATTATCTAATTAACCCTATAAAAGTAATTCTTAAAGTAGCCTTAAGCTCTTTACCTTATATCCTCTCCCTATCCTATCTTTTATACTTAATCCTTTAAAAAACCCTTAAATCCGCTATAGGATAAACCTTTATATTTATATTTATAGTAATAATAAATTAAGGTTTTAAGGTCCTTAAACGTCTCTTCGATTAGATTAAACTAAGGGTAATATGGTAGAAAATACTAAATAGTAACGCTACGTCTAGTATATATCTCGATTACCCTTCTACTTATTATAAAGTAGTAGTATCTTATACTCTAGTTAGTCCTTAAATATCTCTATAGTTATTACTCCTTAAAAGATTATAGGTTTAATCTATCTATTAACTATATATATTAGTAAAATACTCTAAATATACAATCTCTTTAAATACTACTTCGAATCTACCCTTACTCTAATTAGAGCCTACCTATATTATTATTAACCTATTACTTTATTTAAGGCTGATTCGTTAAGGAATATAAGACGTTTAGAATCCTATTTAGATAATTTATCCCTCTAAGCTTATATTAACTTAATCTCTTACTAACTAGCGGAATAATATAGTTTTTTATACGTCTATCCTATCTCCTTATATATATAACTTATCTAGTACTTTAATAGCTTTATATCGAATATATTGAATATATAATCCGCTATCTTGTTTACTATTAATTCGTTGTTTTAAGATAGGAGCTAAGATACCTATACTTTTATACTTCTATTCTAAGTAGAATAACGACCTAGTTTAGCTTTAACTTAAGGATATAAAGTAAGAGCCGCCTCTTCTTCTATCTTAGCTTCGATATTACAAACGGATACATTACTATATTTAAAGTAGAAGGTAATATTACTATAATCGAGCTTCTTAGAACAAGGGCGATATTAACGAATGGCGGATTTTATTATAGATTGTCGAATAGCTTTAATTTAAGGGGCTATAATTACTTTAAACTTTAAGTAATATAGATAGAATATATATCTTTTAGTAGTAGTTTAGGAAATAACGATTTTACAAAATTTCGCGCTAGCGTTCTTTTTTAGTAGTTAGGCTACTAAAAAAGCACGGTGTAACGAATACTCAAACTGGCTAACTAAACTTGGCTGGGTGTTCGCTGGTTGGTATGCTATGATAAGAAGAAGACTATCGGGTTGTTCACTTGGAAGTGAACTCGTTACTTGTATCAAAGATGTCAAACTAATATGATAAGATTGATAACTAAGTTGAGCACGAAGCTCCTATCTAATGGCAGACATGCCAGTCTTATATAGAACCTTCGTTCTCTGAATATCGCTGTCCCTGACTGTCGCGCTGCGACAGCTCGCTTGCGCGCGCTGTCGCGCTTTCATCACGTGACTATGAATACTAAGAAATCCCTGGATCGCTTAGCTAGTCTAAGGATCCCTATTTGCTATAAGGTCTTTCTGATGTGCTTGTCCTTTCAGGGCGCCGCCTGGACTTCACTTGTCCCGTGCTAACACGTGATTCGTGACACACGGATTACAGAAAATCCCGGAAAATTAAGCTTAATTGGTAACTCACTGTGACCCTTCAAATATTTTTCTTTTGTACAAATCTCCGTACAAATCTTTCTATTCTCCTACCGTATACTGCCCCCCTTCCCCTATACTTTCCCTCTACACTGCCCCTTATACTGTCCCCTATACTGACAGAAAGTAACACTCGGCTAATTTATAGTTGTAAAGCGTAGGAGCAAAAACAGCGCCTAGGGAAGGGGGGTAAGGTGAAATTGTAGGAGGGATACTTAAGGGGTAACACTATAGAAGGGCGGGGGGTAATCTTACAGATACATCAGATTTGTACCTGAAATAAACAAAACCTTTGCAGCTGCCAAACAGTGGTGCACTTGTTTCGTCAGAATAGTCTGATCTGCATGCAAATCAGGAAACTTTTGCATGCGTCCTTGGGTCCTCCAGCCCGTGCAAATCTTAGACTTTTGCACCCAATTTGCATGGAGTGATTTGCTTAGCCAAACATGCCCTTAGCGATTTCCTCGAACTTTAGTACTTTCCCGCAGACACTTCGCACATCGTTGATAGCCGCAATTGAATTCTGCGCAAAAGTCGGTATATTGAGAATACCCATGAGAGCTACCGCATGCATCCTAGTAAAAAGTTTTAGTAGATATAGCTGGGAGAGAAAATATTTGCTTACGCAGAACCAAAACCATTCGACTTCTTCGTTCAGGGCAGGTGTCCTCTCCGGGTTTGAATCATCATTCTGACTTAAGTCACTTAAGAAATCGAGTCCGCAATCAGCACACAAAGTTCCAGGTCCGCCGGGTCCATCAGAAAACAGAAGGCCCGGTTTGCTACAGGATCCACATCTTCTAATTGTCGTAACACGAACCCTACGGAACATTGCTATATCTGCTTCATCGCTTTCCTCACGCTTCCTTTTGGTTCCTTGGACAGAATTTTGCAAACTTACATCACCAGCTGATGGTATTGCTTGGGAAGACTGGCTTTCGTTTTCTTCCAAGCTCTTATTTTGATTATTCTCCTGATAATCCTCCTCGGCCAGGTGCCGGAAGGTCATACCACAGGATGTGCTATGCAACAGTCAGTCTACAAATTGTTCTCGGTCGGCTTAGATCTAACAAACCATTCAGCTTCCTCATTGGGTAGGCCTGGGGAATTTCTCAGACAATGAGGGCACTGACAGCCCCTCATCTTGGGATTGAAGAACTTCGTAAATACCATACTCATTTCGACCCTTTGGCCGGGCAAGAAACACACATCCCATTCCTTGTTGAGATCAATGTCTCGTTTCGTGGAGGCGTCCTGAATAGCAAATTTTCCTTGTTGGATCATGGGAGCACAATTTTCGATTTTTTGGAAGTTGATTTTTAAGACGGCCTTCAGTGCCTGTATTTATCTATTAGCGGGATAACACATGGCCAAGAGCTGATGAAGAAACAGACTTCAGCAGATCGGACAAATTCCAAGTGAAAGGGTGCTGCCTTGCCGAGGGCGTCGATAAGATATACTGGCTGTTGTCGCTCGACTTGATATGGTAAACTAAGTACTGACTTTTGAATACTTAATACGATTTGGAATGCCTTCACACTTGTACTTCTAGAGAATGTTTAGCACTGGCGTTGGTAGACAAAAGAAGTACTAAGAAGTTATACAAGACTTCGGCTACCATATTCAGAAGCTTCTTTGATTCCTGAACCGCGCGTAAAAACAATTAGTAACCGTCTCAAGGTTAACAAAGATATGGTATAGTACTCAGAGGTTGCAGTTGTAGCAGCAGAGAAGCCTTGCATGCATGCAAAGTATAAGTCCTGTATCTTTCCAGCCAGAGATTGATCACGCTGACTTTGATGCCCTCTTTGAATCGACATATTATTCCTACCACAAATTAGCTTGAAGGGGTCTGATCTTGATCAGTTTCGTGCTCAGGTGTATGGATAACGTACAGCTGTAGGGTATTGAGAAGCAGCTGAATTGATGCCGTATGAGCGGACAGGTTAGACTTGAATTTCACCAAGTCATCTTTTCTGCATGTTGCCCATTTGACTCTTCTCCAGCTATCCTTGACCAACGAGCCAGAGCCACCCTCTCTCAGGTGTGGCTGGTACTTTTGTATTGTTATCCAAAATTCGTCAACGGCTCGATGGCAATATGACGCAGCTTGCCACAATGCTACTGCCTCGGCATGCTGAGCGCCATCAAATTTGATGTTTTTGACCTGAATTAGAGCAGACTGGAGCGAGTAAAGCTGTCGAATTAGTTCTTGGTACGCGAGGCTCGCGTCTGGGGCGTCTTTGAGGCAGTTTATGATAGTCCCGATGAGTCTAATACCCGCGATAAAATCACCGGCGGAAAATCCAAAACCCACCGGCATCATGGCAAGTGGGAATCTTTGGTTGAAATGAGATGAAATTGAGATGATTCAAGAGCTGTCTATTGTCATTTTCTCTCTTTTTTTACCACAGGACTGTGAAGCTAGCTGTGCATGCAGCTGTAGATTGCCTAGACAGCCTTAGTAATACATCTCCTATGGTGATGTTGTAAGCGAGCAGGGGGTCGGTTGGCTCTGCGCGCTCAGGTAGATTGGGTGTGTTGTACTGTACTGTGATTGACTGTTCAAGAAAATAACTAGTAGTTTTAGCGCTAGGCATCGGCAACGAATTAGCCAGTCATATGTTGCGTAAAGTTCAGCGTTCATTTCATAGAATTTTCAAATTGTTTGTTTTATATCTTTATTTAATCAGGGTTTCGTGAACTAATTTATGAATGGTTATATAATTTTTGCGGAAGCAGAGCTTCGAAAGTCCAGGCCTACTTTACTCCTAATACCTGCTCCTTTTTATTTCAGCAACCCTTTAGTTAGAATATAGAGGTTAGTTCGGGTACAAGTATAGCCGTTTTAAAGAGGACCTAAATCAATTCTTAAGCTTAGTAGTTCCTAGGATTTAATTCCCTCCAAGCCCTCTATGCTATTACATGTTTATATCTAAGAACTTTCTAGAATTTCCAGTTATTTTTAGTGTTCAATTCATATATTTCCTGAATTTTTAGCGTCTTTCACAAGAAAATCGCACGTTCGCCGTTTTTTGCCGAACCCTATTTAGCGCCCAGTACCTGGAAAAGTGCTCAAAATCTAAGGATACGTTATTGGTGCTGTCATAGAATAATGATTTATACAATATGGTTCTTGCCAGGGGTCTTTTCATTGAGGATGGATTGTGTGGAAGTACGGAGTACTGGTGTTGACTGGGCTCAAAAGTGCTCGCGCCGATATGGTGCCGGAGTCGGAGTCGGAGCCGATAATTTGCCGAGAACGTCCACTTCCAGTACCCGTACACCCCGTATGACCCCTCCATTCATGGCCCAAGCTGTGCTCTAGCATTCAGCATATTTCTACGTCAGTTCTTTATCTTCGGCCTGTTATTCACCTGCGCCCCTCGTTACCCCTTCCATACCTTTTCTTCTGCCTCAACTCCAATCCAACACAACTACTGCTATCTACGGTACCAGCCAAAACTTCCGGAAGACGAAAACCAGTTTATCTGCCACAATGTCGCGCCATCAAATAGTCAAGAACCTCGACCTGGACGATGAGCTGGACGATTACGATGGAGGCGATGACTATGGATATGACGGAGCAGGAGAAGGTATGCTATCAATTGAAAAGAGTCAATATTCAAAGCTAACTCTCGTAGGCATCAGCGAAGAAGATCAAGGTCTCAACTCTCCATTCTACCCCGCGATACCCACACGCGTTACTCACACATAATCTTATGGCAGAACAACTTCGACAGTGCACAATAATAGTCCGCGAAGCTTTACCACAAGGTGGGAATATCACCGACAAACAGATCCAAGACTCATTATGGTATTATTACTACGATATTGAGAAGACGGTCACGTATTTGGTCAAGACATATTTAGAGCCACCGAAGGAGAAGAAAACTCCAGGGGGAGGAAAGAAAACAAAAGGTGGGTCCTTTTTCACTCTGTCATTCCAGCGGACTGGAACATAGGCTTGTGGCAGAAAATGGGTTATTTCGTGGTGGGTATGCTCTTTTGTTCTTATACTTTGCGACATCAGGTGGGTAGAGCCAATTCTGACCAGCTTTAAGACAATATTGAAGGAAGCGATGGATCAAAACCATGCTCAGGGACCTTTTCCTTCGTAAAATTCTTTGAAGACTCTCCCTGGCTCAAGGTCCCTTCCGAACGGCAAACAATATTCATCGCCCCTCTTTATCCTCGTGGTGGACTGTTGGGGGGTTCTTCAGATGGAGCACCAAAAATGTCAAAATTACAAGCTCTGGCAGCTGCAAGAAAGAAGAAGAAGGCAGAAGAGCAAATGTCTCAAGGAATTGCTGATGTAGAAAAACCGATGGCAAGCCTTCAAATCAATGAGCAAGTTAGCACGACAAATCCTACCGTCGCAAGTACCTCGAAGATCTCAGTTGGTAAACCATTTTCCCGAGGATTACCGTTGCGAAAACGAAAAGATTCCAACGAGCATGAGAAAGCACCCAAGGCTTCCCAACCAAAGAAAGAACATCGCCTCAGCCAACCAGAGCTTCCACAGGAAATACCTATGGTAGACCAAGCTGAGCCATCTGCTTTTGCCAATACCATGTTCAGTAGCCCATCTCAAGTCACTCGACCGCGCCAGGATAACCTGTTTACTCTTCATCTTGCTTTGGATACGACCTCTACAACAGCTAATCCTTTTGCAGGACCTAGCCCAGATGATATAGTCATAGCGGCACAGTCGAAAGGTTCGACAAAATCTGCACGACCGAAAAATTAAAACTAATAAATTTGAGTAGCTGCTGGTAAGGGAGGTAAAGGTAATCCTAAGACCAATGGAGAGAAGCGAGCAGACCAGATTGCCAGTGGTGTCGAGGCATTGAAGCTTGATAATACTCCAAGAGCGAAAAGCAAGAACTTGGATGTTCTTGCAGAGTTTGAAAAGGCAAAGACCAAAAATGCTGCGAATTTTGTCGTCATTGGTAAGACAATCTTTTTTTCCGAAGATTCATCAACGCTAACTTTTCAGGCCATGTCGATGCGGGGAAAAGCACATTGATGGGACGTTTACTTTATGACCTGAAAGTTGTAGATCAACGAACCATAGATAGATATCGTAAAGAAGCAGAGAAAATGGGCAAATCATCGTTTGCCTTGGCGTGGGTTTTGGATCAAGGAACTGAAGAAAGAGCTCGAGGTGTCACGATCGATATTGCCACCAACAAATTTGAGACGGAAAAGACTTCATTCACAATTCTTGATGCGCCTGGGCATCGAGACTTTATTCCCAACATGATTGCCGGAGCAAGTCAAGCAGATTTTGCTGTACTTGTGATTGATGCCAGTACTGGATCGTTCGAATCTGGTCTTAGAGGACAGACAAAAGAACATGCCCTACTTGTCCGGAGTATGGGTGTGCAGCGGCTAATTGTTGCTGTCAACAAACTTGATACAGTATCCTGGTCTCAAGATCGGTTTACTGAGATTTCGACCCAAGTTTTGGCTTTTTTGACAGCAGCTGGATTTCTGTCGAAAAACATTACGTTCATTCCATGCTCGGGCCTCAAGGGAGATAATATCGCACGACACTCTACAGAGCCTGAAGCATCATGGTATTCTGGCCCAACTCTAGTTGAAGTCTTGGACGACTCGGAACCAGTCGCCCGAGCGCTGTCAAAACCACTACGATTGACGATTGGAGATATTTTTCGTGGTGGAGTACAGAATCCCCTCTCGATATCAGGACGAATCGAGTCTGGCTCATTGCAGATGGGAGATGCTCTGCTCGCTCAACCATCTTCAGAAAAGTGTTATGTCAAATCACTGGAAATTGACGAGCCGGTAGATTGGGCAGTAGCAGGACAGAACGTTACTGTGCATCTATCAGGAATCGAAGAACAATACTTGAAAATCGGAGACGTTCTCTGTACTCCCGTGAATCCAATCCAAAACATCAAGCAATTCACAGCAAAGGTTTTGGCTTTCGAATTCATCACGCCTATGCAAATTGATGTGCATCGAGGCCGGCTTCATACCGCGGGGAGGATCAAGGAGATTGTTGCGGTGCTGGATAAACATACTGGTGCGGTGTCTGGGAAGAAGAGGCCGAGGATTGTGAAACCTGGGATGATTGCTAGGATTGTGGTGGAGCTGGATTTGTCGGTTCCGTTGGAGGCGCCTGGGAGAGTCGTGCTGAGGAGTGATGGGCAGACTGTTGCTGCGGGGTTGTTGGAGTGAGGAATGGGTGTGGTGGATGGTGGATGGGTATAGATAGATACATAATACATTGAACGTGGGGGAGTGGAGGGAAATAAGTGGGGTCTTTTTCTTATTTGAATTGTTCTTAACTTGCTATTTTGAGGAGTTTCTGGTTCTTTGATGCAGGGTAGTTAAGTGCCTGGCATTGATGACTTTCCCTCTCTGTTGTGTGGTATTGAGTGGTTGTCGATTTCTGTTTGTGATATCAGATAAATTATAGATACGGAGACCTATAGAATGGTTCTGTAAGTTTGTTGAACTTGTGGTTTTCTTCCTCCTTTGATTTCATGTCTTGAACCGTGGACTTTATAGCGTACCCTCAAGACTGCAGGAGGAAAAAGCCTATGCCGTAGACTATTTTAATATATTCACTAATTCCCCGGATTAAATGGTTATGAAACTCGGTGCTCTAGAGGCGGGCTGTTTGTTTTTCTTTGAGGAATTGAATTAAAGGGTTGTTGGGAGTTAGGCTTTAGGATTTGGGGTGTAGGTGTATGGGTATGAGGGTGTGATAGAGGGGTGTTTGTTGATTTTTATTGTGTTTGCGATAGGTAGTAATAATCTTCTCGGTCGCTTATTGAGTTGGTGTTTTCGTATTTGTAGAATATGTGTAGCTCTTTTTGATAAGCTTTTTCTTTTGGTTGGTTAGTTAGTTGGTTCCCTTATCGTCCATACGATTTTGGTCGCTAAGGGATTTTATTGTGTTTTTGCTAGATTAGGGGGTACTGGATTTGTTAGTTTGGTTTCTGGGTTTGTTGTAATTGTAATGATATTTAGAAAAAGTAACTCGAGGAGTCGAGGGTGTGTTTTACTTTCTTTTCTTGGAATGTAAGATTGGGTGGGGGTTACATTTGCGGTTTCTGGTGTGTTTGTCCTTTGTTTATTTTAAGTACCTGTTACGAAGATTAGGAATTATATTAATATTCTCGTTATTAGTAATAGGACGTGTAGCTTAGATGAACAGTAAAATTTATTATTTTACATTTAGTATTAAGTTAGTTTAATATTATTGTATTATACAAATTACCGTAATTTTCATTGCTTCCTATGTTCTACCTAGACTTCTCATTCCTACTCGAGGTCCTTCCTTTACTTTCATAATCAGCTGATCCCCTACAGTAATATCCTCGGGAAACCGGAGTTCCTTCCTTACCCCACCTCCGTTGTGGAGATAGTACCCCTCATTCCCCTCGCAAATCCAATCAAAACACTTATCCAAGAAAACCCTACGCACCGAAGTGGATCTCTACTCGAGTGATTCACCCACAAAATTCTTTCCCTACATATTTTTGAATAAGCATCTCGAACTCAACGAAAAATCCAACAACAACATCCCTCGTGGCGCAATTGGCTAGCGCGTTCGACTGTTAATCTTGCACTAGCGGCAGATCTCGTGATCGAGAGGTTCGTGGTTCGACCCCACGCGAGGGAGCTCTCTATTGTTTTTGAGTATCTTTCATATTGAGCTTCCCTTCAACCCTTTTTGACGCTCTGGGGGAGGTGGTTACTACAATAAAAGTTGTAGAAGTTAAGTCATGGTATGGTCCGCACGTCCCTTCTCGCCCACCCGAGGGAGATACTCCTTCATTTTACCTTTTATTTGCACTACCTCAACTTGGAGGGGGTTTTGGGATGTATTTATTTGTGGTTTTGGGGAGATTTTTTGAGGGTGGTGTTAAGCGGGGGTTTCTTGGTGGAACTTCGGGGAATTCTTGGGGAGTACGGGGTTTGTATTAGTAAGCTGTGGTTTTAGATAGAAGAAGTAGTAAGAGTAAGTTCGGGAAGTTAGAAGGTTATTTTATTTAGTGTTTTTTTAGAGGGTTCTTTACGTGTAGTTATCGTAAGCGAAATTGCTCGAAAAGTAGGAGATTTCATTTAGCAAGGGAGAAAGAAGTTCTTTCACTTATTATTTTTTAAAAGACTTTCCATATACTACGAGTTCATCTACGTAGAAAAGCTTTAGAGAAATATACGTTTAGTATAAAAACTCTGCTCGGATACAGATAGCCGAGACATGCCACGTGACTAAACACGACCTAATTTTCTATAATAGATTTAATTTAGTTTTATTTTCTTTCTTTCTTTCTTTCTAACTATCTAACTATTTTAAGAGATTATATTAACTTAAGTATAGTTAGTTAGGAACTAAGTTATATAATAACTTATAATATTTCTAGCTAGAGTATTATATAAAATAATTTGAATAAATTCGCTAACTATGTAAAGTTACGAGAATTACTAGTATAATCTCGTGACTCGTCGAAAATAATTCGAAAAAGTCTTTCCTTACTTATATTAATGGGAATTCACGTCAAGCCTTAGGTCGTAGTTACCGCTCTAAATAGGCAAGGCTTTATGAGGATTACTACATCGAGCTTATATAGTGACAGATACAAAATCAAGCGATTAATACACCGTTCCTTGAATCTTGATTAAATCATAACATTCGTTACTCGTAAAACTACAAAACAAGGTACAAAACCAAAAACGCCTGAACCCAGGGTATATATAAACTTCCACCTGCAGTATGTACACCAATATTTCTGCGAAAGGACCATGGCTCTAACCTTTTTTCATGAACATTCAGCACAGCTGAAAGAATTCTAGAAACCCCATCCAAACTCCTGGATGTCTTCTGGAAAGCATGCTAACCGCTCCTTAGCAATAGATTTTTCTAACCTCGTCTAGAGGGAAAGTGATGAGGTTGTTGCTGGCGAGGTTCTTGTTTGTACACTTTCGTTGTCCATACTTCGAGGGTTTTGCACTAAGAACTCCATGGATGATTTACAGTATGTCGTTATTGTCGAACCATGTAGAAAGAAAACCAACGGGTCAAACAAAGTTCTTTGAACAAGGGATCTCAGATCAAAAGTTCCTTCAAGGAAACGTCGTGGAGGCGTGGAAGTATAGAGTCCAGCTCAAGTCGAGAACCCTTTTTTACAAGCTATATATTCCAGGCATCACCTCAGTAGAAGCGGTGGTAAAGGTCGGTCATTTTGCACGTAAGTGGTTCCAGAAAACGTTGTGAATAGGGTTGTGCGATCAGTTGCCGTTGCATCTTGCTCCCTTTCCTGCTCTTGGCCAGCTGAGTGCGTCTCACAGGTACCCAGCACCGTATTAGATAGATTGACCCCTAGCATCGGAAGAAGAGGCAGTTCCTTGGTGTAAGGGGGCAAGGTACTGAACTCTCGCAATGGAGGAACTTGGTGATTTTGGTGATTTTCAGCTGGAGGAGATTTCGCTTTGTCGAGTAAGTCTGTAGCTCTCAAAAGTCGAGGATGGTTGATATCGGATATGTCTAACCCCCCCAGCTTCTCAACATCCCTCCAGAGTGGTACATCATCCGTAGCGCATTGATGCCAGCCCTCATACCCTGCTCCATCATAGGCCATGCGTTGTAGTTGCAGATAACCATCGGATGTCCAAGAAACACGAGCGAGTGGATTTCCAAACACAATCTGTTGTATTTTCCCTCCAATGACATGGATGTAGACACTGATAACAATCAACATGGTTGAAAGCACCAAAATAAGAATAACGCCAATAAGGCTAAAGTTTTGGTACCCATCCATAATATGCACTATTTGACTTGAATAAATAACCTTATCTGATGCAGTTGTATTTAAACTGATGAATCCTTCACCCCCAGCTTCCTGAACATCGCTTCGTCCTCTTTCACGCTCGACTGACAGATTTCCACGTGGTTTGATTACCCCAGGAGGGTAGCGATGACTTGATTTGTCTGTGACCATTTGCACAAAATTGATCTGTAGACTTGCTAGTGAGGCAGAAAACCAGTAGTCAAATTCGTTTTCCCACTTCAATTCCCTCTCATTTCCGACTTGAACAACATTTCTGCCCAACGAGTATGACATCGCATGTGCTTTAAGAGCAGATTCACCCTGGCTGCTCACCGTGTTATGAATGCCTGACTCTTGCAAAAAGTGATTGAGAATTCGCGCTGTTGCTTTCTGGAGGCGGTTGAGTCTGAGTTTGGACGCTTCATTTGGCATAGCGGCAGCTGACGCAAGAGGGGTACATTTTCCTTGCCCGTCGCGATGGTTTGGGTTACATATCTGATATTGGTCTATGCATCCAATGCTCGAAACCGGGTCTCTGGGGCGGAAGACTGGTTGTTTGTCTGTTCTGTCTCCGGTGAAGGTTATGCTCTTATCCGATAACACCGTCGCAGAAAACAATGGGTCGCTGATATCATTACTGTATAAAACTCCACTCGTAGAGAGAATGAAGACGACTGTATCAGTGTCGCTGCGGTTGAAATCAGAAATGGGTGTCCAATCAGATCGTTGTTTTTTTTCATCTTCTTCAGATTTCCCAACTTCAGAATGGAAGGCCCTAAAATTAAATGTTAGAATTTATACCATACGATAAACACAAGCACTTACTGGAGCCGATAGCCAGGAGAGGTTACTCCATTAGACTTAAAGTACTCATAGGTCAAATCCGTGGATCTATGCTTTGCTGTATTCTTCTTCTTATTTCTTATTCCCTCGCCACCGCGAGCGCCTAAGTAATATTGCCGCACCTCTTCAGTCAGAAATCTGGAGCTTGGCCCTGCCTCCTGGATTGTTTTGTTATAAGTCTCTACATATTTCGAAAGATTGATAGGAGCACACGTCGCCACCTTTTGAAACTGTAATCGGTCTGAGGGCCTCGCATTTACTCCAAGTATCTCAGCCGTATCTATCAAATGGGTTTCCTTCGATTTTGCGGGCCCCAAACAAATTTTTCCCGGAAATGGGCACTGCACTGACTTGTCGGGGTATGTCTTGATCCTCTTCACCTTATATGTGCCACACAAAAGATCCAGGTCTGACTTAAGATCCAGGTCTGACTTATAGCAAGTGTTGGCATACATTGCAGACCACGCATCTATTAGAAGTGCCCTCTTTGCGTTATTGGGAATTGCATAGTCTCTGTACGCCCAGAAACCACAATCGTTCAGCAGGAGAAGGACTTCATGGCTAGCTAACTTGGTGATTTGAGAAGAAAAGATGCTAGCAAGCGAAAATCCCACCGACACCACAAGGGCCACAAAAATATAGCAAAGAGCGCTCCTGAATCGGTAGTGATTGGTCGTGGTTCCATAACGCTCCCGCCAGTTGACGGAGAGTTGGCCAAGTCTCATTGCTGCCGTCAACGCTGACCCCGAATTTCGAAGAACGCCTTGTTGCTGGTAAAATAAGGGATGTTCTGGTGATCGATTATTTCGCGCTTGGTGTATGATATAACTGATGATCGTCCAGAATGATTGGCCTGCGGATTGGATGAGAAGTTCTAAGATGTTTTGTAGGATATCGCCCTGCGACTCCTTTAAAGTGATTGTTGATCCAAGAACAAGATGCTTAGAATAGTTCTGCCAAACGCCAACAAAAACATTTGGTCCTCTCATCATCGGCACGCACTGCGATTACCTTAGTGCCATTGTAATCTGACATGATATCAAGGAGAAGTGGTGGCGGGGGGACAGCCGAAGCATATTCCATGCAGCCACGGAAGGATTTAAACTTATTGGTAGATGGACTGCCAACATCTGAAGATTTCTGTCACGTCTGTTTGATTCACAGATACCATAAAACAATGAATTTTCAGGGATGTCCGGTTTGAACCGTCGTATGCGGGAAAGAACCGGCCTCCTGGAACCGAGTCGGGACTGTCAACAAAAGGCTTGTGGTGGTCGCCACTGAGATGCACACGCATATCAAACGAAGCCGGTACACCTGTGCCACGAATAAGGCCAAAGTCGTATACACAAGAAACAGTAATTGTTATGTAAGGCGCCCAGATTCACGGCATACTTAGTATGGGAGTGCTGGATCAGGCATATGACGGAAAAATATACAGTGTACGCAGCGGACGCGTAATATGGGGTTCTCGTTTTCTTTCTTTCCTCTCAAAGACAGCGCTTCGCAGGGCTCTAGACGTACCTCAGAAACGAACTGCGAGGACAGCGTACTACTTCTGGCTAGAATATCGAGTAACGACTGGTTTTCGGGGAGGTGAAATAAAAAAACGTGACTTTCATGAAACAAGGGACTCAATCCTTCGATCCTTCAGGCAGGAATTGAGGAACCACCAACACCGTGTAAGGCTCCGATGAGATGAAAAGATGGGATGGAGTGATAATGGTGGTGCGGAAAACGATTTTCCCGGTTCTAGAGCCTCCCTGCATTGCGAAGGCGTTTAACGAGTTTTCGCTTCTGCAGCAACGACGCGCTGGACGGTTGCAAACTCTAGAGACTCTCCCGGAGTTGTTATGCTGAGAACGTGACGTCGTGAGCAAGCTATAGTTTTGCTGGTGAATCTACAGAACATAGAAGGAATTGAAGTCGTCATACTTCGTTGGAGTTGTGGTTCAACTCCGGAATCATGAACTCCCTTGTAGGGCAAGTAAGTATCCGACGATAACCGGCGACTGCTCACTGTTCTTGTGTAAGGTCTTGAAGCAGAGCGATTCGTCTCTTTAGAACTAGGGGGCGTCCAGGATGTCTTCCGGTTGACAAAAGAACGTGGCGGTGAACCATCCTCTCGTTGTTCTCACTTTCTTCGATCATATGAATGATTGACTCAAATGGTTTGGGTTTTTCGCTTCAATTGTCCTAGAACTTTCAGTCAAGCATTTGAATTGTTCAAGAAATATTGACTACCTACCCAAGTGGACGAGTCAATACTACTACTCCTCTCCCTGATTTAAATACAATAAGGCTAAGAATGAGATACAAAGAATTTTGCAGTATTAGATGCTCACTGCCAATTTTGCCGTACAAGATCTTTTGGGGGGTGGGGATGGGATGATGGAGTGATGGGGTTATTGAAGGATATATATGTGTGGAGTGCCGAGAGTGACAGGATGACTAGGAGTTGTATTGAGACGGCTGGAAAGCTGATTACTTTGGCCAGGAGCCAGGGTTACATAGCCCAAGAGTAAGCTCCTCCTTTGTTGCAGTACTTGCTGGAATACTGTTGAATGCTTCCATCTGGTCTTGTTCTATGCAGTGGAAACCACTCATCAGACCTACTGACAACAGGGATCAAGAATGCAAGCCGAGATATATGTAAAGAAAAATGAGGAGAATCGTACTCGATAGAAAGCCAAGTGTAATACCAAAACTGTATTACAGCATCTAGCGCGGCCAGAAATAGTGTGGTGCCCTCATATTGTTTATCTATAGTTTCGAAGTTCGGCTACGAGATTTGGCTGTAATATTCGTGAGCATATTAACCTAGACACTTTTGGGCTGGGATCAATATACCTTCCATCAGTTTCTTCTTTTCCACAAATCTCTGCGTTGGTGCTCCATCGACAAACTACTCAATGAGTCAGTAAGGGAAGGCTGACTATGATTATGAAACATACCCTTTCAGCTAGAGCATCCATGCTATTCACAACGGCAATGAGTCTAACACTTCTCTGAGGCTCGTTCTGCAGTCTTTTCATCTCCATCATACTCTTCCCGTCATTAACCTCAAGTTGGTCATTGAGATATTTTCGGACGTGATCATGAAAGCCCTCTACCGAGAATATTTGGTTTACCATCCCCCATTGAAGAAGCTCTTCGGCACTCAACTTTCGTCCAAACATCAGGAACTCATTGGCTGGATGGACTCCCATGCTTTGAGCAAAGATTATTGCCGAGCCATTCTCTGGGACTAGTCCAAGGTCCGAGAATGGTACTTGTAGATAGACCGAAGATGAAGCCAGTACAATATCTGATACACCGGTAAACCAAGCTGCCCCACCTCCAACCGCGGGTCCATTGAGAGCGAGAACAAACACCTTTCGGTGATCAATGATACTGCGGAGCATCTCGAGCGCTAACTTGTATCAGCGACAGTGGGCCGAAAAGCACATAAATAGAAGACTTACCTGGTGCAAATCTTTCCAAAAACGCTACCTTCTTTTCGGCATCGGTTGCATGTTCAACGGTACTTTCAAGACCAGAGCCTACAGGATCATTTTAGTAAACGACATTGAGTGTGTTTCATCATCCATAAACCAAAACCAAAAATTCATATACCCCTAACATCGGCGCCAGATGAGAAAAATCGGCCTTCTCCCGTAAGCACGGTAAATACGGTATCAGGATGCTCGTTCAACTCTCTAAGAGCAGAAATGGCTTCAAGCATCATTTTACCACCGAAGGCATTGAGAATCTTTGGACTGTTGAAATTTTGCGAGCCTCGTTAGCAACCCAATCCTGGAGTATAAAGGGTGATGTTGAGGGATCTTACCTTGATAGTTCCAATTTGACCTTCCACGGTAAGGACGATATCGTTGTAGGTTGAGGTCATTTTGACGGCCTTTAATGCGTGCTTTTGTTTTGCATTAACGGATGAGTTTGAGGTCAGAGTCGCAGTGCAAAATCAGTATTGCAAAGAGTCAATCGAGTCAGTTATTGTGTCATAAGCTCCTGAGCTGTTGACGTAGTGACCCCTTGAGTTGACCGAGGGAATGAAAATAGCCGAGGTTGAGCCTGATAAGTTGATTACTAATCACAATATCACCCACACCAGCCCGGACCTTACAGCCACAACCCAGGAATCTCAAACAAACCTCGCGCAAGTGAAGATTGCGAATGCCCTCAAGTTACAGATACCTACTTGCCAGGTTGCTCGTTGCTGATACATGATCTAACTCTTCTGTCAGGGCGAGTTTGTGGAATGAACGTGCAATGTCTGGAAAATATTACACCTCTCCTGCGAAGGCTCGCCGCTGCGGATATGTAGAGTTCGTTGTCCTCAAAACTACCCTTTCCTACCTGAAGCACCTTAGAAGAGCATTAAATCCTACCGAGCAAGTCTATTCCGCAATACGAATCCATGCAGCGTGGTTGGATTTATTACCAAGGCATAAAATGGTTGAACATATGAATGACTATCATGCCTGCAGACAGTTCGACGATAAAGGACACATTCTCATCCATACCCGTGTACAGAGTGCGCTGGCAAAAACTCATAAGCCAAGTGTACTCGAGGGCCTGCCGTTAAAAATCAGCAAAGCCCGTTGCAGTAAAAATACTGTACTCAAGTACTATCAGTTTGCATGAGGGTTGCATTGCTACCATGTTGTCAACGTTGTGTCATAACCGGTATTTCTGCCGATTCTAGCAACTCCTCTTCATTCGATCATAATCATGACAAGATAAAAGTCTGAAATCTTGCCAGACCATGAATGCTTTATCAAAACCCGAAAACATCCTCATTTTGTGGTCTGATAAAGTGTTCGGCTAACTCATTGGCGCCATGTTTCAGAGATGAATGCAACCGGTTCCCACAATCGTTATACCTAGCATACAGTAGGTTGATTATCCCAGGCCTCCCGTACTGTATACTCTCACCCATGCATTTCGCAGAAGTTTTGGAACATGCGATGCGTAAAGTTTAGGAACTACTTTAGGTGTTTGGCGACAAGCTCAAAACTTCGAAACCTCTTACCCCGCTTCAACCAATCGAATGACAAGAACAGATCCTCTGAACCTTCTTTTAAGCTTAGCAAAGCTCGTGTTTGTCAATAATTCACAATTCCCTTTGCTATGTTTCCAAAAAAGGTCTGACTTCTGATGTATTTATAAAGTGTTTTGTTCTGACTCTCAGTCCTTTGAGACCAGCTACTCACAGTAAGCGGAAGTCCCAACACCTTTTCCGAGAACTAAATGAGGGTTCGTCTCTTAGCATCTTTTTGGCGTCGGCGCTGTGGTATACAGACGCCCTTGCGTTGTTTCCAATATTTTCAGATGGAAAGCGTGAGTGTTTTATTAAGACCCTTGGCCTTCTGAGACCCGATGTTTAATCGAAAGTTCCAATCGAAATACAGTATTACTACAGGTAAACTAACCTTTTATATATCCAAGTTGGTTTCCAAAGATCGGTACATTTAAACCTTTTCCGGAAACAACGCGAGGAGGTCTGTACATACTTCTCTTGATACGCGGTATAAAACATCACCGCAAGTTTACTGTGTGCACAGTCGAGGACAATGGTGCTAATAGCCGGCTCTAGGGTCCTAAAATGGCAGAATTGACTTATGTTTCCCAGAAATCCGCGTGGATAACCTAAACTCGCCAAAAGTTACTTCTCCAGTAGACAAACAGACGAAGCTACGATGACATCCGATCAAGCCATCCTCAAACCACTTTAAAGTTTATGTGTCTTTTGGCCGAGTTGTGCTTCGTCGTTGGAGGATACAGCATCGTTAGCTTAACGGCACACCTTTGTAACGCTCTCGATTAGCTTTCAATCGAGTTCAACCGATGCAGCCTGGTAGTTTTTGTACTCCGAAATGTCTTGGCACCGAGTCTGTCCTATATATGATGATATTCCTTGGCTCACCAGACTTTCTGGTCTTTCCACCTTTGGGATCTTCCTCTCCTTCAGGTGGGCCTCTTGCACCTATTATATCGATCCGAGATGCTGGATTTGGCGGTTGCCATCCCTACCTTAATTGGTAGTTATTTAACGATCATTTCTGCTGTCTTTGTATTATTGTGTTACGCGTTGTTGCCATTCCGATCTCATTTTAGGCATACACTCGTACTCAATCTATTTGCAGCAGGTGGGTTACTTGCTCTCTTGGCTCGGGTGTTGACTAACCCCTCTGTGAAGCCTTTATAGATGGATTGAATAAGACCATCTCTGGGACATATGCATTGCAGAATGGACGTATTCCACCGGGATCACTTTGTACCCTGAACGGGGCTATTGGACATCTAACGGACCAAGTGTGTATCCATTTAATCCAAATATTGAGTCAATTTCTAAATCCAATAGGTAATGGATTTCTCCATACTCGGCATTGCATTCGCAACGTTCTTTGTCATCCGTCGTAGAAGCTATATACCACTCAGCGTATCTCCCGCGCGACGGCTTCTGATATTCATTGCAATATGGAATATACCTGTCATAACGAGTAATAGCATCCTCCCTTTCCAATGTTTCCACCACCTAACAAAGTTAGCTCTCATCGGCATCAAACTTGGAGCGTTCGAACCAACAGACAACAATTGGTGTTGGATCAAGCAATCTTCTACCTCCCTTCGCTACGAGTTAGGTCACGCCTGGCGAATGCTCATTATCTTTACAGTCCTTGTGATCTACTCATACCTATTCTTCTACGTGCACCGTCACTTTGATTATCTCCGTTCGATGCACATCGAATCCAGTTCCGTCACATCATCACGCTGGTCCATCTACTCCGAGGACTCAGTCAACATCCTAGAAGCATTCGAAGAGTTCACAATCTACGACTCCGAAGATCCCATCGTCACAAGCTTCCAAGATAGCTTCCCTCCTAAACCAACAATCAACACCGAATCGAAAAATCTTGCGGCCGACGCAGCAAGTGTCTACTCCCGCACCACCGACGGCACGCCAATAAACCGACCATCAAAACCCGCACCCATCACATCTCCCATCCTCCCCACAAATTTCGACACCCGAGACCCTCAGGCTCTGATCCGCCAACCCATCCCCACGCCCACAACCAACTACCCCACGAAGTCCTCTCTCGACGCACGAGAAGGAAGCACCATCAAGAAAATACTCTTCAACTCCTACCCCATCCCCTACATCATCCTCCTCCTCCCCTATTTATTCTCTCGCGCCGCGGAGGTTCTCCACATCGATCAGCGAAGTGTGAAGATCATGGAGAGCAGCTGGGCGTACGTTGGCGTCGTCAGCGCGGTGGTGTTCATCTTCAACGAAAGGATCTATGCCAGGTTCCAGGAATCGAGGTGGTTGAAGAGAAGCGAGCAGATTAATAAGATTAGTATCAGTTTGCCGGTCTTTGATGATAGGCGGTCGGGATAATATGGAGGTGGTGATGAGACAGCTGCAGGACGGATCGATCGTTATAGTGCTATTAAATTCTTGGGAGCTCGGAGTCGGTCTTGGACTTTGCAAAATGTGTAGCATATGTAATGGTCATTCGTGGCATCCGGCATGCCATGAAACTCGGGCCACATGACTCATGAAATATTATACTCTTTTGGTCTAGGAGATCAATAGCGAATCTTGAACGTGGCCTTGGGGTTGGCGCCAGTCTGTAGGTGTCTCATGAGTAAACACCATGAACGAATTAGAGTAATATAGAAACTCTCGATATTAGAATATAAGTTCTACTAGTGTTCTCAAGGATATTCGCGAGAATATTGTTATACTATAGCGAGGTTCTGTATATAGGCAACAACAAAGTTGCATATCTAATTATTAGAATACATCTTATACGGTAAAAGATAAAAAATACCGCCTAGTTAATTAATAACGACAGAAATACCACCTGTACGCCACTTATTTTTTTGTATATGTTTTACATACCAATCTGATAAAATTGGAACTTGTGGCATATCTGTCGTAAACAGGTGGCATTTCTGTCGCTTAACATTCACTTCCTGTACATCCCAATAGCCTCGAATATAGTGAATTGCTAGCTTAATTGCTAGCGTGAATTCTCGATTTCAAGTAGATCCTACCTAAGTATAGTTTCTACAAATAGTCCTATAAAATATCAACTAATTAATCGTATGTTAACAACCTCAAAGCGCATACAATATGCCACCGAAACGGTATTATGGTTGATTCGATTACGCACGAGGATATCGCTCAGGAGCAAGCGATTGAGGCAAATAAACAAGGAATCGAGTAAATTGAGCAAATTGAGGCTAATAACCTACAGACCTGGGCACGATGACGATATGTTTTAGTTTATCGCGATATATCGCGATAAATTATTCCACAATTCCGATATCGATCGTCTAAAAAGTAATAATATTAATATTTTTTTACCTAAAATTAGTACGTTTTTATAGCCTCTATAGGGGTTTTCATAGGGGGTTTTTAGGAAAAATCTCCAATATAAATAAAGAGGTTAATTATATAACGTAGTCCACAAGCGAGTTGGATTCCAAGCGAAATGGATTTTTTTTCTTGGCACTCCACAAACTTATTCAGAGCGCGTTTTTTCTTAACAAACAAAATGGTTAAGCATTGGACAGAGTCTGATATGATTCTTGCGTTAAATACGCTTCGTACGAACCCACATTTAAAAGTTAAGAAGGTTGCGCGGATCTATAAAGTACCTTATACGACATTGCTTAATCGAACTCATGGAATACTATCACGACAAGATTCTATCGCTGAATCTCGAAAACTTACAGAGATTGAAGAAATAGTTATCGTACGACATATTCTCGACCTAGATTCTCGATCATTTCCCCCACGAGTACGTTGTGTTGAAGATATGGCGAATCGTATCCTCTCGGAGCGGGGTGCAGGACGCGTTGGCAAGAACTGGACTTCGAACTTCGTACGACGACAACCTGAACTTAAGACGCGTTTTAATCGAAGGATTGATTATCAAAGAGTCCAATGCGAAAATCCAGACGCGTATAACGCGTGGTTTCGCCTCGTACGAAATATAATTGACAAATATGGGATTCAGGAGGAGGATATTTATAACTTTGACGAGACTGGGTTTTGTATGGGCCAAATTACATCAGAAATGGTTGTTACAAGTACCGAAAGGCTTTCTCGGCCTCGTACAGTACAGCAAGGAAACCGGGAATGGGCAACAGTAATTCAAGGTGTTGGGTCGTACGGCTTTGTAGTGCCTCCATATATCATTTTGGCGGGGAAGAACCACCTCTCCTCCTGGTACGAAAACAGCCAATTACCACGCGACTGGGTAATTGCTGTAACTACAAATGGCTGGACAACAAATGAGCGAGCCCTAGATTGGATTTTTCATTTCGATCGGCATACAAAGCTTCGTACGAAGGGCATTCACCGGCTGCTTGTGCTTGATGGCCATGAAAGCCACCACTCAGTCGATTTTGAGCTTTTTTGTAAGAGTAATAACATTATTACTCTTTGCATGCCAGCTCATTCCTCTCATAGACTCCAGCCACTCGATGTAGGATGTTTTCGAGCGTTAAAAAGGTCGTACGGTGCTGAACTTGAGAAATTAATGCGACTCCACATTACATATGTTTCTAAGGAGGATTTCTTATCAACATTCTATACTGCCTTTCGTACGACAATGACTGAATCAAACATTCGAGGAGGATTTCGAGGATCTGGCTTAGTGCCGTACGACCCAGATTCTGTGATTTCACAGCTTGATATACGTCCAAGGACTCCGTCACGTCCATCTACCTCAACAAGCCTCCTAGCTATTTGGGAACCAAAGACCCCAAATAACATAACAGAGGCATATTCCCAGACGTCATATATACAAAACAAGGTCGTACGACACCAAGATAGTTCTCCGACCCAGATTCTATATGGCCTAGACCAGCTTGCAAAGGGTGCACAGCGTGCAATCACTGAGGTAGCTTTATTACGAGCTGAGAATGCTACACTTCGTACAGCAAATGATCAACTTAGTCGGCGTCGTCGTACGAAAAAGCGCCGATTACAGGAAGGAGGATCACTTACTCTCCAAGATGCGCAAGATTTAGGGGTCCTTAGTAATGTTGATTCGCAAGAACAAGTGGTTTTAGTAGAAAATAGTAATTGTACGAGCCCGAGTCTAGTACCTCGCCGGCGCTGTGGACTATGTGGGAAACATGGCCATAACATACGAACTTGTCAAAAAGGAGAAGAAATATGTGAGGATTCCGATTCTGAATACTGTAATTAATTTAATTAATTGTGTCGTGAGATATTTAAGAATTTATAAAATGCCAAGAAAAAAAATCCATTTCGCTTGGGAATCCAACTCGCTTGTGGACTACGTTAACTAAAACGTAACCTAGTTCTATGATAAGTTCTTAGAATAATAATCTAGAAAGCTTAAATAAAAAATAGTTATAAATAAAATAAAGTCTTAGACTAAATAGTAGGTTACACTTAGGGCGTTTAGTAGTAATATTATTAGTAGGTCTTAGATTCATATACTCTAATTAGTCCGGGTCCGGGTTTTAGTTTTTCTACGTTATATATATAATAATCGATATTACATCGGACATCGTTAAAAAACCGATATCGTATCGTTAGTATATTTATAATACGATATCGATCGTAGGACCTCCGATATAGAAACGTTTCTATCGTGCCTAGGTCTAACCTAGGATTTAGACGTAAACGCAAGGGCAGGGAGTACTAGGCTTAACTACTACCAAAATCGATAAGAACCAGCTAACGAGGTATTAAGAAATAGCGAGTAGTTAGCTAATTTACTTTATTCATTATTTTTGTAGTACCTTGCTCATAAAAACCGATGAGGAAACAGAATTACTATACTAATGGAAATGTCACTGTAGCTTCCGTTAAAATTACAGCAAAAGACAGAAATACCACCTAATTAATCTTTTTGCGACAGAAATACCACCAATGATATAGACATTACTTTAGTAGTAATTTTACTAGTAAACCAGTGACATGGCACATAGGTGGCATTGCTGTCGCAAAAAAATTGATTAGGTGGTATTTCTGTCTTTTGCCGTAATTTTTACGGAAGCTACAGTGACACTTTCACACAAAGGAATCATCTAGATAGATACGCATATAAAGTGGAAAACTACATTGATAAAAATCCACTCCTTCAAATATACGAAAAAAGATACGCCATGAAAATAAACACAACACCCCACATAATCTAAGAGCCCCAAACAGAGAATAATAGTTAAAATAAATATAGTAATCGTAGACTCTGTTCTACAACAAAGCCCCCACACCACCACAAGAAAAAAAAAGAAAACTCCCATCTCAATCCTCGAAAAGATCTTCGAAAAAAGAAAACAGAAAGAAGAAAAAAAAGAAAGAACCGCCTGCTAGCTGTGCAAAAATAAAATAGACTCCTATTCATATATATCCCCTCTAGAAACATAACATAACATATTACATCAGATTCCAAGTAGTAAATCTCGCTAATTTCACTTCTCCCTCCCACACACCCACAAACAAACTCACTCGCTTAAGCTCCCGCAGACATACAAGCCGTCTGCTGCGTCTGGCACGCCTCGGGGGTAACACCCGCAGTGCCACCGTTAAAGGCATTCATACAACCATTCATCTGGATATCGCAGGCGCGCTGTTCAGCGACAGCCTTGCCGACGAAGGTGTTCCCATTGACAGAGAAGGGTCGCGTGGAATCGCCCGAGTCGGTCACGGCCGGGGCGTCGATGCCGCCTACAGAGGCGGCTTTGTTCTTACCGCCTGCTGGTGCGGGTGCTTTGGTTGCTTTGCTGGCTGGTTCGGAGGTGCTGGATGGGGATGGGGCTGCGGATGAGGATGCTTTGGCACCGCCAGCGGCGTCGCCTGCCTTTCCGTCGGCTTTGGCATCATCTGCTTTTCCACCAGCTGTGGCATCACCTGCGTTTCCACCAGCTTTGGCACCACCTGCATTTCCGCCAGCTTGGGCACCACCAGCTGCACCACCAGCTGCACCACCAGTTGCACCTCCTGCATTTCCACCTGCCTTAGCACCACCTGCATTGGCATTACCAGCATTGCCACCAGCGTTACCGCCAGCATTACCACCAGCTGCTCCTCCATTTGCAGAAACCTCAAACTTGGTGCAGTCGTCAGGCGTACCACGTTGAGCGACAGGCATCAAGACAGGTTGATGGTTAGAGGCAGAAGTCATGGTGCAGACTCGATAGAATCCAGCAGGTAATCCTCCAGTGACCGTGGCCTTGAGAAGACCGTTTCCGTTTCCGGCATCGTTGATACCCTTGAAGAAAGCAAATTGGGTTGGGTCCATGGGCTTGCTTGGGGTCAAGCTTTTTCCCATATCTTGAACAGTGACGTGAGTGTGACCAACGACTTTTCCTCCTTCAAGTTGTTGTGGTGCGGAATAATAGGTGTTGTCTGCGTTGGTAAAGGACCCAGCAACCAGGTTGTTCACTTGGACGGCGATATCAAAGTCCTTGTTGGCTTGGACTGCTACTCCTGGCAGTGGGTTCATGATCAATGCTGAAATCATGGCGGTATTGGCTGGGATATCACCCATCACTTTTTGATAGGTTAGCAAATGGACATTGGACTTTCTTATGGTAAGGAGTTTGGGACATACCGATTCCGTTGCAAGAACCCCCCTTGACTTGAATACCATTGGTGACAGTCTTTCCCGAGCAAAAGTTGATGAAGTTGTTTTGCGATGTGAGGGACTTGGCCTGGCCAGCTGCGGAAACTCCTCCCTTTGATCCATCTGTGAAAGAACCAGATTGAATGGCATCCGCTGCTAATGTGGTACCAGTGGCATCATTGTTGCCTCCTTGGGCACCACCGTTGTTATTACCGCCCTTGTTGCCGCCGTTACCCTTGGCCTGACGAGCTGTCAAAGATGGAGTCTGACGACTTTGACCTCCTGCTAGGCGGTCGAGGTCGAAAACAGAACGAGCTTCCACAAGACTGGAGGTTGCCAAAAGGGCGAGAGATAATGTTGGAAGGAGCATCTTGCGGTTGTTGTGAATCTGAGATAGGATTTATAATATTGGTTTTAATAGGACGGGGTTTTGAAAATAATAATGATGGCCCTGCCGGAGGTAAATTGTTTCAGTAGTAACGACACAGTCGTCAAGAAAAAGAATGTATACGGTGAATAGGACAGGACGATGGACAGTAACTAAGGAATGTGTGTATGCAAGTACGGAGGCGCTGGGAGGAAAAAGTGCATTGAGAGGAGCGCTTTCTATCTTATATCAGTCTTGGCTGTCAACTACGACGGAGCGGGCCTGAATCGCACAGGGGAAGATTGCAGGGGACGCACAGGGGAAGTGGTTCTGCCATCCCGAGCCGCTTCAATGTGGACGACACCATCAAGTTGTTCAGCCTCGTTGCTTCAAATGTTCTGTCACTTCTGTGGTGCTAGTTTCACGTTTTTGAGGAGCTCGGGCATAGAAACAACGAATCAGGAGGGCGTAACCGATCTTCCACGGGATCCACTCCCTTCCAAATGCCAGTTCTGTAGACTCGCGTAGAAATTTGTAAGGGTAAGGGAGATTGTTGCAAGGTAGCGAATGGTAAGCTCATTGCTGTAACTCTAAATGTCCCTAATCATGCAACCGTTGAACCCGGGCTGGCGATTTGAGACAGAAAGAGTAAACAGAAAGGAAGATCTGATACCCAGAATACCTTCCAGGGTGGAAGAGCAGACAAATCGAACTCGTGGAACTGGCTTTTGGTCTGTTCTTTTTGGTGGTCCAGCTGTCAGCGCCGTCCTCGAACCTCTCGTCAAATGCAACCGGATGGCAGAGCGCTTGGATGCCGTGTAGCGTGTTATGCATTGCATTCATTGACCAGTGGTTCGCGTGAAATTTCTGCACCACCAACCACCTCTCTATTTGAGCCTCTAAGAAAAGCTTAACTAATTAAGCATCCCTCGATATCCTAAAGACAACCGACAATTCCTGTGTGATTCTTGGACAAATTTCGGATCATCGTCGTATTCTTAATTTCTCTCCACAGCAACGAGGATCATTGAGGTTGTTCCCTCTCATCCTCGTGGCGGGCGTGGAGCAGTCATCACGTATGGGGCCTTCATTTTACTTGGTACAGATGAAAGCGGCGGTTGCTGTGTCTGATTTTCTTTCGTTGTGACCGCTGGCGTTTCATCGGCCAACTCGAGACGCCGAGCGTCAAGATCGCATTCAGGGGCCGAGGGCGCGCTACCACCAATGGATCTCGGCTAGCATCTCTCAGACGAAAACCAGATGACGGAGACCACATGAATGGACGCGGTTCCGTCTCAATGTTGGGTGGGATATTTGTGCTCCTGTTCCTACGGTTCTCAAGATGAGAGGAGCGGGAAGTGGAATTGGAATTCGGAGATTTTCAATATTGCGCTTGCTTGTCGATTGGTGGAAGGCGAGGACTCGGTGAGGGTGGAGCCAACTGGTAGTTCGTAGTTCGTAGTTCATGGTGCACGGATTCCAGAGAGCGGAGCAATGGATCCCCATGTTGGTGTTTGGTGTTCGAGAATTCAGAACGTTTGCAGTTCTTTGCAAGTGCACACGATGATCACCACCCACCTGCCGGGTACGAAGCTTGACTGTTGCTTGTTCTCGCGATACGTACCAGTACTCCGTACTTCGACGGTGTTTGTCCCGCCCCTTCGGATAGACGGCACTTGTGAGGCTAAGACCTGATGAGCGTTGCGGTGGGTGAGAAGACGATTGCGATTGCGATTGCCATATCAGAGATCAGTGGGTCAAACGAAGAGCAACTCGACCTGCCATATGCAGCGGTACGGAGTCGTCCTTCGTACATAATCATCTCATCTCTCATATCTGCTGGAGTTTGGAGACGATGACAGGACCTCAATTTACGAGACGAAGGTTAACTCGACATGAGATGAACTCCTCAAGCTCCTGCAAACCTGCCTTGGGAATTTCTCGGGAAAATTGCTCCGATTCTCCGATCGGCCCGATTATTTTTCGGACCTCGGACAACAAACCGTCATGTGCCCGATTGAAGTCCTTCTTCGTCATGTGATTCGAGCACTGATACGTCCTAGCGTCATTCAAAATTATTGGCGGCATTGGCATAGCTGGATGGAAAAATGTTACCAACAGAGGCAACTTCATCATCCTCATTAACCAACTAATTCCTCCTCCTACCGCTACATACATCCAAGTACCGGCTCATTGATCGTCTGCGACACAATTGCCACCCCATCCACCATCGTTGCAGCTTGAGCGGTTCGAGGAGCGTGTGAGGCAAAAGAGTGAAGCTCGATTGGAAAGACATCATAGAAGATGGATCACACACGAGACCCATGCCCCTGGGTGGCACTGAATGATTTTGGAGGTGCTTTCTGTATGGGAGTACGTACATCTATCCTACACTTCCCGAGGTGGCATCTATGGAAGAATGGGCGAGAAGTGCTTGTTGCGACATTGAAGATGCTCGCGCCGACCATCGAATAAGCTGGGCAGTCGCAAAAACAATTACTAATACATATTCTTCTTGGTAGGGAATTGGCGGAGCAGTATGGCACGGTGTGAAGGGATTTCGAAACTCCCCTTACGGCGAGCGAAGAATCGGAGCCTTAACAGCAATCAAGGCTCGAGCACCAGTATTAGGAGGCAATTTTGGAGTATGGGGAGGTTTATTCTCGACGTTCGATTGCGCCGTGAAGGGATTAAGGAAGAAGGAAGATCCATATAATGCCAGTACGTCAGGACTCAAGGGGAATATATGGATGGTTTGGATTGAAGGCTGATTTACTACAGTTATTGCTGGTTTCTTTACCGGAGGAGCATTGGCAGTTCGAGGTGGTGTAAAGGCAGCAAGAAACTCTGCCATTGGTTGTGCATGTCTATTGGCCGTTATTGAAGGTGTTGGAATTGGGTTCCAGCGAATGATGGCGGATAGTACCAAATTAGAGGTAAGTCCGAGAGCTTGTGTCTGCTCTTATACCGTGAGCTAATAATCATGCTTAGTTACCACCACCTCCACCCTCAGAAGCCGGCAGTACTGGATTCCCAGCTGTTGCATAATGACTCTCTACAAACGAACCTGCTATACCCATGTCATCCGTCCTCCATGACATCCCAACACAAACTCTACTCTTTCTGTCCGCCGCCGATAGAGGTACGGACTGTTGTATTTCGACCTCTTTTTTATCTGTCTGTGTTGCATAGCAGGGAATGGTGTACATGTAGAAATATAACTCTCGGGGAAATACCGAGATGACGAATCAATTATAATTCATGACCACTTTGCAGGCTTCTTCTTGGCAGAGCGAGCCCCTGGGGGTTAGTTGGTGTTGGTTGGATACTTATTGTATACGAGTACAACCCGAGCCTCAAACTGAAAATGAATCAAAATCCCCCTTCTCTTTACCAGGTTTATAGACAATTCCGGTCAGCAACTCAATCCGCAGTATTTGACATACGTGAAACGTTCTCGGTAAGATGTGCGTGCGCTGCATAGGTGTGTTACCGTCGGCGTACACACCACACCATTCCAATCATTGCGAAACTCCAACTTCTTTTCTAAACGGGAAATCCTTTGTTGGGTTGGGGGTTGGTTGGGTTTACCGAATACTGTGCTGTACTGTACCGCATTTGTGTGTGCTTATGCATAATTCTTCATCCAAGGTTTTTTTTTCTGTTAGATTGTTCCTATGGAGAGTTGGTATGAGGGTGGTTTATGGTTCATGGTTCGCTTTTTTATGCTTTTTTATGGGACATAGGTGCCTGATGCTTGTGGTCCCTTGTTTTTCTGGCTTACTTGTACTTGGGTTACTGGCATCTACTCTTTACAATTTGAGTAGGTAGGTAATGGTTTGTCAGACGAGGTAGGCCATGTGATGAACGCGGCATGCTTGGGACTGGCTTTGTTATGCTGACATGTTCCAAAATTTTAGGAAAACTTGGATTTATTCCAACTATCTAGAGTTCAACCCAACATCCTACTCGAATATCCCAGCTTCTCAAGAGAACTGTGGTGCTGGTAATCAATCTACAGTAAAAGATATCGAAGTCAGCAACTTATCTTAACAGGAAGTAACTCGCATCTCTTTCGGTCTCTACTAATACACTGCACGAAGCCTCTTTACCTTACAAATTATGCAGAATTCTGTAAGTGAAATTCTACTTTTACACAAAAAAACAACCGGGGAGGGAGAAGTGTGAGTTTGTGGTGCAGGAGTTGGGGTTTGATGGGGCGTTTGTGTATAGTGAGGAGAGTTGTGAGGAGGGCTTTGAGAGGGTGCTGAGGGAGACCGGGGGTGGGGGGATTGATGTTTATTATGATAATGTTGGGGGGGAGCAGCTTGATGTTGCGATTAGTCATATGGTGGAGTTTGGGAGGATTGGTATGTTTCCCCTTCTTATATGTTATCTATGCGTCTCTGAGTTCTTTACGTGATGTGGTAGTTGGATTGATGAGTGAGATGGGACTGATGAATACCTAGTGCAATGTGGAAATATGTCCCAGCAATCCGTGCCGAAGGATCAACGATATGGTATCAAGAATATGCCCCTGGTTATCCAACGCCGTCTTACTATCAATGGCTTCATTGTCTCGGATCCGGAACTGGGTCCCAAGTACTGCGAGGAACACCAGCAGAAGATGGGGGAATGGATCAAGAATGGAGAGATGGTGGTGAAGATGGCGGTCACTGAGGGGATGGAAAATGCAGCTGAGGGATTCGTGGGGATGTTGAAGGGGGAGAAATTTGGGAAGGCGGTGTTGAAGGTTGCGGACGTTTGATGGGGATGAGTTTGAAATTGATGAGTTGATGATACTTGATACCTACATCTTGAGATATCGTGCTAATATTGAAATGAGAGTTCCAATTGTTGGGATTCGAGGGAGATACTGTACTGAGGCTCCACCTCGTTCCTTCCTTTACTGGTTCTTGACTTAACCGAGAAGTCAGTCGACAAACCATGTCACCATGGCATATCTGAATGCGACGAGAGGACGAGAGCCCTCCTGATATGATTTCCAATCTCGAGAAAGAATTGAAAGAAGGAAGGGGGGTGAGCCGTCGGGCGTGGAAGGAAATTGTAAGTAGCACTGCACCGGTACCAGCTATATCTTATAAAGGTAACTATGTGCCGTTAGACTTGAGATCATCTAAATGATTGGTTAGCCCTGTAGAGGTATCGTACATTATTATAACAGAACTCATTTTAGCCTGGTTAAGCAATCGACCAAATCTTTTATATTTGCACAACTAATAAACGAGTAACTACCTACCATATTTATATTGATATAAGGATAAGAACCTAAATACAGTAGTAAGAATACTCAAAAACAAGGAATAATAAGTGTTAGGTACAATAAGTTCTATAGAAAAACATGTGGTATGAAAAGTAAATATCCCCAGTCTAGTTTTATTATACGGTAAAAGACAAAAATACCACCTAATTAATCAATAACGACAGAAATGCCACCTAATTAATTTTTTTGCGACAGAAATGCCACCAATGTACCATGTTACTGGTTTACTAGTACTGTACAACTACTAGCAAAGTAATGTCTATATCATCGGTGGCATTTTTGTCGCAGAAAGGTGGCATTTCTGTCGTGAAAAAAGTGGCATTTTTGTTAGTATAGCAATCTTGTTTCTTCATCAGATATTATAAGCAAGGCACTACAAAAATAATAAACAAAGTAAATTAGCTAACCAGCTATTTCTTGATGCCTCGTAAGCTAGTCTTTGTCGATTTTGGTAGTAGTTAAGCCTATATAGTACTCCCTGCCCTTGTGTTTACGTCTAGATCCTATTTTCTTAGCCTTATTTCGCTTATTTTGCTTGATTCCTTGTTTATTTGCCTTAATTGCTTGCTCCTAAGTCGAATCAACCTTAATACCGTTTCGGTGGTATATTTATATACGCTTTAAGGTTATTAACATACGACTAGTTAATATTCTATAGGACTATTTGTAGAGGCTATACATAGGTAGGGGCTACTTGAAATCGAAAATTTTGCGCTAGTAAATAAGCTAGCAATTCTCTATATTCGAGGCCATCAGGATATATCGGATAGGAATATTAAGCGACAGAAATGCCACCTTTTTACGACAGATATGCCACAAGTTCTTTTCATCAAATTTATATGTAAAATGCAAACAAAAAAATGAGTGGCATACAAGTGGCATTTCTGTCGCAAAATTATTAATTAGGTGGCATTTTTGTCTTTTGCCGTTTATTATATAATAGGAAAATCTGACATTAAGATTATATATACCTGCCTAACCCTGCTACGTGTAAATACGTATAGTATTCGGCAAAACAAACCCGAACCCCAAACCTAACAGTACCTAAGGATTTTTCAGGTTGGAGAGAAACAGGTTTTTGTAAAAGTCAGAGTGGTGGTTCTTTAACAGAGGCAGAAAACTTTAGAACTTGGTATGATTATCTTATGATTATTTGTATATACATTATGAAATACTAATAAATAGTATGTACATGAAGTCGTAACAGAGAGCACAACTCTCCTATTATAATTCGTTAACCGTCCCAATCAGATTCCGCACACCAAAATCTCAGTAAGGCGCATAAAGGAAAGCTAATTGATCAATCTCATCCCCATCCTGACCAAGATACCCAACGATACCCCACCCAGCAGGCGTAGAATAAGTCACGCAGTCAGACGTACTCTCGCCGGAAGAGAGTGTTCGTCCCGTACTCGTCGTAGCAGTGATGGAAAAGATTCTCGTCTGTCCGCTCTTCTGTCCTTGGCAGAGACGTGCGGAACTCCAGTACTCGCCTGAGTTGAGAACGAGACTCCTGCTCGTACCCCCGGTTCCACCGTGCGTGAAGCTTTGCCCTGATGCGAGTGCCAAAGAAACGGAATCGACGCGGTCGCCCCCGCGGAATGTGATGACGGTTGCGCGTGGGGACTCTGGGAGGGCTTCCAGGTCGTTGAACCAGGTTCCATGTGGTCCTCCGAAGAAGGGCGATTGGCGACGTGTGGGGTTTGCCGACCAGGTGAAGTTGACGGTGATGGGGTTGTGGTCACTGAGGATTGAACCATCGGCTTGCAGAAATTTGCTGGATTCGTAGTTGAAGTAGGTACCAGTCATGGAAAGCTGCTTGGATCCACGGTAGAAGACTTTGTCGACGGTCTCGCAATCGCGGACGGTAGGTGGGTTGGTGCAAATGGTCTCAACAGTTGGCTCTACGCCTCCTCGCATGAGTTCAACGAAAGCATCAGTCATGCCGTTTTGGGTTCTGAAGACGGTGATCTTGTCAGGTATCCGGGTGTAGCGAGAGTTGGTGTCTCCATAGACAATAACTGAGTTACCACTTGACCAAGTGTCGATGTAATCTGCTACTTGTTTGAGATTTGCAGCACGTGCAGTTAAATCGGAACTCTCAGTTCTAGGTGGAACAGTTAGGAAGTGTTTAGAGAAGAGAATGGGAATTTATGAACCCAGCGTCGGTATGTAGGTTATACATATCAACATAGACACCTTCCGATACCGCTACACGCATGAATGTAAAACCCTTTGGAGTCAAACAATCTGCTCCGGAGGCATTGGAGCAAGTATCCCATTTCTCTCTTCTGAAGTCGACCCAGTTAAAATTTGAAATCGTATTCAGTCCAGAACCAACCACTACAGTCCCCGAGGTTGGGGTTCGGAAAGGGTGTTTGTCTGTTGCATAGATATAAGAATGGAAAGCGAAATCTACCCATCAAGGTTAGTTTTGTGAAATTCCTTGTAAAGTTTTGAAATATTACCTTCTTGCATGTTGATTATGTCGTAATCATACTTCGTAAACAAAGTTCCAATGGTTCCAGCGTTCGTAGCTTTATCACCAGGTACCTCATTGCCATTCAGAATTGCAGGAAGACCCGCAACATTGAAAGCTAGAATGTTAAAGTCGCCTCCAGTAGCCTGGGCCGAAACAAACGATACCAACGCCGCAACCGAGAGGCCAAAATTAAGGGCAACCATTTTTGAAGAGAGCTGAGTTATGTGAAACTTTGGTCTGACTGGCAGCTTGGTTAAGACAGAATCATCGGGGAATACCCTCTCTTATATGAGTGCTTGATAGGAAGAAGCTCAAGGGGGGTTTCCAGGAACTTGAAGTTGATAGTCTGAGCGGCAAAAGCTTCCTCCTGGCTCCCAAGCCTTGGGCCACTACACGATACAGTACCGTACCGGGGGAGTTCATCCACAACACCTGGGTTGAGAAGGTGAACTCATCATCAGTGGGGACTTGTACCCGGGACTTCAACACCAAATCTGGGCTTGATAGCGATCGCGAGCTAGAGCTATACCACATCCAGCAACCTCAATAATGCCATGGAAATTGGGGGGTGGACTTCGAAAAAGAATGACTAAATCGACGACCACTTTCTCCAGCGCCGTGGAAGTCATCCTAATTTCCATTGGTTACATTGGACATGGTTATTTGACAAGTGCCTTTGCTGCCCCGGAACTCTTCCCTAAAACAATGTTTTAGCGCGCGGAGAATTAATCAAGAAGAGAAGGACAGGAGTGCCTGCCCTGCCAAGGAGGGGTTGTCCCGCATCCTTCGGATGAACTCCGCAAGTTGCACTATCCACGTTCCTGTTTGTTTTGCCTTATCCAGGTGCATTGCCACTCACTACTACTCCCTACTCACTCCTCACTTACTGCTTTGTGCTCGGATGTAATTTTCAGTCATATTCCAAGGTCAAGTGTGCAAACGCATGTACAGCCTAAATTTCGGTATAAGCAATGCTCCACCTTTCGCTAAGAGCATCCCTGGGAAATGATGTTCAATATTCGGTAGCAATTTCTGATAAACCTCTGATAAACTTCAGATAAGCCCCACGAGCCCACCTAAATCGGCAAGTTTGTCGATCCCGACACCTTGTCAAAAGAAACTCCAGCAAACAACCTTCTCGAAGGCTCGAAGCCTATACTTTGACACTGATATCCTTAACAAACCAAACGAAAGTTATGAAACGTTGCCCAGCGCCAATCGGGCAGCAAAACAATAAACAGGTGAGGTCGCCTTTTTGCTTGGAACCAGATGAGAAATGCTTGACTTGATATAAGCCCCATGGTGACTAGGTGCAGGCATTGCACTGTTCAACTTTGAGTTAAGCCGCAACATACAGTAAGTCATATGCGCAATACGGATTTAATACACAAAGACACCAATCGCAAGATTTGAACTAATTCAAGCAGTGTTGCTTGTGATATAGCACTTGGAACTGACACTCGTCGCCTATCGTGCAAACAACATTTGTGTGAACCCTACCAACTATACTTCTAACTTATAAAAAAAGGGTACGGTTATCGTTTGAGACAACACGAATATTGTCGTTGTGGAAGCATATGTAAAGGCCAATATTGGGTTCCAAATGCATATCTTTACCATTATTGCCCGCAACGCAAGTAAGGATAATTCTCCAAAAGTCTACGGCCCTATTTGGCAACTTTGACTATTTAGCTTGATTCTATTTCCAATTGTAAAATGCAACCAGGGAATTCATATAAAAAACGATTCTCGATTATTTCTTGAAATTTTGCAACGGCATTACTTTCTTCCGTCCAGAACTCACCCCACTAGTGCGTGCTAGCTTATAATCTTCCCCTCTTATAAATATATCTTCACAGAGCCGCGCGCATAAATTGCGTACGCGTTTTACCTATGTACTAGTACTTCCGCCGCTTAGAGAGACATGTAAATATAAATCTGTCCTAGTAGTAACGTAGTATGTAGTTAATTAATAACATTTCTAATGTTATAAGCGGGTTTTTCCAGCGATGTATATATATTTCAAGGATGGTGATATCTATATATATATATATATACTTGTAGCATGAAAGTAACATAGTTGAAACCATATATCTTGGGGGTTTACTTTTGAATTATACTTTTAAACGGCAGATTTTAAAGTGGAGGTACTGTAAAACATCGAAAGGGAGGAACGAAATGAAATAAAGTGTTCAAGGGACTATAGAAAATATTAGCTATAAGGATATGTTGTACTTTTGTAGTCGTTAAACATCTTATCAATTGAATTCTTAGCTTGAACAGCTTGATCAGGGATCATCTGCAAGATCGCTTACTCACTGATAGGTGTGGCGGGATCCAGTTGGTGCAGTGAGGGGAAAGGTGGGGGGGAAGGTTGGATCAACATTTACCTTCTCCTCGTCGAAGAAAACAGGACACGGCGAAGGATGGGATTGCTGGTGAAATACTAGGAATTCCATGGGTTCCTCATACTTACAGCTCGCACACTCTCTAGAGTCTATATTGTTACTAGCAAAAACTTTGTACACTTTGACCACTGATCGGGATCAGACAAAGATCCACAATCCCTAAGTCTGAATGGTGATCAGTATGCACATCCAACATGGTGCAACAAAAATATCTATCACGTCCTATACCAGCGCATTAAATTGGCGTAACCAAATGATTTCAGCGGCACTGCAGTGTCGCATCTTCACGTTTCTTCTGCATCCTCGTCTCCAAACAAATGCTTTGTGTTGAAGGTGTCTCCTAACTTGACAGGGTACTGAATAGGGCAAGTGGTAACCTTGACTTCATTTATTCATCTTGATTCAGACCTTGGTACTGCAGCAACATCTCGCTAATCAGGTGCCATATTAATCTATACCAGTACTGGAAGATGTATTTCTATTCCACTTCCCGTATGAGGCAAGTATTCATCTTGGCTTGGGTTGAGAGCTAGAGAGATAAGTTGAACTACATCTACTTCAGTCATGCCTTTTTGTAACCAGGTCAAGTAATCGTTCGAAACTATCCCAGTGTCTTGCGCATATAATTCAATTCGATGTCCTTCGAAGAATCGGGACCGCCATTGAGCAGTCCCAAGGACCAGCCTTCGGGATTAAAAAAGATCTTATTTTTCACAAGTAGCGAATATGGTCAAGCAAATGTTATTCTGGCCGTGATGTACGAGCTTCTCCTGATGAAAAAATATGAAATCCATATCATGTCATTCGACCCCTTGAAGTCTCGCATTAAATTCCTCAACCAACAAGCTTCGACGGAGGAATCGCATGCGGCCATTTTCCACACAATTCCCGGCCTTTCGATGGCGCAGGCTCTTGATAGAAATACAGATCACATAGGACCATTTCCCCCCGGAGTAAGGGGTGCACAAGACACTTATCGAATGATGTTACCTGCGATGGTAACGGCTTGGAATGGCCCTGAGTATATGATCGGATATGAGGCTTGTTTGGAAACGATACGATCACTCAATCCAGATACGATAGTTGTCGACCCTCTTCATGACCAAGGACTCCAAGCTTGCCAATCTTTATCGCGAAAATATATCATGCTCAGTCCGAATACCCTCCAGGACATCTTGCGCAAGCGACAGCCATTCTTGTCACAATTTTTGAGGCATCCTGCGTACGTATCCCCGCCTCCAAATCTGCAAAATGTCTCACAAATACAGCCTATCCTCAGGATTTCCATACCCAGTTCCATGGTCATTAGTACTATCAAACATCTACATCAAACTCAAAATGATCTGGATCCTCATCACGTCCCCGAAGATCAAAGGGTTGATGAAGTTCCGAAAATCCCAAAACCTCCCCGCACTACCTCCAACTTTCAACCTCTGGCAAAAAGAGAACCACCATCTAGTACCCGCCATTCCGGAAACAGATTTCCCCTGCAAACTCGAAGCAAATGTCACACCATGTGGCCCAATTCTTCTTCCGGTCTCACCAGTATCAAAAGTTGACCCTGAACTCGAAGCATGGCTTGAGCAAGGACCAACCGTATTGATTAACCTAGGATCCCATATAAAAACCGATGGCCAAATGACACGAGAGTTTGCAGTTGCTCTGAAAGTCTTGCTCGATTGCCGGCCGAAAATCCAGGTCTTATGGAAGCTCAAGACTACTGGGAAAACATTGCCGTTCAAAGAAGCCAAGGCGCAGAACTCGACAACTGCTGAGATGGACAAGGAATTCTCAATGAGTTCTTTGGAAACGATAGCTACAGAGATCGGCGCCGGGAGGGTCAAAATCCTGGAATGGTTATCCGTAGATCCCCTGGCTGTGCTTCAATCTGGTCATATAGTGTGTTCTGTTCATCATGGGGGATCAAACTCCTTCCACGAAGCACTCAGGTAAGCAACTCTTCTACAAAAACCAAATGAACTCGTCTTAATAGCAATCTCAGCGTTGGTGTTCCTCAAATCATTCTCCCAGTCTGGCTCGACACGTTTGAATTTGCGAATCGAGCCGAGTACCTTGGGATTGGCGTGTATGCTAGCAAGACCGCTGCGCCGAGGGTGGATGCTTGGAAGCTGTCGAGAGCTTTGATGAGAGTTCTTGGGGATGGAGATGAAGCGGTTCAGATGAAGCGGAAAGCGAAAGAGCTGGCTGTGATTTGTGGGAAAGTTGGGGGTCGGGTGAAAGCTTGCGAGACGATTGTTTCGATTTTGGAGAATGGGTCGAGAGAGTTTTGAGTTTGGATTTAGCACGGATGCCTTCGCTTAATTAACCTGTAAATATGAAAGTCTTCCTTAGAATTAACCTTGGCAGTGTTCTTTTTCTTCCCTGTTAACGATGCTGTTCTGACATTAAAGTGGTAGTTATTGATGTCTTCGATAAATCATGGCCTCATTCATAGAACAAGTAGCAATGCGTTTACGGTACAACTTAACAAGAAAGTGATAGCTGGTATGTTGATATCGCGAGTCATCAACTTCGGTCACTTCCCGCTCCTTCTCCGAGAAAGCCGAACTTGACCGTCGATGGAGCCCCTCCAAGTTGCATGCCGTTCACTCATGCCCTCCAATAGCCATGCTGTCCATTTTCTTGAAGCATTGGGAGACACCAAAACCATGCATGAGCACGAGCAATTCTCGAGAAGCCACAAGCATCTACACCTATGCCATCTTCCGCTATTCACTAGGTTGAATTTATAGCTCGTGATCCAATCCCTTGTTGACCAGAAACTACCCCTCGGCTCACTAGCAGGCTCCCGCTGTTAGTACTCAAACCTCCAAGATCTGTGAAAGATTCGTGGCAACCTATCCGAGGGTTTCAATCGAAGAAGTTCTCATTGCGAGTCCAAGCAGAGATTAGATTCAGAGGGCTGTTCAGCGGTAGAAAGATTCTCTACCTTGTCCATACAAGTTGATTCGAAGCACCGGAAATGCGAATAACCAACTTCGCTTAAAATCGCCAAGGGGAGGAGGCCAATGGGTCAGTTTTGCTCCCTTAGGTAGGTAGAACTTATGAAGCCAGAATAATTTTTCGCGATGTAAGAGAACAACGAAAAGTGCCATCTTCTTGTTAACAATGCCGTCTGCTTCTCAAAAAAACGGAAGAGAGCAATCAGAAAGGTCTCGGTAAGATACCTGGTCGTTACTCTGTACACACCTCTCGTAGAATAAAATTATTCTAAAAACGCCGCACAACTAAAATATTTATTTAAAGAGCTTGGATAATTGTGAACTCTTACTTTTCACTGACCTAGGTATCCTAAGACAATTTTCTTGCTTGTACTACAAGTTTAGAATAATAGAGTCTTATATAGTGTGTACAGAGTAACGACCAGGTATCTTAACGTATTAGCCGAGCACTGCCGTCCTCGCCTCCCGAGCCGTCCGTCCACTTCCCATTTTTGGTATCCTCGTTACAGATACACACAAAACCTTCCACTCTGGACCACTCATATATGAAGTATGAATCCCTCAACCCTTAATCTTCCAATTCCCTTCCAATTTCATTAACTCCCTCATTCAATTCAAATTCCCTCGAGGTTCCCCATCCTCCCCATCCCACTTTCCAAAAGACCCCGAGGTTCTCCCCAAATATATCGGCAGGCACGACTCACAACACACCTCAACTCACCACATAAACCCACCATTAACTCCCAGGAACATACTTACACTCCCCAATCTATCCACCCATTTCCAACCCTCTCCAAAGACTTCAAACTCTTCCTACTCAGCACACAAAATGTCACCCAAAGAACCCTACAAACTCTGCACCGTAAACAAGGTCCCCACCCGCGCCAAGGTCCTCATTGGGAGGCTAGTCGAGTCCCAAAAGGAGTCTTATACAATCGACTACGTTTCCAACGCCGAGAGTGAGTCTGCCCTGCCACCTCATCCTTATACATGAAGCAGATCATGTCAGGCAGCGGAACTGATAAAGAAGATAGGAATCGAAGATGTGAAAACGATGGTGGAGGAGTATAAACCTGATGTTTTGGTATGTATACACACACACATCACACACATCACATCCTCGCTCGGAGTTTTCATGGATAAAGAGATGGGAGTTGGGGATGAGTAGGAAAGGGAGCTGATAGAAGTGTAGTTCGTAGCATCCATGTGGACAGGCGAGGAAGCGGAGGAGATCTTCTCCATTGCACGGGAAGTCAAGCCTGAGATCAAGACGTTGGCTATTCCGTTCGGGTTGCAGATTGAGAAGGGTCCCGAAGCGGTAGTGGAGTTTTTGAATTGTGGATGGCCGAAACTTATTGAAGGTTGATGGACATCAGAGAGGTCAAGGGAAGCTTGAAGCTGGGCTCTTGGAACGGATAGAGGGTGAAGGACATGCGAAAAGTAAGATCATACAAATGGTATTAGGTTACAATCTAAAAGACAGGGATTGCAAAGAACCAACCCATACCCATATCAAAAAAGTAGAGAAAGAACCCCCATCCCAAAACCAAACCACAACGCCCCTACTCCACCAAGAACTAAAACCCCAAAGAACCCTTCGACCCTCAAGCCTTCCCCTCCACCTCAAAGCCCTCCCTCTTCACGGAATGGTAGCCGCCCAAAAAAATCAACCCAAGCACGAAACCCCCCCCCAAAACCAGCACCACAAAAGCGAACACCCTCCTCCTCTCCCTCCCCCTCCCTTTTCCCCCTCCCATCCCCGTCCTCCGAAAACTAACACAGCAATTACTCCGACTCGCCATAATAGCCCTCTCCACATCCGGACTCGCATCCGTAAAACTAATACAACAATTATCCCTCTCCCTCCCATTCCCACCATCTCCCAACCCAGCACATTCTTTCTCCTTTTCCTTCTCCAACAAAAGCCTCCCAATACTCTCCTCCAACCACTCAACCCTCAGCTTCAACCCCGCAATCGTCGCCAGCGCATCATTCGACGTCCCACTCTCCCCGTGTCCTAGCACCGTACTAGACGCCACACCCCAGAGCTCACCATACGGGCCCGCGACACCTGAGCCCGTGGAGGCGCTCATACCCGTTCGGGTACTGGGTGTCGGCCGCGGGGTCCCGGGGCTGGAGAAGGTGTGGAAACTTGGGGGTGGGGAGTTGGGGATGGAGGGCGTTTGAGAGGTGTGGGAGTGGGAGGCGATGGAGGTTGCGAGGCCGGTGTTGAAGTTGTAGCTGTGGGAGGGCGTGGAGGGGATGGGGGAGAGGATTATGGGGTCGTAGGGTGTGTTGGAGGAGGGAGGTGGAGGAATGGAGTTTGATCGTTGGGGGATCTTGGAGATGGATGGGTTAGTTGAGGTTTTGGATTTTGGAAGTCTTGGGATGAAGGGAGTTGGAATTTGGGTTGCAATAAAGTGGATAGAGACGTACGGGGTCGTAGTGGTGTCTGCTCATGATTGCGATTTCTTCGCTTCTTTCTTGTTTCGTTCGATGAGCTCTTTTCTTCTTCTCCCCCACCCTTCTTCGTCTTCTCTGATCTACGTCTTCGATATCCGGAACCCTCGTAACTCTAATGTCCTACCAATTCTACCAGATCTCAAAGGTAGCAAAGAAATTATGTTGCGATCTATTGAAAGCGTTTGAAGATTCTGTCTATCGTCAATTTCGTGATGGTCAGTCAGTGTGCGGATTATCTCAAGATAAATGATGTCTTCAATTGAAACCACCACACGGCTTCCAGGCACCGACTTATCCTTCATCATACGAGTAAATGGAGGAAGGATCCCCCGCTGATGAGCACTAGCATTAAATGCTTACGCGGCGGGGCTCTTTTGGGTCTCAGCTAGGATTCGTTGTCAGCAAGATAAACCAATGGAAAACACTTCAGTACGCCACATGGCTGTTCCATCGCTTTTCGCCGAATCAGATCTGTGGACATGTGGCACAACATTCCTGACAGAGATCTAACCGTAGGGCTAGGTAAGAAATGACAACCAATAATAGAGAGAGAAAGAGAGCGAGAGGAATATACAACGACACATCCAACACAATTATTTAGTTGATTTTCATAGAATTGCTGAAATTGGATTGAAATGTTGCAGTGAGCTAAACATGCTTCAGAGTATAGTACAGCCAGTCCAATTTCCTGCAAGGTAAATGCGCATGCCGACATGTGTTGGCCACAATAGAGATCTAGATGTTAGTTTGGGATATAGCAAGATAAGGATAGCAAACAAGCATAAAAAAATTTCCACCCCTCAAATCACATGAGCGAAATCCCGTCACAACTTCAACAAATCTGTGCGCTCAGAACCCGCAGTAACAATTCTCTTCGTCCATCGAATCTCCTCCCAATCAGTCTCTCTGATATTGATAATGTCAATGATCCAACCAGTGTCACACCTTCTGTCCCGCTTGACTCTTCCCAGACATCTCGCCATCCTTCCTTTGCCTTTCTCACCAACCAATGCAAAACTCTCACTGTCTGCAAGACTCAATGTTCTGTAGTTTGTCAGGATGCCGGTAGGAAAGGGCGGATAGTCGCTCCACAGATCCATGAACCGAAAGTGTTGTGTACCGGCATCCCGCGAAGAGAAATTGACTCGAGCGAATAATTCGATTATCGTGTCTTGTCCAGCTGCCCTACATTTTTGGCCCTCCTTGAATAGTTCGCCAATTCGAAAACACGTGCGCAAGAAGGATTGGGACGATACTCCAACAATTGGACAGCGATCACGAACTATTTCAGGAAATTCAGGCCTAACAAACTGCCCAAGTGGTTCGTATTCGTGACTGTCGTCCAGAATGATCGCAGTGGTCTTGGAATTGGTTTTCGTAGCCGGAGCTTTGGTGTGGTGAGTCATTTGGGGTTGAGATAGTACAACCGTTACTGGTGGGTTTCGAAGCTCTGCTTGTCGCATGACATCATTAAGCTCTGAGTTCATGAAGGCCCAATCTTCAAATTCTTCCTGTAGGTCAGTTCCCGGGATGCGGTTTGGGGAAAGTGGATCACTATGTTGGTTAGCAGATGGAGGTGAAAACTGAAGAGAGCTGTCGTATTCTTCTTGGAACTCAATTTCATTCTGCAGACTTGTGGGAGCATGATGATTCTCGATGTCAAGACCAGGGTGTTCACGTAGTTCATGCATTTGATCATCTTCGCCGGCATCCATCAGATATTCATCGTCATCATAATCTGTGTGAATTGGTAGATGTGGGTTATCTGGCATGTCGATAACCGAGATTATCTTGTTTTCTGATGAAGTGGACTCAATGGCTGCTGGTAGTACTGCCACCCTTGCTGCTTTCAGTGCTAGTTCATCAGTAGAAATTGCCATGAGATCGTCGTCATCCAATCCCTCATCAAATTCATCAAATTCGGAGTTGACGGGAAGTAGTGGGACAGGCTCTTCATTTGAACCCGGATTGACTTCAATCACATTCATCCCAGAACCTTGAGCAAATTGCTTCTCCGCAAAACCTCGAACTTCAGGGACAATGGCGGGTACAATCGACATATTTTCCTGCAATTCTTCAATTTCGGTATCCGCGTTGATGGAATCCTTGGAATGATCAGGAACCATGGCCTCGCTGGAAGCTGGTTCACGATACTGGTGATATTGATGTTGTTTTCCCACAATTTGGGGTTCAGAAGCTGATGGATGTGCAATCCCTCCGTCAGAGTCCAAAGTCATATGCTCGATAGTATATAATGATGGTGCACCAGCCTCTGTCTGATTGGCCTCAATCTTTTCATTAAAATCCGCTGCAGACTTGTTCCCTTGGGGGCGTTCTAGAGCCGACTGGATCAGAAAGGGGTCATTACTCTCAAGATGCCAGATAAATTGGGTAGAGGAACCGTTACTCAAAAGGTCGTTCCCATTGAAGCCTGTCGACTCTAGCTCAGGCTCATTAATATCAACTTGTTCTCCAGGTTGGCTTTCCTGTGTTTTCCGTGTATTTGGAGTGGCAAATATAGTGGGTTTCGGGTTGTATCGAAAAGCCGCAAGTTTATCGAGAGTGGTCTGTGCCAAACCATTATGTTTTACTGCATCCTGCGTCGACGTCCAACCTTGATAGCTAATTACGGAGGAGTCGTTGAACTGTTCCTTTTCTTGCGGGGCAACTGACTTTGTGACTGTCAAGTTTTTGAAAGAAGGCAATCTTCCTTTCTTGGGTTTTGTGGCGACAGAACTTCCCTTCTTTGGTTTCCTCTTGTTGCTATCGGGGGGCGTTGTCAATTGGCTGTTCATAGATGCATCTTCATCAGCTGCTTCCACAACATCAAATGCCTCGAAAACATCGCCTTCATCAGACTCTCGACTCCGAACTTTGTAAGGTGCCTTGTTCCCATTTCCCTTTTTTGCTAATGCGGATTTTGCCCTCTTCGCTGGCTTGGTGGTGACCACTAGCTCCGAAATAACGTCTTCCTCGTCCGTGTAATTCCAAACGGCTCCGAGAGAGACCGCTCGGCCTTTCTTTGCTTGAGCAGGAGGGCGCTCCTTGCCTTTCTTTGCCGGCTTACTGGGGTTCTCACTCAAGTAGGTATCGCCTGATGGGACATCGAACGTGTCTTCGGAGTAATAGAGGGTTTCGGTTGGGTTGACATATTGCTTGGGAGGCTGACGAGCATTGAGAGGAGTAAATGATGATGTTGGATAATTCTGTTGGCTGTGAAAGCTTCAACGAGTCCGTCAGTTATCACCAACGACGAATGAGATGCTCCCACAAGGACCGAACGTGGACTAACCCTTCAGCCAATGCCTCGCCGTCGCCTTGCAGGCCTAGGTCGTACTGGCCCAAGTCGTCAGCAGTGGAAAACGACATGTTGTTGACCTTTGCCTCCTCTGCGTTGGACAATCACGACTACGCAGTTTATACTTGAGGTGACTGAGGTTGTGTACCAAGGAGTTGGGGAGGCAATTAAAGGATGACGATGTTGATGCTTCGCAGTTGAGAAGGTGACGAGGCTGAGGCTAAGGTTGAGGTTGAGAGAGAAGGCGGACTCGCGGAGAAAGAGCCGAGATCGGGCCGGGTACGGGAGGGGTTCGGCAGTTGGCGGGGCGCGGAGCAGTGGAAGGAATTCATGCCGAATGCGTGGGCAATGGGTGGCAGTGGCAGTGGCAGTGGCAGTGGCTGCTTCATGCCAAAATCACTTCATCCCACCCGACATACTCTTCCCATTGCAACTTATCCATCCTCTATTGTCTACACTCAGAACTTCAAAATTTCCTGTTCAGGCAGCTTCTCGGCGTCTATTATACAGTACAAGCTTTCTACAAAGGCAACCGAAACCTAACACCACCTCATCCCACCCCACGTGCCTTGAGCTCTCCAGGTCCCTTATCAGACGACCTCAAAGAGTGTAACGTGTATCCGTAACCTTTCCAGCCTTTTGTTCAAGAGCTCCCTCTTTGGTATCTCGATGCTGCAGACTTATCCATTGATTGTGTACCTTCACGTCTACTCATAACAAGTTTTGCTCGTCCTCGTTGATATTGTATCACACCAGACTCGTCTTGTGGTTGTCCAAAGGCACAGGTTCCTTGCCCATTGTGCGACTCACACCATGTCGGCTTTTCGATCGGTTAGTCCATTGACTCTGTGTTCAAGAACCCCGCTTCCGAGCTATCAACCCATCATAAAAAACGCCCCAAGTAGGCTTTCAAGCAAAACTATATCCAAACAAGCGAGCTTCCGCCTCTGCTCCGAGTTTGGATGCCTCGTTGCTCCGCTCTGGTCATGGTATATAAAGCACGCACACAACTGCTTGCTAGTTGCCAAAGTCAAGATATTCGACTTGATCAAACAAGCAAACATGGCTTTCCTGCTTATGCCTATCATCTTCTCCTTCCCGGCATCGCAAGGAATGGTTCATGACAAGATGCTGACTCGGACTCACTTTCAGAAAAAGCCTTACTCCTCTATCACGGTCGCGATTGAGAATCTGACCAGCGAGTCCTTTGAAGAGAATGACTTTAGCGGTATTCCAGACCTCGTTGACGCCATTAACATCCAAGCGACAGGTCCCACAGAAGCAGCTCGGGCTATCAGAAAGAAGCTCAAGTATGGTAACTTCCATCGCCAACTTCGTGCTCTGACCATTCTGGATGGTCTTATCCAAAATGCCGGTGGGCATTTCCAACAAAAGTTTACCGATCCAATGCTGTTGGAGCGTTTGCGAATCTGCGGCACGGGCGATCTCACAGATCCTGTGGTCAAGGCCAAGTGCAAAGAACTATTTAGGCAATGGTCTACATTGAAGAATGTTGGTGGTTTGAGGGCAATCTCTAATCTTCATAAGGTATTTCATCACGTGTGTGCTGCAACATACGACATCGTTACTCACAAATTTCTAGGAGACACATCGATCAGCTGGAACTCAAAAGGTTGTGACTAGAGATGAGTCCAAGGTCATTCGTGAGACTGAGAATCCATTCGACGATGACGAAGAGGAGGAGAAAGCTGCGCCGACACATTCTCGAAATACGTCGTTGTCTCAAGGCCAACCCAGTAACAGCTCATCACCACGTACTTCTTTCTTCAGTTCAAGCGGGAGTTCCTCAAAATCAGACGCCAAGTCGAAGAAGGACAAAAAAGGCAGAAAGAGAAGTAAGCCCTTCAATCTTGACGCCGAGAAAGAAATCATGAAGAGCTGCATTGCAGACTCCTCCATGTCCTCCACGAATCTACTTAATGCTTTGCGATCCATCAACCGTGAGGTTGAGCAAATATCTTCCAACCAAGCTGCCGTTCGCGAATTTGACAACTGCAAGCTTCTTCGTCGTAAAATCTTGCGTTATGTAAGTCGACAATCTCCCTGGCCTCTTCTGACCTCTTGAAGGATATGAAGAAACGTGTTGTTTCTACAAATGATTGCAAGTCAATTCGCATGCTCATGATTTCTCAGGTACACCACATAGCAGAACACCCAAAGTCCGAACAGTGGATGGGTGCCCTCTTGCACGCAAACGATGAGCTCATTCTCGCATTGATGACTTTCGAGCAGTTGGATCGCTCCATCGACGCTGATAGTGACTCTGACGATGAGCTAGCACAGCAAGCCCACGCTTATAAAAGTAAGTCCCTCTCCATTCTTTCTCCGCCTTTTGGTTTCGTCGGCTAACTCGCAGCAGTGCTCGCAGGCACCAACGGCAAGTCAAATGAAGAAAGCTTCGACCAAAACCAACTTTCAGGTCTTCATATCAGCCCTCCAGCACCTCCTCGCACCCAACAACACAGACCGCCACCGCCCCCACGACCGGTTAAAATGTCCCCACCCAAGATTGAAGTGCCAGCGCCTGAGGAGGATGATGATGACCCTTTTGCCGACCGAAATGCTGTGCCGACGCCAAATGCTGAGAAGGATGAGCCAAGATGGTAAGTCATGAAGTCTCATCGGCCAGGAGTGGAAACACTAACAATTATTTAGGGCTGTCATCTAGTAGAGTGTCGACAGTTGATTAATTTTCTTTTGTGCACGGTGGTTGACGAGATACGCGTGCTTGGATGGGATGATTCCAGATGTATGAAGCGTTGTGTTGCGATCGTTCTGCTGGGTCTGAGTTCTTCCTTTCCATGTAATCAGGATGCTAGGTAGATCGTCGAGATTCCACGGACTAATTGATTGATCGGTCTATCATATAATGCCTCATGAAGATGTGATTGTGTCATCGTACTCAATATCAAGTCGAATCAAGCATATAGTACTCAATTAATGTTTTAAAAAAAGGACCTGCGTACCCAGAACCTCTACATCAACCATGAGGCGCTTGCCCATTACTTCCAAGGTCGGAACCAAGGTCGGAACCAAGGTCACGGAAAAGCAGATAACCAGCTTGAAAAGATTGCTGTATACATATCGCGAGCTGGATGCAAGAAGTCTTGACAACCTTCCACCGACTGATCTATATGAGTACTCTGTTGCTAGAAGGTTTGATTAATACTTAGCGAATGGTGGATCTTCTCGGGTGGGTTCTGAGACGGAGAAAGGGAGCAGATGAAGATTTCAGATGGTAGTATGTTAGGGCAAGAGCATCTTTGCCAGCGAAGTGAAAGACAAAGGACCTGGCATTTCTGCGAAATTGCGATGTACTATTCTCGTCACCTCAGCTCTTAATTCACTTTTTACCCCGCCACCAGCGGAAATTATCGCCCATTAACAAAAATCTGCTCCAAGAGTCAACTCGAGTGTGCAGATCAGCTACACGTCCAAACATCGCCAAAATGGCACGAGGACCTAGTAGCAGACAAAGGAGAGAGACAGAGAGGTTGAGGAAGGCTGCGGAAACAGTATCGCACTGAGTAGATCGCAATTCTCGTCGACGTCCTGGTACCTGGTGAATAGCATCGTGTACATTTTGTTTGGACAAGACTGTTGCTGCCTCGCTGCCTGGCAGGTCATCTCGCTTAGCAAAACATCCCAAAAAGATCAAAAAGCTCAAAAAATTAATGCTCAACAGCGCAACCAGCAAAACCAAGAGTCCTGTACCCGTAGGTCAGGATCACCTCTCTACCCGTGCATAGAGACTTACCCCAACCTACCCCGCAGAGTAGGGGACATACCTTTCTAGGGGTACTATTTGCGAGGCCTCAGGGTTTATTGCAGTAAGAGTGGGCCCTTAGTGCCTTCTGAGTACGCAGGTGGCTTGCTTCACACGTTAACCGTTAGGCCAATGTGCTAGTTTGCGCTACTCAATCGCTGCGTGATGGGATTTGCTTATTGGCGGGATATAAAGAACATGTGTGTTTTGTGGGTCCTCGCTAATTGGTTGCCAGACGACTCGACAGTCGACGGTGAATCCAAGGGCCGCGGAACGCTGAAGAGTGTGAGGTTGCCAGGGAATTTTTTGAGTGGTTGACTTGGTGCCTAAGCAGGAAAGTAAGTATTCATGAAAATATTGAACAAGACAAGTACCCAATCAATTATTCTTGAATCTCATAACGCACTCATCCTTCCACTTCCCATCATTGGCAGCTCCCCCCTCCATGCCAGCTTTCCCCTCAACAACCAAACCAGAATAATCATCAATATCCTCCTCATCATCATCATTCATTCCCTCTTCCATTTCCTCATCTTCCTCACCCATGTCCCCGTCACCCTCACCCATTTCCTCCCCATCCCCCCTACCAGCCTCATCACCAGCAGCACCACCAAACTTCCCCATCTTCCTCTTCTCCTTCCGGGCCACCCTTCTCATCTTCTTGACCTTCCCCTGGTCTCCCTTCCGTATAGCCGCCATCTACAAGAACGCGAATAAGTAAATGATCACACATCTTCATTGTACGCTCTACTTACCGAGTCTTGCCTGGCGATAACCCAGGACTTTGGCGCGACGTGCGCATTCTTCTTCCGCTCCTTTTCCACTTCCGCGCCCTTCCTCAACCACTTTCTTCTCTCTTTCGACTCCTGAGGAGCCCAGCGGTTTTGTCTGGTCATTTGGAACATGTTCGTATGTACGGTGATGTTTGGAATATTGGATTGTGGGAACTTGGGCCTGTGGAAAAATGGCGGGAGATGAAATGTAAACACTGCTCTGCACGACATGCAATTTCGCTTATTTTGGCACTAGTGGCTGGAGCTCATTAGAAAGGTCGACAGTAGCCTTATTCCTTACTAGCATCTAAACAGCTTTATTAAATAAAATAAGAGACCACTTAGTTAATTAATCCGTAGAACTTCTACCATCTAAGATAACCTAGTATCTTAATCGTATTCAAGGGAAGGATTCGGACCTAGTAGTATAATTATAACGTAACGCTTCAAGCATCTATTAATAGTATAGAAGTATATACAAATCCTAGATTTCTTTATTCGAGCTTTAGTAAATAATAGTTTTAAAAACATAACGTGCATGTATAGCGAACCGGCCAAACAAGCGAACCGGCCAAAACCCGGCGACCCCACCACACCTCCACGAAATATTAAATTTCTCTACATCGAAGGATGCCTCTGAAAAATGAAGAAAGCCGGTTAGTCTTAGCTATCCAAGCTATGCAAAAAGACCCAAATTTACGTGCTCGAGCTGCTGCCAGGACCTATTCTGTAGACCACCGGAAGCTAGGTCGACGTTTGCTTCGTATACCTTCACGACGCGATATTTTAGCCAATTCACGGAAAATGACCGAGCTAGAGGAATCAGTACTTGTTCAACATATCCTCGACCTAGCTACAAAAGGATTTCCTCCGCGGATATCTGTAGTTGAAGATATAGCAAATCGACTTCTTGAAGCACGCGACGCGCCACGCGTCGGGACGCGTTGGGCTTATAACTTTGTTAAGCGCCGCCCAGAACTCCAGACACGCTTCCAACGAAAATACGACTATCAGAGAGCTAAGTGCGAAGATCCAGAAGTCATTCGTGGCTGGTTTGAGCTTGTACGAAACACAATAGCGAAGTACGGAATCTACGATGCAGATATCTACAACTTTGACGAGACTGGGTTTATGATGGGCGTTATCTCAACTGCAATGGTTATTACAAGCTCAGAAGGACGTGTAAAAGCAAAAAGAGTACAGCCTGGTAATCGGGAATGGGTTACAGTAATCCAGGGGGTTAATGCCCAAGGCTGGTGTGTTCCACCGTTTGTGATTGTTGCCGCAAAAGATCACCTCGCTTCTTGGTACCAAAACAGTGGATTTCCACCTAACTGGGTGATTGCTATTACTGAAAATGGTTGGACAACAAATGAGAAAGGCATGGATTGGATTCGACATTTTGAGAAGCATACAAAGTCCCAATCTATTGGTGGTTATCGTCTATTAGTCCTCGACGGCCATGAAAGCCACCACTCCGACGAATTTGAGGAATATTGCAAGGAAAACAACATTATCACTCTTTGTATGCCTGCTCATTCTTCTCATATACTCCAGCCACTCGACGTTGGCTGTTTTAGCCCTTTGAAAAGGGCATATGGTCAGCAAATTGAAGATATGATGCGGGCTCAGATCATCCACATTACTAAGGATGATTTCTTTCCTGCCTTCCACGCCGCATTTAATATTGCAATGACAGAAAGCAATATCCGAGGAGGGTTCCGAGGGGCTGGGCTTCTTCCATTTGACCCAGAAAGTGTAATTTCTACACTTGATCTTAAGCTAAAGACGCCAACGCCTCCAAACTCCCCCCCGTATTCCGCTCAGCCTTGGGTTTCCCAGACACCAAATAACCCTACTGAAGCCTTATCACAGACTGCATTTATTAAAGATCGAATTTTACGCCACCAAAGTAGCTCTCCAACCCCTATTTACGAGGCCATTGACCAGTTTACGAAGGGTGCATCAAAAGTAATGCACCAGATAGTACTATTGAAAGCTGAGAACCAGAGACTTCGACAAGCAAATGAAGTACTAAGTAAGCGCCGTAGAGCTAAAAAAACACGCCTACAGCAAGGAGGATCACTTAGTCAACAGGAAGCGCAGGACCTACAGGATGATAGAGACGTTGGTGAGCAGGTAATGCAGGAAATAAAGAGAAGTAGTGGTCGGAAGCCGAGGGAAGAATCACGTGCACGGCGCTGTGGCAACTGCGGAGAGACTGGTCATAATACGCGCACCTGTAATATTATAGAGGAAGTATCTGAGGAAGAAATTTCTGAATAGTGTTTTTTAATTAGAGGCGTTGTGGTAGAGTTCTTACAATTTCAATCGCGAGTGTAGAGAATTTTGGCCGGTTCGCTTGTTTGGCCGGTTCGCTATACATGCACGTTATATCTAGGAGAAAGGCCTATTTTATAGTTTCTTTATAATCTTTTTAAGATACTATTTAGTAAATCGTATAGGACAAATAAGTGACTCGGTCGTTCATCTCTAAACTAGATTTATAATCTTTAGTTACTATACGTTTAGTAATTTTAGTACGAGTCTAGATTAAGTACATTACTTCTCTTATTTAATATAGGAAGATTTATAGAACTAAATTACGCTAATATTAAAATTTTCTTACTTCTTTGTTTTTTATACTTAAATATTAAACTTTAAGAGATATTACTTTATTATTTAGAAATAATTTCCTCTAGGAAAGTTCTTAGATTCCTAGAATAAACGCTATATACCCTGTATTTAGAGTATATAGTATTATAAATAAAGTAAGTTTAGATGTTTAAAACCCATATTCTAGTAGATTTCTCTGTTTTCAATTTGCGATAAAACTTAGGGCTTTTAGTAGAAGACGAGGGTATAATGTGGAATAGATAAGCTGGAATATAGAGAGAAGCTAGCTAGGGGCGTGCAGGGCTCTAATATAGGGCTGTCTGTCGGCATAGAAGTGTCCTGAATGGGACTAGCGCCTTCCATGGAATATGCTAGTGCCAGACAGTGGAGCCGAGAGCTCTTATCGTAACAGTTTTGGCGTAATGATTACGTTCTTCTACTCCTTACATATGTAATCTAGCTCCTATAACTGTTACGATGAACGAACATAGGTAAATCATATAGGTCAAAATGTGGTAAAATAACCAACTAAAGAGTCTAGAACTCGAAGTAAGGCCAGCTAAGATAGTATTGGGTTGAAAGGGTATTGGGTACTGAAGGTCATGGAGAATTGATTGCATTGTAAAAGGTAGCTATCTAAGGTGTTTATATAAAGAGTGTAAGGTTTAGGCAGACATGAAGCATTTAGGCAGCAGAACTATAAGTGGATCAAATAAGGAAGTGGAGCAAAAGAGAAAGTAGACCCAGCACAACAGATAGGTACGTACAGTACTGCCTAGTGCTGTACTAAGAGCACGTGCCGATATGAAGAGTGAATGCTAGGTACTCGTGACAATAACCACATTCTCCTTTCTATAGACTTCTAAGGAACTTAGCTGTTACATCACAAGTGCTCTCAAATATTGTCGGCACGAGTACTGCTAGCTTCTCTGTCTAATACTAACATATTCAGCGTTGAATGACTTGTACATAGAGAATCTAGCAAAGAGCAGTAAAGAGAACGACTGTGTGGATCACTCCTGGTCAGACTTATTTCAAGTATCTCATAGTTGAAAAAGTGCTAATAGTTATAATTACGCGCAAGCTAACTACCGTATCACTCCTACCTTCTAAATCCAAAAGTACCGCTCAAAATCCCTTAAATCAAACCATTCCTTCCCTACCCTAAGACTCATAAAGAGATTATACGCCTCATTAGCCCAACGATTCACCTCCGGTCGCGCAGCCGGAATATCCCATATCTGAAGGCCATAACTCCTCATCAAATCGGCCATCCGACCTCCGAGATCCACATCGTTGGTACTCCGATACCACGGGAGGGTGAGGTCCCTGTGGAGAACTTCAATTAGAATGCTGCAGGTCATTCTTAGAACTTCTGCATCAGTGATGGGATGATTTTCAATGACGAATGAATCGGTTAGAAAGCAGTCGGGTATGTCTTGGCGGTAGATGAAGAGGCTGTAGTGCCAGCCCATATCGTGGCGAAGTGAGATGTGCCAGTCGTGACGGGATGTTGATCCTGCTGAGGGTCGTTCGTTGAGTTCCTGGACGATGGTGCGAAGGGTAGAGTTTTCCATTTGAGAGGAGGGAAGTTTGTCAGATGGTTTTCGAACGATGTGTGTTGAGTAACAATGTTAATTCAAGGTCTGGTGACTTTTCGAAGTATGGAGATTTGGAAGTGTAGAATTCTGGTTATATAGTTGTTGTGTGTAGGTATACGAGTAACTTCTAGAAAAGTCTATGGTTTTACGGCTTTGTTTTGAAGTTTGAGAAATCCTTGGGCTGTCCTTTAATAAAGGCCTAATTAGAGTCAAAAGTGTTTTAAGTTTTAAGCTTCAAACGAAAATCTCTCCGGGGAAAGGAGCACAAGTGACACAAAGGTGATGTTCAAGGGATGGACATCATCACAAAAGGTAACACAATAGTGGGACTTTTTCAAAACTGTCTACTCGCTAATTCATTCTTTCGTATTGTTCTACCACAGGATCAAAACAATATAACCTAACGAATGATATTATAAGTCTTAAGATAGCAGAGATTTAGCTCACTCTTTTATTGGGCCAAAGTAGTAACGAATTGAAGAGATATACCACAAATCCCCATCTCGGCAAAGGGAAGGAAAATATACTTAGCAAGGTCTGCCAAAGAGTACTATTCCTATGCATCTTATTTCATAAAAGCTTGGCTTACACAGACACACAGAATCCAGTAAATGGATTCATTCTCAAGAAGACTCATAAATATCGATTCTCTGAAGCTTACGCTAAAATTCTAAAGCTGTGACATGTCTTTCACAGGAGCTTTAGAGACACCAACCTAGCTTGCCCACCACTGTAATTGCACAATAGAAAGAGATCGACCAGTAACATCGATACCAGAAGCTCTTAAATTGCTTTCCCAAGCAAATTCAAGGGCCCATTTCTCTAGTTCGAGCGACCGTCTCGACTTCCTTCTCTTCCGTACCTCGCCAGAAAACCTATTTGCCTCGTAAAAGCACTCCATATCCACGGAAGTGGGGATATCATCCGTAAGCAGTCTTTTCGTCGAAAGAATGATTTCGTCCAAGGTTGGAAATGACTCGAAGATCTTGATTCTGCTTCTAATCAGTGATAGAGAGTCATAGTGGTGGTCGAGGGGGATATCAAAGCTCCCGGGCCCAGAGCCTGGAGGCCCGAAATCATCGCCCGAAAGCGGTTGCCATTTGCAAATGCTTTTGACGTTGGCGGCCATGCTTTCTTCCATCTGCTCTGCTAACGCTTGAATGTCTTTGATTTTGAAGAATTCCGGAAATACTAAGACATCTGTATCGAGTCGATTTATAGGGAATTTACAATTGCTTTCGGGTGGCACTTTAAGTAAGGATTTGTAAACTTCATTGAGTGCACTGCGATAGACAAAGTTAGCATCTTATCTAGATGTCAACACATCGCTAAGTGAGATAGTATTCAACTGGACACCTTATTCAAAAAGCAAATACGTACAAGTCTGCATCTCGCGTACCAAATACATCCCCAGCACGTGGGGGGCAAGCATAATATCCCCTACCATCCTTTCGAGGCTTGATGATAATATTCAGTCCGGGAAGATCTACTACAGCTTCGCTCCAAATTCGATCTCGAAGTTCCTTGGGTAGGCTGAAGAAAAGTCGCACCTTTTTTGGTTGACACTGGTGTAGCACCTAAGCCTTTTCGAGACTTCCACCACATCTTCAGGTATTTCCTAATAAACTCAGACTTCCGCATTTTGGGATACGTTCTCGATATATTCCTGTCTGAGAAAAGGTCTAAGTAGTAAGGTCGAAATTAGTGTTTTGCCTTGAGATGATATCATAAGAATGAAATCCAATCTAGTTTCCTCGAGTCGTCGAGGAGAAAGTTATTCGTACAAGTACCTCGTTTTCTCCAGACTCCAGAGAGACTCTAGAATCCTTCGTGTGGATCAGGACGCCAAGAATAGTGGCGGTGCAAATACCTACTACATTTGGACAGAAAAGGGGGTACGGTGAGTCAGCCGTAGGAACACGAAAACTCGTCCGCAGCGGAACACGGCTCTTGCACTTACGTAGCGCTGCTTCCACTAGTCTAGTCGGGAAGACCTATAAATAAGACTGACTTGTACGTGTAATTAAGGACTGTCTTGCCCTCGAAAAATATACAAAATATCTAAAATGAGAGTAAATAAAACAGGCCTGATTAGTTCTATTAATACGCTATCTATATAGGTTATAACAACGTCGTATCAAAGATTTAAGGAGGAACAAAGTTCCATTCGCGAAGGCTTATTACAAACCAAACTTTACTAAAACATTCCAACGACTAACTTATATATATCCCCAAAACTCTTATACCCAGAAGCCGTTGAATAATTCAGACAAAGGATGTAACTTGAATCCAATCACGAAAACCTGCCTCTCCTAGTAAGTACTATACCAATTACTATCCATGTTGAAAGATATAACAGAATATTACAATATTATATTTTCTATTACATCTTTTAGTGTAAATCTTATCCATAGAACTGTCAACGAAGCATCTTCTGTAGATCTTTAGTCTGCCTGTTTAACTACATCTGGCTCAGAAACCTGTGCAGAGTCGACCTGCTCAGGTTCAGAAGCTTTTGCGGAGTCGACTTGCTCTGACTCAGAAACTTGTACAGAGTCAACCTGTTCGGGTTCAGGAACCTTTGCGGGGTCAACCTGCTCCGGCTCAGCGTTAAGATTCTCATCTATTCACAAAAGGATTAGTTTCTATCCACAAGACTGTACCGGAGATTCTCTCTTACCTTCTCTCATCAACTTATAAATACTCCCAAGATGAACCAATTCCCGTTGACAATCAAGCCAATCATCAAAAGCCTCCCCACAATCCTCATGCGCCTCACAACCAACCCCCTCCTTACAATTCAAAAAAGGCTTCAACGTAACCGACAACTCCGAGAACGTCCCAATCTCAACTTTGATCTTATCCTTCTCAACCGCGACCTGTTGCCGCCAAGAACTTCCAAGCCTCATAGCCAGAGCTTCCGTATCAATCTGATAGCTTGGTTCCTCACCAAGAAGGATATTGAAGCGGATATACCACGAAATCACACTATCAAGCCATTTATTCTCTCGCTCAAGAGGCAGTGGGAATGAGAGTCGACCAACGACCCGGTTGATGGCGTTGCCAGCTATGTAGTCGGCCATGTACTCTTTCCAGTAATCCCAATCCACATCAGCCTGCGAGTAATCACTGCCGCCGAAAAAGTAATGCTCCTGCTTCTCCAGAGAAATATTGGCCAATCGAGCCGCATCCTTATTTTGCTCCGTGGGCACCAAGCGGAGTTTGATGGTGATGCCGTGTTGAGCTTGTGCTTCCGAGATGTTGTGGTGGATCTTGGTGATCAGAATGTAATTCTCGACTCGGACGCCCTCCGAATCCTTGTAGTCATTCTCTTGCCAAGTCCAGATATGCTTGGTGAGAGCATCAAAAACATACGAGGATTCAGTTTGAATGACAACACTCGTGATTGGCAGCGAATTTGGACATTGATCCTCATCGAGGATCCCGTAGATGGCGCTCAGGACTGCGAACAGCTCGGCTGATTTGCTGGTTTGTTCTTCATCTGGCGGGAGAAGGGAACAGTCGTTATAAGGGGAATTGGGAGCGAAGAAAATCCCATATGAGGCGACGGCTGCAACTTTTCCCGTCTTTTCTGCATTGTCAGACTTTTCTGCGTTTTCAGGCTGTTCTGCGTTTTCAGGCTGTTCTGCGTTTTCAGGTGTCTCGTTGTCCTTGCATCTTCCATCTACACAGATGAGAAGAGGGCATTCAGACGCATCATTGTCCGTACAAGCTTCCGCCAAGGTGGTGAGAGCGAATTCAGGGGAGTGTTTGGTGACCCATTTCCTGTCGGGGGATTCGCCAAATTTGCGGTCGACATAAGAAATCTCGGTCATCGCTCTTAAGGGCGATAAATCGAATGATCCTTTGATGTTTGGAAGCAGCTCACACAAGTATGGGCGTCGCTGGATCTCTGCCCCTATACTTTTGGTCTGCCGCCGCGAAAATAACAGCTTTTGTCAAAGCGTGAGGCCGTGCCTTGCAGACTGCAGTTACTATTTATAATTTGTGCCAGTTAACCGTTGAAATATGCTACACAATTGCAAAGAGATAGGCCAGTGTTTTGCAGCGGTGTAATGATAATGATAGTGGAGATGTGTTGTTGTCATGTTGAAAATGAACAACGGAAACAGCCCACCTCTCATTGGTGTCGATCATCGATAGCAAAAACCAATAGAAAATCTCTTTCCAAAGACACGAAGCACCAAAGATTAACCCTGTCTTAATCATCAATATATGCATGCAATCGTATGTATCTCCCAGGAAAAAAACCGTGGCCTTTTCCTGCTACTTGATAGCAAGTCACGTTCGCAAAACCCCGCATGGGTTTTGGCCGTCTTGGGACCCGTCCTTAGGTACAGTACCTCAGTGCCCGAGAACAGTATTTATACATGCAGTCATTCTTCCAAATCCAGCAAGTTGCTCATGATATAATATCCACTTTGGATGGCTACTTGGGACAGAGCCAACTTCAAGAAGGTTGAGGGAGTGGTTGGACTTTTTGATAGAATTCTCTATTAGGCTTCGCTCATGCCTCAATGTCTCTGGCCAAGACAGCCCTAGAATTCTTTCAAACAGTTCTGGCAGCGTTTCATTTGGAGTTCGCTCTCCTACGCCTGTCTTTCTACCATAGAGAAGAAGGTGCCGAATGGTCCAAGAGAGCACGCTGCTCATCCAAATATTTTCTCTCCTCGACGATGCAGGAAGCGGGTATTCTAGTCGACCTAGAACTCTGTTGATAAATTTGAGCTCTTTTGCATTCTTTACGCCGTATTTCGCATTGCGGCGCCATGCTTTATTTGGCAAGCATGGTCGCTCGTAGGCGAAGTGATACAGCTCTGGCTTGTCTAGAGCGATATTTGCCAGCCTGTCGGCAGCACTGTTGTCCGCTCTTCCTACGAGTCGAAACCGGATTCTGGTATCTTGATTCCATTCAGCCTCATAGGCGAGCCTATGAATATCCATTATCAAATTCACATTCAAGATTTGCCTGCCCGTTGAGCTGAGATATCCCTTGCTTTGCCAGGTCCAGATATAGTCGGTAAGAGCCGTGAAGATATACAACGAATCGGTTTAAATCACAACTTTCGCGCTACTATCAATCCCATCCCAGTACTAAAAGGGTCTGATCTTATTGGTCACGACAGATTTGATGGCTTCTCTGACAGCGAATAGCCCGGCGGATTGATTGGTCTGAACCTCATTGGCTGGAAGTAGGGCACACATATTGTATGGAGAGTTCGGGGCGAAGAAAAGGCCGTAGGAGCTGGTGGCGGTAGGTGTTCCATTGCCTCTACAAGCTCCATCAACATTAACGAGGATGAAATCATCGTTGCAGTAAGTGATTCCTGCTGAAGAATCGAGCTGAATGCTGTGTGGATCTTCCAAACGGAATATGCGATCTACCCAGGGCGCTTTGAACATTGAAGCGGCCATGGTCGACGAGTTCCTTCTGTCCATGCAATAAGTGTCGATTTCAAAGAGGTGCTGATCATTCGTACTCAAGCCCGTCGAGGTCGAGGTTTGATGCCGACAATATCTCTTAGGATGGTTGTCCTTGTCGTTTAGCCTTGATCGTTCCTACCTAGAAAACAGTAGGTTAATCTGGCGCCGTACCCAATACCGGAAATCGTAAGAGGAGCATCAATTGGGTTACATGACGCTGATGTCTTGACATGTTGATATCTTGGTCCTACTGGTTTGTTGCTAGCCCGTTTCAGGTTTACACTAGAATGGTCTACCAGTAGAATGCATATAGGTACGAGTACCTAGTGAGATATCAAATGGGATAGTCTCTGGGAGGTTCATATTGGATGAAAAAACAAGTGAGAGAAGTCGTTCTCTCATGCTTGCAAGCTTTTTCGTCATTTACTTTTGGTTCAAGAATTAATAGTCGAATCATCCCTAAAGACTGAAGTTAGTCTCTTCGAGTAAGTAGAAGAAATAACGGGAGGGCTGCTTACTGCTGCTTTGCTGGATCCCGTAAGAGGGGTATAGCTTTACTTTAGAGTATCGCGAGAGAGTTCCCCAAGGTATAAAGAGGAAGAGATGGGTTCGTATGGATATCGTCCTCGGTTGTGAAAGTATGGAGATATGGTGAAGTGCTGGAGATATATACTTCTACCCGAGCTCTACCTAGGACTTCTCGCTTCTCGCTTGCGTGACATCATTCCGCCCCCAATCCCAGCTTCTCCACTTTTGTACAACGGCGCGTCTTCCACATTTCCCCGCGTCCCCATTCCCCATTTGACCTCGTACTGTACCCAGAGTACCGTACGTACGAGTGTACCAAACCACCAACACCAACACCATCCACCAATCCGCAGACAAGAAAATCGCCAACCTCGATATGCGCCTGCGAAGCGGAGTCGTCGTCGATGTGCAAAAACCTCGTCCGCTACAGCGGGCATGTTGGCAATGCCGAACGGCACAGGAAAGAGTAAGATCATATCTCCAGACCGCCGCAGGACTCGTACCAAACTGCAGGTAAACGATTTCGGCATACTGACTCAGCCTGAACTATACAGACCAATCCCAAGAAATCAATCTACGAATGCGATCCCCGCTGCATAGTCGCCAACTTCGAACAACGCAAGATCCCCGAGAAAGTCCTCACTTCCTTTCCCAAAATCGTCGGTCTCGGGACCTCAGAGTTCATCCTCCCCGCCTCATTAGGAATTTATCTCAAGATCCAGAAACAATATACGAGCGGCGAGGACTTTCCCATTCGCTTCTTTGACCCTTCGCTCATATGGCTGGATCCACAGAGACCGCCGCCGTATTATGCGGCAATTGCGTATATACGGAAGTACCGCGCGAGTCTGGTAGAATGGGGAAACTGGTACGAACCACGGACATTGATAATCATGGGCGAATTTCTCGCCTGGCAGGAAACCAGGATTAAAGAGGCGGTCAAGTGCCAGAGGCATTTAACGGAAGAGGTTTTGATATTAGCTTCCGTGTTCAGGATTTTGGCTTATAGTCATGAGTTGGTACAAGTGTGGTTCAATCTTGGGGACGCAGAGGAATTCCAGTTCGAGGGAATGTTCAATTCAATACCCAAATCTATCACCTTCCCCGGCGAAGATCCCGTCATCTCGATATCTACGTGCGAGGAACCACCGACCGACTCAGAGGAATCTGTCGACATCTCTATGCTCCTCTCCACCATCATGCAACAACTTCAAACCATGATACTCCGTCGAAAGCCCTCCGATTGGCCAATAATCATAGCCGTCCTCTCGATTCTCAAACTGTCAGAGAATTCATTAAGCTGTGGTCTGCGATACTTTTCGCCCTTCGAGAATGCACCCCGTTTTGAACACGCCTTGAACTCGCTATGTGTCCTGTTCGATTGTATAGATGGGCGACATCCGTTGTCAGAAGAGTGGAGCGCATCTCATTACAAGAGTCTTGTGGGCACCAATAGTTTGGCATTCTCCTGGTGTGAGTTGCTAAGAGATTTGGCGGTGGATAACGACGATGTATGGGATCACGGTCAGTTAATCGACAAGATCGACTCGTTTATTTCGAATGCCTGATTTGAGGGTTACCTTTTCTAAAGGCGGGAGAAACAAACTCGTGATATTGTATATACCCAGGAGACCTTCCGGAACAGGATTTGCGGCACGGCACGGCATCGCCAGGAGGCTCTGATCTTTTTTTTTTTGCTTTTCACTGTTAGCTTGGCGCATCTACAATATACCCCTCGGAGTTTAAGGAGCTTTGTTCTTTCATGGGCGGGGATTTTCTGGGAAAGGCTGAAGACGGAACGCGGAATTTGTAAATGAATGAATTCACTGGTGTCTAAATTGATTATTCACCTTGTATATTGCCATTCATCTAGGCTGATCTACTCGCCAAGTATTTACTAGTGCTAGTAGGGGAAGTAAGTAGTACAGGCTTGTTCAAGTACTTGGTAGTTCTACAAACTACCTACCTATCTATCAACTTAATCAGACCACGTACTCTGCCCACCTCTACTCTACTCTACTCTATTGAACTCTCCTAAGTATCACTCTTATACACAACCCAACTATATGCTCTATCTCTCTCTATCCCTACCTACCTCTTCCATATCTCCCTGCCCATCGAAAGCTTCGACGACTTCAGACTGAATCCACCCTCATCTCACCAGATATTAAGTCGCTTTCCGTGAAAAGATTTCTATTCATATTTCATTTCCTCTCTATCTCTATCAACCTTCCCTATCTATCTATCCATCTATCCCTCATTCCCTCTACCGAGAATATACCGTCATGTAGAAAACCTAGCAAATCTAGACCCCGTGCTCTATATGAGCTCATATACCGACCGACGTCTCGTCAGATTCGTATCCTGAGACCTTCTAGCTCTATCAAGCAACACCGCATCGTCGCATATCAACTGACCGCGAATCGTGTTACTCGCCATTTGTGTCATGTATCGTGCCTCCTGGGGAGATAACCCCCGAGTTCCTCATCTGTATCTCGTTTCTTCATGATATAGTTGCACCACTGTCCCAAGAGCCTCCAAATTCATCAAATATCATTACGTTCGTAAAACCTCATTCTCATATCTCAGTCCAGATCCACCCCGTTCAGCGCCTCCTTCAAACTATCACTCTTCTCCGCTTCATCCGGGCTTACTTCCTCAAGTTTCTCTTCCAAACTTCTGCTCTGCAGCGCAGAGGGGCTCTCGCTTCTACTTCCGCCTTCGCTACCCCTTTGGGTCTCCGGTGGGGTGATCTCCCCCGTAGTAACTGGCGTGCGTTGAACGTGATTCAAGTTCCTCTTCATAATACACATCTCGATGGAGATTCCTGGTCCAAAAGCGCATCCTACCACGAAATCCTTGACTTTTCCTCCGGGGGCTAGCGAATCCATGTCCTTTTGACGAAGACGGTCCATGACGGAGAAGATGGTTGCGGATGAGGAGTTTCCGTGATTTATATAGGTGTCGTATGAGGCGCGGATGTGTTCGGAGGATATGGACATGGCTTTCTCGACACCTGTGAGAATTGTCGCGCCGCCTGGATGGAGGGCCCAGTCGAAGTCGGAGGGAAGGTTGTAATTTGCGGGAAGATTGGGGAGGGTAGAGATGAGGTCGTCGAATGTGGGGGACACGACGGCCCCCGTTAGTTTTGGGACGCGGGGTGAGAGGACGACTTTCCAGCCTGTTCTGTATTAGCTCTACATCAATCCTGCAAATCGAGTATTGGTGAATTACCCAGAGGATCAACATCGAACCCAAGATCTTGTTCTGTATCAGGAATAATTCGATGATCCCACCCTAAGAGTTGGTAGACAGCCTCCTCTTGTTCCCCTCCAATCCCATTACTCAACACGGCCGCACTCGCACAATCGCTAAAAAGCGTGATACCAATCCTCGTCTCTTGGGATTTGTGAACATCGTCCAATTCACTCCTCACCAAAAGACTACTGATCTCCAAGGCCACAATCAGGACCCTGGCCTTCCGTCCCATATACGAACTGCCCAGCGCCAAGTTGGCAGCCGTTCGCAAACTCGCTAACCCACCACTACATCCAATTCCATGCAACAGGACCTTTTGAACTGGTTGTCTGATTCCTAGGGCTTTACATACATAATGATCGAACCCTGGATTTGCGCTATTCGTGCAAGTCGTGGAAACGACATGTGTGATATCTGCGGGCGACAATTGCGCCTCGTGTAGTGCTTTGCGCGCAGCAGTTACTGCAAGGGCGACGCCGTCCTTTAGGAATACGGTGCACAGCTCGTCGATGGTGGGGGCGCGGTCCATGTTGGCCATTGGGTGGTCGACGGTTCCTATTGCGGAACGAGAGTCGATTCCTGTGTAGTTGTTTATCGTTCGGACCTTGGCCATTCTGTTTGGTGGGGTGGTTAGCTTCGAGGGTGCTTGAAAGAAATGCGATTGGGAGAATTGAGAACGTACGCTGGGGATTCTGGGTAGTGTCTTTTGCAGAGAGTGTCTAAGTCTTTGGGATGCAATTGGAAGGGAGGGTATTCTGTTCCAATTCCTGTGATTGAGAGGTTGAGCTCTCCGAAGGTTTGGCGCGGAGGCGCATTCTGAGGTTCTGGGGTGGTTGACATTCTGGAAAGACAGACGATGGGTCAATTGATTGATTTGAAGTTCGGCGCGAGTTCTGATCTGTGGTTTTATATGTGAAGACGTTTGTAAAGAAATCTAGGAGGAATTGTGAGTGAGAAGTGCTTGTAAAGTGCCTCGGCGGAGTTCTTAGGAGGGGAAAGCTTTCGCCTTGGCGGCACACCTGCAGGTATTTATTTTGGAGGAGAGCTTGAAATGGAAATGTACCCGAAGTAAATAAAGCTCCCAAATCAGGTTTCGGACATATGTATATGTATAGATATACATATGACCTGATATCGATATCGATACCGTCATTCTAGATCTCGAATAACTTATCGAATTATTGATTACCTCATTATCCCAACAAAAGCATTACGCCGTACGAGTACAGAGCTCCCATTCGAGGAAGAGATTCATGCACGCTTGGGCACACGACCACCAACCTCCTCCAATAATAGCAAAGCTTAAAGATAGCAGGGATGGAACGGCATACACAACCGTCACTTTTGGCGGTACTCGTACCTGTAATGGTGACACATGTCAGGGACCTGACAGGAACAAACGGCTTCTATTTGTTACACGTACTGCGTCAATACCAGTAAGAACAGTCCCAAGCTTCTTACAGCCGATCCGATTCCGTAGACGACTCCGGCAATCGGGCCTGCAACAACAACTTCCTATTTACTGGAGTAAATGCCCACCCCCACTACCCCGCATTTGGTCTATTTACCGAGCTACCTATACGTCCATTCTATCCAGGCAATGGACAGTTTGAAAGTTCTTTAATAATGCTGGGGAAACTGTACGTTAAAAGTCTGTCCCAGCTTTTGTCGAAGCCATGAAACTCTCTCACAAAGATCCGAGTAAAGAATAGTAGGGTAGTGAGTCCTAGTTTGCTACTCCTCCTGTTACAGTATTACTACTTTGGAGGTAGCTCTGTCTCCAAGTAAACCCAATTATACGTATATACTTTACTAGCTCAACCTCCTACTTTCTCGCTACTCGACTTAACACTTACGCAAAAGAATAGGCGTTTTGATTACCGAAGAAGCAAGAAATACATAAACATCACCACGATTCAATATCAAAACACAAAGAGAAGGTTAAGTGATCAATACTATACAGCCCCAGTACGAATCTACAGACTAAATCTATAATCCGTTAGTCCCAATCCCAATCCTAAACCCCGTTCCATTAGTCCCAATCCCAATCCTAAACCCCGTTCCATTAGTCCCAATCCCAATCCTAAACCCCATTCCAAGCCTTTCCCAACATGGTCATAAAATCATCAAGGCTCCGGGCCAACTCCCAAAAATTCCCCGCATTTTTGGACTACAAATGGACTCTAGGCAAACCATACCGTCCTCTTGCTCTTGGACTTTTTGGTCGGAGCTGGAGCGGACCAGACGTCGGGTCCTGGGACGATGGTCCTGTAGTCGGGGTTGTTAGGGGCAAACATTTCGAACTTGAGTCCGGGGTCATCAGCGTTGAGGTAACCTGGGATCTTGACGAGGGCCTATGTGACGACACGTACGATATGTTGCCCGTGGGCGTCCAAGGTGTAGGTTATGGAATCGTAGAACTGTCTTATTCGAAGATTCTAAGCTGAAGAGAAGAGGAGAGCTCGAGGGAGCTCGAGTCTACATACATGGTGTGGGTCGCTAAGCGGCGCCACGTGATACAAGTGGCACGTGATGGTCAGAACCGTCACAGGCTCAGGCTTTCCTGTTCCGCCGCCGGTGACCTTGATTCTGTTCGGTGGTTAGCATATGTTGTCTGCCTCAAGTTTTTCTAGCAGAAGGAATAACAACTTAATGTGCACACGAAATATAAAATTCAGCTGGTCCAGCAGGAACATGCTGTAACCCAATATGTTCAATTCGGACCAGATACTCGCCATCCGGTACATCCTTTGGAATCGTGAAGTTGACTTGGGTCTTGTCAAACGTGGTCCAGGTCTCCACCGATCGCATGGGGGACTCATCCGAGATAACACTCTCCTCGTGGATCTTGAACCAGTCTCCGCTTCCATCGTAGTCGGAAACTGCAGCGGGCGCTTTGGACATGTAGACGCTTGCTGGACCGGGATGCATTCCCGAGGTCAGGAGCATTTTGAAGCCTAAGCTGGTACCTGCTTCGGCTGTGAAGGTCTGGAAAGCACATTGATAGGAGTTTTGGAGGTAAAATTTTTTGTGGTAATGGGGTCGCTTACCTTTGTCGTTCCTCCTTGGTCGTCTCCTGCTTGCTCGCCTCCCACGTTGCATCGAATCTCTTTGTCGGTAATGTTATCTAGTGGCCAGGTATCGATCGCACCCGGTCGGGTGCCTCTCCGGATGAACTCGTATAAGCCCCCTTGAGCTTCAACTTTTCCAGCGACATCTTGGTAAGGACGGCGAAGCCGTAGTGAGCCTCGATAAGAGGTGCCGCCATAAGGGCGAAGAGAGCAAGGTGCTTAAACATGGTGCAAGTAGAAGTATACGTAAGCGTACGTAGCCGTAGTGGCGAAAGAAAAAGTAGGAACTGGAATGATTGTGAAATAAAAGAAAGACTTTGATATGAAAATCAGAAGGAAAGATTTGGGATTGATTCACACACAAGATGCAGTTGCGATGACGAAGGGAAACCCAGAACACTTATACCGAGTATCGTAATACTAGGTATAATACTCGGTATATAAGACGATGGGTATAACTATAGCTACTCAGCATTGTTGCTTGGGATATTTTGATTAGACTTGGCTTTCAACCAGCATCATCCTGAAACGAAGTCGCGACTTTGCGATTCCCGGTGCCAAGATCTTGAGTTTGTGTGTATTAATATCTGCGACGACCATGCGGGTCACTTGACCAGAATTTCAGTGTCCCAGATTGCCATGACCAGATGGTAAATTTATGTACCGTAATATACCAGTATGTCTATGTCAATGTTCGGACGAGAAAGATGAGATGATAGGTAGGATACGGACCGTATACCTATAGGCAATCATGAAGGGACCATCCCATTTCCCCAACTGGGAGAAATATGATATGGTATATAACCGGACATACATCGGTACACTATACCTAGTATCCCTAGGAACGTCGAGAGTAAAAATCGCCGCTGAAACAATGAAGGATGAGATCAATATACGTAGCACTCGTGCTTCATTTCCATACAGAAAAAAGCCAAAATGCCTTGGATGGGGAAAGACAGGCTACCTCGGCATGTAAATATTTTGCGACTTCCGATAATATAACGAAAAGGAAAGATGGAAATTGAATCAGGGTTGCCAACGAGCAATGAGCAACAAACGGCAGATTACAAAGGGAAAGACGAAATTGAAAAATCGATGCAGGATACCGAGTAATACGTACTGTCCACTACATACACGACGTCGTCGATTTGATGCCAGAGATGTCGATGAAGACTTGCAGCGGCGGAGAGCAGGAGGGGCTGATGACATGGATATCCGTATGTGTTGTAGGCGAGGAGTCGATGAGACTCTGTCGGTACCTGGTGGTACGAGTACACGGTACACCAGAGTAGGTAGATGTAAAGTTTACGGCAGACCCACCCGGGGTGCATATTATACAATAGTGGTGATAGTACGGTAGCTAAGCGAGAGTTATGCTACGTAGCTCGCACGTGGCTCGCTACTGTACGAAAGTAGGTACGAGTACAGTACTCTCTAGGTGGGGTGTTCTAAACTTTTCCCGACCGCCATCATCACCACCACCCGCGGACATATACACACTCGTACACCACTTCAAAAATACCCCGTACACCATATTATATTCCGGCAAGCCTATGAGATGGAGACAATCGATTTGTCAGCAGCAATCCCTTTCTTCCTCCACGCCATCGTCGAATTCCCCGCGGCTGTGAATTTCTATAGCAACCCATCCGAGCAGCTCTCCTCAGCAGCGCCCCAAGCCGAAGACATCATCAAGCAGTACGCTGTTCTCCTCTTCTCATCCAGTCTGATAGCTCTCGCCTTCGCGACTCGTCCGGTGGATGATACAAGCAAATATGTGGCGGGCGCGTTTGCGCTGTACCACCTCGCCCCGACCGTGAGGGCTGCAAGGAGAATACGTGGAGGGGAGACGGGGACGAGCTATGGAAAGGGACTGGGGGGACCTTATGTACACCTTGCTGTTCATGGTGGCTGCTTGATTGGATTTCTTGGGCTCCGCCTTGATTATTGGGCTTCGTTTCAATAAGGAATAAGTGGACAAGATGAGATCATCCCGGTTATTGGTTGGTCGTGCGATTTGAACATTGAACCCGCACGACGAGTCGGCTCGGATTCTGCATATATCATATGGACCAGCACAGCACACTGATCATGAAAAGAGAAAGGAAAATGAATGGGCAAAGGGAATGGGAAAGGGAACATTAACTTGTGGTTCTTTCACTTCCAAAGAATCGAGACGACATACGAGACAATGAGCAATGAGAAACGAGAAACGAGAAAATGATGATATCTATGGGGTTCTGGTTCCGGGCCAACATACGTCACGCGTATTTAAATACGGAAAAAAAGCAATGGTATCATTGATGAATTAGAAGAGAACACTACAACTCAATCCAGGGCTTCTCATACTCTCCACAATATCCAAAGCATCCCTTACATCTATCAACCACACAGTACAAGCAGTCAGAGTCGGGACCAGCACCATCTTCATCAGTCTCCAAGGCCAATCCTCTGGGGGGGCCTGCATTTCTCACCCCTCGGAGTGCCTTCCATATCGTGATTTCGGCCTGGTTCAACCGTCCAACCCACCAACAAACTCCAACCAAATTCTCTCCCTCTCGTTTTCGAGGATATTCAGATCTTTCTTGAACTTCTTCATGAGATCATGATGTCCTTCGTGTATCCGGCTTTCTTCCAAACTCATTCCATGCTCCTTCTCTTCTTTCCTCGTCTCGTACCACAAGCGTTCGAAGTCTTTGAGTTGGGTTACCAATTGGCTTCTTTTTAGTTGAAATGCGTCTTCTGATCGTTTGTTCTCTAGAACGGGGTCGCTGTTGACGAACTTTCTTTCTAGCGTATCTTCCCTTCGTAATTCTTTTTTGAGAGCCAATATCTGCTCTTGCGACACTTTACGTAGTTCTAATTCCTTGCGAAGGCTGGCTGTGGTTTTGCCAAGACTTTCCTCCACCTTCAGCTTTTTTGCTAGTGAGCTTTTCGCAAAGGCCATCGCCTTGTGAACACGTTTTTCTGCGTCTTGGCGGCCCCGGACGACCTTTGTTGCAAGCTCCCTTACTTGTGTGCTATACCTTGGGTCGTACTTTTCGAGATTGCACAATTCCTTGTGGCAGCCACACTTGCCATCATTACCTTCTACTTTCATGCTTCCCGTCGTCGTAGCGATCACGTCGATTTGCTCGTATGCTGGATTGGTAATCGGATCTATTGGGTCTATGTTGTCATCGATGCTATCTCGAGCATCTCTCTCGTCGGTCTTTTGTCTTTTTGCTGGTGGATGACTGCCGTCCTGGAAATCCGGTGTATTGAAATTGATCAACGGCTTTCCGGTAAGAATTTGATTCTCCTTCTCCAGACGTTCCTTCTCACGCAAGTGCTGGTATGCTAAATAATCGAAATCGTTCTCCATGTACTTCTTTTTTTCTTCTCGCTTAATCTTGTAATCGCCTCTAAGTAGTTGCAACTGAGATTCAAGATACGGCACCATCCATTTCACGTCGGTGTCTTTCAATTCTTGATCTCGACCCGCAATACATGTAAGCAATCGCATCAACCGATAGGAATCCGACTCGAGCCGTCTTGCTGTTCTCTGGAGCAATTGCTCAATGCTTCCATTCAGCTCAAGTCCGTGCTTTCGTTTGAAGGGTTCATCCCAAGTCCCTGACTCTTCTAGGAATTCCACAAGATACTCTTGCCAATGTTTTCCGGGCTCGCCTGTGGGTGACTGTGCCGACTCATCCTCACGTTGCTTTCTTTTCTTGCTTAGACGGTGGTTTTCCTTATTGGCCAGCGCGGATAGCCAGTGCCTCGCGAGGATAATGTCACTGGCCAAGGCCTTGTGTATCGAATCGCGCGCTCGCATTTTTGCTTCCATCTCTTTTTCTGTGAGCTTTTCTCTTATGTACTGATAGTCGATGTCGGATCGGGATCTGCAGAGGTCTTGATAAACTTGTTCGATGCTGTCTTCTTCGGACATTGCAGGGGTTCTTGAGGAATTTTTCACTTCATTGCAATAGCACGAAAGCACCAGTGAAGCGAGAGTGAGTATTGCCTGCAGCAATAATTGTTCATTTACTAGAATCCTCGAGCTCTGTCGTGAAATATTACCTTCGATGACATTCTATTTTTCTTTGTTCTGTTTTATTTTTTTTGCTTTCGTGTGGAGCGCCAACACCGAGAATAGAATTCTTTGTTCCCATGGTTGGCTGGGTCGACTTGCACCAACCTTTTCTTTGTTCGGTGAGGTCACGAGAGGATCTGGATAGACTTAATCGGGCCATTTTTGAAGCTTGCGGATGTCTCACTCCGTTTCTATCGTTGATTGCGTAACGGGTTTGATCAAGTCAGAAAAAGCACCCAGAGGCCCTACAGCTTGCTGCGATACTAGTGATGCAATTGATGAGTATTTCAGTACCTGGTATCAGAATGGGAACTGGTGTTCTGTATTTGAACAAGCCAGTACAGTGCAAGATAGGCCGCTGAAATCTCACTCGGTCGGCAGTTCTGATTTATTTCATATCATGCCATCACATCATATTTCATGACATTATTCCGCCAGCAATGCTGGGTAATTGTCATTAAGCGGAAAACGGGCCTCTCAAGAATTAGCCGCGGCACGAATAGATTACTATCTCGACGCATTTGGATTCAGGTCGTCTCATGCTTCACAATTTTGGATCAGCTGGGTGCCAAATTGATTAATTCGAGATCTGGATCTGGGGGAAGTTGTGGGGTGTGTGGAGAATCTGGGGGTGAGTACAGGCGATCCTCCTATTGTACCGCATTATCTTGTGCAAAGAGCGGTCTTGGAGCGGTTGAATTCTGACTGATGGGGATAAAGTCAACATGGCTGTTATCTATTATTGCCGTGCTGGGGAGTACGTTTGCAACGGCTCTCAGCATCCGGTGGTTGTTTGATAGGATGGATTGGGGAGTATAAGAGCGTGGCGCTACTTTTCTTCTTTTTGCTCTCGCGGAATACACTCATCTCATGTTGGCATAATCTCGTCCATCTATCATGTTTAATCTTATAAGTCTCCTCACTCTCGCGGCCTCGGCCAGCGCACACTACACATTCCCTGCTCTTATCGCGGGAGGAGTCACCACTTCCGAATGGAAATACGTCCGTCAATGGACCAACTATCAATCCAATGGCCCCGTGACCGACGTCTCGAAAGTCGATATCCGTTGCAATGTCGGAGGGGCGACCAAACAGGCCTCCGGGATCCAAAGCGTCGCCGCCGGATCGAAAATCGGCTTCACGGTTGCCCCAGATATCTACCATCCTGGACCTCTCATGGCGTATATGGCGAAGGTTCCAGCGGGGAAGACGGCCGCGGACTGGGATGGGAGTGGGAGTGTTTGGTTCAAGATCTTCGAGCAAGGTCCGAATTTTGGGAGTAGTTTAACTTGGCCTAGTAATGGTTCGTCTACCTTTCCTCCCTCTCCCTTCCAACATCACATAACACTTTTCCCAAAACTAACACTCCACCTTCTAGGCATGACCAAAGCCGAGTTCACCATCCCACCCGCCACGCCCTCGGGCGATTACCTGTTCCGCATCGAACATATCGGGCTGCACTCCGCTTCTGGCGCCAATGGAGCGCAGTTCTATATCTCGTGCGCTCAGATCACGGTTACTAATGGAGGCAATGGGAAGCCGGGCCCCCTTGTTGCGTTCCCGGGCGCGTATAAGGCGACGGATCCCGGGTTGATGATTAATATTTATTATCCGGTTCCGACTAGTTATGTGATGCCTGGGCCGAAGGTTTGGAGTGGGTAGTTCGCTTAAGGAGGGGGAAGGGGGGAAGGTGATGAGTGGGGTTTGGGGTATGGGTGGATGGTTGGATGGGCGGTTTGTTGGATGAAGTCCCTAGGGTCGTATGCTGGGAATTGAGATACTTAGCGAGATATTGTGTATTTAATCTGAATCCTGATTCGATAATGGGATTTCCCGGAGTTTTGCTCAATCTTTTCATATGACAGATGACTTAGGTTGCTAAGACGAATCTTGAGGGTTATAACTAAAGTTCCTTCTCCACCCCCTTCACCAAATGTGCTAGTGCTATTTTTGTTTTTCGTAAATTACTTATAAGAATCCTAGTTATCATTCTTCACGCGCTATCATAAGTCATTTTGCTAAAAGTCTGGTACAGATAACTCTATTGTCCTATTTTACCTAGGTTGATAAGAAGTGAAAAGTAACAATTATTATAAGCTGTTCGTGTGAAATCTTTAGTTGTATAAGCTCTTTTGGATGATATTGGGGTAACTTGAGTGTATAGAGAGTAATGACCTAGGCACTTCCTGTCTTTTTTGGCTTTAGTTAGTTGCGTACTTGATATAGTATCTATGGATCGCTTTAGTGTTTTATTTTTTACTTAGTTGCGTTAGGATAGAGTAGGGGATACTTGAGTGACAATGTTAAGTACTAACCCTCAAAGTAGGTATCGCAAACCCAAAAATCCAGATGTACATATACGAGGTCCAGGAGATATAAGTAGTAGTATACGAAGGGAATAGTAGCTAGTAAGAAACACGCGCGTACGCTTTATCTCTTCGACGTATCATATATACATCGAGGATTTTAGGTTTCAGGTATCCACTTTTAGTCTTAGTACTTACGAAGTAATAATACTACCACTTGGTGCGGAGTAAATTAGACCAAGCCATGTGGCGCCCCTAAGTATGATTCCGACTAGTCCGACCCCTCAGATAGGAAATCTGAAACTTGAAATCCTAGATATATATTTAATACGTCGAGGAGATGCTCCGTATATTCGCGTCTAGTATGGAAGATGCTGATAGTGACTCTGAGCCTAAGCAAGCAAACCCATCAGACTCTGCTAGGCTAACTTCTACGACAAATCTTACGCAATCATCATCAAAATCGTCCTCAGGTCCTACGGTTTTTAATAATGCTAACTCATCCGCGAGGGCTAAGGGCAGGAAATATAAAGTTATTAATAGTTTCTACCTTACTACTAGCTCTTATTAGTCGTTCGTTCTTACGACATATAAAAATATACTATTGAATTGTAACTATATATACTAAATATCCCCTTTTCTACCTTTTAAATATACCGGTATACTAGCGCGTTTAAGCGAATATAAACTTACCTTTTTAGGCGACCTATATACGAAGTATCTCCTGGACAGCCCGGGGGATTTTCCACGTAGATCAAGGACGTGCACGGCTTTTTTGCTGTAATTCTTTGGTGTACGGAGATTTAAAGTGCCATCCTTGCCAAAGAATCCCTCGGCTGTCCAGGAGATAAAGATTAATAACATAACCTACGTAATAATGTATATAACCTTTAGCTTGTTTTTATATAAAAGAAATACCAGGTATTCAAGTACTAAAACATGTCTATATTAGCTACAACTATGGGGTAACTGTACATTCTATAGCGTGGTGTTGAAAGTTCAAGATAATGAAGCTGCTGATGACGTACCTCAAGCTCCCAGGTTCATGCCTCCAATGTCTTGATGCTTGGCGAGGGAGGAAGGAGGTGCGGAAGGAGTAATCGGGAGAAACTTTGTAGGGCTCGCTAAACTTAATGCTCGTTTGAATACCTCTGTACTTTTCCTTCTCAAATGCTTTATATATTTTCTTGGATTTTGGTCCCGACTCCCTTTAGATCATCGCAGTAAATACCGGATAGTGTTATCAAAACCTTATTCCCCACTCCCGCTCAGATCAGACCACCATTTCTTGGTGATGCTCTCCCTTCTTGATCACGATTTCTCGAGCTTCAGAGGTCATCGTGGAAGGTTTGCTTTCTGCAGAAACTTACTCCTTGATCCTCATGGATAATAATATCTTCTCAATTAAGGTGATGGGAATTTTCCCCAGAGCGATAACCGATCAGCTCATTCGCCAAGCGTAATGAGTGTGAGCGATATGTAATCCAAGTTGTAGCCAGTGCGGTACTTGGCTTGTCAGAAGAACATTCAAGAACTCACTCTTTATCTGCACAAACCCACCCTCATGTCTTCCCGGAATGATGCTCTTTTACCAGTGCCTACTATCACTCTCGAAGGAATGAAAATCCGCCAGGATATTCCTTATACCAACCGACTTTTTATTCAATATGGTCCTCCGGGTGTCACTTGGAGTCAAGTCTATAACCCGGTTACCACCCTGACCAGTCTACGCCCTAATGCCCCTGCGAACGTCAAATTCGACGTCAAACTCGAACTCATTATCTGGCTTATCATCTGCGTTGACGGACAATGCAAAAATATTGGGACGCCGCATGCTCGCGCAGCATATGGCATGTACTTTGGTCCACACTCCCCATATAATCGATGCTCTATGCTTCCACAAAGTGTACATAAAACAAATGGCTCCGCAGAGCTTTTTGCTGTGATGACCGCCGTGTGTTTTGTGAAAGACCAGAGCACCAGACCGATATCTGCTATCGGCCCTCTGAAGAAGGTTGTCATCCAAACGGATTCTTCATATGGTAAGCACATTATTTCACTCTCTTTTCCACTGTCTTCGGACTGCAAAGACTCAGATTATCGATCGTTCTTTCCTTTCTCGCATTCCAAATTGATCCGACAATCCTTTCTTTATGGCAAACTGCTGTTTGCTGACTGCCGTACTCCAGTTGTTGAATGTCTTACGAAAAACATATGGACATGGCAAGACAACGGATACCAAAATGCACGAGGTATTCGAACCGCCAACCTCAGCCTCATCTATGACATCCACCACTTACTAGAGGATGCCAAAAGAGTAAAAGAGATCTAGGGATGAATATCAGATTTCAGCACGTAGCAAGAGTCAAGAACCAGGGTGCGGATCGTCTAGTTGAGCTTGCCTTCGATTGGGAGTCCCAATTTACATTTCGCACGGAGGAACCTGCGTTTCCCACAAACAAATGGAAACACGCCTCAAAATACGCCAAGGAGCTTTCGCCTAGTGAGGTCGTCCCTATTCACACGATTCTCTCCCGTCTTGAGTGGCCTCTTCCGCTGAAGAGAGAGAATCGGTGGATTGATAGTATTATTTCTTATATGATTCGTGGGAATTTGCTGCTTGAAGGGCGGGCGGATTTCCCGGCGCTTTTTCAGGCGAGATTTGGGAAGTTTTGGAGAACGCAGATTGCAAGGGAGAGAGATAAGATTACCGAGGAGTTGGCGTATACTGAGAGGGCAATGAATGGTCTCCCACCTGGCGCGGGAACCAAGGGCTCGCGTGAGTGGATTGGGTATCATGAGAAACTTGCCCAGCTTGGGACGCTGCTTGCAAGGATCTCTGAAGGTAGGGCTGAGATATCTTCCTGGCTTTTCTACTACATGCTCACCTTTTTGATAGAGGAATTGGATGATGGCAAGCATTCGCATATTGTTTGATTTCTGCGTGGCTGGCTGCTAATTAGGTGTTTGTAATGATGGATGGTTTATAGATAGGGAGCGATTGTTTTGGCGCACATTTCTTGATCAAGTATGCTTGTGCTTTGTAATTAAGGTTAGTGAGGAGGTGTGCAGCAGTCCTTCCTTAGCACTCATGAATTTGATATATGTTGTTGCACGATTAAGCAGTATTTTGAATGACGCCGGGCCAATAACTTACTATATTTCTTCAAGTGTCGGAGAGCAACTTCTTATACCTCATCGCTGGTGTCTTCCGTTCGGGCATGGCTTCTTGTATATCTAAGTTGGAACCCATGTGTACATTATTTGAGTACTTGGCCAAATTAAATTAATTTATTATTATGTTGTATTTGGATCAAATTGATCAATAGATTCCTATCATAATTACCAATTCGTCAATTGGTGAATGAGAAATACTACTTTGCACCTGTGGTAGTACCTTAACAGGAAAGACTAACATGTCCACTTACTCACTCCAATTGTAGATGATGTGCATTATAAGGTTAACGTTTTATTTCAAATACATAACGAATATTTTATCAGAAGCTTCTGGATGGAATCCTCGTTTATTTTGGCGTTGATTGGCTAATATGCGTGGTCGTCAACATGCAACTAAACATTTGTGGTATATTCTGGATGAGTAATCCACTATTGATATCTCATAAGAAAAAGAGATAACAAGATGTACAGAGGCTAATGACAGGGCTCACGAAAAAGTTACACACAGCTCAGATTAATCCAGACGACACAGTACGCTGTGTCACTTTCTATTCGCTTAAAGTCTTTGTTAGAACAACTGCGGAAAAACTCGAACTTTCGTCATTCACTTGGAAAAGACATCTTCATGAAGAAGTGTGATTTGGTTGTCCTTGTTTATTTTCTCAAAATCTCTCAGTAGTGGATTCTTCGCGGATCACCCCCATCTCAACTCCGTCTCAAACCTACGCGATGGTTTGTAAACGCCGCATAAACTCCACAAATACCGGAAGGTTTATAGATATGACATCACATGACATCACATGTCAATTATCACCACCTTATCTCACGGACTCCTAGCAGTTTATTGGATACTAGTTTATATTTTTAAGCTTATTTCAGCGACGACGGAATCCTCTCCCATAGTTGCTTGACTCTAGTTTCTATCTTCACTTTTCCAATTGCAATTCATAGATAAGACCAGGCGGGAAGTTCTTGAACCAGATTAAAAACAGAATCTCTCCCACAGAAAATATGACTTCAACCCCTCTAGCCACAACCTCAATTGAGGCCTCAAATCTCTTTGATGTGAAAGGGCTCATCGCCGTAATCACAGGCGGCGGATCAGGTAATTCACTCCTCCCAGAAACCAACAATCACTTCTAACAGCATCTCAGGAATCGGTCTGATGATGGCCAGAGCTCTAGCTCTTAATGGTGCCTCAAAAGTCTACATAATCGGCCGTCGTGCCAAAGTCCTCGAGGAAGCCTCAAAGTCCATCGCGACACCTGGCATAATCGTCCCCATCGTGGGGGACGTAACTTCCCAATCCACAATGGAAAGCATTGTTCGAAAGATCCAGGATGAAGTAGGTTATATCAACCTCCTCATCGCTAATTCCGGAATCCTCGGACCTGGACCAGCGCAGCCTCCGAGTAGCTATACCTCCGTTTCGGATTTCAAGAACTCGTTCTTGGGAGCTGGAGCTGAAGCTAGTGGACAGGAGGGCTTTGAGAGGTTCGTGGATACGTTCAGGACTAATACTGCCGCGGTTTGGTACACGATTGTGCAGTTTCTTGAGTTATTGGATGAGGGAAATAAGAATGGAAATATAAAGCAGGCTAGTCAGGTTATTGCGACAGGTAGCATTGCAGCTTTTTTGAGAAAGGTAGGGGGGGGTTATGCATACGGGGAGTCTAAAAGTGCTGTTATGCACATGGGTAAGCAACTTGCAACGGGGCTGGCACCTTTTGGGATTAGAGCCAATGTACTTGCTCCAGGGCGTAAGTGATCCTTTCTTTCCAAGGACGCTGTGATCAAATTTGCTTTGGAGATTGAATATCGAAATTGAAGCTTATCGACTAACCTTTGTCTCATAGTATTTCCCTCTGACCTAGCAGCGGGCATCATTGGCGATGGTGTTTTTACACGTGACCAAATCCCACTTGGAAGAGTAGGAGATGAGGAAGACATGGCCGGTGTTATTTTGTTCATGGCAAGTAGAGCAGGAGCCTATTGTTCAGGAAATGTCATGACGATTGATGGAGGGCGTATGTCAGTATTGCCGTGCTCATACTAATGAGTTATATTGTATGATGGAAGAATGAGATTTGCAAGATTGAAAAAGAGATGAATGATATTATGTTTGCCCATCGTATCTGACACAAGAAGAACCATGGCCCCTCGAGTATTATCGCGTCAATATACGGAAAGCGTGGTCAAGAAATCTGCCTACAGGCTAAAGGAGTAAGAGCGGGGAGGCAACATCGCAGAAAATGTAACGAAATGATTGAAAAATAGGAGTGCATGATTCTCATATGCGAAGCTTGTCAAAAATAAGTAGAGTAATGGCACCTACTCTACTCTACTACAGGGGGTTCAACCCTAATTAGTTTACTTAAGTATTTAGCGCATATTAATTAAGTCGTACGGAGCCAAGTCCGCCTGAGCGCCCATAATGCGCCAAGGGGAGTATACGACTAAGCGAGTAACCAATTAAGCGAGTAACAGATCAACAAACATTTCTCTAAGGAGTAACTATAACAGCGATGACGAGAGATTGTAGAAAAAGCTCCAAGAAAACAGCATCTCTGTAAGTATAACTTACATTTCTAATGTATCTACTATTTATTAAAGAAGCTTTTAAATTTATATACAAATCTAATATTATTACTCTACCCTAGACCTAGGCACGATATAAACGTTTCTATATTAGAGGTCCTACAATAGATATTATATTATAAATATATTGATAATATAATATCGGTTTTTTAATAATATCCGATATAATATCGATTATTATATACGTAACGTAGAAAATCTATAAATCCGAGCCTAGACTAATTAGTATGCTCTATTTACCCTAGCTTCCTAGGCTCCTTAGGCTTTAATAAATAACAATACTACTACTACTACTACTATTATTACTATAATTATTATAGAACGCTTTTTATTTAACTAAAATACTACTATTTAATTCCGTATCTAGTTTACCTTATAGAGACTCCTAGAGGTCGCGAAACTTTACTAAAATAACCCTAGGCTAATATGACAGCTAATAAGCCTATACTACCTTTACTACGTTAGAAGGCCCTGAAAGCTAAGGACTCTAATACCTTTATTTTTTATTAACTAAATCCTCTCTATATATACTATATAATAGATATAGTATTATTAAGCGAGAGTAATAAATCGATTATTACTATTATCTTTTTATTCTTATAATAAATATATTCTTACTTTAAATTAACCCTAGAAACCCTTTAAAACACCCCTAAAATACCCTAAAATATACTAATTTTAGGTATAAAATATTAATATCGTTACTTTTTTAATAATTAATATTAAAATCGTTAATTATAATATTAATATTATATTACGATAAATATTATAATAATATAATAAATATCGTTATTATACCTAGGTCTACTCTACCCCCTATTATTACTTCTAAATCTTACTTAAATATTATATTTTTCTTATATTTATATCTCTATTTAAAGCTACTCTATCTAGCGCCTATTTCTACCCTTTTTGACGACACGTACGATATGTTGCTCAAGGAGCGTCCAAGGTGTAGGTTATGGAATCGTAGAACTGTCTATTCGAAGATTCTAAGCTAAGGAGAGAAGAGAAGGAAGGACAGAAGCTCAAGAGCCAGAGGCTCTTAAATACAGGAGGTGGCGCCAAGGGCAATGCCTTAGCCGAGTCTCAGCCAGGGGCTCGTTTGACGCATGGTGGCCGCCGGGTTCCAGCCAGGGTGTAACGAATACTCAAACTGGCTAACTAAACTTGGCTGGGTGTTCGCTGGTTGGTATGCTATGATAAGAAGAAGACTATCGGGTTGTTCACTTGGAAGTGAACTCGTTACTTGTATCAAAGATGTCAAACTAATATGATAAGATTGATAACTAAGTTGAGCACGAAGCTCCTATCTAATGACAGACGTGCCAGTCTTATATAGAACCTTCGTCCTCTCCTGGATCCATTGGATCCTTTGGATCCCTTCGGGATCCATCCGGGTCTATCACGTGACAGTAACCAATGGAAATCCTTGGATCGCTTAGCTACTCTAAGCGATCCCTATTATAAGAAACCTGGGTGTGCACTGTCGAGGGTTGCGCCTCCTATTATGACATGTATCACGTGGACACGTGATTCGTGACATATGTACGCCTTTACCGTACCTATAAAATACTCTCGAAGAGTCTCTCTTTTATAGTATCTATAGTTATTCTTAATATACTAATATACTACGGCTATATTTAGCTAAAATATAGTAGTACTTACTTATAGAGCTTGCTAAGGGCTTTCTTTTAAGCCTATATAGATATGTCACGAATCACGTGCACACGTGACAAGTGAAGACCAGGCGGCGTCCTGACAGGTCAAGCACCATCGGACACTCTTATAGCAAGTGGGATCGATTAGGCTAGCTAAGCGATCTAGGGATTTTCTTTGGTTAGTATCACGTGACAAAGTTGGGTCGCCTGGAGCGACGAGCGCTCCAGTCGTCTGGGTCGACTCGGTAGACAAGCGACTCTGGCGACTCCAACAGTTGGAACAAAGAACGTAGGTTCTATATAAGACTGGCACTTCTGCCATTAGATAGGAGCTTCGTGCTCAACTTAGTTATCAANACTCCAACAGTTGGAACAAAGAACGTAGGTTCTATATAAGACTGGCACTTCTGCCATTAGATAGGAGCTTCGTGCTCAACTTAGTTATCAATCTTATCATATTAGTTTGACATCTTTGATACAAGTAACGAGTTCACTTCCAAGTGAACAACCCGATAGTCTTCTTCTTATCATAGCATACCAACCAGCGAACACCCAGCCAAGTTTAGTTAGCCAGTTTGAGTATTCGTTACACCAGTAGTTGGGTAGGATATATATCCCACCAAAGCTTACTATGCACCATCCTAATTCACTATAAATCCTGCTATAAAATATACGGAGTAATAACTAGGTCTCTTACCTATAATCTAATTCTATATTACCCTAATCTTCGTATAAGCATCGTTTGTCCGTCATTTTTCTTATAATATCTTTAGAAAGGATATACTTTATTTGATTTTATACCGGTATTAGTTCTATTAAAGCTCTTTTTTACAAATATTTAATAATTAAAAGGTCTTATAGATCTATAGAGAATCCACCCTTAGATGCTTAATATGCCTACGTAATTGATATTATATATGTTTTTCATGATATACGAATATTTAATGATCTACAAGTAAAGGATGCTTTGTGACGGCATGTATTCGTAGGACACTAGAACTACAGGTTTAGTGAGAGATGCTTTGCTCTTAGCGGTCATCAGGATACGTCATAGACGAACAGCGCTACAGAATAAAGTATATCCACGTATATTTCTGCTCAGGTTTGAAATATCTGAATACGTGGTAAAGGTCCGTGCTTTGGCATCTTTATAGAAATGGGTTCTACAAATGATACAACTGCAGTACATAGAACGCCTGCAACAAGAAATAGGGAAGAAACGAGCGTGGTAAGAGAGTTTTTTATACTAGAGTCTTTTAGAGGCACTGATTGTGTGACAGATAAAAATGAACACTCTTTCCCATCAACTAAGCGCTAGCAGATTAATTGAAACCAACCATCCTGCCTACACTAGCCATATCAAAGAACATCTAAGAGGTACTAGAAGATCCAGAGCCATGATCAACTCGATATCCCCCAGGTAAAGTAGGAAGCCCTGCAAAACCTCATCAGAACCCCCCAAACAAAGCACAAAAAGAATCTCACGCAGAAAAAAAAAGAAAAAGAAAACTCACAAGAATCAATATCCTCCTGCACAACCCTCTGTTGAGAACACCTATTCATATCCGCAATACTCTGCAACCTCGCCACCGCCGAACAATTCACATAACACGGCGTATCCAAGATCCGCTGCAAACTATCGTCCTTCCATCCAAACACGTAATCCGCATGATTCGCGTACCCCGTTCCATCCCCGAAGCTCCAGACGAACGGGTTGCTTCCGTCTTCAGGCCAGTCGTCTGGGTTGTTGAAGGCCTTGGTGTCCCAGATTACTTCGAACATGACTTGGGAGGTGCGGATGGGGTGGGATGCTGGACATGGACCGCCGGATTCGAAGGTGCCGGATGAGGGGTAGGACATGTGGGCCATGCTTTCGAAAATTAGTGCGTGGTTCAGATAAGGGGGAGAAAGGGCAGTTACTGGTCTGGACTATCGAGGTTCACGCCGTCCCAGCAGTTGGGGAAGCGTAGCGAGGTCATGATTCCTTCTTTGCAGACTCGGTTAGGGAAGGCGATGGTTTCAGGACCGCGGGTACCGAAGATGTCAAGACAAGTATAGGTCAGTTGGCGGAAGCGGGCTGCATCATTTAGAGACCTAGCGTAGATATCTCCAATGAACATTCGGAATCCCTAGTTTCTACTTCAGTATATTCCAGCAGATAAGAATTCTCAGAAGGGACTTACCGGTTTGAAAGCCTGGACTTTATCCTTCTGTGCAGTATCGTACAACTAGGGGACATGAGAGTCAGTATGCGTCTCTCAAAGACTGGCTCGGGAGAGAAAAACCGGATCTTGCATGTAATACACGGTCATTCCACCTCCAGCAGCCCCTTCAAACCCAGCATTCGCCAATTGAGGAACCCTTTTATACGTCCCATTCCTAGCACGAAAATACAGAACCGCCGTCCAGTAATTCGAGAAGTCGTCGGCGAACTCACATGTTGTACATGATGATTCGCCTGGCATGTCTTTCTTGGGATCCATCGTGGCATTGAATGAATTCTAATTTCGTCAGAATGATGCGTGGTTTAGCTGAGTTGTAAATGATCAAGGGACCGTAAATACTCACACCTCCAACAATCTGGTGAACATGAGGAGAAGGAATAAGACCAGGGCTGACCAATGGGTCCAGTCGCTGAGTGACTAGCTGAGAACATTGGAATCGGATGAGAGCATCACCAGCTCCGGTGAGCGCCAGAAAGAGAAGTGTATGCCAGTGCATCGTGCAAGCCTGAGAAAAGTGAAGAATCACAATCCGAAGAACAGATGTGAAGGAGATAATTCAGGCAGGACTTCGTGGGGGACATTGAAATAAGTCTCTCTCGTCAATAGTTGGTTAGATCATCGATGCGCACTTTCCGTATTCGATACTCGAAGACTGAATTGCCGAAAATAAATAGTGATAACCATAGATATCGGAATTCCTCCTATCGGGAGCAAGACATATATGAGAATAGTCCAGGGTACTTTTCAACACCCTATTACATTATGCTTGGAAGTATAAGTGTCGGCAACTTTATATTCCATTGCACTCGGGCGTGGCCCTTCTTTCCGGGACGATCCGAATATGGTAAGAGCTGCCAAATATATTGACCTGGAACAATACTAGTTCATAAGGTTAATCAGGCTATCATATTGCTCTATATTGTAATCGAGAACATCGAGTAACCTCAGCCCTTATTCTGGGTTACTGTGAAAGGCTATTGAACTGCCGGATATATGGGTATACTTGTTGTATCGCTTATCATGACATCGATGTTCAAGGACCTTTTAGCGCGAGACTGGATTAACAAGACTAGGACTGAATGATAGATGAAGAATAATAAAAACAAGTTCGATAGGAAGCAAGAAGACCAAACAGGACCTGTTTAGGAACCGTCATGCTTCTATTTGCTACTAATCCTTTGCCCCGGGACCGGAAAAATCATAAGAGAATCCGCAATAAATACTCAAACCAAATAGATAGCAATATCAACCAAAGAGCAACCCGGTGCGGGGTTGGTGGGGGCACTTGCCAGGGTACGAACGAACACCAATAGGGGTGGATCACTAGGATACCATAATTAGCCGTCCAAAGAACTCTGGTATCGGTGTACACAAGGAGAGCTATGTTTGCCACTCAGCTCTTCAGAAATACTGGCGCTGGAAAACAGGAATACAAAAGCCAGTAGCTCCCCTGACAACTTGCCTTCATATCCAAAGAAGTTTGATTCCAAACCCAAACCAAGCTCTCTTCAGCCATGCGTCTGACCGGCAATCATTTTCTGTTCCTCATCGCTATCGTGGGTGCCAATGCTGAGAACAAATGCCCTACCACAGACTACGCCTGCCTGGACGTGATAAATTCCAGTCTCTGCATATCACAAAACGCCGTGAACGCTCAAACAGACGCAACGGCCAAAGATAAATTGATAAAATGTGTGGAATATGCGCAAAGTGCAAGTAATTTGACGGGCTCAGCCAAGGTAAGAGCGATAATCAGAATAGAAAATACCCAAGAACGTTGCTGATGATCGAAAAAAGTACTGTCGATGCACAGGGTGCCACTCTGCGCCGATAAACGCCGCTCTGGAAGCATTGTTTCCACAACCGTGCTCGAGCTACTGAGCCAGATTTTGGGATAGTTGGAAGGATGATGAAAGAAAGAGTAATGGCAAAGATATCCTCGAATGGAGGGTCACAACTGTCGGTAAAAGGATCGAGGTCGAGATCGTGTTGCTTTAACCGAAATCACTATTTTGCGATAGTCAACGTTGTGATGTGATCCTGCTGAGAATATCTTTGTTTATCTTTCTTTTAACAGGGAAGTCTCAGTCGAATGTGACTTTCTTGCCCTCAAACTTAGCCGTTTTCTGCATGTCCTTTGCCTTCTTAGCCGCTTGCCAACTCGCGTGTAATACACCTGCATCGTCCTTTTTACCCAATCCTCTCTTCCCATCTCCAAGTGGCCCGACATTTTCGCCTGTAGCCCCAGATGCACGCCCGGCACCAGCGCCAAATTTGCGCCCTCCTCGTCCGCGGCCTCTTCCTCTGCCAGAATCTTTGCCTTCGGCGCCCCTTTTCCCATCCCAGCCGTCATCCCTACCTGTGACTTCAGCTACCGAACCCTGTCCAGTTTTGATGTGATTTGCTCCTTGACCAAACTTCTTTTCCCAGATCGCCCTCCGTGCCATCTGGCCTGGTCTATTCTTCTTTGCTACAGGCGCAATACTTTCAAGCTCCTCAATATCGGAGCCGTCTGATTCGGAGCCAGAGAAATAGCCACCGAATAATGTTGGAAGAAACGTGGTTTTCTTGGTAGGAGGTTTCGCTTTCAAAGGCTTTGACTTTGATTTGCGCTCAGGCTGCGGGGATAGAGAGGGTGACAGAGAGAGGTCCAATGGTCTATCTTCTGTGTGTGGTGATAGTTTAGCCCTTTTGATTGAAGATTCTGCCTCTAGCTTTGAATCAGATTCTGAATCCGATGACCCCAGACGATTCTCAAATTTAGATAGAGCATCTAAGTTCAAATCTGATTTTTGATCGCTTTCTATACTTTTTCTGCGTCTGGGCTGTTGCGGTTCTTCTGCAGCATCGCTGATGCCATCCCACGATCTCAAATCTGATTCAGAAATAGAGTCGTGCTTGGTTCTTGCCGTCTTCATCTCCTCTCCGACATTTCGATTTGCGGCAGGTTCGGCTTTTGTGTTTGTCGGCGGAACCGTATCTCTCTTGCCCTCCCCCTTGGCCTGATGTTCTGGCATTGGGATTTCCATAACTATATAAAATCCTTTCATGATCTCGCCCATCACAACCTGCACACTCGGCGTCTTCAACATGCCACTCGTGACGTTGTTCCTCGCCTTGATCATCTCGTCTGGGAGTTCGTCGCCTTGACCGTCCTTTCCCGCGGCCTTCTCTCTTATTTCCTCTGGCAAGCACACGGCGTCGGCCATCTTCTTTACCTTGCAAATGGTCTTGCACAGGAACTTTTCGGCTATCTTCTCAATTTCCAACGTTTTCAATGCCTCGATTTCCCGATTGATCCTCTTCCTATCTTCCAATCCTTCGACTCCCTTGGCTTTCGCATTTTGCAGCCGTTTTCCGAGCTTCTGTCGCGCAAAGCCTTTGGGGGTCTTGAGAGCTCGATGGAGAAGCTTTTGGCTTTGGGTGAAATGCTCTCGGATCTCCTCTTTTTTCCGTTGGATTGGATCCGCGGGAGAAACAGGAGTGGCACGTTTTCGTTTCGGCATGTTGTCGAATGGCAAGGGGGAGGGGGGAGGTTGAGTTGGGTCAGACTTAGGGTCCTCGTAGTGAAGATGCGACGATGATTATGAGGGGACCTTTTGCGCAGCGCAGCCTTGTCGAGTTTTTTTGTGGGGCACCGGCCTTGCATGTGATCCGAACTCCCGATAATGATCCGTCACCACGTTGACTCGGATGAACGCGGTCCGATTGTAAGATAATACTCCGTACACCACGTACGTATCGCCATCGCAACAAATTGCCCAGTGTAAGAGATACGGTTATTACTCTGAATACACCTACATAGGTTAATATGATATTATCCTAAAAGCCTCGCACATTGAAAATGGTTATACGAGCCGTCTGAGATAATCTAAATCAATATATCTTTATTGACCTATGATTAGGAGGTGACGGGTCTCTGAGTCGCACACCATCACAACCACGAAGACGAATTCGAAGTGCACGGTACCAAGGACAGCTCTTTCAACCTACTGAAGGAATCTGGAAACCGCAGATTGATTACTCTACTCACTATCCCATCTGTCGAAAAGTTCTACGGGAATTCATCTGATAACGGAACAATCAACATCTCATTACGGCTGATTCGCCTCTGGGTCCTGACGCGACGTCGAGTTTCTACTTGGATGTGACGCTTTAGCGAGCCACAGGGACAGCAGGGACTTGCAGGTCACAGGCCTTTTATGTGGAAGTTGTCAAATGCCATATATTTTCCACCTTAGTATATAATTTCTCCAGGTTCATTTTCACCTTCAAACTTCCCCCAAACTAGATACAAAGAAGAACTAACACTAATCCCAATCTATGTACAGAATAGAGACATATATATGTGTAGGCATATATACATATACTATCTAAAAACCACGCAACTCTGAGATCTAACAATCTATTGAGTTTTTGGTGTATCTACCCGACAGAAGAGTCCTAAGCGAGGCCTAAGCGCGCCCCTTAATGGCAGGTGCCTTGAAGGTGGAGCCAATGGGTCCCCATTTGATGTTAGAGTAGGTGACGGAGGCGCTTGCGCTGTTCTTCTCGACATCTTCTGGCTTGCCGGAATCAGGCGAGCATGTTCCTCGAGAGACACCGGGGGCCGACGCATCTTTCTCTGGTGGATACGGAGCATCGAGCCAGAGCATGCTAAGAATTGAAGTCAGTTTTCAACTTGGTTTGACATAAAAAAGGGATAAAAACGTACTTAGCGGTATGGTCATCCCAGATACTCATAACCAGAACCATTCCCCGTTTGATGGCCCCGCCCATGGCCTTAAGTCCTCCCCGGTCCTTGAAGACGTTCTGGTCTCCAAAAGCTACCTTCTGCTTGGCACAAAAGTCGTCAGTCAGAGAATTACCTTCGGCGCCCTCAATGGTAGAATCAGAGTTAGCAAATGTCTTTCCGTTCTGGACATAGAATCGCTTAATCTCTTTCAGGTCACCATTAGCAGTTCCATCGGTGGAGATAAATTGAGTGACCACGGTCATTGGCTTGGCCGTGTCGAGAGTTGCACCAGGACCGTAGAAGCCAGTGTTTCCCATACGGAAAGAATTGAAGTCACACCCGTCTGCGTCACAAAGAGAGGAGTATCGGGATCCAATTCCACAGTCAGTTCCCTCGCATCGAGTCTGTCCTGTGACGGAGCAAGGATGACTATCACATTGTCAGTCATATAACTCCATTTTCGGTGAATCTTTCTTACGGAGTGTAGGCAGTTGAGATGGAGTTGCCTTCCCAAATATCCATCTCGTTACAGCAAGTTCCGTATTGCCCGCCTCCAGCATTGGGGTCATTGGAGGCAGGGTTCCAACCCACCGAGTTTGCCTGTGGAAGTGTGAGCCAAAGCTATCTTCAACATCACTTAGAACAAAACTTACCTCTCCATTGATAAACTTTACATCTTGAGGGCACTGAGCATCGCAGTATCCCGTTCCGAACTTTGCACCAGCCTTGTTTGTCGAATATTTGGACAAGCCACCATCCTCGGCCATCTCAGAGAAATAAAGAGCGCCATTCAAACCGCAGGGAAGTTTGGACACGTCTACGTCAAATGTGAATTCTTGGTTCATGAGCTGCGAATTTCTTAGCATAACTTTCTCTAACTGAGGAGATAATTGGGAGCAGCTGGAGACTGTATAACCAAGTCTCGGCCACTATTATGAAATTTCTGGTTAGAGAATCAGAGGGGAGCTTTCGTACCTTAAGCATTTGATATTTCGTATCACTGGCCATAAGGTATGTACGAGAACCAACGTTGACATTGTCTCCCTTGGTCACAAAGTTAAGTTTCAATGAGTTGCCAGAGGTCGTAATTCCATAGGTGGCAGAGTAATCAGCTCCTTCCAAGGCGCAATTTGCGGCACATTTTTTCCCATCCGGACAAGCAGTCGCGTTCCAGGTATTACCAGTATAGCAGTTGGTATACCTATAGTTACTTCATCAGCACTTTCCCTGCCTGATAACACAAAAACAAAGAAAGTACCCTTACCCTTCTTTGGTATGAAGCCACCTCCAGTTGGCATCAATTACAATGGATTGTGCTTTCGAGGTACATCCACTAGCGGTACATTGACTGACACTGAGAGGGGGGTGAGTTTCTGTCTTTAGGGTCCCAGCCAATTGGGCGCGGACCGAGACCAGAAGGGCAGAAAAGGTGAGGGCGGACGTAAGCATTCTGAATGACTTGAACTGCTAAGCTTGGTTGCTGAAAAGCAGAATGAAAGGGAGGTTCTCTGGACTTATATATGGAATACAAATATCTTAAATCACCTTTTTTCGCCTCCAGAAATTCAACATTAGACATCATTGGATATCAAATCATGGGATTGCGGGGAGTTAGCCGACGGAGTCTAAGCGACCGGAAAGTCGTGTGCCCCACACATATTTAGATTGATCCAGGTACATTGTTGATATGTACCCCATATTTCAGATCTCGTATGGTGCCTTTGAGCAATACAAGCAGCAATTTTATGGAGATCTCGTCCGGATGAATGTAGGAGCGGAACCGAGTGTAGCTCTGCAGTCAATCAGCATGGTCTCTATCTGGTATGCTATTATCCGTGTTTCAAGCCCCCATTTTATAGGTCCAAAATGCATATTCATATGTTGAATCACGTAGAGAGGCGAATAGCCTGATTTTTCCAGACGAGCGCAATCAAGCACCTCGCCGTGTAAGAGACGTGGTTATTACTCTGTACACACCTCTCTTAGAATAATATTCTCCTAGAAGCCTCGCACAACTAAAACCGTTATACGGAAGGATATAAAGGTTGCAATTAAATCTCGAATTGAAAGCAAAGTATCGACCAGTGCAGAACTCCATTTTCTGAAGGTCGCCTTTGCACGACACAAAACGTGATAAACATACCGAAGTAAAACCGCTTGCTCCTGTCAGAAACCGCCGCCGTACTCAAAACTTGGAAATCTGGGGAAGTCAGGGTTTTGGCTTTCAAATCATTGGGCGGGAAATACCTACGCGGGGAAACCTTACTCCTTATGCCGGACGGTAGCTAATGTTCCTTCGTTAATTCAACCTCAGTCATTCGGCTAAATCCAAAATGTCCCAAAGTGGTTTGGCTCATCCGACCTTGTAATTTCATTGGTGTACGAAATTGGTAGGAAAACAACATGAGCCCCTCTAATTCATCACATTCAATTGTTCGTTCAACTTTGAATGACACTTTGTTGTATGATGACCAAGGTCCAGTGCTCAATCTGTCTTTATTGCGAGTTACTGCGCCTTCACATAACTTTCATGACAGCTGATCTAATACAGAGTCTTGGTATATTCGACACATCCACGGTACATTTCCCGCTATTCCGCCAGCCAAGTGTTGCAAGGGACCTCACCAAATTCGACTCTCGGGGTCGGAAGAACGAGAGTCATCGTTTCTGGCGGCGAGGCGCGTCAATTCATCTATCCCATACCTGGATTTTCGGCGATTATTTCGGGTCACCGCGCCTAATATACTTCTTCTTCTGCACCTGATCAGGCGTCCACACCAAATGGCAGAGAAAGCTGTTTTCATCTCGGCATTTTCCGATCTCAGCCACCAGATCTCCAAAGATCTTCGAAGAGAGAGCCAGGAATAGGAGGCCTTCGGCAAGTTCTCCCGCATTGGCTGTGTGCTAAAGGAATGTGCAAAGTGGCAGGAGACCTGCTTCTCTTGGACTGACGAGCAAGTGGCTATCGTGAATTTCTAGTTTCTACATTTTCAATGTTCTTGGAATAACCTGATCATTATTTCTTAGAAACTTTGGTAGTTTTGCCAATCTTTCACAGGCCATCGCTTACGGTCTAATGGCTCGGTCATGGGGGACTTAGAAAATGCCCAATTGCATGTCTCTTCTATAAGCTTTATTATCTTGATACGTCGAATTGCAGCAAGTCCTAACCTTTTCGGTTTAAAGGCAGTATCACTAACGTCTTGAGCCATTCGATGCTCAACAGTTCGCGTGCGATTTCTGTTTTTTCTTTTCCTCAAACTCCAATCTCATTACACTCACTCATCAAGACGTATACAGGCAGCCGAGGTGCTTGACTCGTTGAATGCACCTCCCTTGAACCGGCCTCGACCAGATTGAGGAAACAAAAAAGATTGTCAAAAACCCCCACGGCACCGCCACGGCGGCGAGTCCCTGAATTTCAATCTTCGGTCTAGGTACCCGAGAAGGCTGAAAGGAACGTGGCGACACCAAATCAAAAGCCATTCATCCTATCTCCTCCACGGCCAATCTTCGGAAAGAAAGGAGCTATATATTTGCCAGTAAGCGATACGACACTGAGGCTGAAGCACTTCGTCAAGTCCAAAAAGGATTAGTGACTTGAGACTAATGTATTTATTTCTTCTCTGGAAACGTCGTTGGTATATTCACTTGAAGTAGCCCTATCTTCCCGGTTTTTTCATTTGGTCGAATTACATAGTTGCTCGCCTCGTGCTTTTATCATTTTCGATGATTTGCTTGGTATTTATCTCGAAACAATTTGGTCCGCGTCCTGGAACATTTCTATACTGTACATGGTTTTTTATTGTCCATCTGTGTTCCGACCATTCCCATCGTTGCTTTTTATCTGATCAAAGAAATATCATGTGGCCACTTACATCGGCGTCTTCGATTGAATATATCATATTTTTCGTGGATTTTATGATGTGAGACAAGTATATACAGCATACCTTTGAACACCATATGGCGTTTTACTCATTTTATGAACTTTTTAGTAAGAAATTTTACGATTTTATTTGATATAGCGCTTTACGTTGTTTCTAGGCCATTGTAATGCCATTGATGAAGATTTATATCCTAATCCTTGCTTGTCCTGCCTTGGGTTCGAGGTAGAATGACTTTCACTAGTACTCTCTGGCTTCTTGAATAAGATGTCTCTTTTAAGTTGAAATATCAAGGGAATTAAAAACTATTACCATTATTCATATCTAAGAATATCGTTGTACACAATAGATCTTATCTATGAGAGCTCTGCATACCTTGAAATGTTTAGTGAGTCAAAAAAGCACGTTGAACTACCATTACTTAGTGAGGTAGTTTTCGTGGCAATCTTACAGTTTGTTAGCGAGCGCATGTGACCAACTACTTGTAACAAAGCTCTTTTTGTACCAAGCGCTTAACAATAACTTTAAAAGTCCTCATTGAAACAAATAAAAAAACCATGGCCCTGGCCAAAAATATAATAGCTCAAGCCCAATATTACACATTTTCGTTACCAGACATACGTCTTAAGACTTCCATCCAGAATGAATATGGAACAAGAAGAAGTGAGTGATAAAGTATGCAGTCTCACTTACTCAAACCTAATAAAAGGGCCTTATTGCATGCACATTGAATTTGCTCTTGGTAACCAGAATACCTGGGTAACGCCATAGAGAGTTCTCGTGGACAAGATCTCAAGTATTTCCATCAGCAAGGCAACTATGTCCACTGTCTTTAGATATTAAATATGACTGAGAACCTTCGTCTATTTCTTTACTGCGTTGTAAACAGGCTTTTCATGTCTTCTATTTTTCCCCTTTGTATCATGTAACGGTCAGACACACGAACCATGGCCTCTACCCTATTTAGAGCTTTAGATTAAAAGAAAAGTAATTATATAACTTATTCTAGTGGATTACTGAAGGCTGCTAACAAGCTCTTAGTGAATCAGGTAATTACTACCATGATATTAATGATTACCCCTCTTATAAATTTTCACCCCCACCGTCCATCTTATCGCTTGTGTACACGTAAGATGGCTCAAAACTTAAAGTCATGAACAGTGGAAAGCCGGTGGATTTCTTCATATTCATTCAATCAGGCAGGGTCTGAGAACTGGAAAACACGTATGCAGAAAGATCACTCAAAACAGTAGATTATTAGTGCAAGTCATAAGGCTTGCGGTAAGTAATATCCAAAGAAAAGAGACAAGGCTGTTAATATTTTCTTGAAATGACAGGGAACGGCCTAGTAGAAACCTCACAAAGGCATTCCAAAGAAACCATTTAAGAACAGAATAGTTATGAAGTTTCAGTCGATGTTTCTAATCTTCCGTCACTTGTTGAGGATTCTGTGTAGTGGAACCAGTTAACAAAATATCCTCCTGGTCTCTTAATGAACTACGATGTAACCTAGCCATTTAACGATAGAAGACAAGCTAGACACAACAGAAGACATGCTAGGTTTATTACTTCATTAGTAAGATTGACAGGAAAATTTTAAATAGAGACTTACACCAGTTTCATTATAAGTTCGAGAGTCGCATCTAATGATTTCCTCGGTTTTAGTCGTATTGACAAATGTTCAAATGTCTCGACCGACTTGAAAATCCCTTCCTAAAAGAGATTGATGATAAGAACCTGGTAGATATATAATCATGATTAGCATTTCAATTTACACTCTAGAGTGATGTTAGAAGTAAAGAAACGTTGAAATCTTGGTTTTGACAGAAAGGTTAGTACGTACACAGAAGACGGAGTGAACACATCCATTGGTACTCGCTGGAAGAGGGTATCCCTCGAATTCAGTATAAGTTGTCCCGGTATAAGTTATCCCTGTCGAGACCGACGTGGCTACATAGGCTATGGTTGTAATAATGGCTGCGATTTGCATGATGAAATACTGTACAATAAGAATGTAAGTGGCTAAGGTTATGTGTATTCACGATTTTCGATAAGGAGATCCGAGGTTCTGAATAACTGCTCCCAAGCAAGATGGAACCACAGGCTTTATAAGTATAGTGATCGAGTAACCTTCCATAAAACTTCTTCGTTATATCAAGAAGAGTTTGCGTAATTTGCCTCACGTCAGGCCAATGTTAATCTGAAACTTAATCTTCAATACTGTACCGTAGGTAGGCTCGCCAAATTATCCCCTCGTGCCATCATATATACATCTAGGATTTAGACTTTACAATTTCCTATTTGAGAGGTCGGACCGGTCGGGATTGTGTCTATGCGCGCTCCTGGGCTTAGTCCGATTTGCTCCGCACCACTTAAGAAGTAGTATCGTTCAGTACTAGACTAAAACTAAACACCTCAAGCCTAAAAAGCCAGATGAACATATGATGGCACGAGGGATACTGCCGTGTCACAAAATACGAGAATCACTCATCAGCGAGTACCAGACAGCTGACTTATGTTTCTATAAATACTGTATTCAAATACAGCCCTACTGGTGGTTTCAGAACCAACATGGTTTCGTTGACTTATTGCAGAACAATAAACAGGAGCACTAGGTAATTCTATTCTATTTTCAAAGATGTTAGACACGTAGACCTGGACACTGTCACATAAGCAATATATGAATATATTAAACCGTCTACGATAGTCTTGAATTACGCAGGGATCGCTAAAGATCAGGGGTAACCCATAGTATAGAGAGGCCGGGATTTTAGTCCAATGTGTACAGCCTGTTTACTCCACATCCTTTCCCACATGGTTCGCAAATCCATGGAAACGCCCAGCAAATATCTAAACAGTAGAGCCAGGTAAAGTATCATTTTCTGAGTTGGAGGTCGAGGTGAGTATAATGGTTCCTGGCTCCGTGGTGTAGGGTACGAAACTCTATTTCCTTAGAGTCCTTTGCATGTGTCAATGGAATCCAGGTAATGGGTTTCATAGAATTGCTCGTTGTATACTAAGGTTCGTATACCATTGATTTCAAGAGTACGTATTAAAAATCTAGTATCTTCTATCGGTCTAAGGGGAGCGAGATTTTCATAATAAGGCTAGCTCTAGATATAATTACAATGACGCAGATTTTAGTATTAAGAATGTTCATTAATTGAAAGGAGTAATATTATATATAGGATATCATGTAGGATAGTAATAATATAGAAGTTAATCGGGAATATATGTTATGATTATTATACCCTACTCCCATTATATAGCTTTTAGGGGCTTAACGGTGTGTCAAGAATTTCGCCCGACTGTCTTGAATCTGCTAGTTACAATATTATAAATATATGAGGCTATAGGAAGTCAGAACCTCGTCTCAGTTCCGTTCAGGAAAGCAACTGGGTCTAAGCAAAACAGTTCTATGATGAGGAATTGGTAATGTGCGTACTATACTCTAATCTTATCATTTAATCTGGTATCCAAATAGAAGCCAGTCAATCTTTCAAGCATTGTAACAATAGTAAGACCCTTTTGTCATTTTCATATTTACACCACTGTTGTTGTAGCATATTGAAACCTCCTAGGAAGTTTGCCGGCCCGTAACCCCTCTTTGTCCAAAGTAAGGTCCAGAGCAAGAAAATGATATCCAAGCTGTTAATAAATATTAGCCTTCATCAAACTTTCTTAATTTCATCAGCAATCTTCTCAGCAAGCATATAAACCGAAGCCTGGGGGTGTCCTGGAATTGCAAAAGGAAAGGCCGAGGCATCCACAACCCTTAATCCATTCACACCATAGACCTTTGCTTTCGAATCGAGAACTGCCATTGGATCATTCTTCGAACCCATAGAACAAGTCGCACTAGCATGGCAAATATGAAGCAAATTATCTTTGATGTAGGCAGCAATCTGCTCGTCACTTTGCACAGCTGCACCGGGGATTATTTCCTCTCCAATTTTAATGGCATTGGCGGCGGGCGTGTTCCACAATTGACGACCGCGCTTCAAAGCAGCTATTAATACTTCCATATCGGCTGGATGTGACAATCGATTCATGTTTATAAGGGGCTGATCTGACATACTAGAGCTTCGGATTGAAACATTTCCACGCGAAAGGGGGGCAAGAATGGTAGCTCCAAATGTACCCGTCACGGTGTTATGCTGTCCAGCACCTGCCGCAACCGAGTATTCGACTTCTGGCCAGTCATCTGGGAATTCCGAGAGAATGTCTTGTGTTTGTTTGGTGAAGCTACTTCGTAAATTGGCTGGAATCTTCTCGAATGCGAAATGGCCACCTGCTGCGCTGTAAGGCCCAGATGCGTTATGTGTATAATCTTTCAAAACACGAAGTGCGTCTGGGTCATTTATAAGAGTGGCGTCGGTTGGTGTATTGACTCGGTTTGTTGTGAGAAAGAAAACGGGATCCCAAAGGTTTTGCCCCACACCTTCCAAAGCTGATATGACTGAGATATTTTGAGATTCAAGGAAAGCTTGTGGACCAATGCCTAAAAGGAGGTCAGCTTGGAAGTGATTTTGGATCTGATGGGATTATAAGACTGGGAATGGAGGCTCACCTGAAACCATGAGTAATTGAGGCGTGTGAAATACGCCAGCAGAAACAATCACCTCCTTATTAGCCGAGATTGTGTACTCCAGTCCTTGTGTTGAGACAACCACTCCAGTTGCCTTCTTGTTACTGTCAAAAGTGATTCTCATGGCTTGAGTGTGAGCGTACACAATGATTTCCGTCTCCTCAATGGCTTTTTCTAAAAAGCTGGTGTATGAAAAAGACCGAGTGGCATCCCCAGGGTCGATTGTTGATGTGGCGTAACCGGTATCTGAAAGAATACCGCTATTAAAGCCAGTAGGACTAGTCTTGAGACCGATTTCTTGCAGCATTTTATCACCCCAAGTAACCATCGGGTCGACATAGTTCACGTAGGAAATTTGCAGCGGTCCACCAGTAGTGCTAAATGCGGATGGATCGTATTCTGGTGTTGCATTGGCCGAATTTCGCTTCTCAAAATTTGGCGGCGTGAAATGGCAGGACTTTTGGAAATAAGGTAGAAGGTTATTGAAAGTATAACTTTGATCTTCAACAATATCAGCCCATCTTTGATAAGTTCCTGTTGTACCCCGATGATATCCCATGATGTTGATACCAGATGACCCTCCGAGTGTTTTTCCTTGGGCATAATGAAATCTCTTATTGCCAAATCTAGGCTGGGGAACTGATATGAGTCCCCAATCAATTAGGGGTTGAGGTGGGTAATCTTCTGCACCAGAAATAATGCCCATGCCCAGACTATTGAAAGGCACAATGCTGAAATTCCCATTATCTGTGTCGTAAAAGCCCCCCGCTTCAATTACAGCCACCGAGGCTGTTTCAGCAAGCCTTGCCGCAATCGTCAAGCCAGCAGTTCTACCACCGACCACTAAACGAGGCTATCAGATAAATGAAGCAGATACACGAGGAGAAGTTAACTCGCCAACGTAATCAAACTTCCCACCAACGCCAGGAACACCAAAAGCACTTGATCGTAAGCGTTTAGCGTGAGTCCCCAGGAGATAGAAAGTAACAAATAATACACGGAATATTTTGACATGATAAACAATGCTTTTGAAATCAATTGAGAGGAGGAGGGATTACCCCGCACATAAGTAACACGGAAATCCTCATTGTTCGCTCAAGCTGTAAGCGCCAAGCTTGTTTATTACAGGAGAATATCATGGCGTAATGTAACCCTGTACTGCAGTGAACCCTCGGCTGTTATTAACAATGTTTTCATGAAGAATTTCTCTAAATGTTTCATCTGAAGAACATCTCAAATGTCCAAAACACCAAGATATATAAATTTGATATGTGGTTACATACAGAAAGATATGGAGTAAATCCTCATTTCTACCTCTCATCGGCACAGATGATCCTCCTGATTGCTGTTACTTCGTAGCGATGAGGCTCTCGGTCACAACCATTCGCCTGCACAATTCTCTGCAGAATCCAGTCCAATTCTCTACTGCTTCCCTATTTCTTTAGGAAAGAATCCGACGTAAAAATCGAGCTTCCCCAAGGGTACCCCCTCCTTTCTCAGAATTCCATACGCAGTAGTAACATGAAAGTATACATTCGGCAAGACAATGCAGTGAGCATACATAGCACCACTCATCCCCACTGGTTTTGCTGGGCCCATAGCAGTGAGCTCAATGACCTCTGCATGTTGATTGACGACTTCCTTGTCCGCCTCTTGGAGTGACTTCGATACCGTCTCAATTCGTTTGTAAAAATCGGCAAATGTAACGAGTTTTTCGTTGAACTCTACAGGTTTCCGACCGCTCAGTCTGGCGACTAGGTTTTCCGAGTACTGAGTTGCGATGCGGACTTGTTCTGGTAATGGGAGCATTTCTTCGTGTAAACGGGCTTCGAGAATTTTGTCCGCGTCGGGTTGTTTCTCAGCTTGGTGAAGGATGTGGGACAAGGTGCCAAGGATGCCTTGAAGACCCACAATGGACCCGTCGTAGAGTGTGTAAACCATGATGGAAAAGACTTTAAACTTTTGAAAACTTGAAAGAGCTGGTAGATTGTTTTGAACGAATTTAAACGATCTTGCGACTCCCTTTTGTACACATCTCGGAATTTCGGGATGTAGGAATGTAAATATGAATTTGAGTCAGAAGTTATATGTCGCTTACAAACAAGCTGGATTATAGAAATTTGAGTATCGCTCGTAAGCCTCTGCTCGTACCATCTTACATTGAATTGCTTATCAAGCTTCCTCAAGTCCGGGGCAAATGTTCACCCGCGCCGACCACTATTACCCTCTTAGTTCTCCCGGCCCCGTACTCGATCGTAATATCTTATGCATTTTTCAGAAACATTCCACAATCGGCACATTCAACAGCACATTTGGCCAGAATTGGCGGAAATTCAAGAGACAAAAGGCCTTATGTTACCCTCGATGGGTCTGACGGCTCTATGGTACTATAACCGAAGTTGTTCACAAACCAGAATCAATAGCTCGAGGAGTTTTGAGGAAATACCAGTTGGTGAACCGTGGACGGGTTCTCTATGGTATGGTGTGGGGAAAGTAACATTTGAAGAGCCTTCTTGAGTCACAACTAATGTGAATTTTGCTCTTCTGCAATATCAATCAATTCCTCAAGGAATGTTCAATTAAGAGGTTGGGAATTAAGCAACCCATGTTATCCTCCTCTTACTTTAACTTCTCTTCTTATGCTTGAAACTTTCTTCTATTTCCTTAAGCTTACACCGCATCTCGTCCTTCCATTCCTAGTGTTTCATCTGTACATCAGCAAGCTTGCTGTTCATGTCCATCCTCGCCTTCTCATTCTTGGTTTCAAGCTCGAGAATCTTGATTTGCATCTCATCGATTTCTACCTTGTTACGCAGTTCCGCGGCATCGAGATACAGAGTTGGACGACTTATCTATGATAGTGTCGCCTACTAGTCCAGTATACATTTACATATCTCGCCTAGTCATCGGAGATGTACTGTACGATATCATACCGATACATCTACGTGGAATTCTTACACACACAGAAAGTTCAAGTGAAACATTGCATCAGCGACGTAAAATGTGCTTCAAAGTGGATGATCTATTCCACATATAACTGATCGTCGCATCGCTCAGTTTCACCGACAAGTTGGTAGAATCTATAAAGCTCCCTTTCCCCTCTCCCCTCGCAAACAAATAGAAGTGCAAACACACTCAAAAGTTTCTTTGACAGTGCCAATCTGTCCACAATATAGCATATTGTTACATCAATTTTTCTGTCTCGCAATACTCATATATCGCAACATGTCAGACCAACGCAAAAGCCTCAAGGTCCCCGGATTCCCATCTTCTTTGAGCTTCGGGGGGTATACAGACCTAACCGATCTCACGGGAAAAGACTTCGTCGCCGCAAAAGCATCCTCAATCTTCAGGTACGCCGGGACAGACGGCACCGGAGACCTCTACACCCACGTCTCCTCCGACGAAAGCACCAAGAGAACCGTTCAATTGGCAGCCGACGTCGAAGCCAAAGTGGGCAAATCCGTTCTCCCAATCTTGGTCGCATATACAACCAATTTATCGTTGGGGGACCCGAATATCCGTCTGCAGAACGAGACAGAAATCCAGCACGGGTTTTCAAATCTGATCTTGTCACTGTAGATAGCCGTGAAAACAGCGAAAGAGAAGGGAGGGAGAGAGGTGCCCGCTGCGTACATCCTGAATCCTGAATTTTTAGGAACATGTCAACAGCAAAACCTCTCGCCCGACTTCGCCATGCCAGTTCGCGAGGCACTCCGTGGTGCCCTCGAGTACCGCGCCGTCAAGGGTGACATACCTGAGGACATCACTAACACGCTCAAAGGATATGTTTCCGCCGTCAACTGGGTTGTCCGGCTCGTCGCTCACGACGTAACCTTCGGATGGCAGGCCAACATCTGGGGAGTCGGGAACGCAACTTGGATCTGACCAGAGCAAAACAGAAGCAGATCTTCGCGAGATCGCGAAGCAAACAGTGGATTATATTAAGAGTCTCGGTGTCTACACCGGCGCCTACGCGCCTGATTTCTTGGCTATCGATCGCTATGAAGCTGATGATCTTACCATACGGGGGTATGGGAATGGATACTGCTACAGTCCGTCCGAATGGGAGCGTTTCTACGACTTCTGCTCAAATCTCAATTCTGGACTCGATGTCCCCGTCATGCCGTGGCAGATCCCCGCGAGTCGCCTTCCGTACAAGACCGAAGCGGTGTCGTATCTCGAGGAGGAGAAATGGTGAACGGGGGGCACTTATATCTTTGGAGACGAGCGAATTGGGAAGGACTTGCAGAATGTGAATCCGGAAATATTGGGCCTTGAACCGGCTGGGATGGTGGGAATGAAGAATGTGAAGACCTTGTTGGATAATAAGGAGCCGTTCGATTTGTCTAGGCCAGCGTATGAGGGGCTCGCTCAGAAGGGTATCTTTGCTGTTCTATTGGGGGGCGGAGCTACAACGGGGATTGCGAGTACGATTGGGAAGACGGGGGGTTGGACGCAAGAGAAGTTGGCTGGTTATGAGAGGAATCCTGTGACGCTTACATGAGTATGGTGCATTTAGCAAAATAAGCGAATCAGAAAAAGGAGGTGGTTTGGGAGGCAGAAAGCAGCAGCGCAGTAATTTGGAAAGGCTGTTATATCGAATCCATAGACTCTCAATAAGAAGGATGGGGTATCATTGATTAATAAAATAGTTCCTTTATACTCTCAAATCCAATGGGCCCCAAGAGTGGGCTTTCTCTCGTCATACAAAGACAGAGATCAACTCGCATTTGTCACCCTCTTATAAATCATCGCCGCCGCTAACGCCGCACAAGCCGTCGCCCCAAGCGCAATATAAACACCAGTGCGATCTGGCGCCTCCTCCTCACTCTTCGGAAACGCCAGTAGCGGATTGGTAGCCGCCTCGGCAAGCGTAACAAAAAGCTCACTAATGCTATGCCAAGTAACACTAACATGCAATGGGGCATTCATGTTAAGACCCATGGTATATTGATCAGGTTGCATTTCCGACCTCTGAGTCGTTTTATCCTGGTCTGCTTTCAGCGCTGTGTAGATAGCGGGCAACTCATCGAGATGTGGGTATTTCTTCCGCAGTGAAACGATATGTGAGAATGAGTCTGGGTCGGAGGAATCGTAGGTGTAGCATATTAGATCGCAGGCATCTAGCTTTGCGCGATTCTCGAGGATTGCTGGTTCGAGTTCGCCGAGTTCTTCGAGGATTAAGTAGCATTGCTTACCGCCCTGAAGCTCGACGCTGTTGACTGCTGTACGTGGTTTGATGGTGGGGTGATATAAAGAATCAAAGGGTCGGTTCAGAAATGCATCTAGAAGCGACGATTTCCCTGATGCGGGCGCACCGAGAACGTAGCAAAGAACCACGTTTCGCTCAACTCTACCAGGACGCCGGCGACGTTTTCTGGATTTTGTAGTTTTGAGTGCGGACGTGGTTGACTCACGAGGACTTGGAGGCTCGAAACCGAGATATGCTAGGTATGCGAGTGTAGTAGTTGGCGAGACAAATGTAGTCATTGACCACTGTGCAAGCCAACCCTGGAGAGTAACGTGGCCTCTCTCATTACGAACAGTAGAAGCTGGGAAAGATGTTTCCAACCAAACCTGGGGTAATCCTGGGGTAGGCGCGAAAAGAGCCTGGAGATCAGCGTCTGTCAAACCTCCATCGTTGTCTTGATCAAACAAGAGGAATCTGTCCACGAAAAGTTTGTACCCAGCCGGACTCAACTCAGCAGAAGAGTACTCGGGGATCTCAAATTTGGGGTGGAGGAAGCTATCTGTCAAGCTCAGACTGTCTGTGTAGTGATATTTTCGTAGTATGATCCATATAGTCTCATGCCTCCCCTTTTCCGCAAATAACTTGTTGAGATGTATAAACCCTTGCTGGTCGATTCCTCTATCCAGATCAGATCTAGGAAAGGCTTTGCTTATAGATGATTTGATATTATCCAGATCATCGTCCGACAATGATTTCTCGAAACATTTCGCTTGAAAGTCATGCATTTCTTGATCGTTCAAATGGCCATCTTGATCCTTGTCTGATAGATAGAAAATTCTCTTGAGGGCAGCTACGGCAGCTGGCTTCAGATGTCCTTCTTTTGAATCAAAAAGAGGAGCAATTGGGTGTGTAACAGCTTTCTGGCAGAGAAAGAAGACCTCGTTGACATTGTGATGTTCGCGAGCGCTTGTCCGTATACACGAATCGATTTCTTTGAATTCGGCCATTACTGGCATCATCTCGTCTTCCACCACTTGTGCCATACTCCCTGTAGAGGTAAGATCCGATTTGTTGGAGCATAATACAACAGGTACATTAACACCTAGTGATCGGAAATATGGCATCCAGAATAAGGCGACCCGCTCGTAGCTGTAATGGTCTGAGTAGACAAGCAGGATGACATTTGACTTCCGCAGTTCCTTTCGTAATATGTTTCGTTCTTGTGGTAGGGCCGAGGTATCAACGATCGTGGTTGTGACATTTTCAGGCGTGCCAATCGTGGGAGGAATTGTAATTTGAGGGAGGACGGATTGGATCTTGTTTGTTACGAAGACATCCTTCACCAATGAGGTTATAAGACTCGACTTTCCGGCGCCATCATCGCCGCAGACGCATACCCTAACTATGACATATTAGTATCAAGGTGGTGGCAATCCTCTTCGGCGAGGGGAAATACCCGTCGCCATTTCTGTATCGTTCAGCCTCGCAAGACAGGGCTGTCAGTTGTGCATTGCGCGTGGGACTGTGTAATTGCAGTGTAGCCAATGGACTCGGCAGATATCACTCTACAGCAATACAACAAGTCAGAAATGAAGGCAGTCAAAAGACGGACTGTGTATAGTATTGGAGTTTGGGGTTGTTGTTAGAAATGACACTGTCATTCATAGCTCGGTGAAGGAGAAGCTCCCGTGGATCATGATCATGTCCAAGGGTGGCTGAAGTGTGGCTGGTGAAAGATTCACAAATCTCGAGCAATGCAAGTGAATAAAAACAAGTGGGATGAAGTAATTTATGTAGTAATAGAACGTGATATTAGGAATTCCGCAAGTTCAAAAATATTCATTTTTAAGAAACTCACTCCACCGAGCTTCGATATAAATTCAATACGGACATCATTGGTACAGTACACGTACTTGAGTACAGTACTTGGATGCGGATGTACCCCGCCTCGGCCCACTTCCCCCTGAGCTTCTAGAAACACTTCAACCTACCTATGATACCACCCCAAATGTCGTCTCTTTGAGTCTTGGAGAGCTTCGATACCAGCTGTTCCCCTGTTTGAACACCAACGTCGCCTTCAGCACCTTAGCTGAGCTAATACATATACGTTACCCCTTTTGATCTTGAAATTGATGAAGCAACACTTCTTTGGAACACCATTCTCGTCACATTTCCAAGGCGCGACGATCACCAGGCGAGGAGTCGCTAGGAGCGTCTATAGAATATCTGCAAACCCCTCTCGGGACCCAGCAAACGCCATCTCCCAATCCATAACATCAACAATTCAATTCCGGCCACCAACGCCAAATTTCATTGTGGCCAGAGTCTTCATAACAATACGAAATTGGGTCTTCGTTATGAACCGACAGTTTTCTCGCGCTCTCGTCGACTGAAGTCTGAAAGGAGTTGACCGATTATAAGATTACAATTTCAACAGCAAATTCACCACCCATAGGATGCTCGTAGGTGCTCCTAGTCCATACCAAATTCGGACTTATTCTTCTCCCGTTATAAAAGGGCTACTGATTCCAGATACTTATCTTTGGATCCATGCCTCAGCATCTCTTCTGCCAACGAGAGATCCAATCATTGGGAAACGGACCGTAGAAAGCTGTACCTTAACACGCAAAGGCCTCGGTACGCTCTTCGTCACACTACTATTCTACTTCAAGCCTACATATATTCGACCCAGCTCGAAAAAGAAGTAGTGCGTGTGTTCAGATGTCTTCATATCCAAATCCGTTCGCACGTTATGCCCAAGACAACCCATGAACATGAAAGGAGCCTTGACCAAAGGGGACGAGACTCGACTCAACAGTATTTGTTCGTGGGGCGGAGATGACGATTGAGGTCGCGACGAGGAGTATTGTCGAACATTCCGATTTCATCGGACTTGCCGTTCTATTAGAGTTGGAAGTTTCCAACTGACGCATTCGAAGCCCTGCAACCAACCGCGTCGTTCAACCTTAAGATACCTACCAAATGATTGTGATCAAGGCCGATATCTGATAACAGGACATGATCCAGCCATAGTTTCGATTTTGAAGTATTTGCACGCAGTTCATTCTAATGCACTGTTGACAAAACGATTCTACTCTTTCTATCAAAGGTCCTGGATAGTGCTCTACAAAGTCCAATCTCTTATCATATTCCGTCCCACATCAGCCATTGACGTTTATTCTTTCTCGCTGTGGCTCCCAAAGTATTTTACGTCTTAGCGGTAAGACTGTATGCCAACGGTAACACTGTCAACCAGCTGTGGAAGAATTCTGTTGGCTAGCGAGGAAGGACTTCACATCATGTACCGAAATTGGAGGATCTACTGCTGATGACCAGACTTCGGTGGTGGCTCTACCTAGGCTGTTCGCACTAGTCTTCGCCCTGCGGCGATCCTCCAATACCAACATTTTACATCTGTATAATTGGGTGTGTTTCTGGGGATGTTTCTATCACAATATCATAGACAATAAAGAGAAACGGGCAATGTGGATTTTTCATGAATACTCTCGCAATTTTCCAATCAACTTTCATTCTGTTATTTATTTCGAATGTCCAAGCATACTATTCTCCGGGTCCATTTGGAAGGAAGGCTCAATCTTGAAATAACGAGTCCGAAACATGCGTGTATGCCTTTTCTAGGCTACAGTCCATCACTCCAATTGATCATCAATTTCTCTACCGACTTGAAAATTGTACGTCAAATACCGATCAGGTTACCCTGGTCCACATTTAAGTTCGCGGCTCTGTTCTGGGGGCTGTGATGCTTACGAGCACCGCAGGATCATGATCACTTTCCATAGCAAGGATAGATTATAATTAAACACATATTACTCTGCAACACGACCGAACCTCTTAGAGAGACCTTATGTCATCTTTTTCTGTTCTGTCTTTTGTATAAGCAATATCTTTCTTTCCAATATAATAGAGCCTTTCCACCTAGCTCTCACTCACTCAACCACATAGCCACCTTTTCATTTGTAACTCCCTCCCTCCCTCACCATGTCTCTCAACATCCTCTCCACCACTCTCCTCCTAGCAGGATCTATCACCGCCTCCGTCCTCCCCCGCGCAGGCACAGAACTCAAACCCCTAATGACCGTCGACTTCCCCGACCCAGCCGTAATCGGCATAGGAAACGGCGCCTGGCTCTCCTTCGCCACAAACGGGAACGGAAAACGCGTCCAAGTCACCAAAACCACCTCCGGCCTAGGCGGGCCCTGGAATCTGTTAGACAACGACCTCTTACCAACCGTTGGTTCCTGGTCTACCGGGCATAACACCTGGGCTCCCAATGTTCGTCGCGTGGGCTCCAAATACGTCTTATATTACGTATCGGAAGCCAAAGATGGCGGAAAACATTGCGTTGCTGCCGCGGTCTCGGATACGGTCTTGGGCCCGTATAAACCGGATGATAATCCGATTGCCTGTCATAAGGAGAAGGGGGGTGCTATTGACATCTCCGGCTTCACGGATTCAGATGGGAAGAACTACGTCGTCTATAAGATTGACGGGAATTCCATCGGTCCCGGAGGCTCATGCGGAAACTCCAACTACGGCTCCCCAGGTTCAGTCCCAACTCCATTAATGCTGCAAGAAATGGGCTCCGACGGGACGACGAGAGTCGGCGAACCAGTGCATATCCTGGATAAAGGGCCGTATGATGGACCACTCATCGAAGCTCCCCAAATCATTAAGAAAGATGGGCTCTATATTGTGTTCTTTAGTAGTAACTGTTATTCCACGACTCTTTATGATATTAGCTATGCGACGAGTACTAGTTTGAGGGGTCCGTATAAGAAGGCGGCGAAACCGCTGGCTGTTACGGGTAATCCGTTTGATCTTACGGCGCCTGGAGGTGCGCAGGCGACGGATGATGGGAGGAGTTTGGTGTTTCATGCGGATTGTCAGGTGGATGGGGGGAAGAAGAGGTGTTTGTATACTAAGGATATTAAAATTGAGGGAGGGATTGTTAGATTTGTTTAGAGTGGGGTGAGTGGTTTGGTGTTGGATTCTTGGTTTGAGTTGTTGGGAGAGATGGTGATGGAGGACTTTTAGGCGTAGTTTTTGCATTGCGTGGAGGCGTTGGTTGTTTTGATCTTTGGTCGGTTAGAAACTACATGACTACCTGAAATGATGGACTCTTTTTACAGCAGAAATATCTGTCATTCAATGACTAGTAAACTTGCTATCAAGTCAAAGACAGCTAGCTATCAGATAGCATTGTTATCTAAGAACAGGGCAGCACTATTTCCAATCAAGATATTCCGTTCATTTAGATGACTCCACAACCCCAATTGACCTCCTCCACAGGCCTGGGAAGTGTGCCCAATAAATGACCGCTCACCAAAGTCACCTGCGCTATTTGACGGAAACAAATACAGGAAATAAACTCCTCCGAAGAGAAGTTTAAGTGGACGTCAAGATGTTAGCGGCGGGCGGGTAGCCCTAGATTGCTCAGATGCTGTTTCTGGAAATGAGAGATGCGAGTGGCCACGAGGGACAGCACAATTGCTAGCTCTCATAGTAAAGGAGAGGTAATTCCCTCGTAATGACACTTGGGTCGGTCCGGCACAAGAAGACAATCTCTTTTAGGGGGCTTTATGGGAACCGGTTTACTGGTGGTGTGATGTGGAGGCAGTGGTGAGAGTAAAGTTTTGAATTAACCGACTTGATTAAGCGAGATACAGTAGTAGGTAGATGGATTGCTTTTCCCGTGATTTAATTCTTGAAGCTTTGTGAAGCATCGATTATATGCTGCCCAGAATTACTAGATTCTAGTTTCACCATGTCCTTTTTGAATTTCGTTTCGAATCCACCCTTTAAGACCGTCTCAACAGCAGTGTACAGTGCTTGCTGGACTTGGTTCCTTTGGTGGAGAAGATACTTCAATTCAAATATTCCATGGTACGTGAAGATCTTTGATATCAAGAGACTATCTTCTTCATTCCAGTTGTGTTGAGTTTCAATAACAGTTGACAAATTGCCACATGTAAGAAAATTATAAGGACAACGATACCATCTATTGTATTTGTGTTATTCTCATTTCCAATACAAATTCAACCCCTATAAACAGCATTCGAATACCTAAGAAGGACCACGCTCTCAGGCAAAAATGCGGTATTTGCGACCAAAACCCCCGTACTGCTACCAATATGAATAGAAAGTAGCTCTTGGGTCTCCAAATAGGAATGTATCTGGTAATGTATCCTCACTCTTTAACAGGTGAAAAGAGGAGACTGGTGTAGGGTTAGGGTTGGACTTAGGCCAACGACTTACTGCCGATGGAAATGAAAGTTTTGATTCAAGCACCAACCCTATTAATATCTGTAGTATGGTGTTTTCTCTGTTTGATAGGCTTCCAGCCCCTTGGTGCTGGGGTGGTGTTAGGTGGGTCCCAAGTGGGATTAGATGGAACCTTCTGCTAAGATTACCCACAAGGGGGGGGGGGACTTCACCCACCTTTACCGACCCAACATCCATGCATCAAAGGGCGCTTCAGGGCCTCATGGTACCACAGCTTCTTCCTAGACATTCACCACACCAAGATGTATAATGTATACCTCTACCCCTCTTGTTCCCTCAATGCAGTCCCATGGGTGAAGCGGATTGCAATTGCACCCTAATGTTACCACGACGTCAGAGATCTGATCTTTGACAAGCATCAGCCATCAACCATTGCCATCAACCCCACACTGTACCTTGCAGCCCAGCCCAGCCCAGCACATTTCCCCATAAGCTCGGAGCTTGGGGCCGACTATTCTATTCACAGCTCAATGTCAGTTGGTGATTACAACAACACCGATTGCGTTGGCTTTCCTGTGATACCCCCAGGTCCCCCCAATATTTTGTGTCAAACCGACCTCTGTCAAATCGGTACTCATACCCAACAGTCCAATATCCAAGAAATATGTTGTAAGGATCCACGTTGACCGCGCTTACAGCTTCCACCCGCAAACAACTAACAAGATGCGCAGCGTTCTCCCACCACCCCCACGATACCCCTCTCAAGCTGCCTACAATAATGCCGTCGCAAATGGGCAGGCTCCGCCTCTGATAGAAACGAATAATCTTCTCTCGCATCCAACGGGACCCGAGTATCAACTGGTGGTCGGCGAAGGTACGAATCTACCCCTCTCGAGTCACAACAACGAGGACTGATGAAGTTGGCAGGAACATATATTCTCAAGGAAGACTTGCACCTTGCGACACCCCCTCCGCATCCTTCAGAAGCGCCAATAATCAATCCGAATCCTCTTGCGACAACTCCACAGCCTGCGACAGCCGGAACCAGGATATCTCTTCTCTCCTTGAGCTCCCGAGCGGCTCCAGTGCCATTCTACAGACTTGATGGGAATAGAAGTACCAATACTGGCTTTCATTCTAGCATACAAGAGCATCCAAATGAGGGCCGCCCGTCGGGTGATTTGGTGCCTCCAAGTAGTGATGGAGGGGACACTTCGGTGACTGGTAGTGCCAGGGCGACCCTATCCGTTGGCTCTGCGCCTGCTTTTGGAGAAGGAAACTCGATGCTGTTAGCCACCGGAAAAGATGCTGGAAAGCGAAGGAAGCCTAAGAACAATATCGCCAAGAGTAACTCGTCCTTCATATCGAGGTGTATCGTGCATGAGAATCTGAACAAGAGGTTACAAGATCGCCCGGCGGATGGCTTTTTTGCTTTCGCTAATATCAACCGAGCATTCCAATGGTTGGATTTGTCATCTCCCCAAAAGGTGGTCTTTGAATATCCACGATAGTATTGTGTGAGTGCTGACAAATCCTAGTCTGAGCATTTGACCAAGATATTGTTTACCAAAGGACATTGTTTATGTCACGACATTAATCAACTTACAAAAAGCCAGAATCATATCGACTTGATCATGGGCTTTTCGACAGGCGAAATCATCTGGTACGAGCCAATATCTCAAAAATATACCCGATTGAACAAAAATGTGAGTGCAGAAGAATAACCGAGAAAGTGGATAGAAACTGATACACGCCAGGGAATAATCAATACAACACCAGTTTCTGAGATCCGTTGGATACCAGGCTCCGAAAACCTCTTTCTAGCAGCACACATGGATGGTTCGCTAGTAGTATACGATAAGGAGAAAGAGGATGCCGCCTTTTCGCCAGAAGAGCATGCCAATGGTAGTTCGGATGCAAGTAATGACGGCTCTGAACCACACATAGTCCTTCATGTCGACAAATCCGTGCATTCGAAAAACCAAAAGTTCAATCCTGTGTCTTTTTGGAAATTGTCAAATCAGCGAATAAATGCTTTTGCATTTTCTCCAGATAATAGGCACATTGCTATTGTATCTGAAGACGGTACCTTGCGGATAATTGACTATCTCAAAGAACAGTACGCTGCTTGCGACCATTGTGATGTACCTCCACTAATGGCATTGTAGACTTTTAGATATCTATTCAAGTTACTATGGCGGTTTCATTTCCGTATGTTGGTCTCCAGATGGTAAGTACGTGCTCACTGGTGGCCAAGATGATCTGGTGTCCATTTGGTCCGTGGCCGAAGCTACAATTGTTGCCCGGTGTCAAGGCCATCAATCCTGGGTCACAGCAGTGTGCTTTGACCCTTGGAGATGTGATGATAGAAATTATCGTTTTGGAAGTGTCGGTGAAGATCGTAGACTGCTTTTGTGGGATTTTAGTGTCGGCATGCTTCATCGTCCCAAGGCTGTGAGTATCAATTGCTTTTTTCAAAGGAACCTCTACTAACAATCCTCTAGTTATCTGTAAGAAATAAACGAGCAAGCGTTTCTTCGCGGTTTGCAAATCCACTACAGAGGTCTGAAACTCAAAATACATCTGCGAGTCGATTGAGATCGAATTCCTCCCTTTCGGTTGACCGCGAGGATGATAATACAATTGAGCATCCTGTGGAGCCGAGGGCAACTACTGCGATGCTTCCTCCTGTCATGGTATGTTTACATCCCGAAGTGATTTCTCTTGTTGGTTTGTCCTGATGGTTAGCAGTCAAAAGTTATAGATCCAGATCCGCTTTGTTGGTTGGAATTCACCCAAGACTCGATTATCACTAGTTGTAAATCAGGTAAGCTCTAGAAGGATTTCATTCAATTTTGCGTGATTTCAGCTAACAGGTCATAGGACACATTCGTACTTGGGATCGGCCTGCGGATGGGACGAGTGAGAGTGAGGTGGCTTCTTCTGCGACGTGAGCTGGGAGAGGATTTATGGAGGGTATGGAATGATCAGTACATAATTCAGTGATATGCTGCAATCTTCATGTAAGCGTAGCATGAAATGCGCTCAGACTACATCTAGCGAGGATAAATGTCATATTCTGAGCGGTTCTTGATTCACTAGATCGTACCTAGGTAGATATGGATCACAAGTACTAAACTGATGTGTCACCGCGTGTAGCTCTCCACATGTCCAACGTGCCCAATCGTCTGCCTTCCGGTTAAATGTAAGTAGAGTTTACTTATTCACCCTACTCCTCCAAGCAAGGATTGCTATTTATACCACCCGCACGACCTCATACTAGATCTTGACAAATTCAGAGAACACAGATGCTCCCATATCATCTCATACTACTGCTTCCCGCATCTCATTTAATATCGAACCATCCACATACCTAAACAGAATTCTCATACTCGAGTCACAATAGCAATAGCAATTTCACATACACACATACATCCCCCACTTTCCCATCCCATCACCTCAACCCATCATCATCACCTCAACCATGACCCTCCCATCCCCATCCCCCTCTGAAAACCACCCCCTCACACCCCAACAAAAAACACACTTCCTAACCCATGGCTACCTCAAGCTCGAGAAGTGCTTTACCCGCCAACAAGCTGAGTCTTTCACCAAAGACCTCTGGACGAGACTTGGTATGAGGGAGGACGATAAAAAGACACGGGGAGTGGAAAGGGTTAATATGACGAGTTTGAAGTATGTTGATGTAAGGGAGTTCGCGCCGAAGGCTTGGGCGGGGATTGTGGGGGTGTTGGGGCCTGAGGGGGAGGAGGAGGGGGAGGGTATGATTGTAGAGGAGAAGAAGGTTTGGGATGATGGGTTTATTGTTAATCTTGGGTGTGAAGGGGAGGAGGGACAACTTGTGGAGGGGGAAACGGATAGGGAGAGAGGGGAGATGTTAAGGGCGCTGGAGGGGTGGCATGTTGATGGGGATTTTTTTGTGCATTATTGTGAGTCTTTCCCCTTCCTTTCTTGGGGTGTGTTCTGTTGAAGGAGCCTTGCTTTGGAAGTTGAGTGGAGATATCTTGATGGAGTTCTTTAAGATTTGATGGATTTGGGGGGTGGTGGACTCGAGGTTTGATGTGGAAAGGTTGGAACTAATGATATTTGATATTCGGTAGTGGATTCGCCTGAGCAGGCGCTCTTGGTCATCCCGCTCTGGTCTGATATCCTGCCCCAGGGTGGTGGAACGGCGTTAGCTACAGATAGGTGAGTTCCCAATTCTTTTTTCAGTACCCCGAACCCATCTCAAATCCATCCCTTAAGACTAGAAATGCTAGTAGCAAACTAACATCCAACCTCCCTAGCATAAAACACATAGCCCACCACCTCGTATGTTCCCTCCTATTTCCCTTCCATCCATTATATTAACTTCCACAGTACACACATTCCTCCGGCGTAACACCATGGTTCCGTCCCCTAGACGACCCATCAGAGAACCGCCAGTGGTTCCTCGATCTCGCCCATGATCCCCAAAAGATCCGTGCTGAGTCGATCGTTGAGGCTACGGGTGAGGTTGGGGATGTCTTTCTTATTCATCCTTTCATGTTGCATTCTGCGTCGAGGAATGTGAGGAGGGATAAGAGGGTTATTACGAATCCGCCGGTGAGTTTGAGGGTGCCTTTTGGGTATGGACGAGTGGGTGGAGATGGTGTGAGGAGAGGGAGACTGAGTCTGGTGGAGAGGAAGACGTTGAGGGAGTTGGGGTTTGAGGAAGAGGGATTGGGCGAGTGGAGGATTGAGGGGGAGAGGAGGGGGTGGGTTAGTGAGAGGATGAGGAGGTATGAGGCGATGAGGGGGATTGAGAGGGAGCGGTTGGAGAGGGAGAGAGACTTGAAATAGAGGGATGAGAATAGCAATCAATGGGTTTTTACTAGGTTCTATGAGGATTTGTTACTTCGGCCTAGGCGAAGCAATTGTAGGGTCTTAAGGGGGTTTACCTTGTTGCCAGCCTTAGCCACCCTAGCAAACCTACAATTATTCGCCTGGGACGAAGTAAGTGTGTTCATGCAGCTAATTGTTCCAAATCACACACCATACTGGGTGTGGCAAAAGCTGCAAAGAACCAAAAACAGAACTATCCACTGGTGATCCATACCTAGCTACAAAATAAATTACGTCCCATTAAAACAAAGTTTGAGAATCAAACACAACTGCTCACACCAAATCCATCCTATTCCAAGAAATCAGCTGCACGTAATTGGTATTTTCGTTGTTGTGTGAGATTTTAGCTGCTAGCCTCACCTTCACTCAGGTCAAAAGCGCATCCATGCAAACAAGACTGGCTACTCGTTGTTGAAGCACTTCAATTCTCTTTCAACCCCCATTCACAAAAATAGACTTTCAGATATTCGGCTAAAAAGGGGGAGTTGTTTTCTGCTCTTGACTTCCAAAGTGGCAGCTCTTGTCGCCTACCTGGAGGGCACAGACTCGATCCACTTAAACACGCGTGAACCAATCAGATCGCCTATCAGCTAGGTACCCGTAGCCTCTCCCGACTCAGCATCTGAAGGGCAGAAGAAAACACTTGAATTGTTCCTTCGCCATTCCTTGACAACTCCATCTTCAACCTCCCACCTCCCCCTCCGCACGTGCATCGCCATCCTCGACTGAGCGCATATATCCGCCGCAATACCTCTCTGCGACTTTCGCATCCCGATACCAGATCTCTGCAAAACATGGCCGCTGTGAGTCCTCCCCTTCACCCATCAACAGCTACTCAGGCACAGCTATGACCGTCGATTGTGGATAGCGGAGGATCTTTCTCACCATCTGGGCCCCATCTTCTCTTCAGCTTCGTCTACGCTGCGATGGAAATTTTGTGCTGACCGGGTATCTTCAACAGCAACGCCCTCATTCCTTCAATCCTCCTGCCTACCTTCCAAACGGCGCTGCTAGTGGCCACCCTGGCTTGCCACCGGGAGCCGCACCTCTTCTACCTAATAATGGCCGAATCATTCAGCAAGGAGGGGTTAGAGTGCTTTGTGTAGCAGATGTGCGAGGTGAGATGCAACCCGACGTTAGATCTTCGAATTGCAAGGCTGACCAAGATCAGGAAATCTGAGATCGCTCAATGAGCTAGCGAAGCAGGCACGCGCAGACCATATCATCCATACTGGAGACTTTGGTTTCTACGACGAAACTTCCTTAGAACGTATCGCAGAAAAGTGAGGAAGACCTTGTCCCCGATGCATCAATATGACAGAATTGCTGACATCCAACTTCCAGGACCCTAAAACATGTCGCCCAATATTCACCCCTGATCACTGAAGCCGTGAAGAAGTCAATCGGCGCACCAGGTGGTCCAGTCAAACAGCGATTTCCTGCTAACGAATTACCTCTATCCGAACTCCCACAATTCCTCAATGGCAGCCTGAAATTGGATGTACCAGTTTACACAGTCTGGGGTGCGTGTGAGGACGTAAGAGTGTTAGAAAAGTTCAGATCGGGCGAGTACAAGGTAGAGAAGCTTCACATTATTGATGAGGCTCGATCGATGCTTTTGGAGATTGGTGGCGTCAAATTGCGACTTCTCGGGTTGGGAGGTGCCGTGGTCATGCACAAGCTCTTTGATAATGGAGAAGGACGAACGACTATTGCCGGTGGTCAAGGTACTATGTGGACGACTCTATTACAGATGGGAGAATTAGTGGATACAGCGAATCGAGTTTACGACCCCACGGAGACGCGAATCTTCATCACTCACGCTTCCCCAGCTCGGGAAGGAATTCTCAACCAATTATCTGTTACGCTCAAGTCCGATTTCTCGATATCTGCAGGTCTTCATTTCAGATATGGCAGTTCGTACAACGAGTTCAGTGTCAACCCCACTTTGGATCACTATCGTGGAAAGTTGGCTGCATCCAAAGCCTCTTTCAATGATGTTTGGGAGACTGTCAAGTCTGAAGTCCAGCCAGCTATTCAACAAAACGAGGCCCAGCAAAACCTTTTAAATAATGCGCTAGGCATAGTTGAGAAGATGCCCAGCACTGCCCTTGGTGGAAATCCTTTCGGTGGTCCAGTTGGAGGAGCCAATGCTGCAGCAGCTGGCCAGGTCGACGAGAGCGCTTTCAAGAACATGTGGAACTTTAATTTGGCCGATGCAGCTTTCGGATGGTTGGTTCTTGAAGTCCAAGATGGCAGAATTGGCACAGAAATGAGAGCTCAAGGCTTTAACTTTGCCCACCGTGGTGCTAAGCAACAACCAGGCCTTGTTCCACAGCAACCTGCCCAAGCACCATCAACGGGAACTGGTACTCCAGGTTCAAGCCATGCTCTTGTTGCATCTGCACCAACTGGTCCAGGACAACGATCCCCAGCTGCTCAGCCTACGGCCCAGCCATACAACCAAGGTGGACCTCGTTCACAACAGCAGCAACAACCAAGAGGCCCTCCAGGAGCTCCATCTGAATCGCCGGCTCCAAAGCCAGCTACTCCCCAGCCATCGAATGTTGTTAACCTTCCAGGTCCAAACTCCAATAAGGAGAACGAGAAGGCAGGTGCTAATGGAACACCTTCCAATGCTCCTGAAGCTGTGTCTCCATCAGCAAAGAACTCGGCCGAGCCTATTATCGGTCTGTTCGTGATGAACGTCACATCAGATGAAGCCGTTACTGAAATATTTAACAATGAGGACAAGCAAAAGATTGTCCGAATCGACAAATGGGGACAATCCAACAAAGTGGTTGTTTTCAAGACAGTCGATGAGAGAGATTCTGTTCTCGGCAACCTCCCAGAAGACATGAAGTCGAGATCTGGAGAGGATAGAAGTCGACCTTTGGTCAAAGTCTTCCAGCCTAGGGAAAACAAGAATTTTGAGGCTCGCCGTGGCGGTGCCGGAAGTTGGGGTAGCAGTGGACGTGGGAACAATAATACCAACGCAGCCGGCTATCGAAGTGGAGGAGGTGGTGCAAGTGATAGCGAAGGTGGCCGGGGCGGTAGAGGAGGTCGAGGAGGCGCCCGAGGAGGGCGTGGTGGTGAGCGTGGACGAGGACGAGGCAGAGGGTTCAACAAGAACGAATCTTCGCCAGCGACATCTAATGCGACACCAGCTGCAGGCGATTCTTGATTCTCTCATACTCTTGGGTCCGATATCCATTTGCTTTTCGCCAAAAGTACTCCTTTCTTCGGTACATTTTTTTCTATTAAGGTGTGGTCTCAGATCTCGGCAGCTGTGATTTTTCGGCCAGCTTTTACAGGGTTCTGATATTATGGGATGGAGGGCGGAGTTTGACTAGCTTACGCACCACTAATGATGTGAGGAGCGATGATGGCTTCTTTTTTCTCTGTACTTTTGATCACCATTATTGCATCATGGGTCGCCTCTGATAGCGTTGCGTGTATTCTAGTTTTTCCTTTACGCCGGAAGACAGTAACGCAGGTTGGTGGCGATATGGAGCAGCATAGAAGTAACTAAAACGGTTGTACATGTACATTTTATACTCTTATTTTAATGCTTGTCGTGACATTCTTCAATTATTCCCAACTGGTGATACATATATACTAACATGTTTATACAATTAACTCCCCTCACTCCTACTATGCCTTCTCTACTGGTTTGATACCCTTATGAATAGCTGCAATACCACCCGTCAGGTCTTCCCATCCTTTTCCAGGCACATGAAAGCCCGCCTCCTTAATCATATCCCTAAACTCCTCCTGCTTTGGAAACCTCTCAATGCTCTCAACCAAATACTGATAACTCGCCCGATCCCCCGCAACCAACTGTCCAATCAACGGAATGGCCCCAAAACTCCACCGCTTATACATCGCATCCAACAACGGATTCGTCACCCCACTAAACTCCAAGCACGCGAATACACCACCGGGTTTCAACACCCGATATGCTTCCCGCAGCGCCTTGGGCTTGTCGGTGAAATTCCGGATTCCGAAGGCGACGGTATAGAGATCGATTGATGAGGAGGGTACGGTGTGGAGGTTCTCGGCGTTGGCGAGCAGGAAGGAGAGACGCGGGGAGTGCGCGTAGGATGTTGATAGGGACCGTTTGCGGCCTTCGGAGAGCATGGAGGGGTTGATGTCGGAGATTGTTATGGTGCTTGAGGGGGAGGCGTTGATGTGTGTTGCGTGGTCGAGGAGGCGGAAGGCTATGTCGCCTGTGCCGCCGGCTATGTCGAGCATTTTCCAGCCTTGGGGTTCGGTGGATGGGGAGGTGGTGGGGAGGGAGGTTCCTGGGTTGATGGAGTGGACGAAGTGGTCTCTGGTTTGGGGGTTAGCTTTCGTTCTACTTCTGCCCTCACATTCTTTGGGTCTCTCGGTGAGAAAGGGAGGGGAAAAAGGGAAGATATACTTCCATAACCTATGAATCCCCAAACTCATAAAATCATTCATCGCATCGTAGGATTCCGCTACATTACTGAATACTCCCGCCACTACAACCATTTCGTTAACCAACCACCCCTTGCTGTGCACCAATTCCATTGATTCTTTGGAGGTACTACACACCTCTAGCTTCCTTTTCGGCTTCTGCTACGGTCTCGAACCCGAAATGTGTTGTTCTTTCGTGGGGGGTGCTTTGGTTGGGTGCTTCTGCGGAGTGATGCTTCGTGCTTTTTGAGAGGTAGCGGGGTGTTTGGGTGTGCAGACATTGGAATCTGCTGCGATTTAAAAGAGGTCGTAGGGTTCTTGAGGCCATGTTTTTGGGGGTTTTCGGAGTGGAAACTTGGGTTTTGGGAAGGTTGTGGGGGTTGCGATCGGGATGGTTTTTTTGAGGTTGGGTGATGTATATTTTTTGTCAGCCTCGTTTTGGAGGCTGAGGTGGCGGGATTTTTCCAATTATCATTTTTTAGGAGGTGATCACGTGGGGTATTTCTGGGGATTTCTCTTTTGTTTGTAAGTCATTAATGATGGCGCCAAGTTAATTGTTAGGAAAGTTCTCATGTGAAATTCTAATATGGAGAGGAAATGGTTAGGGCTCGCTAGGAGCAAGTCAAGTATTATAAACCCGAACATTAACTAACAGCTTTCCCTTTTTGGACCTTCACAAACTCAATTGGGCGATTGCTCGCGATATATGGCTATTCCAGTTGAAAAGCCTAGGGCTTGTTTGGCTGGTTAGATTTTGCCTAATTTCAGGGATCAAGGCTTTTCGTGGGTTAAGCTTAAAGAAGCTTCTAAGCCAATACCTACTCGCACAGTTAATTTTGTGACGACCTTACTTCTATTTGTTGTACTGTAAAGATATTCGAGGTTATTTTAGTATATACTTCATTATGCGTGGGTGGACTGATGAAACTAAGGTCCACTTGTCTGGTAAGCTTCCTAAATTAATTTGATTTTCATGGATTTCTGGCAATATAGATCATTTTCGTAATTGCATGTGCTTAGCAAAACAAAGCTCTCGTTTAGCAACTACGCACGAGAATCTCGGCATATACTTTGAATTTGAATTCAGATATTTCATGCTGGGGCTTTAATATCTGCTCTACACTTCATCAAAGGCTGTATCTTCTCCCCAAACTTATCCATTCCAAGCAAGAAGTCATCAAACGTCAGCATTATTCCCTTAGCCCCAGGAATATCCGCAACCTCATCCAGCATCGCAGCAACCTGCGCGTAAGAACCTATTAGAGTCCCTTGGTTGAAGTTAATAGCACCTTCCGGAAGATTAATCGTCTTGGCCGTCGCTGTCGCATCCGCTTTTGTATCTTTGCTTCCTTGATCTGCCATCCAAGCGAGAGCCTCCACATCTGCTCCCTCTCGATAATGTTCCCATTTCGCTCTTGCCGCTTCCTCTGTATCCTCAGCGATCACCATGAACAAAACATAAGCTCCAACATCTCTTCCAGTCTTCGAAGCTGCTTCAAGCAATCTCTGATTTGCAGATTCCACAGCTTTGGGAGTATTGATACCCGAGCCCATCGCGAAATTGAAATCCGCAAATTGGGAAGCGAACTCTAACCCCTTTCCACTCTGTCCAGCAGCCACCACTTGGATGTGATTTGATGGTTGGGGGGACATCTTGCAATCCGTCATCGTAAAGTGTTTCCCCTTGAAGTTTGAAACACCGTTCGCCCAGAGTTCTTTCATAACCTGAACATATTCTGTAGCATACTCATATCGATATCCAAAATATACATTTCCGGGCCAGATATTCATCTGCGAATACTCCGCTTCCTGCCACCCCGTAACGATGTTGATGCCAAACCGACCAGGAGCTATGGAGTCGATTGTCGTTGCCATTCGCGCGACTAGCGCAGGTGGGAGAGTGAGGATTGCTGTAGAAGCGAAGAGCTTAATTTTCGATGTGACTGCTGCGAGTCCAGCCATCAGAGTAAATGACTCGAGGTTGTGATCCCAGAATTCTGTCTTGCCTCCAAATCCTCGGAGTTTGATCATTGACAGTGCGAAATCGAGGTTGTACTTTTCGGCTTTCTGGACGACTTGTTTGTTCAGCTCGAAACTTGGCTTGTATTGTGGTGCGTTTTCAGAGATGATCCATCCATTGTTGCCAATGGGGATGAAGACACCGATCTGCATTATGATTTAATTTAGGGGTATGATAGAACGGTTCTCAGATAAGCAAGGGTTTAGTTGTAAATTGAGGTTCTAACAAAAAGGTTACTTAGAAGAAGGAGAAAGGAGAACTGGTCTTATGGCCATTCAGGGAGACGCGAATGGACGTGTGGTACATGGTACATGTGTAAGAAGACGGATCTCCGTCTCCTGTGAGGAGATAAGAACGAAACAAATCATCTCTTCGCAGGGTATTACACATGTGTCATAAGAATTAAACGTTTGGACATGAAATTGATCTCCGATGTAACTCAAGGGCGCACCAGATCAATGGAGAGTGGAGGAGGAAGAGTGGGATCAGTCGGCCGTCTGCCGTCTGCCGAAGATAACACAACTACTCTGCATAGCCGATCACGTGTGAGTAAAAGGAAAGATAGAATTCAATACTACGATGTGGATTTACAACTGCGTAGTATGAGATTTCTGCAATTATCCTGCATGAAATTGGTTTCCGTGCATGATTGATGTTCTATGGGTGGTTACTCTTGGTGATTCGATCTGAAATTCATGACTACTTAAGAAAGCGGAGCACTAGGAAAGAATACTCAGAGGATATATAGTCTTTTCAAGTGATACTTTACCGAAGCCCAAGGGGATGGAAAATAACAGGCTGCGATGACGCGTAGCTTGATAGCTATTTAATAAATCCAAAGCATGAGACTACTTTGGACAAACAAACCTCTGGACAATATTAGAGTTCTATTTTCAAGTTATACTTATATGTTATCATGGGATGTTCAACGGCGCAAGTATTCGTAGCTGTTATGATACTTGTCTTAGTGCCCCATATTCTTCAAATATCAGAAAGCTTCTCAAACCACTAAATTACGAATGTTTGCGATGTCCGACTCTTTTGGAATAATGAGGTTTAGAATCGATTTCTATAGATTTCTGCATCGTCCGGCGGCCGTTCTGGACTTTCAAGTGGGCTATAGAGTATACCTAGGTACCTACTTAGTACTTCTCTGAGGGGAGTTGTCACATGATTTCGCTTAACCCCTTTATTTCTTAACATCATAAACATATCTGGGAGGGAACGAAACCCTTGACTCAGCCTAAAGCACCAAATATTCGCTGTATTCTAACACAGATATCTGCAAAGCAAGCTGAATGATCCACATGGGATACAAATGCCTCTTTTGGGCTGCGCGCTGTTGTGGAGAAACTGGAATTTGGTGATGGAAAAAACACTAGAGTTCGCGATGTAAGTGCTTTCCATGAGAGATGTTGTAGAATGAAGACCTTAAAAACGCTATGAAATTATAACTTTTTCGAGAATGAAGAGCTCGCGCCTTTTTAATGATATGATACTACTGTTGACGGTGTTTGAATTACCCACGTATCGATATTCGAAGTAAAGGCTGGTATTTATGTGCTTAGTCTAAAGACATGATTTGAAAGTTGAAAAGAAAAAACAAGAGAAGGGAAGTATAAAATTGAGAGTCTGTGTACCCAGGGTAAAGATGACAATTGTGTGTTATTCTAGTAACGGTAGTATATATACACCTGAATACCTATATTATTCATATATAATACTATTATTACAAATATAGTAATAAATTATGAACTAGCTTTTAATATTGAATGATGCAAGATTTCTAACTAATAAAATTAGTCATATTATCGTTGGCTAAATGTGAGTTGGCAGATTGGGTAGCTAGCGGCTACTAGCCTTAGTGGTAAGGGGGTACCTAATCACCGCGCGATTTACAGACTTGGGCCGACTTATTCCGCACTACTTAATTAGTACTTTAATCAATCAAGTACATTGAGAGTTAATTAGAGTAGCATTAATCACTACTTAAGTTAAGTTGGGTAGGCCATACTACTTAACTCAACAATTGTAGTAAAAGATTGTGATGGGCGGGGGACCCATAGAAAGCTGTTCTCTGAATGGTCCGAAAGGTAGTCTTGTCAACTTCTAGGCACTCCACCCACACACCCCACCCAGCATACTTCTTAAGCACGATTTACTACGGTAGGAGTACTCGAATTTGATACCCTGATGAAGAGATACGATAGATTCGGAGGTATAGAAAACAAATTCGCCGGCAAAACTTTACCTCTTTTCAATGTTATTCTACTTTCATTATAAACTTCAATCCGGTAAGATTGAGCGCCGAAGTTCATTTCAGCCGCAAACCAAACGGCTCTTATTGGGTACACTATACGAGTGATCAGCAGCGTTGAACTTGTGGTCACTGGTTATTGGTACGATGGGGCAGAAATACACGTAAATTAGTGGTGGCTATGCGACCCATCAAAGCGGCACAGTCTTACTATAGTAGCACGATAGCACTGAGGCGTAAGGGATAGAACACAATTGTGATTTCTTTCAGAGTCAGGCGATAAAATCCACAGGTTGTTCTTGTACGAACTCTGCTTGCTCAGAATGGCAAGCCACGACCAAATCCTTCACAGAGCAGCTCCCCAATAAATTATGCGCCAAGCGAGCCTCGATATGCCCTATTTGACAGTCCGGGTCTGACACCAACAACAAAGGGGTCTTCGACAGACCTTCGTGATGGTAATTCGAAAATTCGATTTTTATCCGAAGGTGTCTTTTCACGAAATGGGAAGTCTTCTAAAAAGCAGAGATATCCCACTTTTCCGGTGGAAACCCATGGGCATCAGTACATGAGCAGCCAATTCTGGTGGAAACCAATCTTTTGGATGGTTACGTGCATATGGCTGGGTATCGCGGCTGGTCTCGGGCATCACTTCGGATACCAAAGTCTTCATAGACAGCCACAAGAAATCTTTTCCCAGACTTGGTCGCATAATCTAGGTCTCGGGGCTGCTTTCTTTGTAAAAACGTGCTTTACACTCGCAATATTGGCCTCTTTGCAAGAAGTGTTGTGGTTTACCTTCCGGCAGAAAGCTATCAAGATTGGTCTTATGGATAAGCTCTTTACTCTTACGAGTAATCCGCTTAGTTTTGGTTCAGGTGCATTCATTCATGCTCCTCTTGCCACGTCTCTTGCTGCAGCTGCTTGGATTATCCCTATATCAGCAATATTGTCTCCAGGCAGCCTGACAGTTGGCCCACTGATTCTACATAACGATACCACTTGTGTTGCGCCCACATTCGCCGCCGCATCTCCGAATATAAGTTTCTATCGTATCGTTCCGCATGGAAGTACGATTCAAGGACTAAACTCTGGAATTCAAAAAGTAGCAGGCCAAACCTTCGCTCAAGGTACAATTTTAGGGTCCAGTTCTCCATGCGGACCCAACTGTACATTTGAAACCTCTTTTCTTGGTCCCGGTTTAGACTGTCAGCCAATATCAAACTCATCTTATCTTGATGAGAATGGTGGACAAAAAGCTATTTGGTTATTCTATAATGCGACCTCCAGTTATGACGATGAGAATTCGGCCATGGCGTTATCTATAACATACCGGAACACCTCGAAAGGAGAGGCCTCACAATCTCCATTATCACCACCTTACGTTTCCCTGCGATGTCTCGCCTACAGTGCAACCTACAACGTTTTGGTGAACTACATCAACGGTCTCTCGAAGTTTACCACGAAGCTCACCAACAACGGACCACTTTTGAATTTGAACTCGACAGAATCCAGCGCGCGAAGGAATCCGTGGCGTATCAATTCTGCCGCCCTAGTACAAGAAGTTTTTGATGACTATCTTAATGGGACATGGCAAAAGTCACCTACAACGCAGTACGCCGTTCCTTCGACTTCGATAACAGAGACAATACTAGCAGGTGACACCAACGACGCCAATTATGGAGCAGCATCATCCCTTTGATTCATCAACCGAGACTTGGGTGCTGGCATTCCAGAGTTGCTCACCAATCTCACTCTTTCCACACTGGCTTTCAGTCCCATGAACACAACAACTACTTGTTCAGCGTCAACGGAAATCTTGGCCTATTACTATAATCCGAAATTACTCTTGATCCCATATTCAGTAGCTCTACTCCTTTCACTCATCGCCTTAGCGGCTGGTGTTTGGGTGCTTAAGAGGACTGGCATGCGCACTGGTGAAATATTCTCTCAAATTCTGGTTACGACCAGAAACCTGCTTCTGGACGAACTTGCGAGAGGTTCTTCGCTTAGTAGTGCAGAGGCAGAGGTGTTGATGCAGCAAAAGCTTATGTTTGGAGAGTTAAAACATAATGAGCATGATACAAGAACAGGACATGCAGCATTTGGACCTGCGGAACAGTTATTTAAATTAACAGGTGGGAAGATAGCTTGATAATTAGTGTATAATGGAAATTACTGATGTTTTCATGGTGGGTATTTCTTCTAGAGGGATAGAGAGATTTGAAGCGAACTCTTTTTGAATTGAAATACAGCAACACGAACACAAAGTAGCAAAATTTGCTTAATCTCCCAGAGGATAGCGGTGTAGGATAGCGTCTAGAGCAAGAGAGGCTTTCTTTATTTGCTAGTCGTTCATGTGCCCATTTTCGTTTTCGCGCAGACAGGCACCATCTAGAGCATATCTTTTGCCTAATGTTATTAGACATTTACTGACTCAAAGCTGTGACGATGAAGCGCCGAGGGGTCACTCTATATAGTCAGTAGCCCTGGGGTTTATATAGTAGGAACATAAAAACAAAATTCAAATGGATTTTACAAATCAATAATTATGAATTTTTGTTTGACCTTAACAAGCCTTTTAGGTAAAATATTTGTGATACTCTGCAATGCTTCGAGAAATTGGAATTCTACGATACTATAATTGAGACTAGGACTAGATATTGGCTAGGTAATGGAACAATAGTATAAGACTGAGAGTAGCGTTGCCACAAAGACGAAAGGAGTATATGGAGTCAATCTGGAAACTACCAAACACTAGCACCTTGAAAGGGGATGTAAACTGTTATCGATTTTCACATATTCGTAACAAGGATTCCCAAATCGCAGAGTTGAAGCTCAAATTGTCTCTGGCAAAAACCGCGATATTCTCCAGGGTCGTTATTCCTAGCAAACATAACGGCGAATAGGATGAAGGGATAGGAGAGTGGCGATCTAGAACGAGAGGTTGCCGGGACAGGATTGCAGAATGGAAAGGAATTTGGGAAGATATATCGTAGTGATATTGAGCTACAAACAATTGAGAATGACAGGAATATACAGGCGATAAATTATGCGATATATGAGGTTACACATGAATAGTTTGGAAGAGAGGTCGAAAATCAATGAAATGGTGTTGGACATTCAACAAGAATCCGGAGTTTAGGGGTTTAAATTGTCGTATTGGATGTAAACCGAATTCGCAAAGGATCAAATCGCCCAAGGATCTTTCGAACGTTTCCATTTGAAAGAAAAGTACAAGAACCCATCATCGTCCTCAGGACCGGCCCAAGATCGCCCAAGAACACTTCCACAAATCCCAGGATACAAATCCTACCATTTCATGTGGAACTTCTCTTTCCGGAAAAACACCAACAACAACCCCCATAGTGAACCGCGAAACCGACAATTAGCAACGTAACGATGGCTGCAACAATGGCGATGAGGACTGTTTGCCATGGTTTGAGATAGATGTCTGGTTCAGAATCGTCGGAACCAGTGGGACCGGCACCTCTCCTTTTCGCAAATTGGGAAAAGTTGACAAGGGTTGGTGTTGGCTCATTGACGATAGTTGGCGGAGGTGTAGGGGCAGAGGCGATGGTATTTGATGAACTCTACGCTGCTGTCTGCTTGAAAGGGGATGGCAAGGCTGATGGCCCCTCAGTGCCACCGGCAATAGTGCTGATTGGGAGACCTTGAACCTTGACTCCAAAAAATAAGACCAGCGCAAATAGGAAAAAGGTTTGGAAACGCATTTTGTTAGTTGCTTGATGGTTTGAGAATTCTACAGAATGCAGAAAATGGAGTGGTATGGATGGAGAATGAGGATAGGTTGAAATACCTTGAGAGGTCTTTGATACTTATATGACCTAGAGAGGTCTTCGCTAGCTAGCCTGGCTAGCGAAAGATGTTTGTCCTTGTTCCTGTCTGTGAGGTTATTGTGCTTGTGAATAAGGTTGTTTTTCTTGTGAATGAGGGAGACACCCAAGGCTCTATGGACACAGGTGCACTTCACTAGCCAGCTGTGACGTTGAATGTCCTTCATTTCCTGAAATTCACCAAGAATTTGTGTTTATGACGTTCAGCACTGCTAAAATTGCGAAAGTGGTAAACTTAATACTGACTCTTCCCAAATTTAGTAAATAGCTGATTTCTTCGCAGGCTTAGGTTTTCTTATTTGTCCTTGTTGAACACTAGAGAGTGAGAGAGAGAAAAGAGCTTCAATCCATGAGCTATCACGTGTTGACGTAGAAGTCTTTTTGTTGCTCTTGGTAAGCTAGAACGATATTTTGTGCATGTACGACATCCTGAATGTACTAAAAGGCTAAATAAAGTAAATCTCAAATCACAAATCGCAAAAGTTATATATTTACTACTATTACTATGCTAGAGTGTCTATACCCCTATCCCCCCCCCTAGGTACTTGAAATATGGGCCTAGTTATATAAACTCGCCACCTACTGTCGCTACATCTTTACTATCGTATCCTTACTGTCGCTGTCGTAAGAAAAAGAGAAGGAAGAGCCCGTAGCTGTCATAAGGAAAAGAGAAGTGAGATCGGGGAAGATTGAGGGGCGTGAGCATAAGTAGCAAACAATTGTTAGCACAACATGTACTAGCCTAGCCTATCTCTCAACAAATACCACCCTATGTCCAGGTAAAGAAGTAATACAATGATAGCACCGGCATAAAGGCCCAGAAAGATAACGAAGAAAAAGATTGATAGTACAGCCGAGGCTTTCTTGCCTAAATTCCACTTGCTTATCCCTAGTTTACTCCACCACCAGTAAACATGCTCGTCCATACAAATGATAGCATTCAGCCACAGAAACAACAATAAAAAGAGGCCCAAGACCAGAATCTCTGTCCCACGGTTTGCCAAGGTACGCGGGGTTGTGACCCTACTTATTAGAATGTCTGGCGTGAACCAAAACATGAGGATAGCGATTTGCTCGAGACTGAAAAAGTAACAGAGCCAGAGCATTTTGGGATACCATTTGTTTGCATAGATCCCAGACCTCAGGATTGTGATAGGTTGGCTGTGATTGAGATGGGTTTCGGTGTGGTGGAAGTAAGGGCTGCCAAGTATGGTCCACTGTGACTCCATTATATTCGTAGGTATGCTAGACACCGGCGACTTTTGGGAGAACAACACACCTGAGTGAAACTTAGTATATATGTTACCAGTTAATATGACATAGACAGACCGCAAAAGTTGGCTAAGGGTAACATCAATAATCCTATAGGCATGACCTGCCCAAAACTCCAGTGATCTTGTTCCTGTTGATCTAGGTAGTAGTGAAAATAGCGGTGGGAGAAAATTCGGACTGTGCCCCAAAGGATAGAAGTTGATATCCAAGTGATCTATATTGGTTAGCAATGATTGTTATAGACGAGGTGGTAGAAATGCGGCTCTTTGTGCGGCATAATATTTATCTCGTTCCATTTGAGGATTCCGATAAAGGAGATGTGATCTGCTAACAGACTTAAGGGTTCAAGATGTAGTTTAGGGAGCAATTATGCACACCGTAAAGAAGAAAACAACTCTTACCTCCCATATCCTAGAGCGATAGAGTTCGTGTGCCACAACTAGCAAGCAATAGTTTGCTCTAAGGGCTTTGTAACATGCGCTTCGTCCGATTCGAACTATGACTGTCCTTCTCGTACTTCGCCCATGAAACCTTGAAATGATTTTTTCGATCCACACCCAGGGCTGACCTGGTGGCAGACGAAAGATAGCATGAGAATCTGCATTCTTTTTGCATAAAATGACGGCTCTAGTACAGAAGGTATACACCAAGAGGCCCAAAGTAAAAGTAACGTACACCCAATTGAATTCCTTGTATGTCTGCAGGTAAGAAGGGTCCTGTGGGTGGTCGAAGTCATGATACCCCCATGGAAATTTTGGATGATAAAGACACCAAGCAGGAAGATTGCTCGCTACAAAATTCGGTGATGTAACATAGCCCATGGGTACCGAGATACAGATGAGCATGATGGCAAGCAACCCCATTCCAGACAGACGGAAGTATCGAAGCAGTTTTGTTGAACGCAGCTCATCCCGCAATATTGTAAGCGTAAAGAGGTGAGCGATGGCTGAAAACCAGGCTAGACTTCCAATCGTTTGGAAGTGAAAAGTTTCCAGACCCCAGCCAAGCTGCGTCAGGCCTCCTACAATAACTGAAAGCCCGGTAATAATTTGTTGGTCGCTCAGTCCAATGATAACGATTTCTAAAGCATGCGACCACCGGTTCATGAGAGAATTGTTGTAACCAACTCTGAATACTCTTTTGTAGTCAACCACCGCCTTCGAAATACAACATATCGCAGTCAGGTAGGCGGATCCAAGGAATGCAACGATGACCTGATTATTTAGTATCTGAGAAGAAGCCGTTGGTAGAAAGAACATACTCCAATGCCCGAGATATCTGGATTTGTCTCGAGAGCTGGAAACCTGGTACAATTGATAGCGCTCATGCCATACTTCATGGTGGACATATTGTCCTCTATGGCAAAAAGAATGAATCAATGAAACCTGTAAATTGTTTGGAAATATTTGTTGTCGGTAATGGCGTTGGGGGTCAGCAATGGCAAAAAGAAAAGGTAATTCATAGATGATAACATGCGACGACTGTGCCACGAGATGGGTGTAACAAACTCCTTGAACTTGCATATTCTATAGCTTTGGATGCCGGATAGCGATCGCACAGTTATAAAAAGACAGAAATCAAAAATTCAGTGGAGGCTGAAGGATGGCTGAAGCAAGAAGGATGTACTGAGGAACCATGGCATCGATCTGTTTCACCCATGCATATGTATGGAGGAGCATTGTGAGAAACCCCATTGGGTAAGTATGCGCGTGTTAGATTACGCGCATGTACCCAGCTGAAAGTTGTCAGACAGTCAGACAGACTGCTTAGATAGTTTTTTTTGCTCACATACCAAGGTCAACTTAAGCTTCCAAGATTCTTGTATCTATATGGAAGCTGGATGGCTTTCAAGATCGGTCGCAGCTTTTTCTCGAGGTCAACGTTCGGCACATGAAACTATATTCCATGGAACTATTCCATTCCATTCCACCTAGAATCCTTCCAGAGCACTTTCATAATGGAACTGTTCTATTACATTGATTAGTTTCTGGATTCTAGGACTTCTATGGAATTCTACTTATAGTAAATATTTATATATATATTTAAGTGAATAGCCACATTCATATAGGTATACTATATGGAGTGGATAGGGGAGCTTCACGTAATATGTCTAGGATACTCTATACCTATATATACCATTAGTACCCTTAGGTACTTTTCCCTACTCCCTATATAGAAAGCCGCTGTTGCGACCAAACAGGAGCTTCCTGGTGCTTCCTATTGGTCTACCGGATATAGGACATATTTTTCGTGTCGTGTGACGAGTTCTCTAAGGAAATTCCATATATTCCATGCAATATATACCTTTGGAATTAAATGAGTCCAGACGAGGGCTCTGGAATCGAGTGGAATTCCACTTGCCGAACGTTGCTCGAGGTTGATCACGAGTGACGGACGAGGAAGTCAAGGAAATGATCACCTACTAGTTAGTTTTAGAATGATGGTATATCAAAGTTAATCCTTATAGTGTAAAGTGGTATGTGATTGCTAATCACAAAACAAAACACCACTTATGAAGACTTAATTTTCATTACCCCAAGGCCAACTACCTAGTAGGTAGGCGAGGTAAGTAGTAGAGCTACAGTAGTGCTATCGTAAACTCAATCAGGGGAACATCGCTAGTCCTTCCCCACAAAAACTAGCCCCGCCGGCACATACCCGGCAGAACTTCCACTCACTCACCCACGCGGATATTTCTGCATCGTCATTGGGTTTCGCTCAACCTCTACTTGGCCAACCTGTATATTCTGTGTCCGGTTGCGAGAAGAGTCATCCCGTTGGATCACAAGCAGCAATCAACAATGCCAGCTCTACAAACGAATTCCCATCCGGTCAAGGTAGATGTATTTAAAGTCTCCTTGTCTCTCTTTCCAAGCTGCTCTCTACCTCAAGTGACGGTGGAGATATTCCCCAAGCAAGTTGGACTGATATCAGAACGATTCAACCACTAACCAGATCCGTTACCCCACTACTACCCCACCATTGGAGATAGGATCTACCTACTGCATTCTATATAATTTCTTCTTCCTCAAAAACCACCCTGCGAACCTTTCCTCAACCTCCCTTCCTTCACGCCCACCGCCCTCCACCAAAGAACTTCGCAACTATGCCAAAAGTCTACCTCCACCTCGTCCGCCACGCCCAAGGCTTCCACAACCTCTCAATCGAAAACCACATCCTCCCCGACCCAGCCCTCACACCCCTGGGGAAATCCCAATGCGAAATCCTCTCAACCACCTTCCCCCACCACTCCACGATCACCCATCTCGTCGCCTCTCCCCTCCGAAGAACCCTCTACACCTGTCTCCTCTCTTTCCCCGCCGCCGTCTCCGCAGGCAAGAAAGTGCTTGCCCTCCCCGAACTCCAAGAAACCTCCTCTCTACCCTGCGACACCGGCTCCGCGCCCTCCATCCTAGCCGCTGAATTCGGCCCCTCAGGGACCGTGGACCTAAGTCTCGTCCACGAAGGCTGGAACACCAACACCGGCCGTTGGCTGCCCTCTGCCTCCGCAATCGAAGCTCGCGCGCGAGAAGCGCGGATTTTCTTGCGCAAGCTGGGACAGGAGGGCGTTGCGAAGACGGGGGTGGATCAGCATGTGGTGGTTGTTACGCATGGTGGGTATTTGCATTACTTGACAGAGGATTGGGATGGGCATGAGAAGTTCACGGGGACTGGGTGGGCGAATACTGAGTTTAGGAGTTATGAGTTTGAGAGTGGGACGGATGGGAATGCGGGGTTGGTGGAGACGGGGGAGAGTCGGGGGAGGAGGGGGAGGGAGATTCCGTTGACGAGGGAGGAGCAGAGGGTTCTGAGGAGTAGTGCGGAGGAGGGGTGGGGTGCTAGTGGGTTCCAGGTTCCTGCTGAGGTTGAAGGAGAGAGTGCGAAGTTGTAGAGTTTGAGGTGTTGTGGTAGTCGGTTGTTTGGCGCGGATTGGGATGGCGTTTTGATATGGATACACAAGATGATAGAGAAGATAGAGTAGAGTAAAATCCTGCGTAAGATAGATAAGTAAACCATTACTATAGAACAAGAAAGATATGCGTTTCAACTATACTTCCTCGTGTAAACTCAAGCTTGATTTACAAGGCAGTTCTAAAGTTGACTTTTCCTCATCCACTCATCTTACCAATCCCACATCCATACACATAAAAGTACAAATCCCTCAATCACCACTCAATCTCAGTATAAGAGTCCTGAGAGGATTTTGCTAGGTTCGAGCCACCAAAGACTCTCGCGACTCTAAGAGTCTAAGAAACCAGACTAATCATCACTCAACTATCCAAACACTCCTCAATCCACTCCCCCACCTCCTCCTCCTTAATCCCATCCCCACACTCCCAAACACCCACCCTCTTCATGCCCTCCGCCTCATCATCCAAATCCTCATCCCACATCTTCCGATCCTTAAACTCCAACTGACTAATACTTCTCCGCATCAACCCGCCCAGTTCCTTCGCTTGCGTCAACGGCGTGATTTTCTCTTTCTTAGCCCGGACTTTCGAGGCTTTGGACTTGGGTTCTTTGCGTACAGGTGCTGGTGGAGCGACCAGGAACAGCGACCGTGGGATTTTGAGGCCGGATTTGGGGGGTGGGAATTTGAGATGGGATGTTCGCGCGGCGGGGGTGAGGTCTACTGTTGTCTTCCGGGAACGACCGCGGGGCGGTGTGGTGGGTTTGGTGAGTGCTGATTGTATGGATGTGGTGTTCAGTACGGGCGAGGAGAGGAACATGTCGTCGTCGAACATTAGCTCTGAGTACTCGTTCTCCGTGGGATCTTCCTCGTTGCTGGGCCATTTGGGAGGAACGTTCGTCCCGGCAGTGCGGAAGAATAGTGCTGGCGAGACGAAGCAGTCGAATGTCCCTGCTGGATCGGAGAATAGGTGTTTTTTTATCCTGTGTAGTTTTCTCGTGTCCCAGGACTCGAAGTCTTCGGCCTGGGAAGGGGCTTCGCCTTCTGGTGGTGGGGTACTACCAAATTCTGTCCAGTCGAAGATGCCATTCTTGGAGATTACGCCTGAGATTTGGTATGAAAGGGTTTTGGAGACCTGGGATTCGGTTAGGCCTAGAGAGGCCGCCAAGGTTCCGCCTAAGCAGGAGCCATAGATTATGATTGGTCTCTGGATAGTTTTCGAGGGTGTTGGTGGAGGTGTTGCCCATACTGATTTCTTTGTAGGAGAAGCTCCATTTGTCTTGGGTTTTGCAGAATCGGGCGAGTAAGATGGTAATAGGGAGTCTGTAAGGAAAGAGAATGCATGTAGGGTATCATGAAGTGGTGTTGGGAATGGGTGATTGGCGTACCCGGGGTCCGATGTGAGCAGGTTTGGTGTCGATGGCGAAGAAGAAGGTTCGTCAGCATCGGTAGAAACTTGACGAGGTGATGAGGACAAATGGTTCCATCGGTAGTTTATACGTGCTATGGCCGCGGAAGGGGAGAGAAGAAATGATGGAATTGGAGGATGGCTTTCTCGCAGATGACATCCTGTTGGTGGTAGGTAGATGAAGAGTGGTGTTGTAGGTTTTGAAAGTAAATCCAAGTTGTATAGACTGGGTATTGGTCAGTGAAATTTCATGGAAGCAGACAAGTCTCGCGCAAGGAGTGGATGAAGAAATGGAGTCAGGTCACGTGTACAGACTCCCAGATAGGACGGGTGTCTATGTATATATTTGGGACAGAACAAGAGAGAATGCGTACTCTACTGCAATGGTGCCAGCGGCGCCGCAAGTTACGTCGAATGTTTTGAAAGCTTCATTCTCTTTTTCGTTCTCAATGATCGCACGTGTACTCGAAGAATACCATCTTGCATGCGAATGCCACCTGAACGTTCCGTGGATGGAAAACTGAGAATTCCATAAAGGTTTCGCCCGCAGAAATATCCACCTATGCGAAGAGAGCTTCATGAGGCAACACCTTCGCAACAAATCACGTTCCACGATGCCAACGCGCTGTTGTAGTAGACGGGAAAGATATTGCGATTCTGTTTTGAGGTGGCGTCGTCCCAGGCGCAGAAGGAAACACGTCAGCTATTCGGCTGTGTTTGTCGCCGGTTTGCCTACGAATCCATGGACCGATGCGATCATCGACCAACTTGATGGTGTTGAAGGCGTGGGTAGGGTGGCTTGGAGTGTTTGGGTTGAAGAGGCTTGATTTCGCATACTCCGTACATATCGCTTTTTTGTGATTGGCGATTGGTGCTGCTTGTAGCCGAAACCCTGCTCGTGAAGGACTCTCGATATATAACTTTCTGGCAAATTTAGGTATGAGATCATTCCACTTATTTCGAAATATCGCAGATTAAGAGTCCCAAAAAAATCTACGATATGTTTTTTTCTATATATATATATTTTCTCTAAGTATTTTGAGGTCGGAAGAATCAAAGTGTCTGCCGCTGACTTTTTTGTCCTCTGCAAACTTTTCGATGGACTATGCCGCAATCATTTTACATTTCCAAGCGAAGGCTTCTGAGCTCTGAGTCTAGGACTACTTGCAGCTTTGGGGATTCAAAAATGGATGCCTAAAGATTCTTGTTGATCTTTCCTGACTCGAAGGAGTTTTGTTCGGTGAATGAAGACTCATGACAACATCGCTAAACGTCGTAATTCTCTATCCAATGAGCAGAAGGGGGCCACCAGGGGCCTCTAAATAATTTCGCGAATCGCGACAGGAGCCAATCGTCGGTAGCCACTCGGTGCCTGTCATCCCCTATTCTCAGCGAATAATCACATCTTACCTGCGGCGTAGGAGGCTGTACAAATGCAGCTAGCAGTGTAGTGCCCACTGCGCTTCTGCATGGAAATGAAGTTTGCTGTATTAACGGTGTATTTACCCCAGGAAGTGCATTAGTTCTGCGTTTACTGCAAGCTTCCGTAAAAACCTACGCTTCCCGCTAACTATATGTGGCGAAAAGGGGGGCTCGAGGGTGACATCTCGGGAGGATTGGACCAAACAACGGTATTCTTTTCTGAAGGCAGCCGGCCCACTTGGAAGCAGAAGGGGTGCATAGAGGCACGTTTGGGACGAGAGCGGGGAAACGACGGTTAGCGATCTGTCACTCCAAGTTGCGTCTCTAGCTCTGCAGAAGCTCGAGGAGCCTTCGCCATGTGAACTGCTTCATGCCGTCCATCTTCTCTGCTGCCACAGCCTTGTGACCCAGAGATGGTGGCACTTGTCACTTGTCAAGCCACTTCCACTGGGCTATGCCTTCTGTGCCGCAAAGGGGGATGATGATGGCCAAGTTTCATTGTTGGATTGTTGCAGCTGTGAGTCGGGCAAAGCCACGTATATGTTTCGGAGGAAAGCTTAGTTGATATAGAATAGGCGAGAAGATATTGTTTACATTATAGATACCGTCCTAGTCAAAAGACGAAAGTAAAGAGCATAATGTATAGGATCACAGTAAGCGAGTACTCGCTTTCTAGTCATGCCGAATTCCCTCGCTTTGCCTCTCGATCCTATCAAAGCCATAGAGAGCCCACGTTTTGAAAGAAGCGATTCTCACGAGTGATAGCCCACGCACATACTTCTTAGTAGTCCTCAGTTGAGCTCCCACCTTTGATAAGCGAAGAGGAATAAAGAGGATACCATTGCACTAGGCACAACGTAATTACTCGCGCTGCCTTATTCTCAGTATCACTATTAAATACTCTGGACGAGCTTGACCGACTGGTCTGGGCGGAGCTGTAGCGAAGGTAAATTTCCGGTAACCAACTTTTTTGCGGCGCACATCGCTGCGCTGCGCTGCACTTGGGGACAGGGGCACCATAGGGGCACTAATTCTGGTCCAGGGTCCCACCAACGTTGAACTTTGCTCCTTCAACCAAACCCGTTCTCTCCTTCTGCTCACAATCTCTCCTCCTCCTCCTCCTCCCTTTTCCCGATCCCTCATATTTTGCGAGCGCGATAGTCTGATAGATCCCTCCTCTTTCCTTTCTTGTTCCGACTTTTAATACCTAGAGATACTCGCCTTGATTGGTCTTATCTCACCTTTGTCGTGAGTCCGAGGTCCTGGTCCTGATCCTGATCTTGCGTCCATTCACCAACCGAGCATTGAGCATTGAGCATTGGCACCGCCTTACCTTGTGCTGAGGCTGTGAATGGCCGATTCACGTACCCCAAACTAACGCAAATTAAAATAGGCAAGGCACACAATCCTTCAACACCAACACCTACACTCCGGTCCTTTCCAAATACCAGAAGCTTGCACCACATCAATTCATGGCGAAAATACGAATCTAATAGAACCGCGAAACCCTCTCCATCCAATTGAATCATAATACCTCCGGTCATCAATTCGGTTACGAGATCATCCAAGTGAAGGAGGAAGATCAGATTGCCTAACATGGCAAAGAAGAGCTGCATGAGCAGTCTGCGCGGCGTTTTCCAGAGTGTTCTGTTCGCGTCGATTATCTATGGCTGCATTTATCTCACAGTCGTCATTTTCCAGACGGGCTCAATCCCAAAATCACCCGCCGATCTCTACAAAACCCCGTCGGCGAACCATCGGCCAGGGTCCTCCTCGTCCGACAGCGTTGGGTCGGCGGGCCCACGATTGCCTACCACCAAATTGAAGGCAGAGGATATCAAGCCGAGTGCGAATTGGTTCAATCGGCCAGAGAGCTTGGTGGTTCCCAAGGACAACTACTTGGGGAAACGACCTGACGTCGATACTGTCGCAAACCTAACAAGATTGGTAGAAGAATGCAGAGGATCATATGCAAACATCGAGAAGATGCCGTATGTCTACGACTGCCTGAAGTATATGGAAACAGCCGAACATGAATACTATTACACCCCTCCCCCCGGCGAGCGGGCGAGCGAGCAACCCCCGAGGCTTGCAGAATATCTCAATTCAGATGGAGCCGATAACACTCTTGCCGAGTATCCAACATACAAGCCCGCCACTAAGACCTCCATCGGGCAATGCAACGGGCCAATTGTGCCCTACCATGTATACTGGACTGGTCCTGCTACGTGGCGAGTCGAGCTCTTTGTAAAGAGTCATTTCCATACACAGAATATACCTTGTGTTAGACTATGGATCTGGTTGGATGGCGATCGAGATGCGAAAGCGGTGGACAAGATGATGAACCATGATCCTTTGTTCAAGAAATTTCTACCTTTCGTTGAACGTGGAGATATCGTCTTGAAAACATGGAAATTCCCATCTAGAATCCCATTACCAAAAGGCGACAATACCGACGGAGTTGGATACTACAAAAACCCCGGGAAGCCAAATTCCAAGAACGAGACATTGGTAGGCGACAGCTTGATCCGCGATGCGAACGATCAAGAGTGGCTGGTTTTGACCGAGAAGCAAATGACATTCTTGCCTGTCGCGGTATCGGATGCGGTTCGATTTGTGGTTCTACATATTTATGGGGGGGCATATTTCGATATGGATGTGGTAATGCTTCGGGACATGCGCCCGCTTTTGATTGGAGAAAAGCATTCATTTGCTGAACGTTGGGGCGGACACCCTTCGCCTGGAGATTATAACACTGCCATCATGTCACTTTCAGCCAACTCGACACTATCTTCGTATTTGCTTCGAGGGGGAGTACGCATGGGTCTTAACTTCCACCCACGAGTTATTGGAGTCATGAGTGTCAAGGACCACCGAAATCAGGAATTTCATATGCTTGAAACTGCAGCCTTCGATCCAATCTGGACAGAATTTAATTGGGATCGATTAGGAAGATGCACTGTTCCTTGCATTCACGACTATGGGCAGGTCTTTAAGGGCAAGAACGCTTTTCCGTTGAAGGATGAATGGGAAAGTTACGACGGTCAACCATTGAAGATGATTTCAGCATCAAAAAAGAGCCACTTTTGGGAAATGAAGCGAGACGTGGTTGAGGTAGAAGCACGATCTTTGGAGGTCCGGGCAAGCGAGAAGCCAAAGCCAGTATCAAGCACAGATGTTGTTGTGATCGACAAAGATGCATTGAGCAAAGCAGAGTATAAAATCGAGGAAGACAAGTACCCGCCTACGAACCGAACCATGGAGAACTTTTTCCGGGGTGCATGGACATATCATGTTCACAACCAGGTTAGTTTACAGCTTCCTTTATTTTTTTACCATCCAGCTAACCATAATTACAGTGGGCCAAGAATCCCGAGCCTTCTTCCTGGCTGAACGTGATACAACGTGCACAAGACGGTTTCTTTTCTCATGGTCGAACGAATCCATATGGCGAAAAGTGGGACGGTCCAGACATTGTTGAATATGAAAAGAGCTGGGAGTACCCTTGAACCGACAAAACCGCAACCCTCAGGCCATCTCAACCTCGGCCAGATGAAGCGGTGCCCGTAGGGATGCAACACTCCTCACGACGATGATGACCCGGTACATAGCTTCATGATCTACGACACCCCTTTAATTCCCTTCTCGCAAATAGAAACCCCTCAACATAACCCGTCACACACAACAGAGAAAACCGAAACTTTTGAACATCACATGGCAACAGGACCGGATTAGGCAAGGATCCAGGAGTTACATACAAGGAGTAGAGAAGCCGTACATACCGCCTGTGTTTATCGTCCTTCCTTCAACGTTTGGAAGGGGGGACTTGTTATAAATACGAACCGAAAAACAAAGGCGAGCGATCATTGCAGGCGCACGATTGGGATTTTTGACTTTTTTTTTTCTTGCTTTTCTTTTTTCTCAGGAGTCAAAGGAAAGGACAAGACCTTGGATTCGGTTTCTTGTTGTTGTCTTAGATCAGAGGGAATGAACCTGTATTTAGGTTTTTGGATTTTGGATTTTTTGAGCTCTTCTTCTTTTTTTTCCCTTCTGCTGTGTGTGGTGTGGAGGGGGTGTAGCTGAGATTCAGGCAGAGGATGAATGAGAGTGAGGAGTGGCGTCTCGGCTTCCACGATTTTGATGGATAGGTATCGCAGGACAAGCATGCGGGTCGTTGAGTTGGTTGACTTGGGTGTGGGGTGCAGACGGGGATGAGTGAGGTTGAGGTGGGATGAGATGTTTAGCGCTATACTATACCCTTGAATAAGAAAGTTGTGGAATACAAAAACTTACATTACATTATGAAACCTGCTCATTGTGATTCAATCTACTACCTACCTACCTACTTCGTGAACATGGGTCTTGGCGTTTTTTTTGTGTTTGGGTGTCAGTGTATTGTACAGTACGTGCTCATGAATAGAATGGGTGGGTGGGAAGGATATACGGGGAGTGTGCATGTAAGAGAGGCGAACATTGCTCTATACACGCTATCAAAAGTCATTATATCAAAACTCTGGTACAAGTAACTTAATTATCCTATTTCACCTACCTAGGTTAATATGAATTGAGAAGTGGAAATTGTTCTATATTATTTGTATGTACTTGTGTAAGGTCTTTAGGATAATATTTTTATAACTCTAGTGTGGTGTACGGAGTAATGCCCGTCTCTCTTACGAGTAGAAAGACTCACTCACTTACTCACCCGCTTGATGTTCAAGAAGTTCCTAAAGTATAAACTATAAGTATAAGTATGAAAATAGCAGAGGGATGAGAGGGCGGTCGGTTCTTAATTGAATCTAGATAGATACATTGTACAGTAGATATCAATCAAAATCGCCAGTTAATCTCTACAATTACAGTAGGGTTGTTAAATCTAAAGTTGGATAGCTTATAAATAATTAAAAACCGTATAAATTAGCCTAATTCAAGAATCAGCCTCTAAACTTAGATCCTGGCATATAAAAATAACGTATATAAAAGGACCAAAGTGTCACGAATCACGTGTTCACGTGATACCTGTTGTAATAAGAGGCGCAACCCTCGAACAGGCATCAAAGTTCAGAATCTCAAAAATTCAAAGGAAAAAGCAAATCTTATTATTACTAAAAAACAATTATCACAAATCTATCAACATCCATCTCCCCACCATCGCGTACGCATACGCCTGTCTAGAAACACGCTACAAGTTTCCTGCTCGTTCACGAGCAAACCTGCAACTTCGTAATTGGAAGAGGTACCACCATATTAATGCCAACCAACCCCATCCGTAGCTAAAAATGTGCACAGCGCGCCCCATTTTGTGGTCTTGTAACTTGTAGAGTGGAGAGTTCAAAGAAAAGGAAAAAAGAAAAGAGAAAAAAAGAACATTGTAACCACCCCAACCCATCCCATCAACAGCAATCTATCCATCCATAGCGAATAAAACAAAAGCGCAGTATTCCAGATGTCCTCCCCACTTCATTACTTCATGCTTCATTCCTTCATTCATTCGTTACTTCATGCTTCGTTCAAATCATTCCAACCATCAGAAGAGATAGCGATGCGAGAAAAAGAAATGATAGCAATACGTTTCCATCAATCCTCTTGCCACCTTGAGTAGATGGTAGATGAAAGCAAGAAATCTTCAATCTTTCAATCCCTCCCAAATACCTCTTGAACTCCCAATCTCACACTCCTTCGGCCTAAGAAGCTTCCCCTCGGCGTATAGTTTTTCCTCATGATCCAACCTCGCTTGTTTACGTCCCCAAGTCTCTCTCTCAACCTTAGTTCCAGAGAACCTAGGATCAGTGATTCCCAAATGGTACGCGGTAATAGGATCAATCATTTCCTGCAAGACCCGGGGCGGTGTAGCCGCAGGATAGAACTTTTGCCAAAGCTTCTCGACCTTCTTCTCCAGTCGTTCTCGGATGTTTTTGGGCTCCCAGATCAGGCGATCGCATTCGTTGCTACCAACATATAGCGTCAGCTCTTGAAGACCACGTAATCGTACTATGCCCTCTTTGAAATAGTCCTCCTCGTTATACATCCAGTGGGTCATCGGAACAGAGAGATATTGGATACGCCTTAACTCTGAGCCAGAAATCTTGTTACAAAGATCAAGAAAGGTAGTTGCTTCCGCATTGCGGATGACGAGACGGTCGAATTCGAAGTTGAAGTAAACCCGTGGAGTGACTCCAAAACGCTTTCTATAATGTTGTAACTTCCCATCGTGCCTGGCGATCTCGCGAGAAAAGCGGCAAGTATGAAGGAGTGGTGGTGTACTAAGGGGGAAGACTTCAAGTTTCTTCTCGTATCTAAGCTGCCGTAATTCCGTACGAATCACAGCGTCGTTCTTGTGGCATAAAGCATATTTCCATACCAGGGTCTGAAGCTCACGTGGGAGTCGTGAAAACTGGGGAAAGCTGACTTTTGAATGGGCGTGACGCTTCTTCTTCAAAGCATTCAATGGGATAACGCCTTGCTCCAAATAGTTTCGGTATTTTTGATACACTTTCGCGCATGTCTCCCGATCCAAGTTCCTCGCCAACCATCTAACCAAAGTAGCACCACCCTGATCCCATGAGCCACTACAATCCATGTCGGTAGTCCTTACATTTGGATCAAAAGGCAAGGCCTCAACGTGCTTCATACCAATTTTGTAAGTGACCACTGGAACTTCAAAGAGTGGGGCTTTCTTGACGACGGAGACAGGTCCAGGATTGGCTTTAGAAGAAGACGCTCTCTGGCTCGGAAGCTTGGCAACATCAGACCAAGATGAATGTTCAACTTTCATCGAGGCACCTGGTGTTACGGAGGGTTCCCCCAGAGGATCAGCCTTCCACCATTGTATGTGTTTGTTTTTTCGCTCTTTTGGGTGCGAGCTTTTTTCGATTGCGCTTATTATTTGCTCGATTAGTGGTCTCGGCGCTACTCTTCTGGGTTCCTGAATTTCGAGGGTCCTCTGTGATGGTTGTTCTTCCAAATGTTGAGCAGCAGGTTGGTCCATGGTTCCATCTAACTGTCCCAGTGCCTCGTGTTGGGGATATCGCTTGTATTTGAATGGCTGGGCTAGGTTGCCTGCTTTAGGTGGGTGAGTGGTATCTTGTGTCGAGACTTTCTGGTGCGAGATCTTGGACTGAAAGCTCAAAGGTCTTGTTGTAACTTGCTGAGCATTCTCATCCTTCGTAACAGGGACGGTCAGTTGACGATCAACATGCAGATATTTACACTTTTCACCATGTCTACACCAGCCTGTCCGAGAGTAAAAGTTACATAGCCCTGTAGCAATGCTTGGATTCGAGGAACTCGGTTTGGCGGTGTGTATTTGCGAAGAGCTTGAATTCATAGAATTCTGGCCTGCAAACTCCGGCTTGGGGTTTTCCGCGAGCAATGCCTCTGAGTCAATATTCGACGAGCTTCGGGTCGTGAGTTTGCTGGCATATACTTGGATCTCTTGTCTGGCACCTTGCGAACCTCTCATAAAGGCTGTGTCAACTGATTCAGAGAATTTTTGCGAACCTCTCATCAAAGGCTTGCTAAGTGACTGAGCAAACTCTAGCCTAATATCCTGCGAGGCTCCCACAAATGACTTGCTGGGCGCTTGCGAGAACTCTTGTCTGACATCTTGCGGATTTTTGATAGCAGTATTATCTGATGACTGAGAAAACTCCTGACTGATGTCTTGCGGAGTCATCGTACTTGATGGCGGACTTGAAAATAGGTCCTGAACTTTCTTAAGTCGCTCAAGTCGATCATTCTCAGCACGATTGACATGTGGATAGTGACAATTAGTCCCAAACTTGCATTGGCCAGTGTTTGCAAAGACATGACAAAATTGGTCGTTGATAGGGGTGGTTTGTTTTTGTAGAACATCCGAAACGTTAGGAAATGGAGTGGATGTTCGATTATTATTTGGTGCTGGCACAACATTCTCCTTCTTTATGGGCTCAACTGCCAATTGCTCGCTCTGATGGCTATGAATATCAACTGTACCGCTAAGTGCCGAAACTCCGTGGTTGATATTTTCCAGACCTGCTACAATAGATTCTGGGGGTATTTGGAGAGAAGAGCATCCGGATTGAGGAGTGGGGTTCTCGTGAGAACGATAGCAGCGTGTGCCGTATTTACAAGCCCCGGTCTGCTGGAACATTCTGCAGACCTCATTTGGTTTAAGTCTAATTGATCTATCCAGTGGTTGGGAATCAGACAACAAAGTGTGAATAGGGATGTGGACAATCGGTTGCTCATCACTCGTCTTCTTTTTCTTTGCCACAACGGAGCCAAGAATCGAAGCTAAAGAAGGCATCCTACCATCTCCTTGCTTATTTTCGGGGGAAGTATTTCGAGGAGGTGGCGTGCCAATCGGTGGTTGAGGTCTGAACTTTTCTATTTCCTTCTGCGCCTGGGGAGATGGTGTACGAATTGGTAGAAGAGGTAGAAACTGATTTTGTAGTCGGGGCGGCGGCGTACCAATAGTCGGTTGAGGCAACATTGGGCTAAAGCCATTCTGTGTAGGTACGGTAGGCTTGGGCTCATCTTTGGATTGTGATGAGACTAATGACAGCTTGACATCTGCGCCCTTGATTGTATCTTCCTTGGGTTTTTGTGGGTTGAGGGGCTCGACATGGCGATAGACGCATCCGACCTTTCGACATGAACCATACTTAGAGTATGTTCGACACTTCTTTTTGATCCTATTGGGATTGACGGCTTTGGTGGACGTTGAATTTTGTTGTTCCTGGAGAGTCGATTGAGCTGATGATGGTGACTCACTAGAGACATTCGGTTTTTCGGGTCCATTCTTCAGAGCTTCACCAGATGGACTAGGCTTGAGAGACTGGACGTCATTTTGCTTTGGGTTCGAAGTCTTCTCAATGGTGTCAGATGATGCAGCGAGCGCTGCTTTCGCGGCTTTTTTCTCTTCTGCTTGCTTCTTCCTCTTTGCGATGGCCACTTCTCTTAGAGCTGGGTTGTGGTTATATGGACAAACTTCACCATCGCGTTCTCGAGGACATTCAAAGCCTTTCCAAATCCATCCACCGTTATACTTGAAGCATTCCTTCACCTGTCGAGCAGCAGGTACTTCTGCTCCAGTAGAAGGTTTTGCTGTTGAAGGTCTGTTCCACGGTTAGAAGGCGAGGTCGGACGCGTGGTGGCTCAACACTTACGCGGTACTCGCACTCTCCCCCAAAGGGAGCGGTTGAGGCTTGTCAGGCGGCATGGTGATCGGACGGCTATCAAGCAGCTCGCTCGCGCGCCCTATGAAGTTGCAGCTGGAGGCGTCAAGTATGAGCGTTAGGTATGTGATTGGGAATCGGGATCCAAGTTACGCCCAGATGTCGGTCGAGGCTGAATTTGAGTTTTGGGTCGGTTGGTAGATTTTAAACAGGAAGGAAGGATGAGCTCATCAAATATTGAAAACTCGACTTATTGTGTCCTGGCAGTCACGCTAGCAGCAGGCTATTGTTGGCCCCTCAACCGGGGGTTGAGTCATCGTTTACCGAAATTAACAATGAAAAGTGAGAGCGGGGGCTGGGGAGGCTGGCCGCTGAGTGGTAGAGGTAGTTGGCAGGCTGCAGCTTTCTATTGTCAATTTTCCTCGACGACCTTAGGTAGGTGAAGCCGCGAGTAACTGCAAAGCGACATTGCAGCTAGCCCTCGCACTAAGCACCCAAGCACCTGCCTTGGCACTGACTGGCACGGGGGAAGCTACAACCAACACTAGAAGACTCCAGAGCTACCTACGGCAACAAACGAAAACCAATGGTGGCTCTTCTACCTACAACCTGCAGCCGCCCGAGCAAAGGTGCTAAAATAATTGAGCATAACGGCGACTCAACGGTGCCCTCAAGTACCTCAACTATCGTTTAGCCTCGTCCTACTAAGGAAATGCCAACCTGATCTGTAAGCAAAACATCTTCACGTAGATCATTTCTGTTTCATTTGAGGGGTGAGCAAGGGGGTTCCATTGTCAATCTTCGCATCGCCACCAGTCTAGCAAACCCCTACATAACATGAGCAGATTAGCATGAAATTGTATATCTGGGTCATGGGAATACTACTTGCAAGGCGCCTTCTTCAACAATAGCAGGAAAGAACTCTTCTAGTTAAAATGCCTTTGGCCTAATATAAAAAACCTATGGTACATTTACTTCCTAGAATTCGTTCTCATCGCTTCCTGCGATGATGACATTATTGACCTTCAGGACCATGCGACAAAGTTGGGTTGCCAGCATCAACTGCTGTCTCTTCCCAATCAATGGGTCAATAACAAATGCATCTTTCATATCATTACTTCCAGTTTGCATACAGTCCACTCCCAGTCTCGTGTTTTTCTCGGTAACTTGTCGGCTCTTGATGCTGGCAAGCGTCTCGATGGGGGACAATCCAGAGTTCTCGGCGAGGGCCATAGGCACAGCATCGAGAGCATCTGCAAAGGCTCTCATAGCGTACTGTTCAAGTCCTGGGGATTTGACAGCCGCATCTTCCACGGCAAGAGAGCACGCGATTTCTGCAGCACCGCCACCGTAGACCACGCGGTTGTCACGTACAAGGTTTCGAACAACGCAAAGAGCATCATGAAGAGATCGTTTAGCCTCATCGATGATCTGAAGTTACACGTTAGCAAATTCCATATGTGGCTCGAAAAAGCATGTAGTTACCATTTTGTTGCTCCCTCTAACGAAGATGGTGACGGCTCTTGTGTTTGCACATTCCTCAATAACCAGCATCTTTTCTCTTGTTGTACCAAAGCTCATCTCTCGGACGACTCCTGCCTTTCCGAGTTTTGCTGCTGACAAGTCCTCGAATCTGGGTACTATTCGTCCGTTGGTTGCAATGGCGATCAACTCAATTTCTGGTCCTCCCACCCATCTGACGGCGGGCAGTTTGTTTTGTAGCAGGAGATGGTTTGCTTCATCATCAAAACCCCATTGACAAATGACGAGATTTGCACCAGTCTCTTTGATCTGAGCAATCATCTCCTCAAACTTCTCCTTTTCGTAGTTCTGTAGTTTCTTGAACTCTTCCACACTTGTGATATCCAACTTGTGCTTGGTCTTTGGCTTCGGTGGCTCAAAGGCGCATGTCAAGATAGCAATCTTAGCATCTCTAACCTCGTTTGGCATTTGTGGATGAGAAAAGTCCTTGTCGACGATGACACCCTGAATTAGTAAAGAGTCCTCGAGCGACCCTCCAACCTTTCCATCAACCTTGATCAAATCAAAATCGACATCTTTGCGTTCCAGATCTGCGACGGAAAGGATAGCATCTACAGCGATATTTGCAAACTGGTCGTGGGCCTTGGAAACGATCTTGCTTCCCAAACTTGTCCTCGAGACCTTTACCAAATTCTCTTTATGTGTTTTCGTGAACTCGATAGTATCCGCGATCCTCTCCAACTCAGCAACGGCAATATCGCAAGCTTGATCATAACCATCTGCTATTCGGATTGGGTGGATTCCCTTGTCGATGAGTTCCGCTGCCTGTTCCAATAATGCACCTGCCAAAACAACCACACCTGTTGTGCCGTCTCCAATCTCGTCATCTTGTGATTTTGAAAGCTCTACGAGTAGCTTCGCAACGTGGTTGGAGATCTCCATCTGTCCCAAAATAGTGGCTCCATCATTTGTGACTGTGATGTCTCCATCAGAGGAAATGAGAATCTTGTCGAGCCCGCGGGGTCCTAATGAGGTCTTGACAATATTGGCTACTGTTCTGGCGGCGAGAATATGTGACTTGACGGCTTCGTTTCCGTGTTGACGCTTCTTCTTTCCTTGGCTGCGAAGAGTTAGAGGGGTAGCTTGTTTGGAGGGGGTGTTTCCTACTCTCTAACCACGATGAATGGCCGTCCTTGTTCGTCCTTGATGACCGAAGCTGCCATCAAACATTATTAGCACATAGACCCCAGTTCCAGCTCGGTTTCTTCTTACCCTGGGACATATCAATATCTACAAGGCACTCATTAGCTCAAATCTCCAAAATATTTGGGGAGACACTTACTCATCGCCATGTTGGGAGGAAATGGGGGTATTCGTAACTCGTAAACAGGTCTTTAGGTATCTCGAAAAATAACAAGGGCTTCACAAGAAAATTAGGGTGGCCTTGTATAGCTCCTATGTCATTAACGCGGTCAACCTATTCAGTCGCGTTGGAAAGGGTTTGCTTCAAAATTATTTTAGGCCTCAGGCAACACACACATTTGTGGAAAACGTCACGTTATCACTACCCCTGTCGGGTAGGATATCGGAAGTCACTTCCCGTCTTCCCAACATCCATCATCGCTGTCTATCAGATATTTAAACGTACATTTAATGAATCTGCAAGCACGTCTAGGAACATGAATGATATATCTCTTCTAGAATCTTGGGGTAAAGTCATTGGAAGATCGTCATATTAGGCGTCACGAAGGTAATCGCCAATTAATACCCACACTGAAGATCTGATGAGAACAATTCTCGACCTCTTACAATGTTTCTGGAAAGATTCCAAGTATACGTGTGTCACGATGTCACTTCCATTTCTTTATTGCTAGTTTGCCAGTGGTATGTACCTCACAAAGCTTGGCTGCAAGCTTATGAGCTTTTGCTATGAAGAACTGCCAATCTCTAAGCGAGTTTATTTCTTGTTTTCTAAACTCTCTAAGGGGCTTCTTTTGACCTCTAGCAACAAGTACTCAGCGTTCATGTCTCTCTGCAGTTTGAGGCCACTGTGGTTCAACTCTCTCCATGGCTCGAGCCCCGGTATTCAGCCGGGTAGTAGCGACAGGCAGGGGAGATCTGGATGCCATAAGGCGAGCTTCAGGGGAAGGAGCGACCCAAAGCTGCCTTCCCAAGATAGGCTAGCTCGGGGTTTAGGATTTGAGAGTTCGCTACTTCTCTTCTTCCCGTGTTAGTGTGGTTTGTGCTTACACTGTATCAGTTGACTGTGCAGTGCACTACCAAAAACATCAAGTTTGCCGGATTACTGTATGATCTTGGTTTCCATACTTCTTGGTTAATTACACAATTGCTAAGGCGTGTTGAGACCACTACACGTGAAGCTAAGGGTGAAAAGGGGGTTTTACCGTTCTCATCTATGGGGGTGTTTCAAGCAGGACATCCGGTATTAGACTTCCATTAGCATCAGCATTCGCAGCTTGAAAGTGTCTTAAGAATATAAGGACCGGTGACTTCCGTCAAAGCTTGATACCAGCTAGTAATGATTGGGTCTTTGCAGTCTTGCTTGTATACATTCTATGTGCGATGTCCAGACTTCATAGAACCCTTTTCTTTTCTAAGGCAGAAAACATGTACGCCTGCCAAGCCGGTGAGATTTATGTCTCCTTCCACCACATTAATAAGAAACAAGCTTGATCTAGTCGAATGTACAATCTTGTACGCCAACTCTTATATGTCGGGCTTTCATCCCAACATATGAAAGTTGAAATATCTACAGTCTAGAAACGCGCATTAGTGATCAACAAAGCTTTCCCATCAGTCTGAATAACATGCCTAGCTCTCGTCTTCTCATTTTTCTCCAAGAAACCTCCCTCCTCATCTAATCCCCAACTTCTGTTCCCAACAATGCGTTCCGGCTGCGGTAAAAACTCTAGATAAGGACCCGTGGCGTAAAGCTGCGTTTGTATATCTACACCCATTAGTCTCATCCCCTCTCCTTTTGTCGCCCATATCCTATCAATGCTCGCAAATCCGACTCACCAAGAAACTTCTCCTGCTCCAAAGGCGGAACATACAGAAATCGCAGCACATTCCGTAAATTGGCGAGCGCGTCATCTCTTGTCACCACGCCCGAGAGCTTAACAAACAGCTTTGATCGCTGGGTACGGAGATCTTGGTATTTCTTGAGGGCGGCTGAGAGCTGGGACGTTGTTGGGTGGGGATTGGCAGTGAGGAGGGTGTGGAGGGTGTTTGTTAAGGTTGCGGCGCTTTCGATGGCTTCTGTGGATGTAGGTAACTTGGTTAGGGCTTATCACTGCGTAGGGGTTGTGAAGGAAGGGGCATCTTACGGTTTCCGCCTTGTCCCATCTAATCCAAATTAGTATTACAATCAAAATCTGCGTTGAAAAGAGATAACTAACATTAGGCGTCATCTTATGGATACTGTCCCCCACACAAACAATTCTCCCCCAAGACCAGTGTTCATGATTCGCCTCCTCAAGAGACAAGTAAGATAGTGAAGTAGTCTCCCTCATCAATTCCCTTAAAGTCATGTTACCCGTCACACAGAAATCGCCATTTTCCTCGGCTTGTTTCTCCATCTGTTCCTTAGTGTAGCGCGGGATTTCATCACCGTAATATCGTTTGTCGAGTTTGGTGAAGAAGAACCATTGAGGGAGTCCGTGTTTGCTTACGAACATTAGCGAGGACTTGTCGATGTCAGAACTGATGTGGCTTTCTCCAGGGATGAGATGAGGAGAGGCGGCGGAGATTCCGAAGATGGCATTGTATTCTGCTGATACTTCTGGGTGTTGGGTGTGTTAGTAATTCATATCTCACTTCTCTACCTAATGTCTGAAACTCGTTGTAGAAGTTCATCGACTACTCGTTGAGTGAAACTCCCCTCCAACTTAATCTGAACACAAAACGCCAATAAAAGAGAGAACTTACTATTCATATCCCCCACCATCAACCCCGGACTCGCCTCCTCAGCAATCCTCTGCATCTCCCTCCTCGTCCTACTATGCACACCATCAACCCCCACCACTAAATCCCCCACATACATACTGCCATCCTCACACCTAACGCTTACCTCATCTTCCCCATGATCAAAAGAAAGAACCTTCTTATTAACCAGGATCTTAGATTTATCCTCAAGCTGCTCATAAAGACTCCGCAAGAGCATTCGTCTCTCCGCAATGCCTATGGAGTACCCTAATCTACACCAATCAGCAAAGGCCCATCCACACCTTCCCTTTTCCACCTCAACAAAACCACAGAAAATCAAGAAATTCGAGAAAAGAAACCCAACTAACCTGCCCTCAATCCCAACCGGCCACTCCATACACTTCACCACCTCCCCATTGCTCTTCCTCCTCCACTGGCGCCCCATAGGCGTCAAAAAGTGTTCCATCGGCCCAAGAAGCCCCATCTGATCCAGGATTCTCGAGCCATTAGCCTGGATCGTGATTCCCGCACCGAGTTGAGGCGAAATAGTATCCCGTGCTTCAAGGAGGATGAAGTTGATTTTCGCGCGGGAGAACATGTGGGCTAGGATGAGACCGGATATGGATCCGCCTATGAGTATTGCGGTAAACGGCTGGGAAGGTTGGGTTTTGGACATGATGAGGTATTGGGAAGGGTTCTGTGGTAGTGTAGTGTAGTAGATGAGGATGGGAACAGAAGAGGAAGCTGGATATGTTCGAAAATTTTTGATGTTGGTGTATTGTTGTTAGAGTACCAGTTGGATTTTGGTGTCTAGGTTACACAGTTCAGCACAAGCGATCCCTATCGTCAGATGAGATACGCTGATTGCTCGAAATGCGGGACCTCTCTTACCCTAAAATCTTACAAGATGCAAGGCTGGATACTGACGTAAGTCCTTCCGTAAATTGTTGGATGAATATCCCGGTAAATTGGTTCGCGTTCTTGATTGGAGATCAAGTTGCCTCATTTGCTATGAGGGTCCAAGTTTAGGTTGGCTCGGTTGGCTAGTTGGTGTAATCAACCTTAAGCGACAGCGCAGAGCAAAGGCGCACTGACTATTATAGTTTATGTACCCCCCCCCCTCCTAGTTGCGGCCAGAAACACACTAGACCGTACTTAATCAAGCGATCCAATAGGACTCGATACTTTCATGAGTTTTGGGTGGAAATGTACTATCTAATGAAAACTACGGAAAAATGCCTTTCTTTACACGACCAGACATCGTATTAGTTATATGGATAGGTATTTTAATACTATTTAGTCTTTCTTTAGTTATTATTAGTAAATGCGCCTAATACAATCCTTTTATATGGCGAACTTCAGGCAGGTTAATTTATTAATGTCGTATTAGCTTGATTTCGCTTCCACAAGTGGAAATTTGTAAACATATATAAAGAATTCTCCTAACCATCTACCGTAATAAAAAAGGCTGGTCTACATGTATGTTCAATCAGTCGCGATAAAACCAATCTACAATTTAGGAATCAAACGAGTAGCTTCTTCCTCGAATTCTTTACTTCAGTACAGTATCACGTTGGCAAGTACCAAGTAGGATGTTCCCAATTCAGCGTATCCTGTAAAGAATCGTCCTATAAGGCCTCATCCATAGCTAGATAAGTACTTCTCGATCCCAATCACGGCAAGGGTATTGCTATCTTAATCATGAAGAATATAGTTCGGTACACTATTACAACTTAGGCTTCTATTCTCGCCATCGATAGATCTGTAGTTGTAGCTAAAAATTCCAATGGTAGTGAGATGTAATGCATCTAGAAGAAGGGCCCCCATATCTTCTACGAGTTGTTGTTCATCCCAAAATACATGTGACTTTGTGGCATGAAGTGCTCTTGTAAGAGACAAGTCTATGATGCCAGTATGTGATCGTGATAGAGGTGGAAGAGTGATTGGTTTCGATGGAAACTGGCGAGTTCCAAATATTCAAGACTGAGGAGTGTAAACGGACGCATGTTCAAATAGTTTACTATTTGAAGTCAAGACCGTCATGGAAAGAGACAAATTCGCTGGACCAGCACCTTAGTAAGTCAACCCCTACAGTCATACTAAGTTCCAATGAAAGGCAGGTAAGAGAATTCATGGCTTTCAATATCGCAGGCACAGCTCCTTATCGAGATCCGCTTCCGAAATCCGCATAACTATCACATTAACAGTAGAAGTAATCTCGGGGGACACCACACATATCTTACAAGATCTCAGCTTTAATTCAAGCTGTAGATCGAGGTAGGTCAGGATTCGAAATATCGAGACGGTGGGAGCAAGTTCTTTCGGAGTGAGATCGCGGCTAAAAGCATAATTTGAAATGCGACGCCTTCTTTCTACCAATTAGCGTGCATATTTGGAATCGTCAAAGCAGTGCTTCATCACTACTGTTTTGAGATTCATATCTTGAGCAATCGCAAATTTATGAGAATCTGGTTCATGAGGATTATATCAAAAGAATCAACGAACCTAGGACCCGGTGCTTTCCACATCTGATTGTCTTTCTATCATATGGTACCAGCACCCAGCTTTCTTGGGAAAAGAACCGCGATATAGCAACATATGGTGATCTGCCAATTCCATGAAAAGGGCGTGAGAGAAGACATAGTTCTACGTCATGTCCTTGGAATTTGCTTTAAAAAAGTGGAGAACCAAGAGACCAAGTACATCGACGCTCGTGTGACGGACTGGATCATTGACTTGCCCAATTCATAGTCGCAAATCCAAATCTCCCAACCAACAGTTTAGCAGTTACAATAGAAATGCATTCAAGTCATCGAAGTTTGTTGCATACTGTATCCACCATGATTGTTGGAATAAGAGCATGTATTGAAATATGTGAAAGCCGAGAAAGGACATGCGTTTCAAAGCCCTTTGGGCAACAGTAGCAATGACAGGGGAGTTTATACATATTAAGACACAATGCTCTGAGACTTTGTAACAATCCTAGTTCATTCCTGAAGTTGTCAGACTTGAAATTGTTTACGTCGACTGATCTGATCAAGTAAGGACGCAGGAAGAGGTGCAATTCCCGGCCAGATCCAGGCTCTAGCAATATCAGGGAAATAAGGATGAATGTATAACTCTGCATAGAGATGTCCCTTTCGTGGATTGCCGAGGCATGAGTTCCCCATGTCCTTATATTCTGCTGGCTGGGAGAAGTTGAAATTGTGAAATCTCTCCAAACTCTCTTCGGAGTGTGTTTATTTGAAGCTCAGCATGAAAGAAAGTTCGAAAATGTTGGTCGTACCTAGAGAGCCTAGTAGATGTACTAAGTAGCTGAAGGTGACGGGGCCTCCAGCTGGACGGAGCCCTCTGCAGATGAACTGGAAGTCGGCACGTGGTCGGGTGGAGGTCTTATCACGTGATTCTTCTCTAACTCTGCAGGTGAGGTCCCGACTTAATCCTACAGACCCGCCGGCCTCATCCAATTCGCGAGGCTCTCACGTCGCGTTAAAGATATCTTAGGCGGCACTCAACCACAACTTCCAAGCCCAACACAATTCTCTGTCGTGACCATAGAGTCACAAGAGCGCGCGCGGATTTCCAATTCAATTCAATTCATATTTCTCCACCACTTTTGTTAGTCTCTGAAGCATCCGCGGCGTCTTGGTAACGTCCCCTCGCTCCGTCGCATTTCTACAGCTCCACAGCAAGCCAATATCCACCGTACCTGACAGCCAATATGCCTCCTCGTAAGTCAATCGTTGCCCCACTTCCCAGAACGAATGCGCCGCATATATTGGTTGCGCAAATCGAGAAACAACCCAGCTAACGGTACGGCGCATAGAACTTTCTGATGACGAACGATCTGAGAGCGCAAGCTCTGCCTCACCTCCACCCTCTCGTACCGTCCCAGTAAACACGGCTACATCAAAGACCACGCCGAAGCCCAGGCAGAACGGCAAAGGCAAAGCAGCTTCAGAGGAAGATGAGGTGTCGGTAGTGGAGGAGAAGGAGGCCAGTGAAGGCGAAGACGAAGATGACGAGGAGATTGGAGAGGATGAGTACGTGAATGCGACGGGTTCTCGATCAACCATTGGCTAAAGTCGGACGTTGCAGATACGTAGTTGAGAAGATTTGCAATCATACAATTGATGATGAGGTAGGAGATGCGGTGCGCGCGGAAAACGGAAAGAAAAGTGACTAAATATGTCATAGACTGGCGAATTGAGATTTGAAGTCAAGTGGGAGGGTTATTCTAAAAAGTCTGATCGCACATGGGAGCCAAAGGAGAATCTGTTCGTCCCACCATCTTTCAAACGGGATGACTATGTACTAATCGATGATTCAGAGTCACCGCATCCGCCATCTTGGACGAGTACCTCGCGAAGTTCGGAGGTGAAGAGGCGTTGAAGCAGATTTACGAAGATCAAAAGACCGCTAACGCCGATTCAAAGGGAGCGGGACGAAAGCGCGGTAGATCTAGTGCTGGTGTAAGCAATGGAGGTCCATCGAAAAAGGGTCGGAAGAGCCATCCAGCATCTGCAACACCACCACCAGCTATTAAAGAATTCAAGCCTCCAACTGGAAGCTGGGAGGAAGATGTTGTTGGGATTGATGCTTGCGAGGGTACCGAGGGAGATGTTATTGTCTACTTGACATGGAAGGGCAATCACAAAACACAGCATCCGCTGTCACAAGTTTACAAGCGCTGCCCACAAAGAGTAAGGAGTGACTCGAACGAACGTTTGGAAGATGATACTAACGATATTCAGATGTTGAAATTCTACGAGCAGCACTTGGTTTTCAAGAAGACGGACGTTGGAGATGACTAGCAATTTCGTGCTTTTTTCCCACATCCACCCACTTACCCATCTGTGCAAATTCTCCAAGTTCTCAGCAATTCTCCGATCACAGCTCATGCCTTTATAACAAACTTCGTCATTCGATTGTTTTTAGGTTCTCTTCCCTGTATTCTTGCGGAAGTTTTCGTATGTCCATTCATCCTTCCTGGAAGATAAGATGGATACAGGATAACGCGAGGTGCAGGTTTCTTTTACGCTTAATTAAACATGTACAGATAGTAGTGGAAGGAAAAGCGAAGGCAGCACCTGAATACAACTACAAGATTTGCAAATCCAATTTTTTCTGCCAGGCGTTTGTGAAAGGATATTTTTGTGTTTTCCTATAAAGGATATAAAATTCGAAGGCTAAGTTATTGTGTGGAGTTTATTGTATGTTGGATTTCTTGTATGACTGGAAGTGATTGGATTTGCAAAGCATTATTATCCAATGCTATGCGCATGGCATGTATTCTGCCCAATCACAACTAGGCCCTTCCTGAGACTTTCATGGTCTACGACTTGCAAGCTACATAATAAAACAACCACATTACTTGGTACTGCCACCCCAATAAATCACATGAAGGACTCATTCTCTAGGCTTCCAATCACTATATTACCTACACAGCCCAGTTCCCACGTGACAGCCCTTTCCAAAATCTGCCTACTACCTAAGAAGCTGCCCTGCCTACTTAAGAACATCATCAAACACCATCAAATTCTCAAACACCATCACCAATTTCCAACCTCCATTAAACACAACGAATACACCCTCTTCAAATCAAAACTCAAGCAATAAATCCCACACCATGACATCCAACCCAAACCCAAACCCAAACCCAACCCCCTCACCAGTAACCGACCGCTGCTACGGGATCATCACCCTTCGCTACGCACCTCCACCATCTACCCTTCCCATCAATGAATCAACTTCCAACGATGCAAATCCAGCTCAGAAACCAAGCGAGAAAACAGAAAAAGAAAACTTGGAAGTCCTCCTCATCCACCAAAAAACCGGGTCGAAAAAACCACCCTTCTGGGCTTTTCCCAAGGGACATCCTGAGGAGGGTGATATGACGTTCTTGGGTACGGCGAGGAGGGAGGTGTTGGAGGAGACGGGGTTGGAGGTGAGAGTTGGGGATGGTGAGTTGATATTTTTCTTTACTTTTTTTGTTGATTTTGATTTTGATTTTTTGAGGGGGTGTTTTTTTATCGTCCTTTTCTGAATTCGCTCCTCGGCGGACATGTTCTTTATATTCAGAATTTAGTGATTCTGTAGGAGTTTAGACGTACTTTCCCGACTTCCAAGTTTAGAAATTTCCACAGATCCAACCCCATATACCTCAGAACCTCACTAACAAACCCACCCATCTAGTCCTAACCTTCCCCTCTCTCCCCCTCTCCACCCCCAACAACCCCCCTCCAACTCAAGAACCCCCCATCCCCCTCCCCTCCACCCTCAAAGACCAAGACCCCATCACCCTCCCTTCAACCTTCACAGAAGTCCACACCTCACCAGGTCGGAAACGAGGGAAGGTGGTTACTTATTATGTTGCTTTGCTACCTTCTCCCCTTACCACTACTACCGCCTCTAACCCCCTTGACCCAACCGCTCAATCTATCCAAATCCAAAACCAGAATGAGAGCCAAAACCAGGAACAGAACGACAACAAAGAAAAAGATAAAGAACAGGCTCACCAACATAAGATAACCCTCCAAGAAAAAGAAATAGCAGCCGCACAATGGCTCCCTACCCACGAAGCGATGACGACGCTCTTCTACCCCGAGGGGAAAGAGGTGTTGAGGTGTGTTTTGGAGGCGCTTGAGAGGGAGGGGGGTGTGAGGGGGTGTGGGAGGATGGGTGGTGGTGTTTGAGTATGATGGGTAAAGGTGGTGGGGAAGGGGAGGATGTAGGGGGGTTGTACTTGTAGGATATGAGGGGATGGAGGGGAGGTTGTGAGGGATCAAGGAAAGACTAGCAATAATAGATAATAGACCGATGATTTAAGAAGAATCTCATAATCTAATTACATTTTCCGTTGTTTTCTTATTACTATCAAATAATCCTCACTTCCCCCTGTTTATCTATTAACCATCACCTACACTGCACCTACATCTACCTCTACATCTACACCAACCTACAATAACATCTTCCCAACCCATCCCATCTCAAAAATCTCAAAAATCACAAAACCCCAAATCAAACACCCCCTAAAATCAACACCCTCTCAACCCAGAGCCCACAAAATCAAAATCAAAATCAAAAATCAATAAAAATATCACACCAACACCCAAGAGCCAAGAAGTGGTGAATTAGCTAGCTAGCTAGTAGAACTCAGAACTCTTCACATACTACCTAAGTATGTAATACCATCATCAATCCGCGGACTGTGTCACTGTGGTATCTACTCTCCCCTCCCCTTTTTAACTCCATTTATTATTAAACATTTAGTACCAAGTGAGACATACTTGTACCGTAATTAGAATCTTACTGTAATCTTACTATATATTTATTCCTAGGATACCATACCATACCACACCATACCATACCACACCATATCAATTCAATTCAGACCGTACTCGTAAGGTAGTCCTTCATAAACCCCCCAAGCCAAGAAAAGAATCCGAAAGATTACCTACCTACTCGCAAAAGCTAGACTAGTACTGTAATACTTGAAATAAGAAACCCGATCCTGGCCTTCAAAAAAGAACCCCCAATGAATGACCCCATTCATTTCCTTATTCCCTCTGACCTCACCATTACATGAAAACTCCACCCATAAATCACATTAATTATAAATTAAACCGTATAACCAAATCCATAACTACAGTACATATTAACATTACAAATCCCATCAAACCCCATCACATCAAAACCCACATATCAACATTAAACCCCACAGATCATAGCACAAACCCACAAATCCACGAATCTAGACACCAAGAAAAGAAAAAGGAACCTACCCCAAGAAGAAGAAAAAGAAGTTATTAATAAATGAATAAAATATAAAAATTAGAGAAATAACCAAAATAACCAGACTAGACTAGACTAGACTAGATTTTGGATGGACTTTTAAACTACTACCTTCCCTTACTACTTCTCCCCTCACCTCCGCGCCCCCCAAAATGAAAATGTAAACACAGCTAGAAAAGGCCAAAAGAATCATAGAGTGAGTGAGTATCTAGGCACTAAAAGGAACAAAAAAGGACCCTTGATGCGACTAATCCCATCATTTATTTCTTGCTTCCTCCCTTCCCCCTTCCAGCCCATCAATCCATCCATCCATCACCCACATCACCATCTTTGATACAACCCTACCTCATCACCCTCATCACCCTCATCACCAAAAGAAAAAACCAAATATGTATCTTGCTTAGGCTCCCGCAACGCAGCAAAAAAAAAGAAGACAAGAGAAAGATAAATGCAAATGTTTCCCAGAAGTAATACACCACAACCCATCAACCGGATTCTACAAACACTTCCCACCAACGTCTCCGTGTTAAGAGAATCAGGTGGTGTATCATGATCGACCATTCGATGCATTTTGCCCCTCCATCACGGCCTTGAGGATCAAATCCCGGGCCATGTCAACACCTTCAGCGCTTCCAATAATTTCAATGGCCTCGTCTCTGGCCTGGTCTCGTGGGACAGTGATCTTGCAGCCAGTAGCTTTTCTGATACTGTTGACCTTGCTTCCACCTTGACCAATGACATATCTGTATGTGCTTGGGTCAGGGAGCGTAAGATACCCAATCGTAGAATTCTCAAGAGCTTGTTGAATGGCTGCCACAATAATAGATCTTGCCTTCTCGATGCCTTCAGGCGAGCCTCGAAGGACCCAAGGAATGTCACCCTCAAGACCAGAGTCATCAATGTCAACAGTCTGGAATTCATGTGCGCCGGCAGTTGTCTCAGCATCATCTGTGATCAGTGGCAATGCGCTATTTGATCGTGCTGGAGTAGCCGACTTTGGTGGCACATCATTTCTATGGACATCAACTGTGACTTTGTGGTTGTTGCGGAGTTGACGGAAAAACTGGCCATTATCAGAAACCGCGTGGTGAACCTTTCGTGGAACCTGCAAAGTCTCGCCTTCCTGTTCCTTGACGAGGTTGAGGATGTGAGCTTTGGCATTCTGAACATCCGCTGGTAGACCAGTAATCTTGACATCAGTCTCGTCACTGTTTTGTCTGGGAATATCCATGGAGACTTTGAATTTGGCTTCCAGATCCCTCTTAGTGTCACCACCTCGGCCAATCAAGGATCGGTGCTTGTCTGTTGGAACATCAATCACTTCGGTGGTTCGGCTTTCAAAATCCGCAACCATGTGCTTTATCGTAGCAATAATCTTGTCCACGACATCAACAGTACCAGTGACCTTGATTAGGTTTCCATCAGCATCAGCCTTGGGGAACTGAACAGTTTGGCCGGATGTATTAGTTCCGCCAGCTTTGAGAACAATCTCTCCAATAGTAGCACCTAAAAATGATTAGTCAAAATCATACACGACAAGTATCTCCGCTTACCTTTGCCTCCAATGAGCGCTCTATGATGCTTCTTGTCTACCTCGACAGTCTTGGTCACAGTGTGATCAAAGACATCCTTCTTCTCTTCAATCATCTTCTTGGCCTGGGCAACCGCAGATTTAGTACCCTTGATTTGAATCTCAACTCTGGTCGAAGGATCTTGAATATCTCGTGCGTTTGGAATATCAATCTTTGCCCCTGACTCTTGACGGACCTTGTCCATCTCTGCTCCACGTTGACCAATGAGCGAAGGAATTTGCCCAGCTTGGACAGAAACGGTAGCAGAGTGTGAGGTATCCTTGGTATATTGAAGCAACTCCAAAATTTCGGATCTGACTTCATCTGCACCCTTCTTGGGTCCTCTGATGATAACCTCGTCTGGCTCCTGTTGATGTCTACCAGAAGGGCGACCACCGGCTTCGCTAGCTGCATCGGCACTCGAATGGTCATCCTTGGCTGGGCGAGAATGAGGGAAACGAATCTGGACGTTCTTGTACTTTCTCTCGAGCTTCTTGATTTGGGAACCTCCCGCACCAATGAGTTCACTGTGGTACTTTGGTTCGACCTTGAGAACGTAAGTCGTTTCGTCGGCCCAGTGTTTTCCAAGACTAGTGATATGAGCCTTGGCTTTTTCTGCCTTGGCCTTTGGACCCTTCAACTCAACAACACCATCCTTAACTTGGATTTCCACATCAAAGGTTTCCTTGAGATTCTTGATATTGCTTCCACCCTTTCCGATGAGTTGATTGGCGTGCTTTTGTGGGAAGTCGAAAGACATGGTGAAACCACGCTCTTTCTCATCCTCGGTCTCTTGCACAAGCCACTTCTTTACGGCCTCTTCAAGGCTGTTCACGGCAGGCTCGGGACCAAGGAATGTCAACAGTGTTCCACGAGGGACAACTCTAACTGGGAATTGACCAGCAGGGCGTTTATCGTTGTGGGCCTTGATGAATTTCTGTAATCTCGAGTGGAATCTGAAATCGTTAGTGCGGGATATTGAATGTATCTAGAAAAGACTTACATTTGAGGGACTTCAACCTGGGTCTCAATAATCTTGCCTTGAGCAGCTATGCTATCCAAAATGTGCTTTCTGGCAGCTTCCAATCCTTGTTTGAATTCCTTGATATCGGAGGCACTTGGCTGACCTCGGGGTAAGGTATACTGAGGTACTCGTCCTTCTCCTCCCTCAAAGACAAGCACTGCAGGAGCACCCTTAATATCAGGAATCACAAGGTGGACACCAAAGTCCTCCTTAACTTTAGACATGTATGCTCGTTGGAGGTGTTGGTGAAAAAAGGAGTCAATATCCAAAGCAGCTACACGGGTTGGTGGATGAGCTTCCAAAATTTGTCTCAGCTCAGATTGTGCCTTGATGGCGTTCTTTCCATCACGCGAATACAACTCCCATGGAGCAACTGAACCGTCTGGGTTGAACGGGGTACGGATGTTTGCTGTGTGGGATTTTTCAAGTCTCTTGAGCTCATCACGATTTCGCAAATAATGGGTGAGGTTGCGTGCATGTTCGCCAGCTGAGGGAATGTTTCTCAATTGCTTCGTTAGGTCGAGACTCGAAACTTGCATTCCCATAGCTAGATCCATGGCCCTTTCCAACGCCGGTGTAAGTCTATCAGGGGGGCCAACAACTGTGATCACATCATCTTCATCGTCGGCTGGCAGAATAATACCGCATCCAGTTTCAGCGTGGAAGTCTTGAGGAGAAACACCTAGGTTACCAATGACAAATTGGTGACGACCTTTATCAATTGCCACTTGCTCCAAAGCAAGTTGCTGTTGGAGGGCTTGGGCAAGCTGTTCAATCTGAGCACGGGCTGCCTGGACACCTGCACGGTCACCAGCAAGTGTGATATGGTCGTCTCCTTCGGCTGGAAGAAAAGTTGGAGCTCCACTTCCTGGCATTGATGGAGGAGGCTGCGAAGTCCAAATGTGGTGTGAAGGGACTCGCACTTGTACGCCATGGGACTCCTCCAAAGCCTCCGTTTGAGAATTGTGAGGACCAGCAATGAAAGGATAAAACTCGGCAGGGATGTTTCGAAGTCTTGTGTTGACTGTAGCAGTTCGCTCGCTTGCAATTTTGCTAACAGCTTCTCTAGCCATGCGGATGGCAATTGGATTTCCTTCAATCACAATTATGATCTCGTCATCGTCATCATCCGCTGCCTCTGGTGTATCGTCGGGTTTGGGCAATTGGATTCTTGCACCAGACATTTCTTGTAGCGACTTAATTGTGGATCCCCCCTTTCCAATGACATGTGCTCTGGCGGATCGTGGAAATGGGACGTTCAAAGAAGACTACTGGGTGTTAGCGACTACAACAAAAAAAAGGCCCGGCAAACTCGGCCCACCTTTGTATTGATCTGTGATCCCAATTCTTTGAAAGCCTGGCGCTTCACTCCATCTGGAACTTGAGATCCCCCCGCACTGATTTTGATTACGCCCCCTTCACCAGTGGTTTGGGTCAGGTTGGCTCTGTACTTTTTATTGATGTCTCGGAGAACCTCTGGCAAAGGCTTTCGAGTAGCAGAGCGAGGTAATTCCTTGGGCTCAAAGGTGTATACAGGTCCAGTAACCTGGCCCGCCAAAGATTGAGCCCCACCATTCGGTCTCGGTGTGTTGCTGCCAGATTTGGGAGTAGAGCTGCCATTTGTCGCAACCCCATTTCCGTTGGCGGCGCCTGATTTGGCACCCCAGATAGGAGCGGTTCGACTGGCGTTCTGTGCGCCGCTTAACCCAGGGAATAGCTCGTTTGACTGGGTGTCAAGAGGCTTATTCTCTCGGGTTGCTGGTGCTTCCCTTTGCTTTCCAGCAGCTTTGGTTGACATTGGTGCTGCCCAACCTGGAGCAGAAGCAGCATCATCAACGGATTCAAGAATGCTGGAAGAAACGGGATGAGGGTGTGGTGTCAGGTCCTCCTCATCCGGGACCTCTTCCACTGTGGTTTTGTGCGCCTCGTCATGCTTGGCCATTAATCTTTGCGCAGCAGATAATTTTCCATTCGCTCCCGACGTTGCGCTCTGAGCGCTGGCATCTGCGGAAGCCATATTGAGAATGTGCTCGTTGGTCAATGGATGGAGGTGGAGGTGGGAGGTATGGGTTTCGGGAACGAAACGATGATGAGTTGACGGTGGATTATTAAGAGGAGCCGCAGAACACTACGTAGAGGAGTGGTTAGTCAGTCTGCTAACAAGGGTAGTGTAGCCTTGAGCAAGCTGGTGGTGACTGTAAATGTACTAGATGGATGGGTGTTTGTGCTAAGCCAATTCACCCAGGTCAGCCAAGTAGGTAGGGACAACTTACGGTATTGAGGACACGAGGGCAATTAGTAGCGGGGTCTCAACTTCACTGTAACTGCATAAAGGGCAATGCAGAAATAAGGCGAAGAAATGCAGCTGAGAATTGAATAAGTTCGTAATGCGTATGCAAGAAGCCGTCAAGGGGAGATTTCAAGATAATGGGTTGGGAACTTTTTGGCTCTGGGGGCTGAAGGTTGTGAGCTAGCTGTTCGCTTATACCCGTGCTTCCGACCTCCGATGGTAAGGACAGCAGAGGTGAATTTACCTACTCCACTTTCCCAGGGGGAAATAATAAACCTGTAAGCCACGAAAAGGGAGTGAACTTGAGAAATAGGAACCGATTCAAGTTTTGCAATCTCGCTTTACAATAATCTGAATCACCTCTTCCATATAAATATTCGACCAGTGAATTCTTCAGCTCCCAGCTTCAGGTTCTCCAGACATCCAAGCAAAAGTGGACCATGTCACGTGATGAGTCTCAGAATCATCATTCTGCATTAGAATACCCTAGAATCTTCCAAAACGGCAATTAGAGAGTAATCGGTACGTGTATATGCCGTTTGGAAGAAAAGCAGAACGTATAATGTATATTCTCGGATCAAAGATCTTATAAAGACATATTTGGGAGAGAATGGGGTTTGAGTAGATTAACATATTTAATAGTAATACCTACCCAGTGATAGGTAATTTATAACAAGGATACCATATCAAACATCCCTACCCAGCTTTATTTACAAAACATAAAAACATTCTAGGTACTCAACAAACCAAACACCAAAACATATAATCTCACATATAGAAAGCTCGGAAAACGGAAAACAGCCACCAACCTACCTTCCCAAATTCAAAGGGAAATAAATTAACTTATAAGTGAAGTCATCTCTCTAGAAGTCCTAGCTTCAAGAGTTACAAGTACATTTTACCAAACGTTGCATTTGCTTGTAGCCTACCCTACCTAGGGAAATATAAAGACAAAAGCACCGGACCAGAGATCACCAACCGTCCATGTGTAAAACTCGACTTCTTCAATTTCTATTTTAAAGAGTCTACAAAGGTAAAAAAAAAAAAAGAGAGAGAGAGAAGAATCAGATTTGATCTGACAGATTCGAAAACCCCCCTATTTCAAGTAGTATTAGAACAAACCTTGGTAGAAGCAAGGATGACTTGATCCTACAATTGCGAATTCCCGTAGCCCTTGGTGACACCGTATCTAGTATTTGATTTTTAAACCCGTGTGTCTTGATCTGCTTCTCCAAAGACATTCTAAATTCAAGCGCAAAAGTCACAGTAATTGGTATTTGATACCTCTCGTGAGCTCCTTTGTTTTGATGCCTGTGGATAATCACTTAGCCATTCTGGGTTAATTAAAGTACACATCTGAGTAGATGACTTAATTCCCTCAAGAGCTTTAAATTAATCAAATTGATTTTTCCCAATATAGCAATAGGTTAAAACAATCATCTCATTTCAGAGAGGCAGGACAATATGAGAGATATCTACCTGGTATTTTCCAGCAGCTTCTATCGAGCACTGCCCACGGTAACGGGTCGAATGGATCTCCCGGAAAATCCTCAAAGAAGGTGGGCGCGGCTCCGGCAATTCTTCCGAAGTTATTTCGAGTCCTTTCAAACTTTCACATCGGTAGCAACGAATTGAAACACCAAGAATAAAGATCAAACGCACGGAATTGCACGAAAGCGTGTACAAACGAGGATTTTGCAGGTCAAGTGGAGGAGAGGATGGTAGTGGCGGCCGAGCTGGGAAGCCGTTGGTTGCGTCGGTCGAGGGAATTTTTTTGGATGATGAGAGCCATGTTGTCCTTGGCATAAAAAATGAGGGGTTCGAATTTCTTTCTCGAAAAGCCACTCAATCGGGGAATTTTCCAGACGTCCCGTCCAACGTGAACCGACGAGACGTGTTCCTGCGTGACTGTGTGATTTCGATATCGAGGTGCATATTGGTATGATGTGCAAAACGGATATCTTGCAGATGAGCCCCCAAGACACTAGAATTCCTTGGAGGCCCCTCGACGGATGGCGTGCCGGAGGAAGAAGTATCTTATCAATTGGGGTTGCAATGGTGCCATGATGCATTGGTGCCAATGAAGATAGGGCTGGGATGAGCTTTTGAAATACTTACCAGGCTAGACTTTTCGAGCTTGACAGACTCTTGTTTTGCAGGATAGGACCATGTGTGGGAGGCGATCCACAGGGAAGCCGGCTGAGCAAAGAAAGACACCTTGATCTGGCAGTTGAGGACTGTACTGTCGTCTCGAAAGGCCACGCCACGGGCCCAACATACGTAGCGTATGATTTCGTAGGGCACCCCCTCACGCTCATGGCCTTGCGAGGACGTGAAAGGCGTGAAAATGCTATGTAGAAGCACCATGTACCTCAGCGGAGAGCACGGCGTCGATGGAGTCTTGAATGCAGGTGTATGGTGGCTCGGGTGGGATGGTGGGATGGTAGTGGCAGTACTTGTTGGCAGCTCATTGGACTTGGGATGCATCGATGCAGCCCTCACGCAATGCAGCGCATGTCTTCAGGATAATTTTCGGGGACCGGTTGGCTGAGCAGTAGAACGCAGCACAAAGATGTTTGGGAATGCGTAGGAGATAGGACTTTTGGAGAGGAGGAGGGGGAGGAGAAGAGAGAGTGATGAGCCTGAGGAAGCACAGTCGATGTACCATCCTTTTGCTGGCAGCGGAGTTGCGATGAACGAGTGGCTCATCTCTGCTCTCCCACGCCACTGATGGCACAGGAGTGGAATTTGGCCGATGCAGCATCGCCTTGGTGGTGTTGATGTTGAGCTCACCGGGACAATTGAATGTAGGAGGATGTGTATGTGTGTATGTACATGGTACAGTATGTGTAGGTCAAACGGTATTGATGTACTTATTCTGTCTTCGTTTGCGAATAGCATCCAGCCAATGCCCATGACATTCCATGGCCATCCCATGCCTATCCCATGCGCAGAACTCTACCGACCAACACTGGAAGGGTTCTGCCGTGCGTAGAGTAGTGCATCGGAAGAGCCATAGGGGGAGGGGAGAAGAGGGGAGGGGGTGTCAAAGGAGAGTGCCGGAAATCATCGTTGGGAATTTTCCAATGATTCCGTCAGAATAATCTCCTTGACGATGTTGGCTACACCTCTAGATACCTACCTAGGTAGTATTATTAGCGGGTACTGAGGTGAGGACATCTTGGGAGCAAGGTCTAGCAAGGTCTAGCAAGGTCTAGCAAGGTCTAGCAAGGTCTAGCAAGGTCTAGCAAGGTCTAGCAAGGTCTAGCAAAGCCTAAGATCTTAGACCGGCATCAATTGTCGTCGGGGCAAGTGCTGGATGCATACTTTGAACCGTCGAGCCTGCCTTGGTTATGCCTACAATCAAGTAGAAAGCGAGTCCGTACTAGCCAGGGCGGGAGAGTGCAGGCCCCTCTGGAAGCGTGGCGACGACGTAGACGAAGGCCTAGAAACAGAAATAGAAATCCCATTTTTCAGTCGGCCTGTTCATATACGGGAGTCGCGGGAGTGAAGGTGCAAGTGGAAGCTCATTGAGAGGAATTCCCATCCTCATCTCCCCCACCATCACGTCCATCAGAATCGCTGGCACTGGCACTTACTGGTACCCTACTAGAACTAGAACTAGAACTAGAACTGGAACTGGACCTCGACTGGAGACTACCGGGTGTCCGCGACACGCTACTTGAGTAGATACCTATGAGATCCTACTCGATCCTATTAGATAGCGATACCTCCGACAGTTCCCTCGCAGCCCCCATCGCCATCATCGCATCGGCTACTCACTACTGTACCAATCTACCACTACCACTACTCCCAACTACTTTGACTACCCTCCCAACTACTTTGACTACCCTCCCACGCTACAGTACCGCATTATCCGGTCCAAGGCGAGCCTCACCTTTGCGATACACCTGCACCACCTGCACCACCCCCAAGAAAAAGCTTCCCCTCCTCGTCCTGCCCTCCTTCATCCCTACCCTCATCTCACCCCTCCCCTCACTACAGTACACGACTACTGCACTCTACAGCAGCACTGCGGTGCGTCTGACACACACGACGTTGCGCCGCCCACAGCCCACAGCCCAGCGAAAGGAAGCGTCCTGGAAGCACCCAAGGACTCGTACTCCAGCACTACAGTACTACTGAAGCACGAAGCACCAAGCACGAAGCACTGAAGCACGGCAAAGCAAAAACGTTAAGCTCTGACGCGCTGACATCCATCGCCAACCCCTCTTCTAGGAAGTACCAAGAAGTCCTTCAGTACGTAGGTACTGGTACGGTGCTTCCGCCAGTCCCTCCACTCGCATCTCCAGCGCTGCAGCACGCACCAGGAAAACTCCAGGACTACTGGAGTACTGTCGCCGGTAGGGTACCGAGGGTATCAGGTACCTAGACTCCGGCCTCGAGCCACCTGAGCATAAGCCAATCTTCATAGCCGCTGGCCTGCAGTTCTTCCCACACCCACCCCGCTTCTGATTGGCACGAAGCAAACCTTCGCTACTTTCCACTGCAAACGAAGGTTGTGACCCGGTCTGGTCCTGGTCTCGTCGTTCCTGCCTTCCTGCCTTCCATCATGACAACACGAAGACTCACCAAGAAGCAAAAACCGCCCTCGGTATGCGATAATCCCTCGCTGCGCAGCCAGAAGAGCGCTGGGAGTCTGCAACGCAACAACACCACCAGCGGCCCTTACACCTCCTACCAACGGTCGACGGCGACGGCGAACAACGCACAGGGTCACGTCCGACAAATAACCTCTCCCAACCCTGCCCTCTACACCTCAACCTCGTCGAATTCAAACTCGTCGCTGGATAACCACTACTCCTACTCGTCTCAAAGCGCCGCAGAAGTCAGTGGCGGGGCAACCCAGAGTGGCGTGCAATCCAAGGCCAGCTCGACGCGTCGTCTCAGCGACAAGAGCGAGCAAGACCTTCTGGGAGCTCCGTTCGATGGTACCGGCATTTTGAATCATTGGGACTCATCAAAAGTAACCGGCACCGGCTACCAAAGCTCTCTACGACGACCCCCTCCGCCACCTCTATCCCACACGAGCCCTGATCCTCGAGGTGTCAATCCCAAGCTCAAACACTCCAAGAGCTTCACCAAGGGAGAAAAGATCAAGATGAATGAAAAGTCCGCCCCACGCATTGGTGAGAACCAGCTCATCAGCCCCAAGCGCTTCTCCGATGAGACCAAGGAGCCAAAAGCTGGGATGCTACGTAAGAAGTCGGGCTTTACAGGCTTCATGAATCAAATTGGAATCGGATCGCCTAGAGGGGTAAAAATTTCAGCTCCAGAGAACCCTGTTCACGTTACTCACGTAGGCTATGACCAGGATACGGGTCAATTCACGGTACGTCCATCGAATGATCTGCAGCGATCGGCAAGGTTGAAAGGCTTAGGTGGAGACTGCTAATGGTCACAATTAGGGTCTTCCGAAAGAATGGCAGCGCATGCTCAACGATAGCGGAATCACCAAAAAGGAGCAGGAAACACACCCGCAAACCATCGTGGATATTGTGGGATTTTACAATGAAAATGCCAACAAGGGAGGTGACGAGGTATGGGACAAATTTGACCACGCCAATGTACCTGAGATGCGCAATGCTCCCAACGGCACTGCTCTCTCACCCGCACTTCTGAGCACGCCAGGCTATGGATCGGTAGCAAGTCCTCCAGCAAGTCCTCGATTCCCAGCAAACCATGAGACGAGCTTTGAGAACCCTCGATCGCCTCCTCCGGTTCCACGAGGGACGGTTCCAGGCTCTCCTCAAGGTTTGGCATTGGCTCTCCAACAAAAGGATACGAATGGTCTTGTACCAACTCGCCCAGCACCACGGCCACCAATCCAACACCAAGGACCAACCCGTGCGGCTCCTCCTCCACCAATAATGGGTAAAGACTCTGGAATCGGAATGCCTCGTCAAAGCGAAGATCTTCCTGCCTTGGCTTATATCCCACCTCCGCCGTCCGAGTCGATGCCTGGAGATGGCCAACGCTCGCGCTCAAACTCGAAAGCAAGCGGCGCCTCTCCTTATGCCACACCAATCAAACAACAATACGCTTATCAAGCCGAGCAGCAAAACGCCATGCATGTATCTCAGCAAAATCAGATGGCCCGCGCACCAAGTAAAAAGCACATCCAAACCCCACCGACTCCACAAGGCCAATTCCAGCATCGTGCGCCGGAGCTTAATGGTGTCCCACACCCAAGTCAACAAGCGAGACAGGTGCCAGGTCCTCGACCACGACAACGACCACGTCAAAGTACCGGATTTGATGTAGTCGCTCGCTTGAAGCAAATTTGCTCAGAAGGTGACCCAAGAGAAATTTACAAAGATTTGACAAAGATTGGCCAAGGAGCTTCAGGTGGAGTTTATACTGGTTACGAGAGAGGTACTAATCGATTAGTGGCTATTAAGCAGATGAACTTAGAACAACAGCCAAAGAAAGATTTGATCATCAATGAGATTCTTGTCATGAAGGACAGTTCTCATCCTAATATTGTCAATTTCATTGATAGCTTCCTTATTACTGGAGAACTATGGGTAATTATGGAATTCATGGAGGGAGGAAGCTTGACTGATGTTGTCACTTTTAATATTATGTCTGAGGGGCAGATTGGATCGGTTTGCAGAGAGACACTAAAGGGTCTGCAGCACCTGCATTCAAAGGGTGTTATTCATCGTGATATTAAATCAGATAACATCCTTCTTTCACTAGATGGAAACATTAAGCTAAGTAAGTAAACCTCCTTGAACCCAATTCCGCAGACCGATTTTGACTTGATCGGTTTCTAAATCGGATATCTTAATCTGATTTGTAAATTGATTTTGTCAAAATCGGTTTTGTTATTTAGGCCTGTTAATCAGATGTATGACACCGATTCTGTGAAGTCGGTTTTGCCAGAGCAGACCGACTTTTCCCAGTCTTTGTGTGGGCATGGCATCTTACAAAAATCAGTCATCCAAAACGAATCAGCCATACTAACTATCTCTCTAGCCGATTTCGGTTTTTGCGCTCAAATCAACGAAGCTCACAACAAGCGAACAACTATGGTTGGAACTCCTTATTGGATGGCACCAGAAGTTGTGACCCGCAAAGAGTATGGACGTAAGGTTGATATTTGGTCACTTGGAATTATGGCTATTGAGATGATCGAGGGCGAACCACCGTATCTCAACGAGTCGCCTCTTAGAGCCTTATACCTGATTGCAACGAACGGTACTCCTGCTATCAAGGATGAGGCATCTCTAAGTCCTGTCTTTAGAGACTTTCTTCAATTTGCTTTGAAGGTAGATCCTGAAAAGCGAGCTAGTGCCCATGATCTGCTACGTGTAAGTTCTCCTGTCTAGAAATGTACACTCCCAACTGATACTGACATCATTTCTTAGCATGAATTTATGAAGCAATGTACGGATCTGATTGAGTTGGCACCACTTGTGCGTTCCGCCAGAAGTGCTAGAGCTCAAGAGAAGGCCGCAAAAGCGGCAGCATGAGAATCTGTTCTCGCCAACGATTTAAGTAAAACGCAAAATCTCCAATCTTCATACACATATTTTGGGGCGGCAAGATGCACAAAACGAAAAGCAGTTTGGTCATATCAACCAATCCTTTTCGTATATTTTCAGCACGATTCAGCGAGGCAACAAAGTCACAGCACTTCAAGCAAACCCTGGCGTTTCTGGTAGGCGTAAGGATTGTGCTGATTCCCAAAACTCTTTGCGTTGCATCATCAGGCCAAGGGCTGGGCTGGCTTGATATTTTCTTTGACTTATTTGGGGGTTTCATCTCTTGTTTTCATTTTCAAAGGCTTTCCAATGGATTTCGCAGCAAGACACAAGGGAGGTGATGTGTCTGTGGTCCTCATTTTGCTGCCAGGAGTGCTTTTACTATACCAGGGAAGAGGTATGGGAGGAGATTCGACGTTTTCTTTTTTACCTTTTCTGTTGATATTAGATGGTGGATACCTTTTTTGTCTCGTTCTTTGCTTCGTTCATCCATTTCACATACATCAGATATATACTACTCTTCTGCATAAGGGGGATCTGAGAGTGATGGATGAAGGGATTGTGGATATTCTTCTCTACTCAGGCAAATGTCTTGTCGGCTCGCATAGCTGACTGGTGGACTTGGGTGTGCTCAAAGCCTGAGTGCTGATTGGCAAGGAATGAAGGAAATTCGTATGGGATGGATATGGATATGGATTGGGGCAAAAGTATATTGATGGGATGTACATTCCCTTGATTAGAAAGGCAATTTTGAGGGAATGGATGGATGGAATGGCGGTGGAATGGGACGAATGAATGGATGAATTATAGAATGGATGGATGGATGGATGGATGGGATTTCTTCTCTTTTGTGGATGATCAAAAGGAGTGAAGGTGGAAGGTGTGGTCTCTGTCGGTCACTGTCTGTGGTCCAATTGCTTCACAGACTGACACACAGACAGATAACCAGATAGCCATGGTAGATTCCCCACTGAAATGAAATGAATCAACTTGAAATCCAATCTCTTCTTCTTCTTTCTTTCTTTCTTTCTTTCTCCCTCCTCCTTGTCTCTCTCTTTGCCTCTTGGTGTTTAGCCTGACTTGCTTTGTTTTGTGAAGATAAGGATGGTGGTGATGGAATAATTGCTTGCTAAGTAGGTATACAGTGTAACATGAGGGAAGCTGCTGTACTCTACCTGTGGGGGTTTGTGGAACAGGGGGAGGGAGAGAGAGAGAGAAGGGGGGTTGGGCGGTTGGTGGTCTACTTATATTTCTACTTGTACTTCTTCTTTTTCTTTTTCTTTTTTCTTTTTATATTCCTTTTAATAGATAATCTGGATTTTATCATTTTAACTTGACTTGCCTAACTTGTTGATTACGGGAAGTGTAGGAGAGGAAATAAGAGAGGGTTCAATGATATAATTTGTGTAAGATCTTATAGTAGTAAAGAGTGTTTGTGAGTAAGACTTCTTCAGCTCACCTTATCTCTGATGTATACTCGTAAAATAGCCCTGGTATCTGTTCACTGAATTTATTATTGTACCAATGAACCCCTACGTACTATCCATTACTATTACTATTACTATTACTATTACTATTACTATTACTATTACTATTACTATTACTATTACTATTACTATTACTATTACTATTACTATTACTATTACTATTACTATTACTATTACTATTACTATTACTATTACTATTACTATTACTATTACTATTACTATTACTATTACTATTACTATTAATCAGCCTTTATGGAGGGAGAGGGGGGGGTGTAACGAATACTCAAACTGGCTAACTAAACTTGGCTGGGTGTTCGCTGGTTGGTATGCTATGATAAGAAGAAGACTATCGGGTTGTTCACTTGGAAGTGAACTCGTTACTTGTATCAAAGATGTCAAACTAATATGATAAGATTGATAACTAAGTTGAGCACGAAGCTCCTATCTAATGGCAGAAGTGCCAGTCTTATATAGAACCTTCGTTCTCGTGGAGCCTACGGGGAGCCCAAGATCCTCAAGCTCCAACGCAAGCTCCTGCAAGCTCCAACGATCATGTGACCCTATCACGTGATACTAACTGAATGAAATCCCTGGATCGCTTAGCTAGCCCAAGCGTCCCTATTTGCTATAAGAGTACTGATAGTGCTTGACCTTTCAGGACGCCGCCTGGTCTTCTCTTATCACGTGAACGCGTGATTCGTGACAGGGGGGAGGGAGTAGGTTTACATACTACCTCATCTTTATCTTTATATGAGTGAGTATGAGTATTTATCTGTATCCCAACAAACCCCCACTCCTACTAACTTTCTTATACAGGGGTAAGGTATCAACTACAGAGGTACTCAACAAGGGAATCCCTGCCAAGAAAAGAAAAAACACGTAAACATGAGTACTTGAGTAGGTTTCGTGTGAGGGCGCACCCAGGGTTAGTACGCACCTGAGCCGTGTTAAAACACCCCGTAAACAAACTAACTATCGTACTTTAATAATATATTATAATTAAATAATATAATTAAATACCTTGTAAAGTAACGAATTCAAAGGGCGTACAGCCTCCTAAGAGGATTACTAATTATAAAGAGGTCCTTGTTTAGTAGCGTACTATAATTATATTATCTAATTATAATAGCCGTAAGGAGTTAGAATAGTAAGTTAGAGTGTAACTACTAGGACGTCCTATATCCGTAAGAATAGTTTAAAAGATACGTAAACACGTAGTATATAATATAGGAGCTATAAGGAGTAGACTTATCCCTTAGTTTTATAAATTACTTAGCGCTAAGGCTTAGCCTTAACGTTAGGTCTTATATACGTATAGTTCTATTAGTACTAGTTACGCGTCGAGTTATAGCTATTTATTGAACTACTTATAGAAACGTTATAAATCTATAATTTACTATTAGAAATAGTATAGCTTAAATTTATATCTTCCGCTAGTTTAATGATTATATAGTTTTAGTAGTTTCTATATAAGTATATATATACTATTAGTTATAAGATAAGACGTTTTAATACTTAGTATATTCTAATTAGATATAGCGGTACTACGGCTCGCTTGAAGCCCTATACTAAGCCTAGGCGCTAAGTAATTTATAAACTAAGGGATACGTAAAGGGCCTTTATAAGATATTATAAACTAAAAAATCGGTAGCGGAATAATAGGGTTGTAAAACTTACCCCCTCTCTTATTAATTATATTATATACTAAGTTATAACCTCGCGAGACTTTTACTAGTAGAACGAAAAGTTATATATTAAAGCGCTTAATTTACTCTTTATACTATTCGAGTCTTCCTTTAAAAAGGCTATATATAGCCGCGAATATTCGAAGACTAAAGGCGTATATAAACCTAGACTAATATGCGAACTTCGAGACCTACGAATTACTACTATATAATAAATCGTTAAGTTTAACCTTTCTTAGGTTATCTTTATTAACGCTACCTCTATATAAATTAAGCTAGAGGGGTACAATACCTACTAGTATACCTAGAACGAGTATAAGTACCTAGACGTTAAGAATAATATAATAAAAGGCTTCTCGAATAGTTAATTCTTTAGTATAATATATCTTAATTAAAGGAAAGGTTCTTACCATATCTTTTAAGTCGAGACCGACGAGGGAAAGAAGCTAGCGCGGGAGAACTTAGCTACTTATAACGCTAGCTAGGAAGCGCTTAATACACTTATATTTATAACTATCGAAGATAGTAAATAAAGAGATTAGTAGAAATAAGGCCGGAAGCCTCTAGTATAATAATTCGAGGGGTAAAAATAGTATACTATTTAAAGTAGGAAAGAACTCTAGCTATATACCTAGAGCAAGGCCTAGATTATATAAGATATTATACCTAATTCGCTTATACTAAACCTCTTAGGCTACTAAATATTATATCCCTTCCTACTTAGATAATAACTACTCTTACTTAAGTATTAATAGGCTTATTTTTATTCTAAATAAGTATAGATATATCTATTTATATAAGTTAAAACTTACCTAAAGTAAAGTATTCTACCTAGGTATTTCTCCTTAAATAATATAGAATCTACCTCTTACTATCTCCATTTATAAGAGCTAAAGTTATTAAGTTATTTTATAAATAAGCGAGTATAGCTTACTAGGGATTATTTCTACCGGTTTTACTATTAAAAGCCTTTATAACGTCTAGTTTAAGTATTCTCTTACTTAAAGAATATATAAATAAGCAAATTTTAAGCTCTTAAAGGTCTATATTAAGGTACCTCCTTATCTACTTTTTAATTCTTTTTTTTAGGTAATAATAATAACTTTTTTACTTACTTTACCCTTCTTTCTTAACCTCCTTTCTTTATTTAAACCTTCTTATATCTTATTTCTTATTCTCTTTATATCTCTACTTAAGCTCTCTTATTAATATATTTACTTAGGTAGTATTATATCTTACTATAGGTAGTATTACTACTAGTAGCCTTAGTAGATCTAGTAGTAGCTCTAGTAGTAGTAATAAATATTACTTTACTCTTAGTAAAAAGTACTATACTAATAATAATAAGCCTAAGATTATTCTTCCTAACTGTGACGGTTATGGTCACGAGGGCTGGATGTCACATGCTCGCTTAGCGAGGCGCTAGCGCGCACGACCTGTATTTAGTTCCCAGCTCTCTCGAGCTCTCCTTCTTTCCTCGTCTTTTGTCCTAAGAATAGAGTGTTAATTGTTCTGAGTTCTACCTGAAGCACGTCTGTCACATTACAAAAGACCCTTAGTTGAGGCTAAGTATCCCAGGTCTAAGTTCACGTTCACGTCCAAGTTCAGGTCCACGATCTTACGTCTCAATTCTCACGATTTCTACCACTTTCTTGTGCGCAAGAACCCTACACTTTACAACACGACGAAACCTCTTCTTTTTTCGACTTCTCTACAATGGATGCCCTTCAAGTTCAGTCCGCCATCGCTGAGTTGCAAGCTGAAGTCCAGCGACAGCGCGACGAGATTCACTTACTCCGGTCAAGAACATCCGCAAAGCCTAAACCTTCCCTCCCAGACCCTGACAAATTCACTGGCCAGGCTCATAAATTCGACACCTGGCTTCCCTCAATCAAAGCAAAGCTACGAGTCGACGGTACAGCTATTGGAGACGCTATTGCGCAGTTCTACTACGTCTACCTCAACCTTGACTCCCACGTCCAAGCCATGGTCCTTCCACAGCTCTCTCAAGCAGAAGACACCCAAAGCTGGGACTACCAAACAATCCTCGAACAGCTCGCGCGCGTGTACGACAATCCAAACAAGGTACAGGAGGCGGAAGACAAGCTATTTGCCCTCAAGCAAGGTGCTGACTCAGTCCCTACATATATCGCCAAGTTTGAGCGTGTCCTTTACGAAGCAAGAGGTCAGGACTGGCCAGATGTCAACAAAATTTCCACCTTTAGGAATGGCCTTAATTCTACTCTTCGCGGACGACTTTCTCAACAACTCAACCTACCTCGCGATTATACTACATTCATACGCGTCGTACAACAATTAGCAGGCCGCTTCTCTTCGTCTACACAACCTACACAGTCCTACTCCTCTGGCAACCACCACAGCGAACCAATGGACATAAATGCTTTTAGCATCAATTCCATCGACCCATCCTCTCCTCCACGCGCTCGCTCTATTTCCCCTGAGCGTAGAGATCAATATAGAGCTGAAGGCAGGTGTGTACGATGTGGCTCCTTGGAACACTGGGTCAACGATTGCATACTCCGTCCTTTCTCACCAGGACCACAAGGAAGGAAATCAGCCATAGATTTGGGGGATCTACCAGCTGGGGAGGCATTCCCAAAGCCAGTACGAAAGCAGATTGCAAGACCAGGCAGAGTAGTAATAGCAGCTATGAACGACAATGCTTACGATAGCGCGGAGGTAGATTCGGACGATCCTGACCATCCAGATGCCTGGCAAAAGGGTATTTTTCACAATTAGTTCAGATTTTCAACGCTCGGGGCGAGCTCTTTTTAAAGGGGGGGGTGATGTGACGGTTATGGTCACGAGGGCTGGATGTCACATGCTCGCTTAGCGAGGCGCTAGCGCGCACGACCTGTATTTAGTTCCCAGCTCTCTCGAGCTCTCCTTCTTTCCTCGTCTTTTGTCCTAAGAATAGAGTGTTAATTGTTCTGAGTTCTACCTGAAGCACGTCTGTCACACTAACCCTATCCCTTAACCTTTTACTAGGAAGTAGAGGAAGAATAAGAATAAAAATATAAACTATAAGCTAAAGAAGGCTATAGAATAAGCTAAGAAGTAAGTAGCTAAGGCTACTACTTATATTTACTTCTTTACTACTTCTAATCCTTCTAAAACTTTAGTATTTATACTTAATCTTTACTTTTTAATAAAACTAACTTTTATATAGAAATCCTACTTAGCTTCTTTTAATTTATTAAGAAACCTTCTTAAGGTTTCTTAGATTCTCTTCTGAATTCTCCAGTATCTATTACTTAATAATCTCCTCTTTCTACCCTAATTAATACTACTATTTCTTCTTCTCCTATACCTATAGTAGGTTCTCCTAATAATTCGGATCCTTCTTCTTCTTCTTTATTTAAAAGTTTTAATAATAAATCTAAAGATAAAGATTCCTTAGATAATAGTAAGGTTATTATAGGTAAGTTTAATATTAATACTAACTAAGCTATCTTAGAGGGTCTATAAGAGTTTAATACTCTTAGTAGCTAGGAGGTAGCTCCTATTAATATAGTAAACCTCTAGAATAATACTACTTAGAAGGTCCTCTATTCTATTAGTTAAAACTACTTAATTATAAAAAAGAAGTCCTTTTATATTTATATAAAGCTTATTATTATTTAGTTAACAGGCATTTTATACTAGGGTAATAAGTATTATTTATACTATATTAAAGTAAGTTTCTTATATCTTACTTAATATAGTATTATCTAATTTTATTTAAGTACTTTAATACTCTTATAAGTAAGAAACCTTATATTATTCTTTACTTCTAGGAGTATACTTCCTTTATACTAATTATAATTAATAGAAAGTAGTCTTATATTAAGAAGAGTACTTATAATAATTATATAATAGAGGATAAGAGTACTAGATATTCCTTATATAAAGACTATAGTGGGATTTTATATTTTCTTAATATATTTTATTTTAGTAACTTCTACTAGGTTCTACTTAAACTAGCCTTAGTATAATTAAGCCTTAGTACTTTAAGTAATCATATAGTATTTCCTATAATAGAGTTATTATTTCTAGTAATTATTCTTTTAATAATATAGAATTACTTAGAAAAGCTTAGAGAGATTTACTTATTATAGAGAAGTATATTAGTAAGTATATTACTAAAATATAGAAAGATAGTATAATATCTCTTATTAGTTTACTTAAGAATAATATAAGTAATAAAAAGAATAGTAACAATATTAATATTAATATTAAGGAAGATAATAATAAAGATAATAATACTTATACTAAGTATTCCGTGAGACGGTTAGCGGGGCGCAGGTTCCGGGGGGTTTGCCTGGGTGAGTTTAGCGGTGCTCGTTCAGGCAACGCGCGAGCCCGTGCGTCGCCGCTTCCGGTAAGGCGCACTCGCTTCGCCCCGACGCTGCTTTTCGACGTCGTCCATAAGAACCCTCTCTTCCCTTTCCACTTCGGTCACAATTCTCATACCTGCTATCTTCACCCTCACTCATGGTCCTGTCTTTCCCGCCTTCCATGCGTGGCGCCCAGCCTGCCTCATTTCTATGCTGGTCTTATCTCCCTCCCTACCTTTACTATACGAGCTAATTTATGCTACAGTGGATAGATCCTCTCCGAGGACGATGGTCGGTTCATTTCATCTAGCTGCGGGGCACGAATTTGATCACCGACTAAGCAGCTGTGTTAAGTAAGAGAGTCGAGGTTTCGAGCTCTTAGTCAATAGCTTTCAAACGCTCTACATCTAGAATTCCTCTTCTCGGGAGATCTTTCGACCTGCCGCGCATCTCGTGGTCTCCTTTCGATCCTCAAATTCTTGATCTGTTACTTTCCTCATTGCCTCTCTCCCTACGGCATTACTCATGGTTGTGTAGGCCCGGATGCCAGGGATTCCCGCTACAGCACTATTGCAGGAGCAATAGAGCAGGTATAATCTCATAGTCATCTCCCTACGTAAGCCTCAGCCGGATATGGATCTTCACCTAAGTGATATCCCAATGGCGAAAAGGCCTCACTATCTCGAGACCGGATACCAGGGATTCCGGCTGGCAGGTGGAGCAGCTGAACTCTTCTGCTGCCCTGATTCTAGGAAATGGCCAGTCAGAAAGATGTCTCCTCGACAGCGCTACCCCTTTCCCCGCTCGGTCGGTCGTTCAATTCTCGCCATGCGCCGGCAACCCGCCATCGTCGGGCTCGCTACAGTTGAAGATTCTTACGACACCGCCTGTTTTAAGTCCGAACCCTCGATCTACCGCTCTGTATTCGATTTCCTTGCTCATTACACCAGCGATCATTGCTCTGGATTGTGTTGGATTGGCCGAGATACGAGCATAAACCCAGCGTAGCTCCTCACCGTCGCACTAACACCATCCTCATGGCCGTGGCCCTTGGTCAATGCGATATTGGAGGCTTTTCCCTTGTATGCGGCATAATCCTAGCCAATCCAGTAAATACCTCAAGATAAATCAGCTGGCTTCTGCCTAGTTCTGCCGGGAATTACGTGGCAGCAGTGGTTGGGGTGGGGTGAGGGAGCGGATGTGCTCATATTGGGACGGTTCCCAGTCACGGAGGAGCCGAGGTGGAACTTCTGTCCTCGTTTCAGCGTGGCTGTGTACGAGATTGTACGGATCGCATAAGGCTTCGAACTGGGTGAGGGCAGCCGATTGGAGGTCATTTTGTAATAAGGACTTATGGCAGGATCATATTTTACGAGATCCACAGCGGCAGCATAGAGCCTCCTCCCTGCTGAGACATTCATACACTCTGCTATGTTCTTTAAAGCTGAGTATCGAGAATAGCAAAAGTTCTTCCTATATAAACCCAGGAATTCCTCCCTTAGCAACTACTCTACCGAGCATAATCGTGCATTTGGCCCTCACTATGGACGACATTATCTTTTACCAACCCCCCTCGGCCTCGAAGAACCGCCCTCCTCGTTTGCTAGGTGTACGCACGACTCTAAATGGGTTTGGAGCATCTGGAGCATCTGTTCCTATTCGCCAAACAGCACCAGATTTCAATCAACAGAATAATCCTTCGAAAGATAATATAACCGAATCTCGAGACTTGAGTGATTCATCCCAGAAACGCCACCCAGTTCAGCGTTACAGAAATAACAAAGTTCAAATGCAAGGTAAGTGTTGAGATTTTCCGTCGCGAATATTGTATCTAACATTTGTGGAGAAAATTCAACAGTAGCACCAAATCCCCTAGGCAGCAACGACGATGACGACTTCCCAGAAATAGATGAGCTTCTGTCGGGCATGAAGCAGCAGAACCACTTAGCAAGCGCGGACCCGAACAGCGACAACAATAATAACGATGATGACTTTCCTGATATAGATGAGCTCCTGTCAGGTATAAGGCAGAAAAGCGTGCTAGCAAGCGCGAAACCGAACCATAGCAAAATAGCTGAAAAGATCAATAACAGAGATCGACGTGATGGTCCTCTTAATTCTAGCTGCTCAGAAGGAAGCACTCAAGGTAAGCACACTGAGGTTCTCACTTTAACCCGGACTTCTTACTCATACGATCCCAGATCCGATTATACTTAGTGACGATGAATCTACAGGCGCCGAGTCTGAAACCGATTACACCGATCCTGATGTCGATCTCACAGCTAACAGCTGTCCCCATTCTCCACACATTGCGGATAACGAGTTGATGGACGGCTTCAGCTCAAGAGCAGCACTCACGCCTCATTGTCTTGTCGCTGACCACCAAGACGACAATGACAAAAATAGTGGCGAAATCGACAATACCCAGCTTCAGCTCCCTGCTGACCGACCAAGGTCAGCCTCCCCTAGCCAATGGTCCATCACATACCAAGCCAGCAAGCAGATAGATACCGACAACATACAAGGAAGCACGAATCTCGATGTTACTAAGGAGCTAGAGAATAGGGGCTCTGATATCTCTATCGAGGGAAGCGCTGAGGACGGTGACGGCACTTGCTCTACAAAAGAACGAGAGTTATCTGCCGTTTCCGTCAAGAATCCAGTCTCTGATAGCAACATTCTCGAGCAATCCCTGCAGCTAGACTTAGCAGCGGCCTCTCCCCAGGAGTCAGACTTGAAGAACGATCATCTACCAAAGCGTCGTCTCCGGGGTGTTACCGAAAACTTCCGCCGCAAAAGTCCTCGTACAATTGCTCCCATCAGATTGGCCAGTACCGCTTCTGCCGCACTCAGACCCAGCGCCGAATCCCAGTCACGCGCTCAAATCACAACCCTAGACCGGGAAATAGTTAACGATGGAAGCACCAATGATTCTAATGACGGAGATTATGACGATAGGAATGTCGCCACTGGCTCACGGAGAGGCTTCAGACTACGGAAACCGGTGAGGCGGACCAAGGACACAGGGGACTGTAATGCGGCAGCCTACCCTACTCATTCCCTTGACGTCCCATGCCAAGCTGCAGAAGCAATCTCGTCTGGAAGTATGCAGGAGAGCGAAGAGATTCCTATCCATGGATCCTTTACACTAAAGATAGTAGAGTCAAAAGTTCTATACTGTCTCACATTTTCTCAAGAATCATCACCACTTTTTCAAAGCCAAGGGCAGAGACAAGATAGTCCCACCGACCTCGAAGAACCTCAGCCGGCTGCTTCAATCACAGACCCTACTCAGGAATGGGGAATCCACAAAATCACTGGTCAGAAAATGGTGAGAGGTGAGAGGCACTTTCGGGTAGAATGGAATGAGACGTGGATGCCTGAATCTGAATTGGCTGGAGCTGAGGAACTGGTGGAAGCGTTCATGACGGAAGTTGGGACTGGGACCAGAGGTAGGAAGCCGCCTCAGAAACGAGGTCGGCTGGCTACTGGATTGGCTGATGATCTGAATAAAGGAGAGCCAAAGAAGCGGCGTAGACAACCTCGGAAGCAGATGTGAGGCAAATATTTTTATGTGGGCACGTCACAACGCGGGAGCAGGTATAGCGAAGGGAAGCAGGGTTGAAGGGAATCAGCTGTATAACAGAATAATGTCTCTCATATTTGTGGTCGCTTTTCTCTTCGTCCCGGCTTAGTATACAAACAGAACTTATGCCAAGTATCAGTAACAATGCAAGTATTATTTCGTTTGCTAGATCGCTCGGCTAATGCCGTCTCACATTCCCTCCCGACACTTGAAATTGTTCCAAAACAGCCACTAACAGTATGGTTTACACATATTTAGTCCTTGTAAAATACCTTACGACTGCCTTAGTATTGTTTCCCTCCTGAACATCTACATTTATAACTGCCCTAGAGCTTGAATAACAAAATATTACACGGCAAAGTAAGATCTAGATTCTAATTAAATAAAGAACCTTGCTAATGTAGTTGGATAGAGACGGGAGAAGCGTTTCAAAATCCCGATCAAAACCAACAGGCGACCAAACGAAAGAAAGGTACTAGGCATTAGGCACCCGCACCGAGCCAGTACTAGATATGCCTCAAGCCATACGAGCCAGAGAAGTTTCTTTTGGTTGCAAACAAGGATTGGTCAGCGCAAGTACGAGTATGCACTTAGCCTTCTTGCCGATTCCGCAGCAATGCAACCTACCTACAAACAGAAGAAATAAGCTCTAGCTCGAACCTCGACAACTCAATCACTACATAGGACAGCATATTCGCTCAACCAAGAATCATCAATCAGTCCCACCTGTCGAATAAGAAATCTTCTAAAATCTTTGAACCCCTTGCTCAATTGAGCAATCAAAGACAGTGCAATGGGCAAGGAGACCGAACAATTCCTTGGGGGGGCGAAAGCCCCATGGTTCAACTGGAGGAACTCTAGCTGACCCCGCTATGCTAGACAAAATCGACAGACTGTTCGCATGCAATGTAGGCGACTACATTTTCCTGCCCCAGATTGTCGTGGTCGGTGACCAATCGAGTGGGAAGAGCTCCGTCCTAGAAGGAGTAACCAACTTACCATTCCCACGAGACAGCGGCTTGTGTACACGTTTCGCAACCCAGATCACGTTCCGGCGTTCTCCATTAACAGGAATTACAATCAGTATTATTCCTGCCAAAAATTCAACCTCGGAGCACGCGAATCAAGTACGCGAATGGGCTAAGAGAGATTTGGATAGCCTTGATCAGAAGGCCTTCACTGATATTATGCTCGAGGTAAGTTCTACAAGGAGAGCATCATGGCCTAAACTAACAGTGTGCAGGTTCACACAGTAATGGGACTCTCGAAGCAAGACGACGGCATGAGCTCTCCAACCTTCTCAGGCGACGTCTTACGCATAGAGGTGTGCGGGCCCGACCAGGAGCATCTGAGCGTTATCGACGTCCCAGGCATCTTTAGGCAGAGGACGCAGGGTCTCACAAGCACGGCCGATATGTCTATGGTCAAGTCAATGGTGCGCGCCTACATGGCGAACCCCAGATCGGTTATGCTTACTGTCATTCCGGCCAACGTCGATCTCGCAACACAAGAGATCCTAGAGATGGCAGAGGAGGTGGACCCCGATGGGCAGAGGACCCTAGGTGTGTTAACGAAGCCGGACCTCGTTGACAAAGGTGCCGAGCAGGCCGTGGTCGACCTGGTTGAGGGCCGAAGGCATCAACTGGCCCTAGGATGGAGCCTCGTGCGCAACCCCGGGCAGCAGCAGTTGACGGATCCGGCGACGAACCGTCAGGCTCTGGAACAAGATTTTTTTCAAGGGAGTCACCATGGGATAGTCTGGACAAGGAAAAGGTTGGAATCCCTGCGCTCCAAGTGCGTCTACAGGAGATTCTAGCTGAGCACATTCGTCGCGAGTTTCCCAAAGTAAGTGTTCCTTGATTGGTTGAGTAGTGTCAAACTTGCTAACACCCTGTAAGGTGAGGTCGGAAGTCAACAAGAAGCTCAAGGATTGTAAGGCTTTGCTTGTAGATCTTGGGAGCAAGAGAGATACGCCAACCGACCAATCCAAGTATCTAATCGATATTGCAACTCGCTTCCAGGAAACCGTCACGTCGGCATTGAATTCGCACTATTCGGGAAATGATATCTTTGATCAGCAGCCTAGCCTCAGACTTGTCACGACGCTAGTGAACCGGAACGAGACCTTCTCAAAGTCGGTCCAGACATGGGGTAACACCTACTGTTTTAAGGAACAAAATTCGCATGATTTTAAGCCCCTGCTTGAGCCTTCCCCTGCCGAAGAAGAGCCTTACCATACCGAGGAAGAGGCTAACGATGCTGCATGTCCTCCGCCTGTTTCCGTTCTCGATACTCGTCTTCATGAAACCCACGATGATGTTAGGGACGTCGTGCGCGAGAATGAAATGCTCTCTTTGCCCCGCAATAACGATGTCCTTAAATGGCTGACGACTGTCTATCGAGATTCCCGTGGTTTAGAACTAGGGACGTTCAATTCATCGTTGCTAGCTCTAACCATGAAGGAGCAGTCGAAGAAGTGGGACAGCATAGCTTTCGGGTATATCAGCGACGTGGTAACTGTGACTCACACTTTCGTCACCGATTTACTCTGCCATACCTGTTCAGACGAACGCGTCCGGACTAGGCTAGCCTCTATGCTTATGGATGGGCTTTTAGAGCGGTACAGGAAAGCCTTTGCTCACGTGGAATTCATTCTACAGGTTGAGCGATCTGGGAAGCCAATGACGTTGAATCACTATTTTAATGACAATTTAGAGAAATGGTAAGAGAGCTTCGCTTCTTGTTTATATATTCTGACAGATCGTGTAGCCGACAGGAACGTATGCGGACAGCAATGTCAGCGATATCAATTGACAACTGTAAGCATGGAGCTGTTGTCCCGCTTCGCGCGATCACGCAGACCCACCATCATATGAGCAACGCCGAGCACATTGTTCAAGATCTCCACGACATCTTACAATCGTATTACAAGGTTGCCCAAAAACGAATTGTCGACGTAATATGTATGCAAGCAGCAGATTATTACCTGATCTCGGGACCGGATACGCCATTGAAGCTCTTCTCGCCAGTATTTGTAGGGGCCATGACTCCAGAGCAGTTGGAGGAGGTTTCAGGAGAGGATGCGCGCCAGAAACGTCGACGGAAGCAATTGCAGAAAGAGATAGAGGATCTTGAGAGGGGGAGGAAGATATTGACATGAAGCTGGCATAGGGTTCAGGATTGAACAAGTAGAGAGCAAAGATTGCTTTACTTCGTCTGTCGAGAAAAGATTTTGGGTCTCTGAGGGCAGATTTGGCGGATTCAACTTCTTATTTCAAGCTCAATCTATTTAGTAACTTGCTTACAAAATCTTCTAACGTATCCCCGCTCAGAGTTCTTCGCGTGATATCTCTCTTGCCCCTCCCGACTTTGCTATGAAACCCCGTGTTTGGACGGAATACTAAATGGTATTTATCACCTTCATTTACTCAGTATTATATGCTCCCCCGTAGACGCCCAGCAACGAATTCGACAGATACCGCTGGCCATCTTGTTGAGATGGCCTTGAATGTTTAGGGAAATGTAAGATGAGAATCGGGGCTTCGATGTTGAAAGTGTAGAATGAGGCGAACATGGGCTCGGTGCCTTCTGCGATGGAATCGACGGAAGCGATTGAGATGACGGGACCAGCAGAATTCGCGAAGATGGTTATAACATCCCTGTTCGATTCCTCCAGCTTAACGACATCCATCAGATTATTTTCTCACCTAGCGCCTCGCAGTATGATCCCTTTTCACTTAATCAGAATAACTGACTCCCATGCCGCTGCCTGGGTTCCCGTCACGTGCATGAGCCTCGTGACTCGAAACGGCCTCGTCTTTCTCATTTCCTACACATAAATACAAGAAAGGCCGGCCAAATCCAAGCCTACCCTCAAAACCCCCCTTTTTTATTAACAATGGCCCCGTTTGCTATGGCAAGCTAAGGCAACAAGAAGGACATGTAAGGGTGTATGATTGGATTGTTTGCAAAGCAGGAGAGCTACTTAACTATCTACAGTGCCCTAATTTCCGAAGTCTACCCGACACTAGCTCATTGCCAAGCCTCAAATTCACTAAATAAAAAGTGTCACAGTAGAGCGGCCACTCATTGCCAAGATTGTAGCAAAATCACAACTAGAGGGGAACTAGGGAACCAGGGAAACCTACTCTAGAACTCGATCACATTTTTCGAAAAATGGCTGGAGAGACTCCTGGCTATGCTTGTATTCCCATGGAAACTTTTAATTTTCTACCTAGTATAACACAGGGGTTAATTCGTAAGTTTTCAGAGTATCTCGAGCTAGTTCTTCATCTGACTATCTACCTTAGAACTTGTTGGAGAACTACAAGCAAAGGTTGGCCATTTCGAAATGAGCCGGCTACAAGGCAACTAAGACGCCTTCCAATCCGGGGATTTTATGCGTAGTAAGTTTCATAACTGATTCCCATTTGTCCCTCTAGCTAATTAGATGTAAAGGATATATAAGCTAGCTTCAAGGAGAGAATGAGAAGCTTCAAGGTATACAAACACTCCCTTATTAACTTTTACAGTTTGATAACTTGAAATAGTTAAGATCGAGGACCTACGAGACGCACTTAGCTAGGCAGAGGAAAATTATACTAGTATGAAGGCGCAGATGGATAGTTTGGAAAGTGAACTTGATCAGGAAACTTTAAACACTAGCAACGAAGACACGGGTAGGAAACGTATGCGTGTAGAATAAGATGGCGGTAAAGCGTGGAAGGTTAACTTTAAGGGATACTAAGTAGCTCGCGAAGCTAGAATGGCCAATAAGAAGCAAAAGTTTCAGGGGTAGTACTACGTAGCACTACATCCTCGCTTAGCTCAAATTCATTCTCTTTTTATAGCCCTCGCAGTATTCGGCTAGCTTATTTTAAGAGGTACGAAGGCACATACCCCATGTAACATCATCGTTAGGTTTAAGGTTGTGGGCGCTGTTAATCATAAGATAAGATATATTTAGGCCAAGACCTACGTTGCAGCGAATCTGGCAACAACAGGGGTGGGCCACAAAAAGAACCTGGCACAAGGAGATTCTGGCAGCGAGAATCCAGTTTTGGCACAAGGGCATTTGGCACAAGGGAATTTGGGAAAACAGCTTCGGGCAAGAAGGGAGTGTGGCACAAGGGGATTTTGGCACAAGGAATTCTGGCACAAGGGGATTCTGGCCACAAGGGGATTCTGGCCACAGGGGTCGATTCTGGCACACAATGATTTTGGCACAAGGGGATTTTTATACAAGGGTATTTTGACCGCGTGAACGGCTGTGATGGAGTTGGTTAGTTGCTACTTTTTTTTTCCAGATGCAAATGCTAGATTAGGTCGTTAGGGAGGCGATAATATTAGATAATACGTGGATGGGTGGATGATATGTTCATTGATGGCTAGAAAATGGTGTCAGTCTTTACCTTTTTCGAGTACTAATGCAACTGTGATATTGATTTTAAAGCAGGCATCGATCATAGGAACAGCGCACTCTCAAAGATTTTACGGCTATGTTCCCTTGACTTCTTACAACACGACCTCGGCAACAAAAGTTTCGTTTCTTTTCGGTTTCCGGCCTCTTCTTTCGGCGATTTCGTTTTCAAGTTCAGCAAAAAGCTCAAAAATATTCGGATGTTTTCTCGCTCTTCAACGACTCAGTAATGGCTAGTACTCTCTTCTTCTTTTCACGACAACATTTTCTACAAAATTCACGCTCAAATCACAATTCTCATTGACTTTCGCAATCTACTTGACGACCTGGGCCCAGTAAGAGGAATCAGACTCTTAGAGTTGTAGGGGAGCGGGAATTTGAAACTGGGAGGGAATTTTTCTCTGTTGGTTTGGGTCAGGTTTATTATTCGAAAGAAGGAGAAGTGAGGAGGACTTTGGAAGCGGCAAGATGGGGCTGGAGTAAAAAAGGGGAAGTGAGCGTTTAAAGGAGAATTCAGAACTCAGAATAGAAAAAGAGTATTCTAGTGCTTCTCTCTTCTCTCTAGATTTACAACCTTTCTCTGCCCTCCTGAGTCAATCATTCTCAATCACTCACTTCGGACCCCAACATCGTCCATCAAACAAGCTCGTTGTGTCTCTTCTAACATGTTTTAAACAAATCCAAATTCGTTCTTTCGAGAATTGAATCAGTCGGAAAAAGCCGAATGTGCCCGAATCGACAATCAGTCCCATCTGTCGAACAACCAATCTTCTACAATCTTTGAACCCCTCTCTCAATTGAGTAATCGAAGACAGTACAATGAGCGAGGAGACCGAACAACCCATGGTGGAGAAACAGCTTCTGGGTGACGCGAACTTGTCGACATGGGAAAGCTCAGAAGTAGGGCTGCAAAGCTGATGACAGTGGCCATTTTCGTCTTTCGTCTTCCCACCCAAAACAAAACCCCTGCTGCCGGGTCGGCCGTGGTTTTCGAAATACGATGTGTGGAAACCACATCTCGTCTTGCCCCAACGAATGAGATTTGGGAGTGGTATGGTAACATTACGTACCGGGAACGACGAACGAAAAGTGACACAATTAGGCCTTCATCGAGCACGACCGGCAAGTCTTGAGCTTGCAGTATTTGCACTCGTAGACGTACAGCGGAATCTACGAACTTAACTTTGGTGGCCCTGTTTCGGTTATATCCGAACGGGTAGCTCCTCATAATCTCTTCATTATAAAGCATTTCGGGATGATCTAGTGGCAAAGAGTCCGTATCCATCACAGGAGCTTCCATTATATGCTCGAGTGTTTTAGCTATGAAGGTTCTTGCTTGCCTCGCATACATCGCAAAATCTCCTCCCTACCCACCGAGCTCGACTTACAGATATAGTAGGACAGGTGAGTCTTCTAAACCCATTCTTGCATTCTTTGCTGATTGAAGGAGATCCTTCAAGGTCTTGCGTACCTTGCTTTGGAAGGCCTGGAACATGGCTCCTTTAGGTTCGCTATCATCAGTGGTTTCAGTGTACTGGCAGTCACTTTTTATCACTGCAATAAATTAAAAACCTAGTGGTTGCCCGAAGTTTTCTCAGCGAACTAACTCTAAGGTTAGCTATTCCTTTCACCTCAGCTAGGGAATCAATTCTTATTCTTTTTGAGCCTGTACTCAACTCAGACAACGGACGAGATCAATATCGCTTGCCTTTTCTAGACACCGCCTTTGTCAAGGCCAGTGGTGTTAGTAGTGTACTGGCAGTAAAATACTGCAGTAAAATCATCACTTTTTATTACTGCATTAAAGTGAATAGTAGATAATTGATTTTAAGGCCGTATTCCCTACTACGTAATAAATACTACCGTATATTGATAGTGCACTTAGATTACGTAATTTCTCAGAATGAAGCTATTCCCAAATTTACTGAAAATCACTTGCAAAAGTCAACACCTCTACATCCTTAAGCGTAATATCCCCCTTAGAATCAGCACGAGCGTTAGAATATATATCAAATTCCTGTTCAAATTAAGACATGCCTACTGAGCTCAAAGGGGAGTCGGCATCCATGGGTGTAGTGGCCCTTCCAAGGATGGGTGATGAGGAGTGCAGGGGTAGTGGGATTAGAAGAGAATACGTGGGAGGACAATTTTAGTGGTAAAGGAGGCAGGTGAAATCGGAAAAAAAAAGATAAATAGGTATTGGTGGTGGTGGTGGAGTGATTCTAGGTTCTTGGCGAGGCGTGGAGGGGTAAAAAAGAGGGGTAAAAAGTGCTACTCTCTAGGAGAAGTAAAAGACGGAAGTGGAAGATGAAGATGAGAGACTTTTAGAGGGAAAAGAAGGTACTTTTATACAACTTTTCAAGCCGAAAAGTGATTACAATCACTGCGCTGAAGTGCTTGAGAGTTTTGGGCTTGTTTTACCTAGGCGTGGTGTAACGTGTGGGATCCGCGATTTGAGGCAAAATTAATTACGAAAAGCGACTTTACTCATAGCGCGATTAAAATTTTATTACTCGATAGAATTTTAAGATTCCTACATCGTTGAAAAGCCCTAGATTAGGGCTATCTTTTAAGCCTATATGCATGGTATTCTAAGTAGAACTCATGCTGCGGTGATTTAATTTCTGGTTTTTCAACTTACTATAGATTTTTCTGGGATTTTTCTCTAAAGATGTGAAGTCAACTAAACTTTTGTCTGAAAAGTCTATTTTCAACTTATAGCTTTAAAGAGTAAATTAAGAGCACTAGAATGCATTAATTAAAGCTATTATAGCTATTAAACTAAGGGTGTAGTTAATATATTTAGTCGTGGTGTTGTTGAAGTTCAACATCTCGCAAGGCCCACTTTTGTTACCTTTACCCGGATCGCATTTCTTAAGCTCAATTTAAGAGCTATTTATATAATTCTTTTTTTAAAATACTTTATTAAGCTAAGGCTATAAACTTTGCTATTAAGCTGCATACATTTAGGGCTGGTTGCTGTGCTATATAGTTGTAAGAATTGCGGCTGGAAATAGAGTGGGGTGGAAATCCGGGGTAAAAAGCTTAAATTTAACATGCTTGGCAATAAAAATACTACACCATATACTGCAATATACGCTTTAATCACTAAGCATGCCAACCGTATACTAATAATACAGTGATTCAGTGCAAACCCTACTTAGTGGGTGTCAATAGTGTATAAATAAATTATTGTAACCCCACTTTATTGCCATACCATTAGTACGTGCACACTACTGACAACGTTGGTCAAGGCCCACGGCATGCTTTTCACAAACAAGGATTTACACAAGTTCAACCCCGCAGTGTGTTTTCCCCCTCCTTTCCTTTATCGGTTACCTCGCTACTTTCTTTTTTAGTTCGCAAAATAGCGAACCATTTCTTTGGGTATGCATTGAGACAGTTTCCACCTAGCTCTAATGCTAGTGTGATTGAACACGCGACAGTTGGCCATCCCTAGAGTAAGCACAATAGTCTCTAACTACAGAAGCTTCAAAGGCAGGATAGGGACTAGCTATGCATCAGCGCCGAAACTCTAAAGCCACGAAATCCTGGGCCTGTATTCTCTGCCCTAAACGTCGAATCTTTGCAGATCCTGATTTTCTATAGCAGCAAGTCCTTGAAGATCACTACTGCAGAGATGTAGCTCCATATCGGAAAGAGTTCGAAGCCGAGTCACTTCTTTGGGTACACCCTTACTTAAAATTATTTCTCATATGTTTTACTAATATAAGGTATTTCTAGAAAATCTCAATCGTCAATCCAAAACCTCATCTCAAAATACTCTGCAACACCTTCAACCTCGAGTTAGTATAGAGAACTATAGGATAGAGACTCGGACTTCCTCTGTCGAACCAACACCCTCGGAGAATCCGCGTGAATTATCTCTACCACCAACTGATACAAAGAGACTTTTTCGGCGCCTAGTGTTGAACAACGAAAAACAACTACATTTTATATACTACGACCTTATATAATAAAGAAGACTCTCTGGATACTACAAGATGCTCCCCTTTCAAGATCCAACATTGATCCCTCTACCTAAGAACGGTCGTCAAGAGGAAACTATTTTGATATCATGCTACAGCCGGAATCTCGACCGATATTACAGGAATAACTAGCTGCCGAAATAAGGGAAATGTATACGGGGCTTGCAGTGGTTGAGGAGAAGTGGATCAAAGTTGATAGCAACCAAGCGGCTCTGGCTCAGTCTCCTAAGGTTTACTTCCTCCTTTTTGAAAGTTTTATTTTCACGTTCTAACCTTCTATCGAACAACAACCAATTACAAGAAGTGATCTTGGTAAGATTGTGGCGGGAGGAGAAGTTGAGACCCTCCTTTCTACGTAGAATTTGTCGGGGTTGCCTTCCGTCCACCGTAAGGGACATTTCCCCTGTTCGTCAAAACTTCCATTTGCCTCATTTTGGTTGGTTATACAGCACGGGCAATTTTGTTTCCGGCTATCTTTCTTATCGCTCCGATTTCGTGATTTTCATGTTTCTTTTGCAGATGCTTGTATGCGAGGATCGCAACCATCTCGAGATTACTTGACGTTACACGACCCACTTAATTTCACCTTTGATATCAAACGCACTCCTCACCTCTTCCCCAACTTCCATCCGCCACCAATTTACACTGTTCTATCCTAATTTCTTCTCATCTAGCCTTCTTTCAATCGATCAAATTGCGACTCCCAAGTCCTACGATCTACTATGTCTAATTCCGGTATAGATATTCACAGTTGTAAATTTTTGGGACTGAATTCTGATTGCCTCTTCTTAGACTCGAAACCTCTTACGGCTTCTCAGCAGGATTTTACGCCATGTTACACCTTTACCGTATTCGACCCCTCCGCATTCGGCTCACACGCATATCTATCCTACTGGGATCCTCGCTATCGACCTTGCCTTCATGGTTACAACCGTGCTAAGGCATGTGGGTTCCTCAAAGAACTTGTCAATCCGGGGCTCCAACTCAAAGCTGGTCTTGACGCGCCCGAACCGCTCCAAGGTTTTCATGTGGACTTTGCAAAGTTCAGGTATCAATTTGAGGAGTCCTTCTCTGTCCCGTTTAATAACGATTATGTCGAGTGCGCAATCGTTTGGTTCCCCCCTACGCCAAATCCGCCCATCCACCTAGGGAACCGCATCACCGATCAGCAGTCCTTGCAAAGTGCCGTTGATATTACTCTCGCATATACCCCGGAGTACAACATTGAAATAATGGTTTACTTCCCTCAAGGTTTGCCCTCAGTTGCGAAACCTGACTGTCAGGCCACCGCTCGCCGCCGAACGTGGTTAAGCAGCCCATGCGGCGATGCTCCAGATGAAGGCATGCCGACTTCATATCCTCGCAACGGTAGAATATTCTCTTGCTCAACTTTGCCTCTCCTCTCGCCGTTCTTCATGGATATCCTTACTCGCCAATCTCAAATCCGGTCACTTACACCCTTTGACTCCTCCTTGGCTCCCCTTTCCGACGCTTCGTCGACGGTCAAGTATGAGTGGGACTCCCAGCTTGGCTTAATTCATGATGACGAGTCTGCTTGTTGTGACAACCTGCACAGCCCTGCCCGCGTCGATCGAGTCGCTTCTCGGTTAGTGATGTTTTTTCTTCCCCCATCTCCAAGTACCCCATTGTACACCTGATAGTATTGCTAACGTCTTCTAGTGATTCCTTGATCTCATCTCATGGTTTGCAGTTCACGGAGGACATCTTACGTCGCGCTCTGGATTTCTTTGATCACAAATCCTCAACTTCTGACGCCGAGCAGGTTGAAGAAGAGAACATTTTGGAAGGGGATGAGGATCTCACGTGTTACGACAATGGTCGAGTGGTTGTGATTCCTGGCCTCAAGGTTAATCTTACCTTGGCAGAAGCCATTACTGTTTACCACTTACTGTGCCAGCAACATTCATCAACTCGGAATTCCCTCATCGCCGCCAGCGAGGGCATGTCCCGACCTCTGGTTGCATTTACGTGCATGGTGGTCCAGCATCGTGTCAATTTGGCTTGGGAGTGGCACTCGGAAAACGCTCTTGGCCATCACCATGGCTTGTCCGGGGTAGGCTGCATTGAGGATGATAGATGCCTTCGGTTATTTGGGTTGCACTGTCCATGCCATCCCCATAGTCCCACGCACTTTGTTAAGCCACGCAACGGCTGTCAAATTGTCCTCCTACCTCCCTTACTTATGGAGTACTGGACCTCCTCGTTTGACCAGTATGTCTCACTCACCGAGTGTCCCTCGCCTGGTAGCTCGGTTGTTTTAGTGGTCGTCACGGACAAGGAAGCCGACCATTCCACTTCGATGTCGCCTCAAGTCTTGCGCAGCTTGCGTCAAAATCTCCGTTCATCCTTTAGACAGGATGGAAAGCTTGTCTATGTATCAACTCGTCAGCCCTCGCTGTGCAGTAATCATTTTATTCTCAGTACAGCTAAGGCGTACCGGGAGTCCTTTCTTCCCCCATTCACGGTTCCGATAGCTCCTTCTGGTGGTTATACTGGTCATACATACGACATTACCATTGCTTCCATATGATTGGCGTATCATTCCGAGGCTCATGGCCTCCATTCTCGTGACATTGACCACGGTGGCCTCCTTTTCCTAAACCGCCACCTCGGTACGTCAGTCAACATCTTTATGGCTTCGCCCGATTACTCCAACTTTCCAGAAATCGTTAGGAATATCGAGTTACTAGCGAGGCTCAAACCCTCTACCTGGGTAGATGTGCCACACCTCGCATTGCGGACCCTGCTTCCCTCCATTGATACGGTTCGCGCTTCCCTGGACGAAGTTCGCGATATTGCAGTCCAGAACGAAACTCATGCCGCCATTGCCTCTCTTGCAGCATCTATCGATGCTCTGCGGGGGGCGTTTCATCGACTCGTCATCTCCCCTCAGTGGTCCCACACTCTTTTGGGTCATCCATTGGTGCCCAAGTCCAACTTGGTTGTCAGGCGCATTCCTTGTGTAGACAACACTAGCACCCTTCGGGTTATTAATGACCAGTTACAGGTATACGTCCGTAATAACCCAACTCCAGACAAGATGCGCATCGCACGCTTCCAACTTTCCCAGGATTTCCAGTCATTATTCGACATGACTGGCTTCGATGGCATCAAAATGTTGCTCTCTTGGGATGAATACCGAACGAAGGTCGCTTCTCGTCAATGGTTTCCATACTCGACTCCCTACCACAAGAATCTCCCGCCCATTGGTTCTGCATCGTCTAAATGGACCATGTTGCGATATCATATTCTCCCCCGCCTTTTTCAGTGCAAAGATTCCTTTGGGTTGCCCAGCCGCGTTGCCATCGTTTCTGAATTTCCGATTGCGTCCATGATTCTTCGTCTGATATGAGTATTCTCTTCTATGTCCGTTGGCTCACTTGTTGATTTTCCTAGTTGATTAGGCTCTACTTCCCAGACGTAAATCTTCGAGTTTTAGAACCCGGCGTTTCTGCTTGCGTGATTACCCGCTATATCGACGATTTCAAGCAGTATGAATATCCTCACAGTCCCACGATTCTCATCTCGCCCGCCAGTTTTTTTCGACCCACAGGCACTTTCCCTCCGGAAATTACCCTCTCGGAATTTTCAGCAGTTATCCTTTTGGAACCCCCGGGAGTTTCCTCGTGCGGCTTCGACATTTTCTCTAGTCTGGTCCGAGATGGCAATATAAATCATCAAGTTGAGGGGATCATCATGTATTGTCCTCAGTCTGTCGGCGAGCGGCCTTCGGACGCCCCGCGGGGCGGCTAATAATCGTTCGACGTGGATTTTATTCTGGTACCTTGTCATGCATGGACAATAAGATGATGGCGTCTAGGGGGTCACGGATATTTTGTAGCATGAATTTTCTTTACGGCAACATGATTGCTTCAATGCATCATTTCTCGTCTAGCTCCCCTTCTTGTGATGTAGCGAAAGCCTCAATGTAATTTATTTTCAACTGAGATATCCATGCTGAAGGCCTCACTATCTTATTATGGATAGTAGGAATTTTACATTGGATTCCCCTCGTCGCTTTGTCTTAGTTCATGTTGGGTTGGTGTAATTTTTGTCCATAATCAGGTAATATTTCGCCGTAGGACCTGTGGTGTCAATTTGGGATTTTCTTAGTACTTGGACCAGTTATAAAACTTTGCCCATAGGGTTCTAGTTTCAAATAGTAGAGGCAGAGTAAACTTATTTTCTGTGCTGTCTCGCTATTTTTACTACTCACTTGTGTAGAGCAGAAATACTTGGCTCTGGCCACATTAGTAATTGAAGAGCTTTCGCCATCTATTCTTACAACAACTTCGAACTATTATTCTCAATGTGGAAAACAATATACCCTTGTCACTGAAAGTGGAAGCCATATAATTGACAAAGTGTGAGAGAGTGGGAGGTACATCAATGACTGTACGGGTTCAAAGAAAAGATTGTCTGCAAAGCTCCAAAGAGTTCCGAAAGAACAAAGCTATTTAACAGATTTCACATCTCCACATTCCATATTTCAATACATTTCACATTTCACATTCTATGTTCTATATGTCCACATTTCGCAATCTATCACAATTTCATTATGCTTATCAATTCGCTTGATCTGTATTCATCACACCAATATGACGGAAATGTGTTGAGAATACAGATTTGCTATATAACTCTGTCCCTTTAGAAGTACTTTTAGCTTTGTAGTTCTTGTATTTCATCCAACTTTGCTGTCTTGAACATACACACTCACAGATTACTCCGATGTAAGTAGTACTGGAGGATACCCGTGCTTTCCTTCGGTGCGGAAAGACTCTGCGACTCTTTTCTCTAGCCTAGAGATTGCAGCGGACTTGTTGGTAGGAAAAGAAAGTTTAAGGTTTGAATATTTTCCACAAAGGTCCCGGAAGAGAGTAATTTTCGACCAGCCGCCCTTTTTTAGAATAAAGTTTGGGAAACTAGCATCGCCTAATACTTTAGCTTTCTGACTAAGGAAAAAGATTAGTAATTAGAATAAGAAAACAATCAGAACTGTGTTATATATAGTAAGATTACAGAAAGTAAAGGCTATAAGGTGATTGCTCCAAATAGAACTTATTACTTAAACATGATACACTTACGCATTCTAATAAGGCTCTCGTAGTGATTTCCCTTACTATATTCCCAATATTTTTGCGTAGTAGCGAAATGAATAGTTCGACGTGACAAAACTCTTTCTTGTGACACCCAGCTCCGTTTGTTTAGTGCCCTTTCACCTACATCGCGATTAAAATTATCATTACTCTCCCGAATATAGACTGGTCGATTCGCTAGGAACCTACACATAATCTATTGGTAGCCGTGAGTTAAGGAAGCCTTGGGTAGAATCTTCAGCGGAGATAGCAGCAATTGTACAATAGACTAAGCTAAAAACTTTTTCCATATTCTGAGATTCTTTTTCCTAGTCGTTATCGTCACTATACTCTTAAGGGCAATTTTCGTGACGCTGGACAATACAAATTGAGTCAATCCAAAGGAATCGTAAACCAAAGTAACAGTGACAGTATCTTGAAATATCTTCGGTAGTTTTGCGAAGTTAATACTCCTATATAGAGACTTAATGTTACAGCCAAACGTGCAGAATTTTTCGTTCGCTTCTAGCTGGCCCCAGCAATGAGACAAGGCAATATACCCTCCACGTTCATTTTCTTTAATATTATAAAGATGGAGGGAACCCGGGCTCTCCTGGTCTCCAACATCAAGGATTCTGGTCGGTAGTAAACCATCGGATCCTCGATAACACGCATAGTATTTGTCGCAAACTCAAAGCTAGTCGCAAAGCAGCTGGAAATAGATCTCCCTACCTACTTCGGATAGTAATGGAATCCAATCTCTAGATCCTTAAAATTCGTTACGTGTTCTAAAAGGAAAGAGATAAGCTATTTTGTAGCAGAATAGTTGCCTGTTCCCTTATTGTTTTACATACCTTGACTAGTGCAAATTCTAAGGATAGCGAGATGATTTTCTCGATGAGTTTAATTATTTGGTTAATTGGGTCAATCAGGTCAATTATTTGGTCGATTTGGTTGATTTGGTCAATTTGGTCGATTTGGTCGATTTGGTCGATTTGGTCAATTTGGGCAATTTGGGCAATTTGGTCGATTTGGTTGATTTGGTCAATTAGGTCAATATAGACTAAGACACACCGCCACAAGGTCACTTCAAGATTACTTACATAACTACAACAAGTATTATCCATATATCCCACTACTACTCCCTCGAGGATTGCTCTCGGGGTATTAAGTCTCCATTCAAATGTTGACCGATATATGGGAACGAAATACTCTACCCCTTCCTCAATAACATTATTGTTCCAACAAAAGCCACCGGACTAGTGGTAAAGGGATATAATTGCATTGCCGAAGAATCCGACGCAGCTCGCCAATCCTGACTCGTGAACCCTATGTCACGAACCCAGGCTTTATATGTGATATACCAGCTTCACTCAAATTGGAAATCTCTAATAGTGAAAAGAGAAGAACCGCCTCTAGAATAAGCGAGTTTTCCGTAGTTCACTACATGAAAATAGGGAACAAATTACCCAACTTAGCATTAGGGCAGTGTTACTATTCCTTCCATTTTGGCTATACATCCTAGCAAAAAACCGGGTGCTAAGAATGCTCTCTACTGCCTAGCCGCCTGTAAAGAAAAAGATCCGCCAATTATATAGCTGGAAAGCTCCCTTGTTCTGATTCGAGGGACAAACCGTAGTATCTTTATCGAACAATGCTACTATCATCATGATTTCTAAGACCAAAAATCAGCTCTCGGAGATGATGTTTGCCTCAATTTGTGTTAAATCGAACTGTGATTAGCTGTCCGCAACGTTGATGACAAGGGAAGTATTCAGTTTTAAATATTAAAGCCGAAGCTGTCGTGGGTCTAGCAAACTATTAATACAGTGTAAGAGGGAAACGGGCCAGAGCCGAGCATAATACATGCTGCTGAGACATGCGTAGCCTTCTCGGAATAATAAGCAAGAACTTTTACTAGTTAATTTTTGTTCAATTTACTCCTAGAAACGAGGAAAGGACACCGAAGATAGTAGTTCAGTCCGGGAAGGGGTGACTTGTGAGTGGGTTCAATTAAGCGAGCAAGCGGAGCAAAAAGTGGCCTCTTCACTATATTTGTTATACGATTTGCAATTCAGCCATTAGACAATTCCTAAATTCAAAGAGTTCATGAGAAAAGAAGGCTAAAATTTCCAACTACAGTATTATTTAATAGATGACCTAGAAAACTACCGCGATTTCCATTCTTCTGACACCACTTCATTACGGGCAACCCAGGCCACTATGTCTTCCTTTGACTCGAGGAACTCATTTTCCCGCCGTATAACCTCCTTCCTCTCTTCTTCAATCTCTGCGAGAAACCTCGCCTTCCTTTTCTCTATAGCAACTAAGTCTGCTTTACAATCATGAAGGTTCTTTTCCACCCTTGCTAAACTTCGACTGTTGTGATCTATCTCATCCCCAAAGTGCTTTCTTACCGTGGTCGTAGTCTTTCGCGTAGGTTGCCGACGTTTGCTTAGAGCAGTTGAATTACTAGAACCTGCAGAGCGCTTTCTCTTCTTGGGGTTGAGATTCTCATTAGATGTAGAGCGTGAGTTCGTCTCGGTGCTGATGGGTGGATCAGAATCTGTCATCCATTGTTAGTCTAGCCAAGATCAGATATAAATGGACACTTACCTATGCTTGAAGGGGATAGGAGCCCGGATTTTAGCGTACCGGGAGGTGTAACATGCTTATCATTGCTGTCCGCTCCAGTAAGATCAATGACCGTCTGCTGTGGGGTGGGCTTGGATTGAGCTTGCGTAGTCGAGAGGGTAGCAGGCTTACTCCAACTTGTAAGCAAGCGGTTCACTCGTTCCTCGATTTGAAGCTTGTGATCACTTGGGATGTTCTCGAGCGTTTTGATTTTTCTCAGCAACCTTCTGATCTTGGTATCCCGAATGATACTAAGTGGTATGGTTCCGGCTTTCTCAATTCGACCCAGGTCAGAGAAAATCTCAACCATCCTCTCTTCCGTTAACTCCTGGTTCGCAGGAAAAACCTCTCCCTTCAGCTTTTGCTCTAGCGAAAGAATGTGCTCCTGATATACAGTTAGTATCAATGTGCCACAGTCTGTTATGAGATCATACCTGTAGAGTCTGCACCGTAGCTGTCGATGATTCTACATTGACGCTTGTATGATGTTCCGGATTTTCTGGGGCCGAAATATCCAAAGGTTTCGCGGTAATCGAGACAATATCATCACCTGCAAGACCGGAGCTCCCCACTAGAAGGGATTCTTGTCTTCCTCCTGTGGACTGAATTCTTGGACCAAGGCCCTCGAAACTCGGTTCGGGCCCAAAAAAAGAGTCAATGACTGCAAAAGCTGATGAATTCGATAAACCCGGGTCTAGAGAAGTTTGAGAACCCCAGTTGAGAGGAGTTGATGAGTCCGAGTCTGAGGGCCAATCGAGCTCTATGTTTGGCCCATCGGTCACTGGAGACTGGGTTGGTGGTGTCATGCTGGTGGGAGACGTTGGTGGTGTTATGCTGGTGGGAGACATTGGTGGTGTCATGCTGGTCGGAGACATTGGGGGTAAAGATTGTCTGATGGGAAAAAAATTTAAGGACGATGAATATGTCCTGACAACTGGGAGGAAGCTGCCTTCTTATACCCCTCTTCTCAAGGGATTGTGGATCTCGGGTACGGGAGTAAAACTGCCCCTTGTGATGCTGATTGAGGCAGTGTGTATCTGGACCACCTTGTTAGCCATGTATGGCTTACGGTAAAGCTAGCCGTCAGAAATAACTGGGGACGTTCGGGTTATGGGTACAGATTGAGTCACGTAATGCTCTTAGTATGCTTCAGTACCCCTCTTGTATGAGGATATGTGGGATATCTACAGCTCGCGGATCACCCCCGATATGATTTATCCAAAGGTAACCACTCGTAACCAGTAAGGGGGAGCCTTTCTACAATGTGATTGGTGAAAAGCTTTCTATGGGGGCCGTTGGGTGGCTATGGAGGGCATTCTCAAGCCGAATCTCTCCACCAGCATGCATTTGGAGGCAGCAATGACTTTTCAGCAGAGATTCTAGTCAATGATAATCATTATCGAGCAAGCTCAATATGGATAAGGACCGTCACACATCATAGACACGCAGAACCTTCTTGACAGTGCCAAAAGGTTAATCAGGACGATAGAATTTCCCCTCTTCAACTACGAAGAGTCAGCTTGTTAGACACTAGAAGGGCTAGTTATTTATCAGGCAACATCAATGAACCTTTCGGAGATGAGGGCCTTCCTTTTCAGCCAACGAAAATCTTCAAATTGTATCAGCAGTAGAGAGTCTTTCCCTTGGTCGCGACCAAATAAGCGATTTCGCATCCCCCGCTAGGAACTTGCCGCACTCAAAGGCCCTGCCATCGATTACACCCTAAGCCTACTTTGATGAGTTCTTCTGCTTGTGGCAAGTGATCAGGCAACCCTAGCTCTCTGGCTGCTACCAGGAAGAGCATACTCTCCTCGGCGTTGCTCACCAACCATGGTTAGTTTCAGGGCAGAGATCCTTGATCGAGAGCTGATGTGCTTGTCGATGCAATGTGATAGAGGTGCAGCGGGACACATTCCGTGAAGAAGAATGATAACAGAGGATCAGAAAAATCGCTTTGGGCCCCGCTATTTTCCCCTCCCCCTTTCTTATCTCGCTTAAATATCCGCGTTGGGGGCTGTTTTCCTTTCCATGCCAGGTATCAAGGGCAGACTCTGAATGGACCCGAATTCTGCCTTGCTAAAGAGTGGAACCGGGAAATAGAAGGCGTAGATGTGCATACACGAGACGATCAGCTGCTTGCTCTGAACCTTCGTGAGGACGGGAATGCCTTGAAATCTTACCTATATAAGAGGGGGTCGCTTGAGTTTGGAAGGAACGAGACTCTCATCTTAACACCCTCTGTCCGTTCTTGTCTCTATAACCTCATTTCGTTATACTCTGTCGGAAACTTTCACAATGTCGAAAACTTCTCCAGCTACATACCCAATCGCGGCGAATTCCTTTTCCCCCGCCACCTGCAACTATATTTTCCCCGCTCTCTACGACTACGGGTCAGCTTATGGAATCACGGTTGAAATCGATAGAGCGATTATTGGTCTAGCCCATGAGACGATTCTGAAATCTTGTTACGAGATTCAGTCCCGCCTGGACAAGAGACTAAACCACCTCTCTCACATGTTACCTCTTTGGGAATCGTCAAGGATTTTCAAAAGAAAATCCTCATCCCATAGAGATCGCCGGCTCGACCCAAAGTTGACGATCCTGAACCTGAAGAGCTTCTCCGGAAAACTTATTTGCAACATTACCTCTACCCCCCTTCACTGTGCCCTACTCATCGCCGAGATACACCACATTAACACAGAACGGGAGAGAGCCGAACACAGGATTTTTGAGGATCTTTTGGACAGCCTAGAACAAGCCACGCATTCTGTATTTTCGATGCTTGTAAAGCTGTACCGCGAGACACAGGACTCATTGAGATTTCAGATATCATCTCCTTATGGATTTGGAGTCTTGCTGGCATTGGGGATGCTTTTTGAGGCCTACGGATCCCGGCTGGCGCCAGCGAACACTTTGTACCTTGTCTCTGGCCACGTACTGGAGAGAGAACACTGCTCTGGGCTCGCTCTTACACATTTCAATAAGGTCTGTAAGCTCAGGAAATACGTCTTATCAGTATTGGAACCATCACCCGAGGGGGTCGGCGCGGAGATTCAAATTTGGGAGCACTTACTTGAAGGAGTTTTGACGGCGTTGAACTCTTTCCCATGTATCGCCAGATACGACGATAACCATTCCCACTGGTTAGGCTTAATTAGTGTACTACACAACGAGGCAAATTCCTTACCAGAGGTCATGGGGACTGCAAGGTTTTGGCGTCTGCTCGACAGACTTTGAAGCAGAGATTGGCATGTATTTATTTCAGTTTTTGAAGGATCACTTGAGAATAGCAAACCCAGATAGATAACAAGAATTGTGTTTCTACGGACATTAATAAGCTGTTTTCTCTAGTCATAATATGTCGATAGATTTAAACCTACTTAAGTAATTCAAAAATGTTTCTTGAAATATTTGAACAACCAAGTTCCCTTGTATATTTCGCCATAACTATGCTTATAGTATTGAAAATATTGAAAAGATGTCATTTAAAAGCGCTAAACCGCGCTATAAGCTCACACTCTACGTAATTTAAAACTCTTTGACTCCGGCTCTACTCTATTTCAAATAATATGGACATTGAGGTAACTCTTCTATACCGTTTTCTGCTTTCTCCCTCTGTCTAACACTGAAATATTTTGTTCTCCTACCTATCAGCCTAAGTAGATCTAGTTAGAAGAGGTTAGCGACTACTTATTCAAAGACAAAAAAGTATATTTAGATTTCTATGTATTAATAGCCCCATTGACCAGCTATCGATATTTTGAGGCTACTGGGTACGACATTTCTTGCTAAAAAGATCTGGTGGTTGCTGGTCTTTCGGGGTTGGTTTGGAGGTATCGATCAGTGGGCCTTTTCCTCGACCGCAATTCCCTTTAGTGATGAAGCGATTTTGACAGGGCTTTAAATAGTTAAGGAAAGAGAGGGTCAACATCCCCTTCTTGTTTTGGAATTAACTTATTAGGTTTCTAAGGGAGACTTCCTAAATGTGTGTTGTTTTATTACTTTAATTCATTTTTCGGGCGCACTTTTCTCAGCATAGAATTAAAATAGTTTCAATAGATCAACTGCCCAACTCCCATTGGCAGCACAAAATGATCACTTTCCTTGGGTCGTGAAAGACCTAATAAAATTAAAGATAATCGATTTGCAATTTCGTTCTTTGGAGTTTCGATCGAATTCCCCATACCCTACTCCCCGGATTTTGGAAATCAACACGAACAGCCTTACAACGCATCCTACACAATTACTTTCAGCTTAGTATTCTACCCTAACAAGTCACTTTCCTCCCTACAGACCTCTACCACTCAACTCAAGAAGATTACCGCACCATCAGACTCCTCCGTACTGTCTTCGATCTTTGGCATCCATGTTAGTTTAATAGCAACAGACCACATTGCTTCAATCTAGAGTAATTTAATCGATCGTCCTACATCCCAATTGAGAATACAGACAGGTCCTCCTTCTCTCCCTCCAAGTCCTATACAGGAAATCGTCCTCAGCCTTATGGCTCTGGTGGCGTCCAGATTCATACAAGATCGTTACGCGGATTAAGACTTTGCATAATGTAACGTAAGTCATCACGTAATGCGTCTAATCACGTAATGCGTCTAATTGCGGGGTACCACCCAACCAAAACCAAATTTATTCAACAATGGTACGCCGAAAAAGCCAGACTGCAGCTGAAGTCGATGCTCTAGTTGATGAAGCAGTATTAGGAGTTCAGTCTCAGTTATATAAATCTCCATACGAAGCTGCGAAGAAGCTAGGGGTATCTAAGGATACTGTGACGCGTCGCGTCAATGGAGGCTTATCACGTTCTCAAGCGCGCCAGCAACAACAGAAACTTTCATCCGTACAAGAGAATGTTCTTCTTAAGTGGATTAAAGAGTTGACAATCAGTAGTTATTCACCAGGGCATCGGTTGTTAAAGGAGATAGCAGAAGAGATCCGTACAAAACGAACCTACAATTTAGACAACCCCTCACTTGACTCGCTCAACCTCCCACCACAATACACCCTAGGCAAAAACTGGGTTCCACGATTTATCCAACGACATCCACATCTCACAGTTGCTATTAGGCGTCGAATTGAGTCTGTACGAATCGATGGTGCTACAAAAGAAGTCCTAGAGGCGTGGTTTAATGCATATAAAAAGGTGGTCCAGGAGGAAAGAATCCAGCAGGAGAATATATAAAATATGGATGAGTCTGGATTCTCGATTAGGACAATAGAATCAACTCGGATTATTATCGATTCTACACTTCGTACAAAGCATCAGGCTCATCCCGGTCGTCAAGAATGGGTTTCAATGGTTGAATGTATTTGCGCAGATGGGAATATTCTTCCGCCGCTAGGGATATTCAAAGGGAAGAACGTTCTTCAGAATTAGATACCAGACAGCGTCCTTGAGAAGTGGTTTTTCTCAGTAAATACAAAGGGGTAGACAAGCAATCTTCATGGTTTAGAGTGGTTAAGACGTGTTTTTGAACCTACGACCCGCGCAAAAGCAAATAGCAAATACCGTCTTCTTATATGCGATGGCCACGACTCTCATATTAGTGGAAGCTTTATAGCTCACTGCCTTCAAAATCGAATTATACTTCTTATCCTTCCACCTCATACATCACATCTACTTCAACCACTTAATGTTGCAATTTTCGGCCCATTAAAAAAGCGACTAACAGCAGCGCTTTCTCACCTTAACGAAGCACAACTTGTACGAATACAAAAATTTGAATGGGTAGAGGCCTATATCCAAGCACGATTAGATGTATGCAACCAAAAGAATATTAAATCCGCATAGCGTGGCGCTGGTTTGGTTCCGTTCAACTCACAAAGAGCGCTTCGTACCATGGCCCCAGAGACAACCCCCGAGGTTGAAAGACCAAAAACACCTACCCAATTCGATATCTTCAATCAAGTCTTTATAAATAGTTCACCTCCAGACGATTTAACCTTACGGACAGCAAATAAGCTTCTTAACTCGACTATTAACAGTCGCATAATGCCCTCAACACCAGTCCGCCAATATATTCAAAAATTAACAACTGGAACTGAGCAACTTCGAGCGCGAAGTATTATCCACCAACACGACGCAAACAACCTTCGATCGATTGTAAAGAAACGTAAAACTCGTACAAAAGGAAAGAGGGTCGTTTTAAAAGGTCACTTCCATATTTCTACGCAAAAATTACATGACGTAGTAGTAGAAGCTGAAAATGCTACAAAAAAGCGGGCATGTAAAAAGGCAAGAAAAAAGGGCAAGACAAAGTTGAATACAACTAAGAGTGAAGAAGATATTGAAGAAGAAACTAGAGATGAATCTGAAAGCGAAATTAGGGATTGTATTATAGTTGATTGTTGAATGAATTTGGTTTTAGTTGGGTGGTACCCCGCAATTAGACGCATTACGTGATTAGACGCATTACGTGATGACTTACGTTGACTAACAATATTTGGGTTAGCGAAACGACCCCGCACGTCCGAAAATATTTATGCCGTAATCTCAGCTTAAAGCCTAAGGCCAACAGTGGCAGGATATCTGTGGCGCTGTTTGCGCCACACCTACTCTCACCCCCTTCAATCAACGCTCTGGCATCGCCTCCTTCTTCACCAGCATAAAGGCCAATCTCAACCTACCACCTCTTTCAGCTAGCACAGTCACCCGGACCAAGGTTGGTAAATGATGGTCCCCTGCCAATATCGAACTAAATAGTAAAAGGAGATGGCAAATCGAATTCCACAACACCCTTCGGTGACGGACTCGTTCCACCAATTTTCCAAACTAGTGGATGAAGTACGCCTCATGATATGGGAATTCACGTGGCCAACTTCGAGGGTCATTGAAGCTGCATTGTTTAATAATCCGGAAGGTCAAGAGGAGGAATCGATAGAGCCTTTCGAGATCGTAAATCTTCGGCTTGCGGGGAGCCTATCTACAATGCTCCGGCAAGAAATAGGGTGTCGGGTTGTAGAAGAAGGCCCTATGGAACAGTGCCCTGACCCAGTTGCACTGCGAATCTGCCATCAATCTCGAATGCACACTCTAAAGCGATATCGTCTCATGCCATCACTGGCGCGCCCATTCTACTACCACCCTCGGCGCGATATCCTCTTGCTCACCGTTGATGTTGCAGATGACTATCCTATGCACATGCCCGTCCTACAGCGTTATCACGGAACAGAGCTTAATTATCTTGAGACCATTCTAGTGTCGGATGGTGCGTGGCCAGAGACAGAAGCGGAGAAAAGACTCCAAATGAGATACGCACTAGATTATATCTCTCATCTTGGCGGCCTCCAAACAATCCAAGTGTTACTAGGTAGTGAAGAGTCAAGGGACTTGGATGGCGAGGGAAAGGAGGTGGGCCTTCTCGCTCATGCCGAGCGTCTCAGAAGCAATTTCCCAGCTATAATTGAAAATGAAAGGTGCACAGCAAAAAATATCCAGCTGATGGATTCCAACGGGAAAGTGTATTGATAATTCTAGGTAGCGTTGGTCTTTCGTATCTTTGAATTTGAAATTGGATGGGGAATTGTTGGCGTATTATTGTGGTGTATTTGATTTATCCTGCAGGCGGGAGGCATGTTAAGGGGTACATCAATCAGAGATGGTATAAAATAAATGGATTTCTATTTATATGGATTACTATTCTACTAATACGGAAAGAAATCTTCTCACAGATCGCCTATCCCTTCGCATCCACGAGAAATAGGTATTGTATGCGATCCTTTGCTCCGCAGGTCGTGAACGCTAGCATACAGTACTATTGTCCTTGCTAGTTCTCAACATGTAAATAGATATGGTGACTCGGTCGCGCTCGAAGAAAGCGCTTCATCCGTCAAAAATGAGGTGTAGTCTACCTCATCCGAGTAGTCAAACAAGTCTTTTATCGCCTGCGATACCCACTTATAAGACATCATATCGTTCTCAGACAACAGCTCAAGCTTTAATTTCATGTTTGGTGGGCGCTGTTCTTCAACCACGTGCAACAAGAAAGTTGTTAGATCTTGAATGTTAGACTTCAAATCTGGGTAGACATGGTGTATATACGTTATAATGGCATCTTCTTGCCGTAAGGTAAGTGCTCGAAGTCTATAATGATCAAATCAGCTGTTCAATGGAAGGTGGGCCTGCTCTTTGCAACTTACATCTCATTCGACAGGTCCCGCGGTATGAGGAGGAGGATACCTGCCCCAAAAGATTCTACTAGTTTTGCGCATATCCTTCCTAATGCCATCCAATTTTCGAACCTTTTCTTGGCATTTTGACGTGTACTCGTTTCCCCTTGTAACTGAGGGAGGAGCAAATCAATAAAGATATCATTTAGAGACTTTTTGGCGACTATGATACCGTTAATTGATTTTCGCCTCTTCCTCTGGCGTGGAAGTTGCCTTCGAATCACGGTCTCCTGCCTGTAAAGGGTATAGATATTGGCCAGATATAATCGACGAGGGAGCTCTGGGAAGTAAGAACAATCAGAAGAGAGCGCATTGAACGCCAGCTGGTATATGGACAATAGCTTCTCTATCCTACCCTCGGAATGAGAGCGCCACGAGCGTCAACGATGGATGCAAAGATGCTAAGGAGCCAACTTCGAGCCGGCGAGATCTTCCGTGCTTTCAACGACAGTGAGCGGGAGGACATATGGAGCAGACTACAGATGATAGAGGGCTTGATTCCATCCTTTTATACGCTCTTTAGGGACGTCCAATATTTGGAGCATTGCGTGAACTGCGTGAAAAGGCTAACGGCATTGTCCCCACAGCAGACTCTTTCCACTTCCATGAAAGGAAGGTTTACTGGTGTCAACCAGAGACAGGGCCAATTGAAAGTGCAAGTCGCCGAAGACAAGTTTATATACAAGCATGGCACTCCTCAAGACCAGGTCGACTTTGGGTATCGACAGATACACGCCTTTGCCATGCGAAATTGGCCCAACATGCCTAAAGAACCCGGAACAGAGGACCCACAGATGAAAACTCCAATCAAAGCGGATCTGGATACCCTACGCCGTTTCGCTGATCTCGCAGCCGAATTGGGGTTCAAGTCTGACCAGATCACTAACTTGCAGCAGCATCCAGAGAGTGGGAATGCGCCAACAGAACACCCACAATCGAGACCCATCCTTGTCACGTCTGGGAAAGGCGTTCCCGTCAAGAAAAGGTGTTGGAAGCCGAGCACTCGCGAATTCAAGGAGGACCAACAATTCTTGTTCATCAATCATCTACATGATGAGCGACAAGAGCAAGGAAGCAGTGTCACATCCCTCTTTGTCCGGAAATCAGTGTACTTGGCATTCTTCGGTAAACCGTCCGCAACACATGATATCGGCCAGACAGATGACCCCCCTCAGAGCGTAGGCGGTTCGCCACAAGCCTCGGGAATACATGAGTCCACCTTCTCACCAAACGACAACACAAGGCAGTCTGAGCGATCAACAGAGCATTCGGGGGAGAATTACGATGGTATATTGACACTCTACCAGCAAAGAGAGGCTAGAAGTGAACAGAGCGCACGTTCGAATATCACGGAAGAAGAGGCTACGGAACCATCAGAGGGAACTGTGGACGTGGACAGTATGCAAGACTGGCTGGAAGAGCAGGAGCGTGAGAGGAAAGAGCAAGAGAGACTGGAGCTAAGGAGGCTAGAAGAGACATTAGAGCGGGATGACTTGAACGAAAGATTCACACAAGGGCTACAAGCGCAAGAAAACCTAGAGCAAGAGAAGGAACGTGAACAGGAACAGAAAAAGCGAGAGCACGAAAGACAGGAGGAAGAGTCTCGGCGGCAAGAGACTAGGCAACAACAGAGACGAGAAGAGGAAGCTCGGTTACGGGAGAGGACACTCAAGGACTCCGAGCGGAAGAAGAATCGGCACACACAATTTGATTTGGAGAATTTGGAGCAGGGCAGACGAGATCAGGAGAGACTAGAGCAGGAGAGACGGGATCAAGAGAGGCGGGATCAAGAGAGTCTTGATCAAGAGAGGCGAGAGAAGGAGAGACGGGATCAAGAGAGGCGAGAGCAGGAGAGACTTCACCAAGAGAGTCGGGAGCAGGAGAGACAGGATCAAGAGAAACTTGATCAAGAGAGGCGTGACCAAGAGAGCCGGCAACAAGAGAGCCGGCAACAAGAGCAAGAACAAGCCGGTAATCAGGAGATTAGAGGCTCAGAGTTGCAAACAATAATTGAGAGACAGGTAACGTACATTGTCCAACCTTCATTTTAACATGCTTACCTCTACAGGAGGCAACTTCGCTGCCTCACGACTCACCGGGCCTTATCCGTCTTACGTACTGGATTTGGGAAAGAGGTGATTGGCGAGCATCTCAAATTATGGATGTAGATTCCTCAGACCCATCTGAAGTCAAGCGATTGGCGGTAAAGTATATGAGAAAGCGGATAAGGCTATTTGACACTGATTTCAATATACTGACTCCTGCCGATTGCTTTGACGCAGTGACCGCTGGTGGAAAAAACACTATCCTGCTTATTCCGGAGGGTGAGATTGACATTAGTGAGGAACTTGAGGCTTCTGCCCAGTGTGGGCAATAGTATTATCGTGGTAAAATACTGCAGTATTTTCCAAAAATATATTATCGGAATATTCCAGTAGTACGTATCCAAATACGCGATAATACTATCGTATTATCGCAATATCATATGGTATATCTTTTAATGACTAATACACTGAAATACTCCACTTTTCTTAAAAATGAAGCTATTCACACTTTGCATATATACTCTCTCGTCACCCCAAAGATGCACAACAACAACACTAAATATAGATAAAGGAATTAATGGAAATTATTGTAGTTAAGGAAATAGGGGTGCTGTACATGCTTGGGTTGTGGTGTAGCCGGTGATAATGTTACAACACTATCGCGACCACACCTACACCAAAAAGGCTCTAATAATTATAAGACTTGAATGTAAGATAATTTAGTATATAATTAACCTTTTTGCATACTTAAATTATTTTTAAAGGGCGTGGTTGTTAAGCAACTTTAGTGACATAAGCTTTTTAAGAGAAAAAGAGAGCCTTTAATACTTGTTTTTCGGACTTTCGGACTCCTACTTTTACTATATGTTATCTGCTTTAAAACCTTAATTATATTGCCGGCGTCGTGGACATCGCGATGTAAACCTTAATTAATCGCGAATTGCTCACCGCACTTACAGCGCGATTAAAAAATGACTACTCGATAGAATCTACTTATTTTAACTTTCCTGAAATGCCCTAGCTTAGGGCTTCAAAATGAGCCTACATAGGCACTTTTCTGATAAGATTTCACTGTGAAGGAATGTAATTTAATAAATTCAAACTTCTTTTCTAATTTTATATAACAATTTTAGCTAAAATAATAACTGAACGATGTTTTTTAAACTAGAGTTGTTGGTTTTTATACTAAATTAAAGAGCAAAATTTAACAAGCTCAGTTTACTAGTTACTTTTATTATAGCTACTTATATAAGGTCGTCGTCGTCGAATTTACCCTTGGTGTTGTTAATTCTCAGCATCTCGCACGGTCCATTTTCAGCACTTTAGGCTCATAGGTGGCTGCTGAGCTCAATTTAATAGCTATTTACATGAATCCTTTTTTAAAATAATCTATCTAGTTAGTTCTAACGCCCTAGATACTAAGCTACACATTTAACTGGCCAGTTGTTGTGGTATATAGTGCCAAAGGCTGAGGCTGAAAAAGAAATAGGCCAAAATCCGGGGTAAAACTCTAATTTTGAGCCTCAATTCAACATCACGATATTATCGTGATATCGATTAAAATACCAACAATATTCACGATATTATTGTTGGGTATCGTGGTATTTAAAGCGTACAAATAGTGCGTATTTAAGTGGGTTTCAACAATATTATCGTGGTGGTACAATATTCCAAATACTATTGCCCACACTGCTTCTGCCTCTAAATTAGATTCCCAAGGAGGCTTTATCGTGAAGCAAGGTCCGACGAAGCGAGGTCGTCGTTGAAACTGAGATAGCACATTTTACTAAAGCTCTTAAAGCACGAACGGACAAGTCTATGAAAATCTAGTAAACCGTCGAAATTGACGTGGCCTAATTAGGCTTGGAACCAAATGAAAAGCTGAAAAGTACAACGCTTAAATAAGTATAAGCTAAATATAGCGTCGCTTTCTTAGGCTTAGACCGAATGAAAAGCCGAAATGCGCAACGCTTAAATAAGCACGAGCTTAATTAGGCCTGGACTGAAATAAAACGCTGAAAAGTATAACAATTAAATGAGGATGATTTAGATACAGCATCTCTTAATTAATCTTAGACTCGAATGGAAAGCTTAATTAAGCGACACCAAGAAGGGCAAGATCACCCTTCCGGAGTGCAGGAGTTCATGGAGTATAAATTATTTTGGTGGCCATAGCAGGGTAATTCATTGTAGTTCAAAAGCAGTAAACAAAGCAACAAATCCAATATCAAACCTACTCCTGAATCGCTTAGCTAGTCTAAGAATCCCCATTTGCTACAAGTTCCAAGGTGTTGAACCTCAGATGGTGGTGCCTGCCCTGTCAGAGCTTAAGAGAACGAAGGCGGTGCGAAAGGACGCGGCGAGACTGATATAAGAAGGAAGAAGCGTAGAATTGGCCAAACAATGCCTTTGGAAGGGTTCTTCCATCAGGCTAGCGGCTTCTTCGACATGTAAATCTGATTGTTTCTTTTGTGTGTAAATTGACCATTTCGTGCCTTCCACTGGGATGCTGTTGTGGATACCTTCGTCCCCTTTGCATCAGTAAAACTATACTCGGTCGGATTCATTCCACGCTTTTTTTTTGTCACATCCACCATGATTATGGACGTGGAGTCTGATGATCCACTCGGAATGTCGCTTCCAATGCCTCCACCAACACCTTCAACCACTGGACTGACGTCTCCATAGCTTCCACTGTCTTCTCCCATGTTTCTGCTGTCATCCTCATATCTTCCACTGGCACCCCCACTAGCACCCCCCATACCTCCGCTGGCACCCCCATAGCTTCCGCCGACTCCCATACTAGCACCTCCTGTCATTTGCGCAGATATTTGGTAGCTTGGTTGGCCTCCTGTCATTTGCGTGGGTGTTTGGTAGCTTGGCTGGCCGACTCTCATTTGCGTGGGTGTTTGGTAGCTTGGCTGGCCGACTCTCATTTGCGTGGGTGTTTGGTAGATTGGCTGGCCGGCTCTCATTTGTGTTGGTGTTTGGTAGCTTGGCTGACCTCCTGCCACTTGCGCCGGTGTTATTGCAATCTTCTTCACCAATTGAAAAAATGTGAAAATCTCTTCAGCATCGTGGGGCTCCCCAGGGTCTTTATAAGAACCCTCATCCGCGGTTACAGAGTTACCCCACGCGTGATGTAAAGTAGTATATCGCCCATCGAACTCAGCCTTCCAGGCCCGAATCTTTGCTCCATAGGCAACGGCACCAAACACGGTTCGTCGTCCTTGTGCCAATCCATCGGGTTCAAAGAAACTTTGAATATAATCGTGAAGCTGTTCCTCCATTTCTTTGATACCACGTTTTTTCTTATTCTGACGCTTGCATTCCAAAGCTAGAAGGATGAGGGGTTTGAATTCCTGGTCATAATATTGGACCACGAGGTCCACAGCCTTGGTAGTATCGTCCATGGGTTGTTGAGAGTTTACAGTATACCGGTCCTCTCCAAAACAGATCTCATTGTTGAGAATATTCTCCCAAAGAGGCACTGTTGCTGATTCTCGTAAGCGAGAATCCTTGGCCCTCAAATACGACCCATATATAGCAGGGGTCTTTATAAGTCCGTAAGGAATGAAAGACATCTATGGCACTTGTTAGCCTATGTAAAATAAGAACGACTATAGAAGTCGTAGGAAGTTAACAACGAAGTAGACTAAGCAGGTTATCGTAGCAGCAGACATAATAGACAGGAGACAGAAGGAGACAGGAAAACACACGTTGATTGAAAGAAGTTAATTATTTTCGACACTTCTTTCCACGGGTAAGAGAGTTCTTTGTGGGTCCTAATGAGAAATTTGAGGACAAATCAAACGGTCATATATTCAGAAATTTTGAGACCATCCTTCAATAAAAAGATGGTCCGCTATTACAAACAATACATTTAACAGGAGATAAACAGCCTAGTTAATGATACAATAGAGGCTGCAGAGCTGACTCCGTATATGGATACTACCGCCCATTGCATAGACATAGTCTGGGGATTGATTGAACATAATTGGATAAATACTCCGTGCAGAGTTAAGGCAGACAAGGGCGCTTTCTAGTTACCCTATCATATAAACACATTAGTTACATAGGTCGGTCTATTTAGCCGCCAGTCCTCGTTCGAACATATTACTTAGCATGCTAATGCAACTTCAGCCAGCCCTTGTATATGCGGGCCGCTCATTCTAGCAATATATACTATGGAGGGAGTTATTGTAGGCAATCATTTGATAGCAACCCCACCTCTGTCCCACCTGTGTGGGGGAACAATGCACGAGATGCTTTACAGTTAGTGGCTCACTATGTAGTTGGGGAATGTGGAATCTCGTAGAAATGCACGCTGTAACGCTAAAGGTCACCGAAAACCATCGAAACCCACCAAAAACTACCCAAAACTACCGTATGATATGATCGTCTCTCTATAACACATGAAACTTTAAGCTTGTTTTTTCTTTGACCTACGATAATTCCTATCTTGTCCAAAGAACGCAACTCTCTTCGTATTTCGCTCAATTCAGGGCCACTATCCAACGCACATTTACTTCGGAACAGGCCTTCATGCGCCCACGTGATTCTCACAGAGGCGGCGATGGCGTCAATATGTCTACGCGTCTAATTGGTATCGCGGAAAATCAAGAGAGATTTTTTGGTTCCAAGTACGTAGAATTACCCAAGAAGAAGTTTGAGAGCCTTCAAAAATGGTCAGATTGGGCGGAAGCGGACGATCTGAGATATGCGGTGAAAAGAGGGGTTGATTTTATGCGGGATGTGGAGCGCTGTATCTCTGGCGAGCTTAGGCTTCTTCTTGAAATGAGCGGCGACGAACTGCCAGAAAAATTGTTCTCTAGATTGGATATAGACGATATACCAGATCTTCGAGCATATTGGGATAGAGGAGATCACCCAGATGGGCTCAAAGAGACACATGCCCTTTTCAAAGCTGGCAAATTACCTCCTCCAGAGGATGTTGTTGACAGTGGTTCTGGTATGTTAGGATACTCTGATATTGCTTTCGCTTTATAACGAATATGTCTAGAACGACCCAGAAAGCGAGCAAGGAAGCAGAAATCATCGACAGAAGTTAACTCAGAGCTCAAATCCAGTATGAATCTAAATTTCGGTTCCCTTTTACAGAAGAGAGGGTTATACTAACCAACTAAGAAGTCTCAGTAAATTTAGAGCCTGCGCACATACTCCGCTTCCTTGCGGAATTTCCAGGACTATACCCGTCTGCAGAGATGCAATGTCCTTTTCCCCCGGAAGCTCGCCCGTCCGTCGAGATCAGATACCAAATCCCGTTTTCGACAGATTTTGAATTCGTTAAGATGGAACTTTCTCATGGGTTGTGTACGAAGATTGTTGAGAATCACCGTAGAAATAACTAAACTACGCCTATCCATTACTTTCTCTTACGGAAAAGCCAGTACTTAGGGCGCTTCAGTATGGCTACCGTCTCACCATCTGCCACGAGAACAAGTGAATAGGCATTTTTCTCCCCAGGGCCAGCTATTACTTGTTCTACGTTCCCTCTGCCAGTGATCCACACAGCTCCATTATCACTCCGTTGCTCGACCAGCACAGCGCAAATGAGGAGGTCCTCCTTTAACACAGTCATGCCACCATCTCCCAGCGCCTCTTGACCCTGGTATATATTCTCTGCATCAATATCGGTAGTCTACATACCAGTTAGCATAATATTTCATACGCTCTGCCAGTTCTGTAAGCCAGTCCTACATCGGCAATAAGTTTTTTGAGCTCTGAAACGTTTTGTGCGATATGGGTAACATCTAGCTTCTTCATGTTTGTCTTGACGATGTCGCAAGAGTCCGTGGAGTTTGCCCAGCGTAGAAAGGTTATCGTGGGAGTGTTACGAGGTGTACTGGACAATAATTTGGTTAGCATTTTGTAGAGGAAGATAAGGAAAGCAGAGTGTGTAAAGCAAAGATGACTCACTGATGGATTGTCCGTGGCGATCTCTGGTCCGAATTGGAGGTTTAAAATACGTTGCGCTCTTTACGCAGGCCTAGCACGGACCTTGATGGAATGTTGTCCTGCCTCGGCCGGGTATTATCGCCGATTGAAGTTTTATAGCTCTTGTCTTCTAGCTCTTCAACGAAAGCGGCACCTATGACAATGAAGTATTTCGTTTAAGTATTAACGGTAGAGAAGAAATCATCATAGAGTAAGATACTTTTCAGCCTACTAGACGAGGCAAGTGTGCTCCACTTACCCGGTGTGGCTCAAAATAGTGGGGTCAAGATAATTATTACTGCCTCAGGCTGCAAGTCGGGCGCAGGACTCTAAACATCATCTGCTTCAACCATCAATTTGGATTCAGACTTATTCTCCCTCCATTCTAAACAAATTGAAGCCTATACTATTGAGATCAACGACAATTCCTAGTCACCTTCTCCAACGTGCTGATTGTCCTAGGGGCAAGAAAAAATTTCCCAAGCATTCCATCATCGGTTTCTTGACATGTCTGCCTTTGCCTATTTCAAGTGCTCCCTGTGTGGCTACAGCCCCAACGTAATGAAGTGGACAAGTTCATTCCATGCTAGTATAATATTTTCAGTCTCTGTTTAATTCTTTTACTAAAAACCATCTAGTACTAGGCCGAGCAGGCGGGGATATCATACTTACCGAGGAAAAATTCATCTCCAGATATGGCGCAAGCTTTCTCTATGAGACCTTTATCTCTCGACCCACTGGCGAGATCCGAGTCCGACTAGAGCGAGGTAGAATCAAAACCCCATCTGTTACAGCCTATCTTATTCATACTCTTTGCTTGAAGACGCTGCAAGATATGCTCAAGGAGAAGATATCGCTAGAGAGCCTATTCTTGCTTAGTCGAGCGTTGGAGCGGGAGTATGAGAAAGACGATGTATTGGAGATACCAGTGTCTGAGGGTATTAAACCTCTTGGAAGATTTTGGACCCCTGCTTATCATATGCATAGCTTGTTTCGATCCTCCCGAATTAATCTCTACGCTACTGTCTTTTGACTCAGCTGATTTCGCCATCGCCAAAAGTCCGACGAAAATAGATACTCTGCCACTGGAGATAAAATTGCTCATCATTTCTCACCTAGATTCGAGGTCACTCATGAGTTATTTACATTCTAGCCATGATGCTCTCCTGTCAGCCGAAAGCGTTCCCTCTTACCAACTCCTTTATTCCTATGTCAAAGCAATAAAAATACAAGATATGGTCGTCTCTGCCTATCACAATTTCCAGGAGGAAGATTACCCTGCGTTTGAGTCTTTGCTATTATGGTTGGAGAACATGGTTTCTCAATCACGCTACCTCGAAGCTAAGCTGCCAGTAAGCCTACCGAACCATTCATTAGCAGCGCCTTTTGCGCTTGGGCACCGGAAGCTTGAAGTAGATATTTCTGCTGCCACGTCAGGACTTAGGGTATACTTGATATCGATACAAGGAAAAAATTATATTTCCGGTATCGAAGGTATACCTCCTAGCTGTGGCCTGATTGGAGCTTGTTCTAGCGTCTCTCGAAACATCGATTTCCACACCGAGAATATCAACAAAGTCGGGTTTCTTGTTGACTCATTAGGCCTCCGAAGTCTTCGTATCGGCGACGGCACATGGTCCTCGGGAACTCCCCACCAACTCGACTGCTTTGAAGGCTTTAGTGTTACTGGTGATTCTAAGAAGTTAATTGTCTTAGCAGATGTAAGTTCTTATAGTGTAACGTCTTATATTATTTTGAACTAACCAAGCTAGGCTTTGAAATTTCGACGCATTAGCTGGGAACACAGCGTACCTGGCCTAGCTCCATCTCTCTCTGAGACTATTGTCATGAAGCCCCAGCATATCGGGATAGTCTTGCCAGAGAATTATATATGCCGGAGCAAAAGTGATAATGCTTGGTCGATCGATAACTTCGGGGTCGTAACAACTGAGTCGGTCATGTTCAACGATGATATATATGGAGTGTCTATGTATTATCGTAACGTGTTTGGTATGAGTGGTATTTGCGTACACTCAGATACACTGCAGTCGGCTGGGAGGACAGATGGCACAGAAATGTTCTTCCCCATATGTAGAGGGAAGGAAAGAATAAGTTCCATTATCGTTCGGTCGGATAACATCAGTCTTGCTCTTCAAGTACGTTTGACATCCACTTTAACCCTTTTAAAACTAAACTTTTTAGGTATGTACTACTCTTGGGCGACATCATCTTTTCGGTCAAGCCGAGACGCCAAACAAGTTATATGTATACAAGACACTAGCACCATCGACTAATCAATCTCTCTATGGTTGCTGTCTTCAGTTTGGTCATTTTGGGTTAGAGTCGGTGGGTATAATATGCTGCTCTTCCGAATCTCTAGAACACCGCACCCCTCGGCAAATATGCGCTAGTGGGTTGTGTGAGGAATAAAAGTCGAATTGACTCAATTCGAGTTTGTAATTATGGACAGACGGGAAGCATTTGCCGCACCTCACGTATGGCGATCGGCAGACTTTCTAAAATCATTCTCCGTACCAAATCTAAATTTCTAGAGTTTATACTCTTTAGTGCCCAATACGATATCATATACATTGGACACAACATTTTCGGCCTGGAAGTATTTGAACTTACTTACTATCTCCATCCACGCCGATGTGACTCTCCTTAGGGCAATGAATCATTAGGTCTTTCTTTGTTTCACCTTCAGTTCTGGACTGTTTTCTACTGTACCTCTCCCAAACTCTCTCTCCCCGCGGCCCCTATTTCCCATTCCCTTTGCTGAGAAGATCGGCGCTTTCGGGGGCATCGAAGGCGGTCAAGCAGTTTTCGAGCAGACAGGATAGGGTGTGGCTCTTTCCCAATCCTTGAGATCCGCAAATAAATGTGCTGGATGGTGATACGATGTCGAAAAACAGCCTTGGGTCCTCTCCGTTGATTTCGTATTTTCCATCATCGTCTCGTAAGAGGTCGGCTCGAGATGCCTCATCTTTGGTCGAACTTTGTTTGAAGTACTCGAGTACAGAGATGGCGAATATCGGGGCTGTGGGTGCCTCGTATCGTTCATGGCCTCATCCATGGAATGATTAGTGCTTGTCAAGTGGCTGCCCTCTGATGCCGATCTATTCGTCTTAGAAGTCGCTGTTGTGGGTCTGAGGGACGACATTTTCAGTAGAGCGTTGATCTTGTTTATCTTGCACGGTGAGAGGTCCTGGGGGGGAGATGGGTTCTATCGTCACTGTATTCGTCTGTCCAGTCTGTTTGACTCAATAAGCCCAACAAAAGGCTCGACAGCAGGCTTAACAATAGCAACACGCTCATCAACAGGCCCGAGAACAACAGCAGGCTCAACAATAGCACGCTACCATATTGAAACACTTAGTAGGCTACAGGAGTAGTAACTCATGTAATAGCACTAATGAAACGCTGGTGGTGATGTTGGCCACTACACGATGCCGTATCGGCGAGGTACAGATGCTTCCGCTTCCGATTAGGCGATATCTCCTGGAGAATCGGCATCTGCTTTAAGATCTCCGAACGCTCAAAATCCACTAGTATCACCTTTTGACCTTCGGAATTCCATAGAACATTCGGCGGCCGCACATCGCGATGCTCTACTCCGCAATCTAACATCTTTGCAACTGCCCCGTTTGTTTCCGCAGCCAAATCCCGTCCCATGGCTAACAATAAATCTTTATGTGCCTGCTCGCCGGCCCATGACATTAGCAGCATGTGAACTATTCTGACTCCAACGTTAAGAAAGTAGGGGTAGACGAGAGAGATGTTCCCAAGGTAGACGGGTATAAGCTCTCCTTGAACCTCATTCAGGTGTTGGTAGACCAACCCTTCGTGCTTCAACTTAGCCTCAAATGCCGTTACAGTCCCTTTGGCAACGAAAGTATATCTATACCATTCAAGCGTCAGTCTAAACAGAGCCCCACAGGCGCTTTGTTTTCCAAGTGGCTCACACCCATTGTCGGGGTTTTCGGCGAGTTGGCGGGACATAAATTTGATGAGGGATTTCCGCCCCAAAGCATGGTAGTTGCTAGTCTTATGAGCACGATGTGCATTGACATTCGGACAAGCATCGTCCAAGGGACGTTTTCGCACAAGCCCTAATAAGCAGGCCTGTGTGCAGTATTGGCGGTGACGGACATCACTCTCTTCAGCTGCCTGTGATGTTTTGACGGAACGTATCTGTCCGGCATTAGACTGTTGCGTAAGAGCTCTTGGTTTGCTTGGAGTTTCAACGTCTGAGGTCTCATCCGATGAGCCAGACGGACTCTGTGGATCTTCGTGTACAGCGCTTAGCCGTTGAGCGACCAACGACACATATCATCTCCCATCTTCAAGGGATAGAAGAGGCCCGCCGTGATTTCAACTTAGGCAATGGCATTATTTTCGAGAACCATGCCAACACCCTCAGTGATCGCAACGAAGAGGTCCAGCAAAGTCTACAGAATCTCTCAAGCAAAGGACAAGCCTCGAGCTCAAATCCCAAACCGCGAAACGCCGATCAGATTTGTGTATATAAGGAGGCAGATAACATACGAAGCCTATCCATAATTGTTGAATGAATCTTATATAAGATTCATTTGATTTTCCATACAACCCGTTAGCGTGGATTTGCCGAGGCGATAAGATTCATTTGGTTAGATTCATTTATTAGGGTTAAGGCAAGGAGAGGGTTTCAGACGCTGTAAACTGTACATGTGTCATTTCATATGTATGCGATACGTGCACCGCAACGCGCTTTCTAATAAACCCATTATTTAATACAGTTACTAGGTATAGAAGTTTCGTGGTTGAGTTTTGATGGGGGAGAGCATGTGCACAGACCAGGTAAGCAGCCACCCTGCTCGCCTTGACTTTCTTGCCCTCTGATTGGTTCCCTGAACCTCCTCCCCTGAGGAACACCAAAAACTCCGTCTGCTACTATAAAATTTAAAATCCAACCTCCCAACTAGACTCCTTGACCTAGGTGGGAATCCTGTGCCTCAGTGTACTTCTCCTGATCTGGCTCCCCCAGAAAATAAATTTTTGTTGCACTAGGATCCACTGTCTTATTACATCACAATTTGTGCTAGGTCTACACCAACACTTGGTCTATTCTGTAGCGTACACTGATGACGGCTGCACCACTATAATCACGTCACTATTGATTGTACCATAGTTACTAATGATTGTATCATTTGTTAGTTACTATTCTCCTGTATATAAGGCCACCTAGCCACTCCCAGTTCCAGAATCAATCAATTCTCTATAACCTTCAGTATCCCATACTCTCAACCCAATAATTTTTATAATTGTCTTACGTTGAAGGCTAGCAGACGCGTCACCGCGAGCCTCACAAAACTGTACGATATCTCTTTCCAAAGGAGATAAAGGAATCAAGTGTCAAGTCCCGACAGCGAAGGTGCGCAATAAGCGGCGACCGGGCTCATAACTGTTGGGTTGAGAATGACACAAGTGATTGATTGATTATGGAACTGGGAGTGGCCACGTAGGCATTATATACAGGAGAATAGTGGGCCGCTAAGTCACATGATACAACCCGCGACAGTGGGGCTGCCACGTGACTATCCAGCACAACAATAAGCTATAGAGACTATATTATTAATTAATGTTACGTTGTAATAGCCCCTATAAACGGAAAATAGAAAGGTAGTAAACAGAAAATAGAGATCGTAGTAGAAGACTACTTTTTGCACCACTCTATAAGTACCTTAGAACTTGCTTAGAAACACTAGCTTATATAAGATAAAACACTTAGATTTAAGTAAATGAGTACTATTATACATAGCACAAAGCCCCACTTCCTTTCAAACACGTTTCACTGTGACCTTCAATCACATCCAGCTTAATCAAGGTCTACCATCTTGCAAAACCAATCCATCGGGTGGGGGTACGTTTAGACCTGTGATGGCCGTGCAATTGAGAGATGTGACTCACCAGCAACATATTTCGGATCCCCTGGTTACTTTGAGTTTGACGCTCGAATAGGCCGGGAGCCAATTCAGGTACCACACCAAGGATTTGCCGCGTAGCTTCATAGTCCTTCTACCATCAACTTTTTGCGGGCTAATCATCGAACCTTTTGAACCCACCGTAGAAATTTGGATCCTCCTTAGTTACCTTCCTTCCCATCAAATCTACTTTTCCTGCCTTCAAATCCTCAACAACGGAGGACGAGTTGCGAAACATGGCCGTATTGGCTCGTGTGCAAGCAATATTTCCCACATAGAAAGAATTATGAAAGTTGATCAGTTACTACTCCTGTAGCCTTCTAAGTGCATTAATGTGATAGCGTACCATGTTGCGTATATTCACACGAGGAGTCATTCACTGCGATGTTAGTGTTGGAAATCTGCTCCTTGACAAAGATTTGAACATCGGATTTTGCGACTTCCAAGGGAGACTTCTATATCCCGATAGCATAATTTACCGGCTGAGGGTGTTAAGTCATCGATGCCACGATCAAATCTAAATGACGCGAATTGAATGACTAATATTCTCGCTTTAGGGTCAGCTATATATTTCATAATAAAGGGTCACCTGCCCTTTCTGGAACTGAATCCTTGGAAGGACAAGGTAGAAATTGTGAGCCGTTTCAAGACAGGGCAGTTTTCTGCTCTAGATGAGGTGCTAGGTAGTGATGTTGTAAAGATGTGCTGGCGGGAATAATTGCCGAGGGAAACGTATTTTGCGCGGCCAAACTCAATCGCGCTAAATTTGTTATAGTGGATGCGTTGGCCTTTTTCCTCGGGGACCTTAGGTAGCAAGTCGCGCCTCCGAAGCTTCAAGATCTGTCGAGCTGCAAAATGGTCATTTTGCGTTCCAGAGTTGGATTTCTAAAGAGAAAGCTTCCTCAAGCAAATATCGCAGCGGGGCTGTTTTATGCGGAACCTCCACACGAAAGAAAGGGTTGTTAAAATTGAGTATTCTTAATTTAGAAACAGCCAACTTTAGCGAATGTGTTTTTAGAAGAGCCAAATTTGAACTCTAGAAATTTCCTTATATTATGTATCTAGCTAAGCCTTTATCCGCTTTAGCAATGTAACTAGATATAAGAGGATCTTAAGTGGATAGGCCTATGACCCTTGTCGTGACCAAAACGGACTAAGGCTAATTTGGTCATCACTCTAGACCTCTATTCGCTCTAACCATTAATGAATAATCTGGCCATCAGAAAATGCCACCCAATTGTCCTATGCAGGGGTGGTTTAACAAACCGCTTTATTGTAAGGGTGCGATAGCGACAAGGTCAACTGTATGCGTAAGAACTAAATTGTCTACAAAGAGTGGAAGTGATCGTAAGATCTGAAGCTATTTACAGTTCCAAGGGCACGGGCCACATCGCTTCCGTCTGTACCCTCACATTTATTTAGTTCGTCCTTTTTAGGAACACAAGTTTGAGTCATCTTTCTTCTATTGCTTTCGAAGACCTTCTAGAACCGATTGGGATTCCCTCTTCCCGTAATCTTGCTTCTTGGAAATATATAATTGCAAGAAGTGCTGTATTCCAACAATAAGCATGTGCTTTAAATTGATATTGGCAAACGGTTATTAAGCTCGCCTTTTACAGGCTCACAGCGAAACACGCAGGGAGCGCCCTTCGCGAAGTGCGGCTTCCAACACCGAGTTATCAACAATTGCCGGAATTCGGTGGTTTAGTTCCTCTAGTCTACGTCCTTCACCCTCGAGATCTCTTAACTGGTCGATAATCTTTCTATCAATCTGCTGGCTTGTATATAGAAATGCTAAATGTTCGATGGCTATCCGAGCGGTTCCTTTGAAGTCGGTTCGCTTATCGTGTAAGATTCTTTACTCTGTTCCAATGTTTTTTATATTTAGCCTGTTCTGTCGTAGCAAGGGTACATCTAAAATAATTGTGCATCCAAAATAATTGTACAACTACACAAATTGCACTGCAAAAATAATTGTGCATCCAAAATAATTGTGCTTCTACAATAATTATGCATCCAAAATAATTGTACATCTACATAAAATGCACTGCTAAAATAATTGTACTTCTAAAATAATTGTGCATCCAAAATAATTGTGCATCTAAAATAATTGTAACAGATTCAAGTTCTCTCTCTACCTGAAGGTCCGTGGTTTCTAGGTGAAGTTTCGTAATAAATTGAGTAGATCACATGTGTAAACAAACTCTGCATTTTCGAAGTTAAGATTCCTAGTGTTGTATCGTCTTTATGAATCTTGAGATTTCCTAAAACACTAGTGGATCATGGTGATTAAATTGAGTGCGGTGATTATGGTGATTAACTCGAGTGGGGCAGTAAAGCGGGGTGGTCAAATCAAGCGTGGTGATTATAAAACAATTTAGTAAGATAATCAAGTTTGATCAAGTTACGAAATAAGGACATAAGTAAACAAGCATTGAACATTCATATATATTGATATGTTATTGCTGCGAACAGCCTCTGAATCACGAATCATAACATTACATGTGATTATACATGCTTCACTTAACCTGCCTTATGATTGTGCGCATATGTTCTTATTACCTGTATACTAACCGTCGAAACCGGCAACCTTTGTTTAGATAGTTTGAGATTCGTTACACCGTGATAGATACGGACTCTTTTTCAAGTGGTCCATCCTAAGTTGCTTCAAAATAAAAAGTAGCTGCGAAGCCGGATTTCATTGTGAGCAAGGTAATCGATATTGGAGACGCGCCGGAATACTATAAGAGGTTTGACCAGAAGCTGGAGACGAAGGTTGTGATTCAATTTTAGGAGTTTTGACCGGAGGGAGGGAGAAGTAAGATAGAGTAGGTGGAGGGGATAGACTCAGGTTATCTATTTTATATCTATAAAATTGAATGTAATCAATCTTCAGACCACTCGTTCATAAGTAAACTTCAATTTGAAACATCTTACTAGAAAACTAGAAACGCTTAAAACAAATCATTTATTGCAAAGGGCCTTTCCAGAAAGAATTGATAGAGAGGTTCTAGGGGGAAAAGCCGTCAGTTTTTGTTGAGAAATAGCGAAATGGCAAGGTGTACCAGGTTCTATTCCAGTGTGAGGCCTGCTTTCAGTGGTTGGAAAGATTCCCCCTTTCTTGAAAGAAAATATAAGATAAAGAACGCGAGCCAAGCGTAGCATGCAAGTAATCACTGTGCCCGATGCCCACGTACCCCCCTAAACTGCTAACAATGAAAGAAAACCCCCTAACGTTGCCGCAGATTCGCTCCAGAGGAAACATTTTATTACTTACACTGTTTCTACATTGGGATGCTACTCCACTCTTTTGCCCCTATTCCTAGATATATATACTGGACAACAGCTTCTTTCACAAGACAATCAATTTTACATAACATGCTTGACCCCATACCTTGAAAATCCAATAACAGTTCCTAAAATGTCTATCTTATTATCCTATAACAAGAGCATTCATCTCCTCCAGGTCGAATTGAAGGACTTCTTTGTTCCGATCAAGAACGAGAACACCGACGAGGTCACTATACTCATGCCGAATGGTATCGATGTCAAAAATCACCTAAATCAACACCGTTTTCACTTTTATATAGAAAAGGTGAAACGAGGTACGTTTTCTCACATTGTTTGATTATATATTTTAAGCACTACCACAGCGTATTACCCTGTTTTATTATGCAATCCTCTCTTTTATCCACATTCATTCCTTAAATATAGTCCTAGCTAGCCTACTTCTTACAATTTAATCAATTCTCCATGGTCTTCAGTACCCAATACCCCTCAACCCCACACTTCCCTACCAAAATCCTACGAAACTAGAATTACGAAACGGAAAGGGTGTGACTGAAATAGCTGGTATACGACACTAAGTAGTGTTTTACACCATCAACATTACGTTCGCCAATTATTTCGCGGACCATCCAATATAGGTCGTAGTTGATGCTAGAAGCCCTGTCGTCCTTGTCATTCTCTGGAATTGGTAAAGGAGAACGCTTTTGTCGCTTTTTATAGCAGTGTGAGTTTATTCCAGAGGGAGAGTCAGATCTTTGTCGTTTGGAAACCCGCGGGACTTTTTCCTTATCAATTACATCATCGATATTTTCATGCTCGTCGGCTGTGTGATTGGAAAGTGGTTGTTGGCTTTCCGGCTTTAATACGTGGTTACCCGGCGGCCTGTTATCCGGAATACAACAAGCGATTCCGGCATCAAGATTATTATCGTTATCCGGTGTAATCAGCTTATCTGTAGTACTGTAAACAAGAATTCTATGCACTGCGCCTGAGGAACCCAGCTCACGTACCATAGCTGCTGCCAGCTTTCGATTCCCGGCTAAAGGGAATGTCATCCGAAGCGTGATCATCGCTCTTTACCCCTGGTCCTTCTTCTGCCGATATCAGGTCCGCTATATATTATGAGAAAAAGACGGCGACAACAGGATGATAGGGTTTGAACATATAATTTGAGCTATGACCTCAGTTCCAGCGGTGCCTTTCCAATTCTCGTCGATTGTTGCTCCTCTAGACGTCGGCGACATTTCAACTAGCATATAACTTGATTCAATCCTTACCCAATGTTCAGGAGAAGGCTTCGGAATAGTAGCGATTAGTGATTTCCGGACGTAAGAAATAAATGTGGTCATTTTGAGTGTGGAGTAAATGTTTCGTAGAGTGCTTTTGTAACTTAACAACAAGACTCACATACAGATGTGGGAGATGAAGGCTTCTTATATACCTGTCCTACTACGCACGCATCTGCCATCCCCTGCTCTCGGTCTAGCCTCTGAGCGACTAACTGCGCCACGTATTCAGAGCCTGGAAATAGCCGCTGGTCGTGAAATGTCAAAAATATACAATCAAACACCCAATCACCATCTTGAACTAGCTCCGTTGCAGGGTTGTTAGTCACTTCTCTTAGTCAGGAGAGCTCTGGAAACGCTAATAGGCCAGAGCACTCCACCTTAAGAGGCCCACCTCGTTTTTGTAGGCTAAGCGACCAGCGTCCATTGTAAAAAGGTGAATCGGCCCTTCTAGATGGGCTGTACATCAATCGTTGCAAAGCCAATGATCGATGTGTTGGCCTCCTCACGATGCCGGATAGAATTTAAGGTTACTACGACGAATACAACAATCTCTTTCCAGAAGAGAGCTTACATTCTTCGCAATGGATACTTTGTTACCAAGCAACCCGGTGGGAACTTGCCACTCTTCGGAAATCCAATGACCGCCGACTACCAAAGTGACTGTCTTCAGGAAGAAAAAGAATTCTTTGACGGGAGTTCTCTGTGGAGTCTTATCCCACACTCTTGATATATGCTGACTCACTTTAGTGTTCAACCCTCCGAGGTTTTCCGGACTCTCTACCGTCAAGCAAGTCACGTAGGTATTCATGACTACGCCAAATCTCGAAATCTGGATAACAACTTGATCTGTACAGAAATCGAGGCACATATGATATCAATGTTCTGCTTCATGAAAAACCATGGCCAGTCCGCCATTTCACTTCGTCAAGAAAGCCTAGCACACAATAGCGAATACTGGCAAGTGCTAACGCATTCTATGACGTGCTTTGTATATCTACAGAGAAATGTTGAACATCATCTAGAGTGCGGCCATGCCATCTGCGAGGTGTACGTAAGTATCTTCGGTACATCCACCAAAGGGAGGGAATACTATTATGATATCGCCACTTGCCCTTTCTGTATGAAGCACGTTCGCTCCCTAGGGCAGAAATGGGTAATTAAAATAATACTCTTAGCTAATTATCTTGGAGAATTAAAATAATATTCTTATGAATTATTGGTTTAATTTACTAGGAGAATTGTTCTAATATGAAAAATAGTGCACAAAAAGGACTCAATTATTTAATTACCCAGAACAGCGAATTAAATTAATCACAAGAAACCTATGAATTCCGAGCGGGCTAGTCCTAAACCAGTGCCCTTGTCCTTCCCTACTCTTTTCACCTCTCATCCCCTCTTTTTTCACCTCTTATCCCCTCTCTTTCACCTCTCATCCCCTGAGTTTCCGAAGAAGTCTGAATACTAGCCGAGCGTTACTATCTCGCGTTACTATTGGCATATCTAGTCGCCATCGTCGCTGTCGCTTAAGTACTGAGTCTTTAATTAGTATCTTGAATGATTATACTACAGTGCTGACGAACATACCTCAAGTGTTGTTTCTGAATGGTTTAGTACTAAATAAAGGATCTCCTTCCCAAACTCGTTCATTCCTATACAGCGTTGATTTAGATGAGGGTTTAAGCAAGAAAAAGAGTAAGGATGAGGAAGAAGACTCTGGTGATGATGATGAGGATGATCTAGAGGACTTGATTAAGCTTTGAGGGGCTAATTAAATGTTCCATGATCGAGCTAAAGATAGCGGAATTAAGAATGTAGCAAATCGCGTTACTGTGGGGCACTTTTAGTGAGATTTTGAAACCTTGGCAAACATGAACTTAACTCGTTCCCTGAAGTATATGAACTTGACTTGTTCGCTGAAGTACATGAACTTGACTCATTCCCTAAAGTACATGAACTTAACTCGTTCCCTAAAGTACATGCTCGTCTTACGCGTTCGGCCGTCGATAAAAGACTTGTAAAGGTAGTCGTAAATCAATAGAGTATTAATTTAATTACCTATTTTTGACAAATCTTCAAAATGATGTAAAACCTAGAATCCTTAAGTGATTAGAGTATTAATTAATACTATAAGGAAAATTAATTTAATACGCTGATTGTAAAAAGTAACTAGATTAATTCGCCTAGTAAATTAAACTAATACGATTGGCCCGCCCTAGGGGCTTCTAAGCACGGCTCTTGCCCCCTACCTGTCGAGTAAGATTCCTAGGTTTTGATGGAGGTGGTTCAAGGGGCATAGTATCCCTCGCATTCATGGAAGAGCCAAGCCAAACAATGGGATTGCCTTATCCCGTGTAGGAGCACTTTGACTATTCCATTGGAACCAGCTCAGGTGCGACAACTTCACCTCCATAATTCATAAATGCTAACAACTGCTAGGGGGAATTGCAACACATACGTTATCCCTCCGACCGAGTAAACCTTTCCGCTTGGCCTTGACCCTGCGATTTTCGATCCGGTCGAGTAGGTAATCAGCACTCCTTCCACGAAGTAATCATGCCGTTGCTCAATCCCGCTTGTTTGCTGCCTCTTCTCTTGCTACCCGTTTTGCCGCTCTTTTTGCCTAAAACGCCTCCGCCCGTTTTGCCAGAAGATTTTGATCCTCCTCTGGAAATGCCCCCGGCACTCGAAACTCTGCCCAAGGATTTCTGTTCGCGGAAAGAGCGAGAAGTGTCAACCACCGCTGCTCCTGTAATATATCTTGTTGATCGCGGTGGTGGCAGCAGAGTAGTCTGCTCGAGATAGGCTGAAGCAGAGTCCAGAGTTGATCGATTGATTCAAGGCGTTCAAGTGAATGGAGTGTCGTAATTGCCCCTGCGCGGGTAATCGAGCGAGTCATATAGCGTATCATTTATATTGTGGCAGTATGAATTAGGTGGTGTAATATAGTGACAATACTACTTTTAAGAATATATACGCACTACTGGAATATTGTAATAATAAATAAATTAAATAGATCGCAATATTGCTGACACCACCACCACGAAGAAACTTTGCTGCCAAGCTCTCCGTTTTGCTGCTCGTTTTGCCTGTATTTCCTCCGCCCGTATTACCTCCGCCCGTTCTGCCTCTGCCAGCTTCGCTTGGAATTTGTCAACCTCAAGCCTCGAAAGCTCTAAGATTGCTGCCAGAAGATTCTGGTCCTCTTCTTCTGGAAAACCCCCCGGCACTCGAAACTCTGCCCAAGGATTTCTGCTTGCGGAAAGAGCGAGAAGTGTCATCCACCACTGCTTCCGTAATATATCTTGTTGATCGCGGTGGTGGCAGCAGAGTAGTCTGCTCGAGATAGGTTGAAGCAGAGTCCAGAGTTGATCGATTGATTCAAGGCGTTCAAGTGAATGGAGTGTCGTGATAGCCCCTGCGCGGTTCGTTGCTGAAATTTGATTGGAACATTTCTTATTCTTTGAGGTGGTTCCAATACATTTTGAAGTAAAGTTCGGTTTGATATTCAGTAGTTGGCCGATCTCCAAATAGAAGGTGCTGACGTCCACATAGAAGATGCTGTTGTCCATATTAAAGCAGTTTGACATGGTCACCAGGGGGTGACACTTCTCGTGATAGCACTCGGAAGTATGCTGTGAAAGAGGTAGGAGCGGATGGTGCGTCTTATATAGGACTCTTACCTCGAGGGACAGTCAGCGATTACGCGTGAAGCGAAAAGAGGCTTGTGGGTCCTCACGTATAGAAAAACGCCTACGATTCCCACTAAGGCTTCAACCAACGGACTTACTGCATACACGAAGTGCATACCACTGCATAGCAATGCCACCTTCAACGGGGAGCTAGTTTCTGCCTCTACGATTCTAGAACTTAGCTCTAAGCGATCATGCGTGTTATTTAGGGCCACATCCACTTTTGCGTACAAACGGCGGCTTCAAATCAATCCCAGTATATCGTTTGAGAAAGTATAGCAAAGACTAAAAAAAGCTGACCAGGGACCTTTAGAAGCCCAAATTAACCTATATTCTTTATCACCACAAACCAAGGAAAAGGCAGAGCAGGTAAGCTTAAAGATGGCGCAGGACAATCTCGATTCCCATATTCGGCAAATTCCCTGGCAAGGGTGTAGACAACACAGGAAATAGCTGGAGCGGTTGGAGGAGGGCTGGTGAAGCTGGCATATGGTGGGGCGTCTCAAAACAACACACTTTCCTGCTAGCTGGAAGTTTCCCTTGCGGTTTTCACTGCAGGAGGTTCCTCTTACAGTAATCGCCTTGAGCATGGTTGCTTTGTTAGGAAGTCTCCTCGGATTCACCGAAAACCAGCTGCATAGTATGACGATGTATAGCCCATACTACAACTCCACTATGCTAAGATGTCGTCTGGGTAGTGGCGCGGTTCGTCGTTTGGAGGCTGGAGTGTTCGTCTCCTCTCATGTGTTGTCTGCATCCAATTGTCAGATTTCAGAAGCACTCAAACTTTATCTACCCCACGCTCAAGATGGCTACCTTCATTTCCAGGATTCGGGAAATGTATCATTTGAAAGGTGCCGATCTTCTACCTCTAGAGCCATCCTGTTGGCATGTCTGTCTCTTCTCTGGCCTCGAGGCGGCCCAATTGGCTTTGACCTGAGGCGCTGTCTCGTGGCAAAATCCAGCCACGGCAGCCACGGCAGACATGTTCGAGAGTCCTTGGTTTTGGCGAGCAGAGAAAAAATGGTTAGAAGAATGAAAGTCAGGTCAAACCGAGGGGGAGACCTGGGTACTTATACTTGAACAGTTGGTAACGTGGAGTTACTAACCGTAAGAAGAAAGGAGACCGCCACTAGGCTCCTCGGATCTTTTCTTCGATGGCGCATGATTTAGAAGCTGAATAACAAAGGGGTAGAAGATATCTACGTAAACCTTTGCCTAAATATATCTTATCTTAAAATTAGCAGCGTCAACATCCTTAAACCTAAACGATAATATTACATGGGGTATGTGCCTTCGTACTTCTTGAAATTATGCTAACCGAACACTGCGAGGGCTGAAAGAATAGAATGAATTTCAGCTAAGCGAGGATGAGTAGTGCCACGTGGTACCACCCCTAAAACTTTTGCTTATTGGCCATTCTAGCTTCGCGAGCTACTTGTTATACCATTGAATTTAACCTTCCACGCTTTACCACCATCTTATTCCACACGCATACGTTTCCTACCCGTGTCTTCGTTGCTAGTGTTTAAAGTTGCCTGATCAAGCACAATTTTCAACCTATCCTTCTGCGCCTTCATACTAGTATAATTTTGCTCTACCTGGCTAAGTGCTTCTCGTAGGTCCTCGATCTTAACTATTTCAGGTTATTAAACTGCAAAAATCAAGAAGAGGGTGTTTATATACCTTGAAGCTTCTTATTCTCTCTTTGAAGCCAGCTTATATATCCTTTACATCGGATTAGCTAGAGGGGAAAATGGGAATTAGTTATGAAACTTACCACGCATAAAATCACCGGATTGGAAGGCGTCTTGATTCTCTTGTAGCCGGCTCATTTCGAAATGGCCAACCTTTGCTTGTAGTTCTCCAACAAGTTCTAAGGTAGATATTCAGATAGAGAACTAGCTCGAGATACTCTGAAAACTTACGAATCAACCCCCGTGTTATGCTAGGCAGAAACTTGACCATTCCCGCAGGAATATAACCATAGCCAGAAGTCTCTCCTGCCATTTCTCCAAACATTTGATCGAGTTCTCTAGGGTCAATAATATTCAGAGTAGGATATCGGGAAAACTTACTACGAAGCTGGGTGACTCGAGCATCTTCGCCAAGGTATGGTGCATAGCTTACTAGATCGATAGGGATTTCAACTGGTACGGATTCCTCAGGACCCTGTGTACACCTGTACATAATTAATACAACTTCTGTAAAAATCCGATTTTCGCAAAGATGACTGACTCTTTCAAGGTAGGCGGAGTAGCTTCGCCTGTGACCGATGAAGCCTGAGAGATCGCCTCTTTAGCGTTCTTGTCAGAAGGATTCTTTTTCATCAGTATTATTTTCCCAGCTTTAATGGTCTTAACTCACGTAGAAACTGTGTCCTTCTAAGATAGGTCCAGCCTGGGACAGAGGTGGCGCACTCATGTTGAATTATAAGGAGAGGGAGTAGGATGAAGGGATATTAAATTTGAATGTGATATGATGAAGGAAGTGTGCCGGCTCAGGTGCTCTTTATATCTTCCAGGTACCTTGTCTCGACACAGCTGAACTTGCCGTGTTTGTCAAGGCTAAAGTGGGTTGTTTGTTAGCTACGAAGGGGTTGTCGAAGCTAAAGGCTCTATCCACACAAATCTGCCTCGCTCAAAAACATTGGCGCTGTCAAGGGGCAAGGTTATTGCGTGGTTTCTTGTTCCACGTCATCACATAAGATAGAATGCATTAGGTGGGGATGTAATTGATCCATGTTCTCCTGTTGCAATACCCTCGTCCATTCTTGCCCTGGCAATCTCCTCGGAGGATGGCAGAGCATATCCCCTGCTTGCAGTAGCCCTGCTGTCTTCCTTCTTCGGCTAAGGGCAGTTATATGACAACAAAATTCACGCCAATAACTTGTAAAAGTCCTGGCCTACATTTCTTCAACATTCTTAAGACCTTTGCATAACTGCTGGAGGAGTTCGCTTATTCAACCCACTTACGTGACACCCATTTCCGGACTTTGTTATGTAAACAATTGGTTAGAATGAGTTCTTGTTCGCAGGAACTGTTAAAATAAAAGACTGCGATGCCACGTATACTCTAGGCCTACACTCGAGGCCAAATTCACCAAGAAAGCGTGAGCCTTGCACGTACTGCGGCAATCCCGGCCCTGAGACCCAAAGCTGAATAACCTCTCCTGGCCATTCACCTCCATTTTCAGGGTTGGAGTGTGGGTATTGGAGCATACCAGCTGAGCTCCGGTTCATCTGCGTTGTGGATAGGGCCGTTAGGGTGAGTCTTGGAAGGAACGCCCATCATCCCCTCCAAGACTTCCACCAACTTGATTGACTGGACATGCGAAGTACATAGCAGTGCTCACGCCACCTTGACTGGGGAGGTTTTCTACCGCTAGAGAGATTAGCATGTGGATTGTATCATTGATGTCAAGGTACAATAGTGTGGAGTCGTCATACGTATGAGAAATGCGTGCAACACGAACTCAGGAGGTCCTTCAAAACCGGGCAAAGCCAATTCTATCTCCCGATGTAGCCGCTGGAGTGCTGTCAGTTCAGTATACATCATGCAACTTAATCATCACCCTTAACACTTGCACGCGGAGAGGTGTAGCCGTGATTGAATATTTCGCTCTGAAACTTGAGAGCTATAGAGCTAAAAATCCACCTTTACAAGGCTTTATAAAAGATTCAGTGCTTTCAAAGATTCCACAAGGTACGACATTAGAGCGTAGGTGGACAACTACTACAAGGATGCCAACGCTCAACCAATCCTTTCCACGTAATATATACCCCTTTTCAAGCTCGGTTAAATGCTTTTGACACTTTCCAGGTGCCTTGTGCCATAACAAGTCTGCCACGCTCATGCATCTACGGCCCAACTTACTGTATCCGTTGAGACTGGAGTGGATTATCGGTTAGCGGGAAATCTACCTCACTCAAAGTTAAGCGTCAACAAGGGGTCAGGTCAATGTCCATTCATCCTTTTCCTAGTATATCTCTTGAGATTGAGAAATCAGAATTTAAGCCTAGGAACCGCGGCGACTCCGGCCGGTCCTTAGATCAAAAACTGAATGCTCTCCTGGTCACCTACCTTCTTATTCGGTGTTAATACGTGATGAGTGATGGAAGATGCCTCGCTCACTTCCTAGCTCTGTTGTATCTAGTATGAAAGTGGGGAAATATAGGCGCCTTTTCTAGGTTTGGCTTTTCCAGCTCCAAAGTGAAAACCCCATAGAACATTTAAGAAACGATACTAATTTTGGCTTTGTCTCGTTAAGTTTACTCCTCATCTGCCGTCTTACGTTCTGGCATCCTCCATCATGGACTCGATCCCACCTCCTGAGTATGGCAACGAAGCCGCATATGGAATCTCCTTACAAACCGATGAGCTTATCATGGGCGTCGCCCCTTTGCTGTATCCCGATTTCTGCTCAGAGATACAAGCCCTCATGCAAAAAAAGAAGAAATATCTATCGAAAATAATGCCTTTATCAGCGACAAGACAGGCTATGGCGCGACTCTTCTGCCCTTGCACCGAAGACTGGCCCCCTCACCAATTAATACGCATTTTGGGTCTGATATCACTCCCAGCCGCCATTGTCGGTGATGTTATTAAGCCGCCATATTACCTTTTCCAGATTATTTTGGTCTCATTACAGGGTAGACAGGTACGGCAGGAGGTGGAGAACGAAATCTTCTACGAAATTATCGAGAGTCTTGACATAAGTCTGAAAGCAGTCTTTGAGATAATCGTAAGACTCGGTATCGAAACGCCTAAGACTTGGAACCAAAACATCCAGGATGGCGGCCTAATTCTGTTCCTGACACTTGCGCGGCTTCTTGAGGCATTCGGATCCCGTTTTGCACCCACTGGCACTATTTATCTCGCATCGCAGAAGAGGCTGTGCAAGGAACATTGCTCAGGGATTGCGCGTCTCCATTTCAACCAAATTCACAAGCTGAAAGATGATCTGATATTTGTTAGGTTTCTACCGCCAGAGACTCTTCCTAGCGCTTCTGCCGTAGTCGAAGAGTGGCTCCCAATAGTGTTGGGGGAGTTACAAGGGTGGGGAGTGAACGGGAATAGATATCCTCTCTTCTGTCATGTTTTACAGAGATTACGTAGCGTTGGAGATGAATTGCCCGAGTTGCTTCTACCGGCGGAAAAAGATGAATCATGGGGTTTACAGGCGGAAGCGGAATCTGCATAATCGAGGAACTAGCGGGTGGTAAAAGGAAGCCAGCATATTGAAGCGCTTCATTCCTGGTTTTCTCAACTCGTAGTTGAGAAGTAGAGCAGTGAAGCATGAATAGAGAGTACTAGAATATGTTTCTGAATATGATTGAGGCCTTATATTTTCCGCTCCAGCCCAGGTGGCCGAAAGTAACACTTTTTCTTGGAACTCAAGCTAATGGTGGCCGTGAGAGCGATACAAAACCTTGTAATATATGCTATGCCTTCAAAGAGGGTTCGCTCAGTCAATTCATCTTACGTGATATGACCCGCTTTTAAGCTCGCTACCATAAGGGGGGCCAGCCGAAGGCAAGGGGGCCCTTTTTTCCCGCAGCTAAGAGTACGAAGGTATTGGTTTGAACTAGCTAGAGAAAATATGCCTCGCAGCAAATTTCGCGAAATTCGCTAACACTCGTAGTTAGTTCTAGCAGAACCTGCATGAGGAGTTACCGCGTGTTGCTTCAGCAAACACAGCCTGGTAGGTGGACATCGTTTCTAACTTGCAGATATGCACTTCTTGTATGCGATAGATCAAGTTGGTTAAAGTCTTGGTGGGAATTTCGTTTCTTCTAAGACCAAGGATCAGATTTCTACTGATTGGTAGTAAAGGGGGACCATGTATGCATACTTCAGCTTTCACGACCCACTGATTCCTTGGAATAGGTGACAATCGAGGTGTTGGCCCTCGATGCCTTGTTCTACTGTTCTTATCAGGTTCAAAGTTATTATACAGGCTGACTTCGAAGACCCAAGGCAGGTTGGCCAACAGTCACAATGGTGCAATACCTATGGCCCACTTGATCAGCTGTCGGTGACAAAGTGGGCGCCAAAAAAGGAACAGGGTATAGGCTGAGAATAACTTCATTCTGGCAGGTGGCGTAGAGCCTAACGTATGCTGCTCCGGTAAACATTGCCTAGTTGGTGAGCTTCCTTTCCAATGAGAGTAATTGTCATTGGAGATATCTAGGGCCGCCCTCTCTATCGTCTCTCCCCTTACCATCTGTCTTCATCTTCCATCATTATCTCACTTTATACCTCATTAATTGACCGGCCTCAACCAAAGCCTAACCTTTACTTGTTCTCATCTACCACCACGTTCCCCGTCACATCGTCGCCTACATGGGATCGGGAACTTCTCGCGAGAGCGTAATCGATTCCGAATATTGGGAAGCAGAATCTCAGCGAATTCTACGAACCACCACGAACACCTACAAAATCGAAATGATTTGCTCCCTGATTCCATTTAAGGATGAAAAAGCCTTGTTCAAAGTGTTAGAGGCACGATCAGATCTGGACACACTCTTTGCACACTATTGCGGATCGGGCGAGCAAACTGTCGACCTCTCACGAACAAACAATGAAAAAGCCGCCGAGATCTGGCGAGTGCTTCGATACCCACCAGGATACGGTGTCTCTTGGGACTGGAATTGGGAAATGCCGCTGACCGGTGATCCTGGTGAAATTGCGAATGAATTCCATGCGGCCGTCTGTCGTGCTGTCTTCCGGATCCCCTTACTCGACTTCGTAAGATGTGCGTTTAGGTATAACAGCAAGGCAATTTCTATACAATTCTTACTCGATGCTGTATGCAGAGTACGCGATAGTCTTCGGCAAGCATTTCAAAATCACTCCGAAAGAAAGGACCTTTTTATTAAAGTTCAGAGGGTGAGCAAGCATCATTCTACGGAGATTCCTGTATTGATATAATAGGTATTACAACAGCGATACCACCCACTAGCCTACTGGATCATTGCTAGCAGCCTGCATGACACAACAGATGCCCCATACGATGCCTTGGCCGCGACTATCAACCAAACCAAGACATGCTTCACGAAACGCAATTTAGATTCTGTGCTTGATCGACTCATGGCTCTTGATCGGCGGTTTAAACACATCAACGAAAATTACAACTGGGACAAGTGGTCGACTAATCTTGAGCTTTGGAAGTGCACTAGTCAGGCATTATGGACAGGAACTCTGACTATACCAACCATGCCTCCAGATATGCTGTCCGAGGACCAGGAGGAGATATTGTCTTTTCTTAGAGACCTTGAATCGACACTCAGGGGCCAGGTTCGCAAAATGTTGTCCTTTCTGAAGAGACCCGGGAAGTTGTGGCATCAGAGGATAGGTTGTTTCCCGAGGTGGAAAGACATGTTCTGTAACGAATCTGAAGATCTATAAGTTGGAGAAGCTGAAACGAGCAAAAACAAGCGTGGAGCGTCTTGTGGAGCATATTTAGATGCATCTGAAAGGGAGCCAAAGCCAGCAAAGCCAGCAAATTGATTTTCATAGATTTGAAAGTTCTTTGTGTCTTTTCTTGTTTTTTCCAATTGCTTGTATACTAGTAAAGCATGAAATATAAACAATCGCTGTTTCTTTTTCCTCTCAACTATGGTGGAAATTGTGAGACGCACCAAACATGGCACAAACTATCTTTGTATAATTTCGTCATACAGAAATAATCTGTAGCGGGCTGAGCCTCTGTTAAGGTGAGGGTCAAGAACTAGATTGTTCGCAAAGAGCTATTCTCTCTATGGTCGAGTACTGAAATACTCTGACTATTGCTGACTAATTACAGGTCCAAATTCACTATTCGTAAATCAAAACTGTCACAGCCTCCAAAAGATTATTTTTGTATGACGAAATCATACGAAAATACTCATCTCTTGACGAGCCACCATAATCTATGACGTGATGCCCTTTACTTGGAGAAATTACCTGGTATTGAAACTCGAAACCTGATGAAAAGTGTCGAGATGGATCGTTGATTCTCGGATTAATGAGCCTGAATTTGCTGAGATTCAGGGGCTGTTTACCAAAACCCTCCCACCAACCACTTTACGCTGGATCGTTTAGCTCTCCTAACCAATCCCTATTTGCTATAAGAGCCGCTGATGTGCTTGTCCTGTCAGAGCGCCGTCTGGACTTCACTCATCACACGTTACCACGTGATTCGTGACAGTATGCTGGTAGGGATCGTGACCCAGGAACATTTTTAAAGCTATTGTAACCGTGTGGAGTGAACTACTGCTTGCTGTGATGAATACGGAGTTAAACCGAAAACTGCTATATAGAGCGAACAACTAAGTGAGAAAGGAAGGTATTCTATTTGACAGACACGATGCTTCCAGCAACAGTTAAAAGTACTGTCAAGGTAGGGTTAGGGGTGATGAATAGATTGTTCGCAAAGCTCTCCAGTTCGAAGCTGAATTACATACAACAGAGGTGGTCCAAGCACTCCCCGTGACTTCCAAAGCTACCATATTCACTTATTCGCTTAATCAAAAACCTTTGCAAGTACGACCCCATATTGTCGGTCACTCCTGTCCCCTTGAAATCGTTTTCGAAATTTTTCCCAATATCAAGGACTGTCTGTATGTGAGCAATAGACAAGCTTGTCTTGTCATAATTTGCTAATGCATTTGCTGTACGTATTGTATTCTTGATCTGTGGAGAGACATCGGTTATCAAACGAACCTTCTCCGGCTTCAACTAAAGGCAACTTACCTGTCGAACATTAAGGTTATGTGTTGCCAGATGTTCAAGTTCCTTGGCACTATATGATATCACCATGCCCTCTGTATTTGTCAAAAAATTGTCCCAGATCCCTTTCCTAGTATCATGTCCTAAGGATTCATAGGAAATTCCAATGTGTATTCCGCCCTGTATAGCGTGGTCGAAATCTCTTACCCAGCCCCTTGCGGCTGGTGAGAAAGATGGGTCAAGAATATACAGATAGCACAGACCAAGTAAAACCCCAGAATTACGACGTTTCACCTCTTGTCTCTTTCCGATCTCAGCCTCTTTATTTTACTGTGTTCCACATGCATCATGTAACCGTGTGGAGTGAACCACTGCTTGCTGTGATGAATACGGAGTCAAACGGAAACTGCTGTATTGAGCGAACAACAAAGTGAGGAAGGAAGAGAGTTCCAGAGGAACGAGAGCTTAAATACAGGATGCCAGCAGCGCGCACGTGACACATA